CGGTGGCTTGGTTGGCCCGTGTCCCTCGCTCATGGTTCGTAACATAACGCTGGAACGGCTATTCCGGAGTACAGCTTTTATAATAGCTACGGACGGTAGGTATAGAGTTGGAGAGGCGGCGCGGAGGAGCTCAAGTTTTTGAGATAAAAACTTAAAAAAGAGGAGGTTGTATTAAGTTTTAAAAGATCTATTATAGGGGTTAAGAGTATTAAGCACTGGTTATTCTCTGAAGTACGCCGAAAAGAATGGGACGTAACGTTATAGGGTAGCGTTAGAATTCGTCGGTGCTATTCTAAACTCAGCTACTACTAATTTTGTAGAAAACTACTATAAATAGCGGTTTATAAGAGATTATTAGAGTATCGGTTCGGCTAATAATACACCTCATATTAACTCCCACTTTAATTTCTCCTACGTAAACTACTCTTATTACAATTACCTTAGCTATCTACCTCTGCCATCCTGATAGAAATATGGAAAGAAGCGATTTTCGTGGAAATTGTCAGGAACACGGCTACGCTTATACTAATAATCTCTAGGCCAAAAAAAGACAAAACGAAAAAAAATAAGCTGACCCCAACCCGATTTGAACGGATAACCTTTCGATCTGGAGTCGAACGCGCTACCGTTGCGCCATGAGGCCGAAGATATCTGAAGTCCTTTGTCTGTTAGTCTAGAAAGGCACATAACCTGTTCAATGTACGACCAATTTTATTCGTTGTCCTATCTCCCATCTGTTGCCGATGCCGCCGAACCCCCACGCGAAGACGATGCACGCGATCACATAAGGAAGACGATACAACCCGGAAGTGGAAATACAATGGCGTGCTTGTAGCCACAACTACCCCCAATAGGGCGCGCCCTGCCCATAACCTCATGACAAGTCCGCTGCGTGCTTACTGATCTGCAACAATGTTTCTGCAGTCAGCGTCCCACACTTCTCCCACCTGAGGTAACTTATAAGAATATCTTAGAATTGATCAAATGGGGCGTCTCACATGTTTGCGAAGCATGACCGGCGACACAGACTGAACCAATTCGGTTATCTAGCCGACCAATGTCCAACATTCTGTCGATTATAAAAGCTGCCTAAACCCATCCCAAGGGGTAGGTATCATGTACGGTGCACCCCACAGTAAGGTAACAAAACCCATCAAGAACACGATCTTGCAATGACGACCTCACATCCTTTCCGTGCCATCATTGTTGGCGGTGGTCCGGTTGGACTGATGGCAGCGCATACCTTCTACCGAGCTGGCGTAGATTTTGTGGTCCTCGAACGCCAAAATGCCCTTGCTGTGCCTGAAGCTGCAGGTGCCGGAATCGGCGTCATGCCCAACACTTTGCGGCTCTTGGCTCAGCTGGGGCTGCTTGAGGCAGTGGAGGCAATCGGGACTCACATGCACCCCGGAACGGTGGTAACAAATGACGGGCAGCCATTTTCGACTGTTGACACTGATGCGTGGTGCAAAGAATTGTAGGTCAAAGAAAGCGAGCAACTGAGGCATACATGGACAAGATATAGCTAATAACGACTGGTGATGTACCTCTAGCCATGGAACAGGATGGGTTATTGTGCATCGACCCGAGCTGATGCAGTTGCTGTACGGTGCTCTTCCTGAAGAGATCAGACAGCATCTATTCCCCGGCAAAGAAGTAGAAACCATCGAGACGACCGAGGAGGGGGTCGTGGTCCGGTGTACCGACGGAAGCCTGGAGAGAGGCAGCATTGTGGTCGGAGCGGACGGAGCCCACAGCAAGGTGCGCGATTGCATGCGTCGCATCACACTGCAAGAGTCGCCAAAGGCAGCCGTGAATGAGGAGAAGCCGTTTGTCGCGACGTATCGGTGTGTGTTCGGGCATACGGTCAGCCCGCCACCAGGAATCAGCCCCCGCGATGAGTGGCATATGCATGGGAGCGGAATCTCGTCGCTCCTGCTTGCCGGCTCGGAGAAGACATGGTTCATGTTCAGTCAGAAGCTGCCCAAGCCAACAAGGGAACGACGACGGTACACCGAGAAAGATCTGGAGAGCTTCATGGAGGAGGTTGGCCATGCCCATTGCACATCCACGCTTACACTCAACGACCTTTACCAAACGCGGACGTCTTGCTATCTGACTGATCTCCATGAAGGTCTGATTCAACACTTCCATCATGACCGCATTGTCCTGGTCGGCGACGCTGTTAACAAGCAGACTTACAATACGGGCCAAGGGTGGAACACGGGAGTGCAAGACGTCGTTGTGCTTACCAACAAGCTCCGGGCGCTGATGAACAACGAGACCAACCCTGGTGTGCCGATCAGTAAAAGGAAGATCGAAGCGGCCTTCGGCTTATACCAAAAAGAAAGGTACCCGGTGGTCCAACAGGCTGTGAAGGCGTCAATGATGTTTACTCGCACGGAGGCCTGGAACCATTGGTATGACTGGTTTGCAGATCGGCATGTCCTGCCACGCACAGGGGGATTAAAACTGATCTATCGAGCCTTTCTTGTCCCGGCCAACGTGAATGCGCAGGTCTTGGACTTTCTCGACGAGAACAACAGGCCTTCGGGGACGATCCCATGGCTCCATGGCAGCAAGGGGAATAAATCGGAAACGTCTCCTGGTATCCATTAAAGGTATTTCGGCAATCATTTCTGGATTTGTTGTTTCTCATTCCACTAGGATCGCCTATACTGACATGTGATTAGGCGTGCCCAATATTTCTTGGCGCATGGCTCTAGAGCCTTAGGTCTATTTTCCTTTTCTTTTCCCAAATGGGACGTCGACATGTCAAAGCTGTCGCCACCTGTGTACAACCCTGAGCCTGAGGACCTTGAGGACCCTTTAGATATCACAACTGCCACACTTCAACGGACTTTGCGTTTTGACTGCAGGTTCAGCTTGTCAATAGCTTGCGCTCTTTGCCTATCGTTTCCGACTAAGTTTGAGGAAGAGAGACCCACTCTAGAGCTTCGGGCTAGACTTCAGCCGGCCACTTAGTCCAATAGTTCTAGATATCGAGTTGAGATCTGAATAGATCCAGATATGGGTACGCGCTGTCAATCAATCTTTCTTCAACGCTTTTCCTTGACCATTGACAATGCCGTGGCTGCCAACACAACAACAGCACTGTGGAAACTGCAGACTATCGGCAACTTGCACCGAATGAGGAGTGTTACAATGCTCAGTAATTGGCTTGTTGGCGAGATCTTGCAAGCTGAGATCGGAACTGCTGAGTGCAACCAAGCCAATGGAAGTTTAGCCATGGAGATCGCTGGCGTCAACGGCTGGCGCAGACCTGAATACCCGGAAACGGTGTTCTAGCCTGATACGATAAGGGCACATGTATGACGATGAATGTGTTGTAAATGCACTTCCTACACAGTAGGTGGGCTTTGTGGGACAATGCTTGTTGGTGTCATGTCGTATTTGCGACTCTAGGTATATTGAAAGTGGACAACCAACTCCCCAGTCTGGTCAGGATGGACTTAAACCCTTTAAATCCTCGGGCCATCCCCAATTCCGAAACGAGCCTCTGAAGTAACTGGACAGGGAGAATTATGGAGCTTAAGAACGTACCCAGCATGGCCGCAGTCGTGACGAACTATCTCAAAGGAAACGGCCCTCGACATCAAGGCTGGTGCATCGCTGATAGCTTCCATGTCGAACGACAGTGTCAGGAACGAGTTCATTGAAGAGCAAGTCAAGATCAAGTACGACCGCATGTTGCACCCGCCTCTGAGTTACTTGGGCAACGCTTTCAAGTACCGGACCGCCGATGGCAAGTTCAACAGCGCGATGAACCCACACCTGGGCCAAGCTGGAGCTCCTTATGCCAAAACCGTGCCTGCAAAGACCCATCCACTCGGAGCCTTGCCCGATCTGGGGGATCTTTTCGACCGGTTGATGGCAAGAGAGGAAAACGGCCGTCCAAGTCAGTCAGGCTTGTCGAGCATGCTCATCTACCATGCCACTATCATCATCCACGACATCTTCCGCACCAATGATAATGACTAGAGCATCTCTGATACGTCGTCATATCTCGATCTGTCACCTCTGTACGGCTTCACCAAGGAGATGCAGCGCAAGGTTCGTGATGACAATTATGGTCTTGGCCTGCTTAAGCCAGACACCTTCGCAGAGGACAGACTGCTTCGTCAACCGCCGGGTGTTTGTATCATGCTGGTCATGTACAACCGGTACCATAACTACGCGGCCACGCAACTTCGGCGCATCAACGAAAACGGCCGCTTTTCAGTCCCCAGGAAGTATCAGGAGGCTAAGTTCCTGGCCGCTGTCAGTTACTTTGTTAAAGATAAACTGAAGGACGACACGGACTACCAGCAAGCTTTGGAGAGGTTCAAGCATGCCAACCAGGCCTTCGAGAGCAACGGCCGGATTGCCACCGATGAGTACGACCATGCATCGAAAGCTCTCCATGTATTCATCTTACAGGGCCCAGCCAGACGAAAAGGAAGTCAAAGCATTCTATGACGGCTGTGACGCAGCCTGGAAGAAGCTGGATGATGACCTCTTTCACACGGCTCGGCTGATCACATGCGGCATCTACATACAAGTCTCCATTCACGACTACCTCCGGGCACTGATGGGCTTCCATCAGAGAGAAGATGGCCTTCAGGCGAGACCCAATTACCAGACTGTTCAAGGATGAGCAAACGATCGAACACCTTACCAAGGTGATGGACGAGCCAATCTGTAAGTGCACACACTGTCAATCCTGGTTACTGGTCATACGCTAACGTGGATTGGAAAAGCGAACTACGGGCCTACGAACGTACCTCGGTCCTTGAAAGCCGTCGAGGTCTTGGGCATCATCCAGGCGCGCAAGTGGGGAGTCGGCACGCTGAACGACTTCCGTGAGTTCTTCGGAATGAAGCGTCACGAATCGTTCGAGAGCATCTCAGGCTGTGTTGAGGTCCAGAATGCACTCCGTGATCTCTATGAGCACCCCGATAAGGTCGAGCTTTATCCCGGTATCTTCTGCGAGTCGGACGCGAGTCAGAATGCGGATCCAGGACCGAGTGATGTCGATTCGGCGTTGTGGGCTGCCATTTTCTCCGATGCCATCACCCTCGTCCGGTCGGATCGGTTCTACACCGTTGACTGGAACACGAACTCGCTCACCTCTTGGGGTATGAAGGAGGCAACCCCAGATAACGATGTGCTCAAGAGCTCCGTATTCCATCGACTTCTGCAGCGATCGTTCCCGGAGTGGTTCCCAACCAACTCGGTTCGCTTCTTCCACCCCTTCTATACAGCCCAGAAGAACGCCGAGTACGCAGCGGCGCAAGGCTACGGCAAAGACTTCGCCATCACACCTGACACTTCGGCCTCAAACCCTCGGAAGCCTGTTGACCCCAAGATTCTCACTGATCCTGCGCAAATCATGGCAGTTCTGGATGACCATACGGACAACATCGTTCACCCAGTCCGCCTTGAGACCGATATTCTCCCCGCCAAAGTCGCCGAGGTTCTGGCCCCGCGCAAAAAGGGCAAAAGGAGAGATGGTGATAAAAAGCCGGATGACGGACACCGCGAAGAAATCGACACCGATACCCACCAGTTGATGACATACTTCACCCCCTCATGAGAGATATCATCAGGCGTGTATCCGTTGTGATGAAGCCGGGGCAAGAAAAGTCAAAGGTTGATCCGGTCTACCAGCTCGATGTCACCAGAGACTTCGCCATCCCCGTCGTCACTCGGTATGTTGCCGACTTCCTTGGTTTCGGGCATCTCGTAAAGTCGGAGAGGAGCCTTGATGCGAAGTACTCCGAGAACGAAATCTACCAGCACATCACCAACTGCCATGTCTACTTCTCGTACAACGCCGACGAGACCAAAATCCCGAAACGGCGCAAGGTGTTCAAGGACTCGATGGAATTCCTCTTTGAACTGACGCTCAACGAGGGGAATGTTGCCGAGGCGAACAAGTTCCGTCTCACACGGGCGCTCCAGAGCGTGGGATCATGGTTCTGGAAGTCGGCAGCCGGCGACAAGAACCCGATGAGCGAGCTGGGATTCAAGGTTTCCGAACAGGTCTTGCAAGAGCAGAAGGGCGATGCTGGTAAGGCGGCGGCAATTCTGTTGCTGATTGCTCTAGATAGCTCGTATAACTTGGTTCTGGCCTTCACGTCGGTTCTGAACTCATTCCTTACTGACCGGTACACACTGGCAGCCGAGAAAAAGAAGCCGGGAGCTTCAGCGGAGCAGAGTTGCGATTGGCTCCATATCCAAAACCTTGCGCTGGCGGAGTTTAGGGGTGTGCCGACCAACACCTTTGACGATATCAAGAAGATCGTTTTGAAGGAACAGAGGAAGAGCGTGAAGCTACCCATTCTACGCAAGGCGGCCAAGGATTGTGTGGTGCAGGGTACCAGTTTGGCCGTGAAGAAAGATGAGCTGATCATCTGCGACATTGTAAGTTCTCATCACCCCGAAAACCCCAGGAAGAAACGGCGTTACTAACACTTAACTCGACTTAGAACCGCGGTGACCGGAAGCACAAGGATGATGTCTCAGCCACTGGCATGCCAGCACCCTGGGAAACCAAATACCTCTCCTACCACTCCAGCTTCACCGAGAGGTTCGTTAGATACCACCCCAGACACCTCGCCGCGAACAGTTTGACCGCCATGATTAAAGCCCTAGCTCAGATCAAGGACCTCAGACGTGGCCACGATACCCAAGGCCAACTGAAGAAGATCGCCCTCGACTCGTCATACGTGACATACACCAACTTCATGGCACCACAGCGTATCCGACACATCAACCCCCAAGTGAGGGCCAAGAATGCAGAGGTCAAGGTCGCAGAGGTCAAGGTTGCAGAAGCCAAAGAACCCAAGAAGTTGACGGCCAAGGAACTGAGGGAGACTTACAATCTCGGCAGACTGCGATGCCCCGCGACGGACACGTACATGACCCCCAAATGGGACGAGATGATCCCGTTCCCGACGACCTGGAAGGTCAGATTCAACGGCTTCAGGGAGTCGACATATGGTGGCGAGCAACTGCCTCTTCTTCAATCAATGAAGGTGCCGGATGATTTCCCTCCTTTTTATGAGCTTCCTGGCGGACCGAGTCATACGGGTGGCTCGTTTGGAGAGCCGATTTACCCGCCAGCTCCCGTGAAGCAACAAGACGAGCTGGCCAGCAAGAAGAAACAGGAGGTACAGGCTCCGACTGGGGAGGGCGGAAGTGATGCGGGGGGCTCTGCCATTGAGATGGATGATGGATGTCAGACTAAGGAGATGCCCAAGGGGGTTACGAACGGGTGCGGAATTGGAGTTTGAGACCATCCGTCAGCTGGTGATAGTTAGATCTGCGGTTACTGGAATCCAACAGTGAGCGTTTTGAGCAGTTTTTTCTCTCCAAAGATGATCTTGGAAGTTACGTACCTTGTGTGAAGTCTCCGATGCATCGTACATGATCATATCACAGTAATCACACAGCGAGAAGGCGTCATCCTGTACTCCACTAATCTCAGGGCCTATCTCTGCCGTGATTGGTGGCTGACCCATCAATACTGCAGGTAGATGTACCTATGCAGGTATTTTCTTCTACCGCGGCTACAACCCCGCTTCTTGACCATATCTGTATTTGTTAAAAGCCTTGAAGTCCCCAAGGACAGCATCTCATTGAGGCGCTCGTGTCGTCCAGAAAGAGTACTATGAGAATCCCATCATTATTCCACGGCCATCACTCTCCGACCGTAGAGCAGCCAATAGCTTCCATACCTGTCACGATGAGTCGATCCGAAGCAACATGGAGCTCGGCCTTCGGAGGGATCCCAGAAACCGTCACCAAGCCATGGAAACCGCCACCAAGGAAGACGTATCTCTTCAAAAGAGCCAATCTTGTGGATACCGCTCAAGGGGTCATCATCTCCAACGTCAACGTCAAGGTCGCAGATGGCGTGATCAAGCTAGTCGAGAAGAACGATCCCAGAATTGCCGGCCTCGCTCATCATCTACGGCGCGAAGATGACTTGGAACCAGTAACAGAAATTGACCTCGACGGCAAGTTTCTATGTCCCGGGCTTATCGACTGCCATGTCCATGTCAGTGCCGTACCAGGGGAACTCAGTCTCTCTTCCGCCGCGGCCATTTCTGATCCTGCTATTTCCCTTCTTCGTCAACCCTTCGTCTGCTCGCAGATGCTTAGCAGGGGTTTCACCACTGTTCGTGACACGGGTGGTGCCACGCTTGCCTTGAAGGAGGCTCTTGAAGAGGGCGTTTTTCCTGGCCCACGGCTCTTTATCTGCAATCGGGCTCTGTCTCAGACAGGTGGCCATGGCGACCTCCGCGGCGCCCACGACCACGGAAACCAAGTAGGCTGTTGTGCGGGCTCAGCGGGCCAACTGGCTGTGGTCTGTGACGGAGTACCGGAGTGCATTCGTGCGGCGCGAGAGCAGCTGAGGACAGGAGCGGATTTCATCAAGATTATGGTCGGAGGCGGCGTTGCCTCTCCCACGGATCGGTTGACCAACACGCAATTCACGGCTGCCGAGGTCCGGGCCATCTGCGATGTAGCAGAGAGCTACGGAACCTACGTGACTGCCCATGCATACACGCCCAAAGCAATCCGCCATGCTGTTGACAATGGTGTCAAGGGTATCGAACACGGGAACCTTATTGACGAAGCGACGGCGCGGTATATGGCTGAAAAGGGAATCTGGCTAACGCCAACGTTAGTAACGTATGACGCGATGGCATCAGATGAGTATGCCGGCTTTCTGCCGCCAGAAAATCAGCGAAAGAACGAAGAGGTGCTTCGTCAGGGATTAATGTCACTCACAATTGCGGAGAAGGCAGGAGTCAACATGTGTTATGGCTCTGATCTTTTGGGACCTTTGACGAGAGAGCAGTCGAAGGAGTTTGGCATCCGTTCGGTCATCCTAAAGAGCAAGCAAGTTTTGCAGTCAGCTACTGTAAATGCGGCAAAGATGTTGGGACAGGAGTCGTTTCTCGGCCAGCTCAAACCAGGATATGCTGCGGACATGCTTATCCTCAACGTCAACCCATTCAACGAAGTGGCGGTGCTGGACGAGCCAGAGAGACATGTGTTGGCAGTAATGAAAGACGGACGAGTACACGTGAGCCGGTGGAGGAAACTTCTCGTGGACGCAACAAACAAAGAGGAACTGATCGAGTGAGCGCATAGTACAATATGATGACAAATGAGAGGAGTGACTCATCGCACTACCCTAGCACTAGCTAGAGATCCCACAACTGTGATGGGGGGCCATGGGTAAAGAAAACATGAGCAGAAGACGTGGTTGTATTATGAGACAAGCCCCCGGTAGAAGGCAGGTACTTGATAAGAAATGCACAATGAATGCCAACCAACATGAAAGCTCGGGATAGAGAGTAGACCATGTCCTGTTGCGATGGCATGGCTAGGGTCTTGTGACCTTCAGGGAGCCCGGTACTGTTCTCAAAAAAACCTTGTCAAGAGCCAAAAGCAAACAATGTATGTCGGCAAAAAAGCCGACTGACCACGATCCTATCCCGAAATCAGAATCCAGTAGAGAAGCCGTGGAGGCTTCGACGACCTTGTGAAGCTGACCCGAGAAAAGCCATCAGACAAGCGAGCGCTTTTTGTCCTTTGTGCGCTCCTGGAAGTTGATGGTCCTAAGATCCTTTATGAGATCCTCCCAGGTAAGGCGGTTGATAGTCCATTCCTCGACTAGCTTGGCGTGCAAGGCCGGGTAGTCTTCCTTCAGTCCGGATCCATCAAGCACAGCGGTGACGCCGAAGTCGGAATCAAAGCTCCAGCCCTCCTCAGTCAGCTGATCCTTGACGGACTGGAGGCGCTGAAGATAGTCGCCCATGGAGGCGCACTGGTCTCTTCTGAGAGCAACAAAGTCGCTGAAGAGTTTTCCGCAGTGGACGCTGCCGGTCTTTTGGGCGAAGACGCGCTTGACCAGATCATAGGTGACCTTGGGGTTCTCCTCCTTGATGTCCCAGTTGTACAGCTTCAGCGTGACGATTACGTCAGGGTCGGCAATGGTATTGAGCAGGATGTAGTTGACTCTGGCTCTCTGCTTCTTCCAGTCGTCCCTGCCGGGTCCGATCAAGGGTTCGCGAACATCGTCCTTGAGATAGGACGACAAACCGTAGAAGTCGAGGTAGGTCATGAGAAACATGTCCCAGAGCTCGAGATCCTCGGGGCCCTTGAGGAAAGGGGGCAGGGGAAGGGGCGGAGCTTGGAGGAGAACACCTTTCTTGAAGTTGTCGACAAGGCGGGCCAGGTACGCCAGGAGGTACAGGACGACGCAGACGAGCGCGATGAATCCCTTTGTGAAATCGATAGTCATGTTGGGCATGTTGGGGGAATTGTCCATAGTTTCGGTTTCCTGTCCAGTCTTCGTGTTGTATGCCAGTCGCTTGACGGGAGTAGACGTAACAGAGCAAGGGGAAGTGAGGTTGGTGTAAGAACAGCTTGAAGGGAAAATGGCAAGGTGTCGAAAATTATCTGGCTGTTGATAGTCACTCGACTACTTGTTGCCTCTAAGAACTTGCTTGGTTGATATGTTCGGTAGTACGATGATGGGAAGGCGGGGGAAGTCTGTCGCGCGGGCGTTAGCAAAAGTGATGTGACAGCTTGAAGTATTCGTGACAAAAGGAAGACGATCACCTGGTCAAGTTCCGCGACGCGCTTCGTGATTTTGATGTGGCCTTCGTATGTTGCGCGTGCACTGGTGGTTGCTTGTGAATCGGCTGAAGAGGAAGGAAAGGTTGGTGGGTGACGGAGATGGAAGAGGAGAGAGGAAATAAAGAAGATGCTTTGTCGCCGGGAAAGAACCCGGACGCGACAAACAAAAAGCGAGCAACAAATGAAGAGGCGGTGATGGTCCGTGCCAGCCAGAGAACGCCGGTTGAAAAATGGAAGGAGCGACAAAAGTTGCTGGTACAACCAGGAAAAAGGGTTCCTTCCGTATTTGATCCTATCTTTTTCTGACCCGGAAGGTAGGTACCGATGAGGGTTCAAAGAGCGAAATACACTACCACAGGAAGGAGCGCCAACCAAACACTCAACAGACATCCGACGTGACCATCCCCTCTTCCCGTGGCAGACGATGTACTCGGGCTCGACGCGGACGAGTTGGCGGCAGAGGCAACCCCAGTCGTTCCATCATCCTCCATGACGGCACTATCAACCATATCATCCTCTTTGCTCTGAGTCCCTTCAGCGGCACCATCCTTCTTCAGGACAATGCTATCCCAGCTCCCCGACATATCGCCATACGAATAGCTCGTGGCCGCGTACTGATTCGTCACCGACACCTTCTCGACATACATCGTGAACGGCCCCTTGGTGTAGTCCGTCACGCCTCCTGCCCACGCAATTGTCCCCGGCGCATTATCCGGATCCCCTCCAGCCCACGACCCTATTTTCAGCTTCATGGGCGTCTGCGGATAGTTCAGCCCTCCCACGGCATCCTCCTTTTTGAGCGTGCGAACTGCCTGCCCATCAACGTACCACGTCAACTGATCAATCTGCCAGTCAATGGCATAGCTGTATGTCGTTCCTTGCACATTGTGCACGGGAGTCTTTCCACCGCGGTTGAACAGCGTCAGGTTCCCCTTGCCAAAGTAGTTGGTCTGCACCTCGTCGTTGTTGCCGCCGAGTATTTCCCAGTCGACCTCGTCTCCGTCATCGCTCGCGAGCACCACGCTGCTGACGATACCCGTCCCCGGAGCCGCACGCATGAGCACCTCGACACGACCGAAGAAGATATACCAGTTGGTGGCGATGGTGGGTGCGTCTCCCTTCTTGGCAATCGTGAGGGCGGCACCGTGGGAGTCGTATAAGACCGAACCGGTGCCCACGGACGTCCAAGAGGCCCAATCGGTTGTTCCTTTGGTGAAGTCCACACCATATGGACTGTTGGTGAGACCTTTGTCCGGAGGGCAGCCAGAGGCTGTGATACGACACAACACCCCCTTACGTCAGCCGTATACTCCGAAAAGTATTTCATGGAAATATCCGGAGAAACTTACTCTTGAGTGGATTACAATCTGACCCTGACTGTGCTGCAGCAAACGCAACCACTGCCGAAAGGACCAAGAGCAGCCGCGGCAACAGGACGCCCAACATATTGTTGTCCATCCTTGTCTCAAACAAGGCAAGACTGGCAAGAGCCAAGGGGAACGAAAGAGACCCGGGAAAAAGAGAGAGAAGGATGCAAATGTTTTCGACAATGAGGAACTGCTTGATGTCTCCAGACACTCAGCAATGACGACAACGGCGCACGAAGTCTTCAGCAAACACTAAAAGAAATCGTAGGAAACATGGTCCAATTCGAGACATGCAGAATGCCAAACCAACCCATCGACACCGCGGAAAGTGACCGGCTTCCTCACCTTTTCTACCCACCCGACCGGTCCTGGTACCCGTGAGAGTGGATTTGAGACCATGTACGCTTCGTCCTTTCGGCGTCATACTGGGTACATCCGTTGGCTTGGTTTATAACACACAGACGAGACGCAAGCGCTCAGACCGAGAGTGGACAAAACAACAGTCTGTCTTTCGTCACACGATGGAAGCTTGGAACGACAAAAACCATCGAGTCAGAAACGATGATGGTTGACACTAACACTGACACTGACAAGCTGGCAGGGCTGCATTGTGTCCGTAAGACCGGATATATATCTCCTAAAGTGCTCCCTTGAGAGCAAAGACCAAGCGAGAAGATTCAACACCAGAGCCACAAGAAAAAGCCACGGCTCAAAGGACAAAAGGCGTAGAAAAGTCTGGAATCAAGACGTTCGTTCGCAGGGCCTTGCGTGCGAAGATGGCCCCGCATCCAGTCAAAAGTCATCGATACCAAGCCTCCCGAGCGACCTGTCACTATGTGAGCACAACCCTGATCTAACCATGCTTGATCGCATAACAGGAAGACAAGGAAATAAATTCGAAGCATGTTTACCGTGCCGCCTTCCATCACTGGGCGACCATACTCGTGGCGTTGTTCCAGATCACCCCCTTCACCAATAGCAATGGTATCTTCATACAAAGCTAATCGGCGACACATCCTATCTCTGGGAGTTGAGGTCTCCAAATCGCACGGCCCTATCACCTATAGCCTACTGCCAGGCGTGCCACGTATTATCGTGCCTGTACCAGACACTGGCCAAAGGCTTCCCGTCGTTCTTCTGTCGTAACGTTGCTGTGACCTTTGTTCCTCTTTTTGGATCATGCTCGTTGTGTAATTTGCTTTTATTACTCTGGTATCGATCGGCCCATGCTTCCCTTCGTGTAACTAATAACGCCCAGACGCCGTGCTATTATATGCCGTAGGTAGTAGGATGCGCCCGTGGATTAACCGGCCGGTTTGTAGTCGGTGGCGCACGCCATTATATATTATACAATTATTTAGAACCTGTGAGGATGCCCATGTTAGCAAACAACATTTGTGCCGACAAAGAAACCGAAGAGGAATAAGAGGACAGCAACTTACCTAATCTCGTAGCTCCCCGCCCTTGTCATATACCTCACCCACTTCACACTCGAGTAGTTGCTCTTCTCAAACACCTTGAGATAGCGAACCAGCAAGCCAGAGCTGGTAAACATCAGCAAGCTAAAGTTCATGCTGAGTGGCGGCCTGCTCCAAGCCTTCTGGTTCGTCATGCTCGTGAGCTCGGCCTCGGCGCTCAGCACAAATTCGCTCTGTCCAGCAAAGCGACCAATCTTCCACACAATCACGTTCTCGGACGGCTCGTACTTGGCCTTGCCCTGGGTGCAGCGCTCCGTGATCCTCGCCGTGTTGAGCGGCGTGGGGATCTTCACCACGACATTGGTCGCAAACAACTTGGACCCAAAGTTGGCGCGCACACCGATGCTGTATTCCACCTTGGTCTTGCCCACCTCGTTGACAATGGCGTGCACTTTGAAGGGAAGGTTGACGTTCTCGGTCGCGCGGTACCGCATCAGCTCGAACTCGCCGTCGGGCGGGATGAAGCTGATGATGCGGTCGCTGTCGAACTTGCCCAGCTTGACGCACTGGTGGAACTGGCAGTCCTCGAGCGTGACGCTTCCAGCAGCGGCCTTGGTCGCCTTGCTCCCCATCCTGTTGCCGCTGGGCAGGCTCATGAGGCCGTCCTGGTCGAGAAGGAGGCGGTCGTTAAGTCCGAACTTGCACTCGGGCGTGCCGCTGAGGTAGGCGCGCATGATGATCTGGCCGTTGACGTCGGCGCGCAGGACGGAACCCGTTGCGCTCATGAGCAGGTTCACGTCCTCGATCACGTCCACGAAGGCTTCGTTCTTGCGGTACTTGACGTCGGCCTTGCGCCAGGATAAAGCGCCCGTGGCTTGCATGGTGATCTTGGCGCTATCTTCGACCGCTCGTTCGGATTTGACGCCTTCGGTTGTGATGTACATCTTGAGTGTGTCGGTCTCGGTGTTTTGGGGGTATCCGAAGTCGATGATTTCTGTGACACAGAGTTCAGATTAGTCGGCTAATTCCAAACCGTCTGCTAAGAAACACTAAAGGGGCATACGGGGGCCATACCATCCAGGAGCTCGTAGACTAGGACAAAGTTGTTCTTGACGGCCTCCTCGTCAAACTTGCCAAAGTAGCCGCGCCCCAAGGCGATCAAGCGGTAGAGAAACTCGAAGACCAGGGCGGCATTGGCGTTACTACGGGTGATGGCGACCAGGTAGATGTTCTCATGCTTGACATGGCTGAAGGTGGTGCTGCCGAGGGTCAGGATAGGGGATCGGACCTGGGCGTTGCTGATGACCTGGATGCGGAACACGTCCGCCAGTCGTGGCCGGCAGTCATTGCGGAAGGCTCGGAAGATGAGGTTCTCGCCCTTTTGGTTGAAGATGAGGATCCCAGAGAGCATCGTGAAGGGTCGTCGGGGAGAAAAGGCGATTGAAAAGTGCAGGTCGACGGGAGTTGGCGACGACGGGGCGGCGGGCGGAATTCGATGTCAAGGGCGGTAGGCGGGCGGTCGGGGAACAATTCATCCAGGAACACCTGCAATCATGTCGCGTCCACTACCGTGCTGTAGAGAGCAACTAGTGCCACCCTGAACAGGCGGCTCCTCAGGGGATAAGTGGACGCTCCTGCAGTGCGGGAGGTCCCTGAGTGATTGCCATGTCGACCTGCTGCGGCAAACGGGGGCGCGCGACATAGGTGCCGGGGGCAAGAACCGAGCGAGGTACTTCTGACCTAAGCGTTTAAGAAACACAACAGTGAGGCCTGATGGGAAATTGTTAGTGACACACTCTGCACCAAGCAACGAGGTACTTTGACAGCGATGCCCCTTTTCCGTGGTACTAACAATAAACAAGGAGCGACACTACCTCGATGCTGGTTGCTGAGTTTCACCTCTTCAATTTCTACAGCATGTCACGGGACTTCACTTGTGATCAACCCATTCATGGAGGCCGATGAAACTTTAAATGTCATTTGCTTATTCCCTCTCTCAAGGAGGTGCACTACCTCAATGCTCGATCAATGTTGGACGTGCGAATTCCAAGTCCCCGACCACTTTCATAACTCACAAACGTCGCAGCTCGTAACACCTCTCACCTCCAAGCCCCAACCTGAAGTTCCCGATGTCCTTCAAGCCTCCGACTTCAAGATGGCCCAAAGACATCCATCATAGCTCTTCTCACCCACAGTCTGCATAACCACCGACTCAACCCTCTGATCCTTCGCCACTCCCTCCACCAAAACCCTACCCGCCGTATCCCTAGGCCCAGCCGCACTCTCATCAATCAGCCTGCCTCCGCGCACCACATTATCCACGCAAATCATGGCCTTGGGCAGCGCCATCTCCACCGCCAGGTTGAAATAGTTGAGGTTATTCGGCTTATCCGCATCGATAAAGAAGAACCCAAACTTGGGCCTCTTTCCCTCCTCGGTCTCCTTCCTCAGCTGGCTTAACACCTCCAGCCCCGAACCCTGGATAACCTCGATCCGGTCCTCCAGCCCCGCATACGCAATGTTCTTGCGCGCCACCTCGACATGCTTGGGGTCGAACTCGACGGTCGTGAGCTTCATCTGCGGGTTCTCGCTCGCGAGCCAGATGGCTGAGTAGCCGCCCAGAGTGCCGACCTCGAGGGCGTGCGTGACGCCTAGGACGCGGCATTGCAGAGCCATGAACTTGCTCTGCGCGGGGGAGGCCGAGATGTCGGGCAGACCGGCGGCTTTGGAGGCGTCGAGGGCGTTTTGGAGAGCGGAGGCGTTGGGTTTGGTGGAGGGGTGTAGATGGCCCATTGTGTAGCCGTCGACGGCGGTCCAGACGTCGTTTTGGACCCATTTGTGGCCCTTGTTTTCGAACTTGAAGTTGCCGGTAGACATGTTGATGGTGAGATGTGGTTTGATGGGGTTCTGGTTGAGGGACTGATCTATAGGTGCTAACCTGGGCAACGAGGTAAGTAGAAAGACTGGAGTTGAGCAGGAAAAGAGTGGTATAAATAGGGAAACTTCCTCTGAAGGTGGTGAAGCTACTTAAGTACAGCTGTTCGAGGTGGTTATGCGTGAGTGTGTCAAAAGATTCAGAGGACGCGCAAGCCAGCTCGGTGATGCTCGGCGATGTCGGAGATGCTGCATTCACTTGCATGTCCCAATGGGACGAAAGTGCATTCACACAACTACCAACTCAGGACGCTGTATACAGGAGCAGCCGGGGTCATTGTGATCCAGCTCGATATCGAGTCTCATAGTTACATAGTGGTGATGTTGGTCGTTCGAAGTATCAACCATGTGAAGGTTAATGCTAGAGGTAGGTATGTTTGCTGACTGTCTGGGAAAGAAACCGGATAGGAGTGCGAGTGTAGTTCGCCTTGGGGACTCCCGTCTTAGTAGGACTCTATTCCCATCAAGAGCAACCCACAACTCTACCGTGGCCTTCTTACGAACTGGTCGGTAGCCGTATTTGAGAGTTCTTCACATCTCCACCAACACATCACATGCTGCGCCTCGTACTACGTTAAGGATGGTATAAGCTGACAATGACGATGCTGCCCTCAATAGCGAGTGGGTTGACAAGAGAGGGGCTCCAATGTTACAGTGGAGTTGGAGCTTGCTCGGTCGTTACGTTCGGTGATAGGAATGTGGGAGCGCGGGGTCATAAGTGTTAGTGCGGAGTCATCATGGTCCGGATTTACCATCATTGCGTGCTTTCGATTTCATTATAATTAATCAGGAAGACTCAGGAAACGTCGGTGAGGATTATTTTCGGTTTCTGATGAAGCCATCGTCAAGATATCCGAGTGAAGGTATGACGACCGGAACCGAGTTTATTAACAAGGCTTACCTGTCTGACAAACAGAGTCCACAAGGTCCGGTAGTTATTGATGGGTGTCATCCAATGCCGATGGCCGTGGTTGACAGATGCTGATGATCACCACAGGATGACAGGGAAATGTAGGTAGTGTACTGTACCCATTGGGGATGGTGCAGTGCTTCGCATACCTACCAGAGAAAAGGGTTCAAAGGAAATGGGCGGTGTTTTGTAGGGCATCAAGTGACAGGGCGAGAAGGACCCTTTTTGCACACAATCGGGGTCATCGATTGGTCCTTCGGCATTGAGATTGCAGGGTGCATGAAAAAATCATTCCAACACCCGAAAATGAGGGTTCATTTCCAGCCTAACCGACGATGATAGATCACTGGAGTGTGTGTGGTGTTGTCTGATATTGTATTGGAAGTGTTGAAAGCTGACGATCATACCCCGAACAAGTCCCGGGCGGGTCTGACGTCACTGGACCACTCACCGCTGTCTTTTACACTACCACAGGAACGGCATCTTTTCCTTGGCTCACATCAATCTAAGTGAACACCCGTTTTTCTCATCAAACCTTTCGTGAGAGAGCTCCATTGAGTAACCCGAGGGCACCATTACGCAGGTTTGCATGCCAGCACATAGGTGCTATTGGGTAGAAAATCCAATTAGCCTCCGTTAAGGCTTACCAACTACCCCATGCCGACAACCTCCCCCTTCCATCATCATGCCTCGACCTGCAGATCATTCTAGACATTCGTGTCTCAAAGCCTCTCGGAACTCCCAACGGAGCCCAAGACCGCCAAGGAAGCTTACTTTCCCGGTTCGCAAGTTTCGCAAGGAGAAGATCACATAAGTTGAACCCCAACCCACGACGACATCTCTTAAATATCTCATAACCTCCTCATCGACTCATGTATCACGGGAACTTCAACAACTCCAAGACAGCAAACCCAACCCCGATAACCAATACTACTACAACAGACATCAGCAAAGATGGAGGCCGCAGGAGCAATCGACGACAGGAGGCTCAAGCAGAGTTTCATCCTCGCAACCCTCATATCCACCATTGCCGGTACCTTCACCACCGGAGTCAACCTGTTCGACCGTGTTGGGGAGGCGAGAAGACAACGGAGGCAGCGCAAGATGGACAGGGGCCAGAACCGCAAGATCAAAGAGCTGGAACAGCGACTGGATGACGCTGTGAAGGGCAAGACCGAGATTGAGGAGCGCGAGAAGAAAAGTAGTAAGAGTCAAAGAGGAGGAGGAGAAAACGAAGAGGATCTGAGAAACTCCCTCCAGCGAGGCGGTCCGTTGGTTCAAGGGCAGTATGACCAGCTTTACTCAAGGGCGGGACCTCAGTTTGCTCAGGGTGACTGTAAGCTTACAACTCCTTCATAATATTCCAGCCAGAGACCGAGCTAACAAAAACCCAGTGCTTGCCCAAACCCAACTCCAAGGCCAAATCATCACCCTCCAAGGCACTGTCATCAAAATGCTCGAAGAAGCCCTCTACACCGGCGACCCCCCGGACATCCGCAAGCTCTACAACGCCTCCGAGTTTGCTCGAGAAGGGAGCATGCGCGCCCTCCGGGACCAATACCAGCGTATGCTTCAATCCGCCCCTGTCGATCGGGCTGCTCTTCCTGCTCCAGCACCCTCCCACCGTTCCGGCGGCCGCAGTCAAAGCCGCCGACCCATCGCTCCCGTCCGTCGCATCTCCTCCACCCCTTCTCTCCGCGATTACTACGACACGACCGACTATGACACCTCCTACCATCCAACCACCACTCATCGCACCCGCACCCGCGGCCCTGGCTCTGTCTCTCACCACTCCCACCGCTCACCCTCACCCTCCACCCGCTCTCGCGCCCGCTCAGTAGCCTCAAAAGGCTCCCACATCCCAAAACAATTAACCTACCACTCCTCAATCTACTGCCAATACGCCACCTATCTTCAACAATCCGGGCAAGCCCTCGATTCTAGCCTAGCCTCTTCAGGAATCTGCCCAGATTGCCACGCCCACTTATTCGACCCCGTGGAAGTCTCCCAGCGGGGGCCCTGGCGGGTTGACAAGGAGGTCGTTACACATAATGAACGCACAGGGAAAGAGGAGGTGGAGTACAGGAGTTATCTGTTGACTACGCGGTTTTTCGTCAAATGTCATCGCGAGGGAGGCGGGTATGCGTGTTATTTGTGCTCGAAACATCGGGAACGGGATACGGTTTGTAAGCGGGAGGAGAGCCTGGTTGATCATGTGGGGGAGAAACATTCGATTGGGGAGTATGAGGGGGATGGGGATATTAGGGGCGTGACGAGGTGATTCTTCTTTTCACTGAGCGAAAGGGGATGTTTCCGTTATCTTCTTTCTTCGCACCTTGTACAACTTTTTTTGAACATCTTCCTTTTTTTCCTTGTCACGACCTTTTTATGACTGCATCGAGCGTTACGAACTCATGAGGGCATGATATCACATTGATGGCGAAAATGATGAAAACATACGATAGAACGATGTTATGATGAGATGGATGGATGGGTGAGAGTAGTAGAGAGTAGATGGTTTCTTGCATTCTGAGTTGAGTGTATCTCTCTGTATCTGTTGTACCATAAAAAGTATTTCCACTAAATTATCCCTTCGTCGATATCCCAAGTTGATATCCAGAAGTTCCAAATTGCCTGGGATTTGTTTCGTCTCCCAAGCTGTGTATAATCCAAGTATATCCAAACAGCCTGAGTATATCAATCTTTGTCCAGGCTGTAAATCCAAAGTATGTGTCGTAGACAGATATCTGCGTGCATGCTTCTTGTATCCTCCTCCATCATTCTTTGTGCATGCTCATACCATGTTGCCCGACTCTGCAATCGGGCTACTACACGGCGTCGAATCAAAATCAGAACCAAAAAACAGATCATCCAACTTTTGAAAACACCGCAGCCATCCCAACCTTTTTTGATAACCGTGGGAAGACCGCACCTGCTGTCCCCATTCCACAGACCGATCCATTACCCATGAATGTAAGAAGAGATCCCAAATAAAGTCCGTCGGCCGCGTCATGTACGCCGCCGGGAAAGAAAAGAAGAAGAAGAAATAACAAAAGACAAAACAAAGGAAACAGAAACGAAAGTCTTGCAGCAATAACAACAACCCGCTTGCTTCTCTTCTTGACAGCTCAAACAACTCGCTGTCGCTCGCTTCTCTTTTCAGCAACACAACCAACTCGCACAACTCATCCCAAAAGTCTTGGATAGTGTCCAGTCATACATTACACCCCGTAACCTTGCTTCTAACTCGCTCCATCACGCTCCGCTCAGCCTGCAACTTATCCAGCTCCTTCCTCGTCTCAAACTGGCTCTCCAGCTTCTGGCCGACCGCCTGCCGAATACTCTCCTCGCCACGGTTCATCCAGACGTGCCAGCCGGAATTGCTCAAAGGCCAAAGTGGCTTGTTCTCGATATTCTCGATCCAGTCGGCGTTCGTCGTCCTCTTCTTGCGGCTGGCAATGATATCCATGTCCGCGGCGATCTGCGCGCAGTAGGACTCGAGCGGTAAGTCGTTGACGTCGCGACCGAATGGGTTCTCGATTTCGCGGCCGATGAAGAGCAGTCCCAGAATGATGTAGGCCGCTGCGATCGTAGCCGGAATAGTAATCCAGTTCAACGTGGGCAACAGCTGGAAGGGAAGTAACAGAATGTAAACCCAGGTGATTTGCGCGATGGCGATGGCGTAGGCGATGGGCAGCGGGGTGGACAAAACACGATCGGTGCCCACTAACACGTCGTTGAGGATTGCCATGTTGTTGTAGGCCAGCGTTTGCTGCATAGGCACGGGCAGCTGGCCCTCGGCGATCAGCTCGTCCGTGTAGGTGGCTAGGTACGAAAGGATTTCCAGGGGGAGGTTGCCGAGCGGGCGAGATGCCTTCTTAATCATCTTGCGCGGGTTCGAGGCGGCGAAGCTGACGCCGATGTACTCGCCGACCGACTTGAAGAAGCCAGGACCTTGGAGGGCCTTGAGCGTCTTATCTGGCTCCTCCTCGGTGGCCCGCCGGGCAAAGGTGTCGAGGTGGGCCACGAGGTGCGAGATGTCGTCGTAGCAGGTGTAGGGCTCGAAGCGGAGACGATGTTTCAAGGATACGGAAAAGGCGACCAGGAGGTTGAGGGCGGTTCTGTGAATGTTAGCAAAAAAAAAAAGCTATGGAAATGGAATCCCTGAGACTTACAGCTTGGCCAAAACGTCCTTCTTCCCTAGCTCGCCTTCCCGCTCTTTGGCATGCACCCAGTAGACACGACCGAGCGTCTGACATGCCAGGAGCAACGAGGACCAGTATTTGCGACCCTCTGAATAGCGCTCGTAGGCGGTCGAGCTGCGAAAGGACAGACCCATACCGACCACGAAACCGAGGACCGTGAGAAGGATGTTGTGAATACCCACTGGTGGGGAGGAGGAAGTGTCAGCTTGTGATAGGGATACGATAGGCAAAGGGGGTAGGTGGAACGCACAGTTTGTCACTTTAAAGTTAATAACAGTGAGCATAGTGGTCCAGGCACCGACTCCGAGGAGTGGTAGGATCATCTTGGGCAGGATACTGCCGTGCATCTGCATGAAGATAGGCCATTTTGAGTGCTTCTGGGTGTCTCGGGGGCCAGTCTGGGATCGTGGAAGGGTTGTGTTAGTGCTCTGTATGTGTTGTGATCAAGGCATGGGTTGATGTGGGTAGGGACATACAAAGTAGTCATCGATCTCTAGGGAGTTGTGTACAGGCCGGAAGGGGTTCATGGTGTTGACACGAGGTGACATGAGCGTGGGTATCTGGTCCAGCTCAGGAAGGTTCTCGATGGATAACCGGGGCAGCCGGGGCTTCTCGGCGCCGCCATTGATGTGTTGTTGCTCCGGCCCTAGGTCCGAGGTGCCTCCTACGTGACCGCCCTCGTCGGCCATTGTGGTTGTGGTTGTGGTTGTACTAGTGCCAGAAGAGCCTAGCCTGTTGTGATTGGATACTGGAAGCTCAACCGCAGTCGGGATACTGCTTTGAGGCTGCTGGATCGACATGTATGAGCGATGGGGTGGTACACCTGGTAGTCCAGGAGAGGTGGTACCCACAGGAGTCCGGATGGACGGGGACGAATGTGTTGAAATACGGGGGAAAGTGGTGATCAATCTAACTCGAATCCTCCAGATCTAGGGAAATGTGGAATAGGTATTGATAACGGGGATCCAATCCAATGTTTGTTGCTGGAATCCGTAGGTGGTTACCGTTAGGTGTTGAACCGGGTTGGTGATATGGAAATACTTTGGAAAAGCCCCTTAGGAAAGTCGAACCAAAACGAGGGACAAGGGGTCAAAGGCAAAATAGGAATAATCTAAAAAGAGGTGGAAAAGGAAAAATGTAGAATGAGATTTGTTTGTGAAATCTAGACCGAAAGTAGGCAAAAAGGGGAGGGGAGGGGGATGTGGATGGGGAAGTTGAATGTTTAAAAGGTTTGTTTTGTGTCGATGAGGTGACGACTGGTCTTCGCTTTCCAGCTCTCTCTCTTGTCCGGGCTCTCCTTCTTTTTCCCAATGATTTTATTTCCACTTTGCTTTCTGCATCTCGGCAACCCATCCCTTCACCCTTGTCTCCACGACGTCCGTACCCATTGTCTGGCCCCTGTTTGAAGATGTCATGCCCTGGTCCCTACCTGGATATGGGAAATCCTCCTCCACTCTGGACCGCACTCGTCCATCATCTCCGGTTCCCGATTTCTAGATTTCTCGGTATTGTCCGTAGTGCTAGTTAGTGCTGCTATCCCGTTATACGTAGCACCTGTTACACTACAACGGTACACATCGGGAGAACACGACGTGCGGGGATCAAAGTGGGATATCCCCAAGTGGCGTGAATCGCCTACACTAAAAAACACAGAATAGAAGGTCAAAGGGTCCCGTCGTGTTCTGTCGCCGGCTGTGAAACAGAATCCCCACTTTCTCCCAGGGCTGCCGGCTACTGGTAGACGCTGCAAAACTCCACACAACGTTGGCTGTGGTTCCTGACCAAGTCACGTGCATGTAGCCAAGCCTGCACCGCATTGGCTTGACACCCGCCGCGAACCCAAAGATTTGGAGCCTGAAATCCACTTGACCCTTCTTGGCTGCGACAGCCACTGGACGACCACTGCAATTCAGTGAAGGAGAACGGGCATGGTTGCGCAAATTGAGAGCTTCCTTCTCAAAGTCCTCCGCACTAATGTACCTATGCCCAGCCGCCGTCGCGGGCACGACACATTATCTAGTATTAGTAGAATGTGGTCGTAAAATTCATTCATTCATTCATTCTCAAAGTCCAATCTGCTCCTGCCATCAAAAAGGAAGTGATGATGTGAGCATCCTTGGTGTTTACCTGGTGCAGTACTAATACGTGGTCCAATGCGGTAATGCTCTGCAGGTCAAGTGTTGTCTGTTAGTCTAGGCATCGATGAATGATTTTAACCCAACAAGTGGCATTCCGTATCCAATTTGCAACTGGATTGTTAGCGGCTGCAAAGTACGAATGCATTGACCCGACCACTAACCGCCATACCATTCTCATCATAACCCTTGTCGATATATAGGTAGCATTACGTTACTACTATACTAGAGGCATGTATTCACGCACCAATGCACATTGGAGAGGCCATACAGCAGTGCTGATTCATGACAGTCAGTGCTGTTGATAATCCTATCCCCGGCCGGACACAGACATCATCATCATCCCCACTGCACTGACACTTATTCAGCCAACCTAAGGGAAAGCTGTGACGGTGACTGTCGGACAGCTTCATAATCTTCACCTCAGCTCTCTCCACAACATCTGAGATGCTGTCATGTTCATGCATCAAAGCTCCTCTCAGTTGTTTTGTTAACGATCGCATGGCAATCCCTACAGGGCAACAAGCCAAACATCATCGCGAGAAGCTTGGCCTGCACTCCGCCCTCGAGATAGTGGATATCCGGGTTCACAACCAACTCCACAGCAAACAGTCATCGAGGATCGACGAGATGTGATTGGAAATATGGAAGCTACATGCTTGCTCTGATCAATTCACAGATGCATGCATTTATGCCTGTCCCTAACACTATTTTTGTTTGAATATGCTGATCCTCCTACAGTCTCGGCCCTTGGCATTCAAGCCCTCATGTCGTCTGAAAACTTGTTAGTGACCGTCGGGAATAGTTACGCTATAACTCCTATACCTTCACTATAACACTCGAAAAAATCTTCAACTTCTCATCTCCGCGAGGAATGCGTTCCAAGCTATCGGCTTGCTACCCGTCCCAATCAATCTTCTTCCGTCCTTCTAGAAGGAAAAAAACCACGGCCAGGCTTCCTTGATCCGTCCCTCTTAACGCCGTGGTCTAACCTGTTTAAACACCACCCCCTGAACTGCTAGCTTGGCGGGCTTAAGCGACAGACGCCCAGTACGCCACCGCAAAACCTACAACGCCCACCATCCCCGGACATTGAGAAAAAAAGAGGGATACTTGGAAACATGCCCCTGTTTCACCACATCTCGGTTACCTCTTCTTTGGCAATGCGGTATAACCAGAACGTCCGATGCGACTGCGTGTGCGCGCGTGAATGAATGGAAGAAAATCGACAAGAAAAAAAAGAAGAGGAAACAAAACATTGTTTGTTTGGTAACACAGGATCTGCCATGCAGTGCAGCAAGGCATGTCGAGTGACGAGCACAACAGAGAAGATCGAAGCCTGTCGGTCGGTCGTACATCGAACCTGTCAAACCAATAATCACCTCATCGACAGTTCCATTGTTTCAGCGAGAATAAACACCATTTGCAGGTTCTAGAGATTTCTACATGTCATCGATTTTTTTCTCCGCGGCCGAGCGCATATGTTGATGAGCGCTTTCTTTTCTTCCCCTTCAAAAAAAAGCGATGATCCCATCGTCATCGTCATCATCATCGTCATTGTGCAATACAACAGCGGCGATTGTGGTAGGTTTCCTCAAGGTTTTCAAAAACAGATCGTGCTCCTCTGACCTTCAACAGCACAGGTCTCGAAGAAATGCTGGAAGGGTAAGGTAAGACTTTTTGGTGTTTTTGAGAATGAAATCCATCAGTCCACTTACACAAAGCTACCTACAAAGGTAACCCTTTCGGGGCCGAGGCCGTGAGACATGGCTTCGCTGGCTTGCCGGGGAGAAGGCCCCCGGTAGCCCCGGTGTTCTCGAACTCTTCGAAAAAAAAAATTTGCCCCGATCATCTCCGAACCTTGGGAAGAATTTTCAACTCTCAAACAAACACACAACTTTTGTTCTTTCCGACGGTACTTTGAAGGATCGTGATCTTGACGATGAGTCACCGGTTGACACGACACTCCAGTCGGCGACCTTCCGTTACAGCCATGGCGCACTGATTGCTATATCGTCGAAATCTTATAGCTGATCAAATTTCCGGAGGCTCTCAAAGTCAAGGTTTGGAAACCGGACGTCTCCGGACCTTGACGAAAATCACGAAAAACTCTACAAACCCTTTTCACTTCCTTTGCTAAGTGCGTCAATACCAACTATTCCAGTTTTACTGTACCAAGGGAAATGTACAACCAAATCTCCGGGCCCTCACGAATTCCAACTTTTGCACCCGAACATCTCCGTAGGGTAGGATGACGGGATTCACAACACAAACAAGCCTTTACACTCCCATCACTCGAGTGTTTCGAAACACATCCGTCCAGTTTTAATGAGGCGCTTCTCGTATACTCAGCCAAATAACAAGTTCCCATGGTTATAATACTATGGAAATCATACATAAAAGCACAACCAAATATCCGGGCCCTCACGACTTCCAACTTTTACACCCGACTGTCTCCGAACGTTGACTTGACAAAATCACAACGCAAAACAGGACCTAGGTATCCCAAACTGGATGATAGCTTGACGACTTACACGCCCAATCCGGCAATCCGCGCGCCAACTCGTCCCATGGATGGTTTTTAGCAGATTGTTTGATGGCGTCCAGTCCAATATACCGTCCAAGTTTTCAGGACCTTTACCACATCCGCGCAAGAAAACACACAATTAATTGCTGCGTGTTTCAAGACCAAGCTGTTTATCACGGTTCAGCTCACCTCAGTAGTATCTCATTATTGGTAGAGTCTTCGGCTACCTATCCCATACCAGTGATCTTATTATCAAATCTGCGAATGTTGTCCAACTCAATTCTTTCACCCGAGTGTCTCCGGCCATGAAGGAACCCACAAATCAAACAAAACAGCTTTACTCAATTCACACCAGAAACGTTGGCGCCGGTCATGACCCTCGGAACTCATCGGTTCACTCAACGCTCTACCATGGAAAAAGGCTTGCCATAAGAGTTTCGCATATAGTATACCGTTCGCCGTGTATATCTCCGGACCATTTTTTAAAAACTCGATTCAACATTTCGTCCAAGCATCTCCGGGCTTTCCACGCTTCGACGCGTTCGAGACGCGCTTCAAAGGCCTTCACGAGCCCAAAGAGGCCCATTGCTCTCCTACTAATCCTTGCGTTGATCTCGACCACAACCTCACATGACTCACAGTCACATTCAGTCAGTCAGTGCAACTTGATGATCTACGGGTGGAATCGAACTTCCTATCTATAACGCATAGACTTATATATCAAGGGTATCTCTGAACGTAATTTCCCAGAAGCCAAGCAAAGCGCCGGCTAATACCTGCACTAGCACAAACACTTTTCCTTCTCTCTCTCCCTCCTTCGGAACTTTGCGCACCTGTATTCACAAGACCACCTTGATCCGTTTCGACCCGATAATGCCACCGTTCGACAACAACCCAATCCCGCCAGACTAGTACTGAAACCTCCACCTAGGATCCTCATCCCCGTCCCAATCCACCAAATGCCCAACCTCCTCCACCTCCGGCGCAATCCCATCCCGCCTCTTATTCTCCCTGCTCAAGATGAAATACAGCAGGCTCGAAACAATTACGTTCCCCGCCAGATACCCCAACGCAAAGCTGTGACCGACGATATACCTCGGCCCATCCCCGCTCCTGTACAACTGCGTGCCCAGCACAGCGCCCAAGTTGCCGATACTGATCTGCATCGCGTTCGCCACCGCCCTCTTGGTCTGTCCCGATACGTTAATGGCTGGCCAGGACAGGGCCAGGGCCGTGGCGGGGTAGATACCTCCCGCAGCGAAGAAGGTGCCGGCGTACGAGAGACCGGGGCGGGCGATGGGGTCTTTGTTGGCGAGCAGCATGCTGTAGCCGATTATGGCGAAGATGGCGGAGCCGATGATGAAGATGGCGCGCTTGTGGAGGCGCTCGGAAACGGTGGCGACGGTGAGGGTGGTGAGGAAGGCGAAGGCGTAGGGCGGGATGGTGAGGAGTTGGGCGGTTGCGGCGCGGTAGCCTAGGGCGCTGATAATGGAGGGCTGTAACGGCGGTGTTAGTTTGTGAGATGGGTAAGTGTTGTCCTCTTTCGATCATGTTGGCTTACCAAAAACAGGGAGAAGGTGTAGAGAGGTAAGCTCATGGTGTGGAAACTCAGTCCGTAGAGCCAGCACTTTGGGTCCTTCAAGGCGCGCAGGACATTGTCCCAGGTGAAGCTCTCGTCGTGGGTGGCATCGCTATCTGAAGCCAGACGGGCATGGATGAACTTGCGCTCCTTGTCCGTGAGAAACTCGGCAGTGTCTGGGTAGTTGTATATAAACCAGTACGCTGCCACAGCTACAACGACTGTGGCGATACCCTCGAGGATGAAGATCCAGCGCCAACCGTGCTCCCAGACGGTGCCGCGCATGAAGCTGATGCCATAGGCTAGGATACCACCGAAGGATCCGGCAAGGGCGGCGGCTCCGAAGAAAAGTGAAATGCGGAACTGTCTCTCGCGGCGCTTGTACCACATGGAGAAGTAGTAGACTACGCCGGGGAAGAGACCACTCTCAGCGACACCGAGAAAGAAACGGGCGATGAAGAAGCCAGTGAGGTCCTGAACAATGCCCATCAGGGTGGCCACGATACCCCATAGGATGGTGAGGGTGGGTAACCAGAACCTGGGTGTTGTCCGTTTGAGGACGATGTTGCACGGAATCTATCGATGTGTAAGTGAGAAGACTTCATCATGAGGTGTGAAGGACACTGACCTCAAAGATGACATAACCGATGAAGTAGAGAGTCAGACCAGTCAGGTACTGGTTGCCCGTCATACCAAGGTCTGATGCGAGACCCTCGATTCTCGCGTTGCCCACATTGCTGCGATCCAAGAAGGATAGAAGATAGAGGATGCCGACGGCAGGCAACAAACGAATGTCGAGCTTTCGAAGCAGTGACTTTTCATTGACCTTGTTCATCTCGACGTCAGCTGTCTTAGAGGCTGTTACAGAACCTGGCTCAACCGATGGTCGCTTATCCGACTCGGAGTACTGTTGAGGCTTGTCCTCTGTTGCAGGTTCAGCCATGGTTGTTTAGGGGTCGAGGATCCCTGGGCGAAGGTAAGAGAAAAGAATCCTGTATATCACAAAAGGTGTGATGTTTGGAACACGGCGCTCGCCGGTAGTACAAGTTTTGGAGGTGATACAGACGGTTAGATAGCCCGAGACATCAAGTGTAAGCAAACAGTTTCTTCATCTTGTAAAACCCTGGTTCTTGAAGGGGGGTTCTTATATCAAGGCAACTACATACGATCTTGGCTATACTGAAGGCTTTTCTGGGTATGGCCGGTATTGGTATCTCACAATCGAGCACTCCCGGTAGTGTATCAGGAGGCTGGATTGATGGCTCTTCTGGCCAGTGAGAAAGACATGGACCATCATTATCAAATTCGTAGTGGTGATGGCGACATCGAATATGATCCTTTTATCATTGGACAGATCCCCGCGCTGTCAACACAACTTGGGGGTACCCTGTCTTGGCAGGATTGGGGGAGTGCGGAAAGCTTAACCTGATGAGGTCACTGACCGTTCAAAGCGGAGGAGGTCCGAGCCAAAGCTGCCGAATTCTGACTCGAAGCAATTCAATGGTGAAACGTTGATGGATCAGTTTAAAGCTCGGGACTTAAGATCAGTACCGGCGGTATTTCAAGACATGTGCCTGGTGGAGGTGGTTGGTATTGATGTCTCGTTGGACTTGGCGTGGGGGGCAGCTCTGGCAGTAGGTACGTAAGATCTAGACCCTTGAGAGCATAGCTGGAATGTCTTGGAGTAAAAATAATATGAAAACATTTGGTAACAAAGACTCAACGTCCACTTGTGTACTGATCTGGAAGGCACGCATTGTGTGGCTTCAATCACTCAAGATGGCGTGAGAAGGTCCTTGAGCAGCTTGCTGACAAGTCATGGCTTTGTCAAAGAGAAGAAGCAAAGATAGGTACTGATAGCCATGTGCGATTGATTGGCAGCTGAGGTAGAAGAAGCTTTGGGTCCAGTGTCCTGAATTCTTCAACTGTTGGAAGAGGAAAGATGATGCAAATGAGCGAGTGATGGTTTGGAGTCGTTTGTGGGTGGGAAGCTGTGGTTGGAATTCAAAAAGCCTTGACCAGCAGTTCCCCGCACGCTAAACCTTGATGGATGGAGCATCTGGTGTTCTCCAACTGTAATGGACCCCAAATTGCTTCCAATTTCCAGGCACCGCCAACTTTGTGTCCCAATTGCCAATTGCATCACCACTTTCACTTCCAACCCTAAACCTTTTCAACCTCCAACTTCTTTCCGTCGGACAATTGTTACGAACCTTACCGTCGTCCTAATAACATCCCATGGCCCATGACTACATCCCGCTACACAATCGCTCCAAACGAGACATGAGCTACTCGTCCAGTTTTGTCCACAAGTTCCTCAACCAGCTTCAACGCCATCAACAGCAAAACCCTACGGCTACACGATGGGATCTTCCCAGATACGACGCCACTGACGAGGCAGACCAACAAGTCATCATATCTCGAAGCACACCGCATGCATTCCAGCTAGGAACAGGAGCATCCATCTTTACAAGCACCCTGATTCCCGCCATCGTCTCGGCCAGATCCGAAGTGGTCTTTGTCACTTGCTTCTGGGCTCCTTCAAAGGCCCTCTCCGCCATCACCGATGCTCTTGTCAAACTTGCGAACCATCGCCGTCATCTGCCCAACCAGCAAGACATCGAACCTCTGACGGTCCGAATCTGCTTTTCGTCACGATCTATATTTCAAAAGTTACTGCACCCACAGTCTCACGATGGCTACACCTATTCACCAGCTGAATGGCAAAATAAGCTCGGTCTCCCAGACCCTGCCTTGTTGGGGGAGGCCGGTATCCGCCTTCAAGTGAAGAGTCTATTCTTCCTCCCCTTTAGTGTCATGCACCCAAAATTCGTCATCATCGACAGACAACGCGCCTTTATCCCAAGTTGCAACGTCAGCTGGGAGCCGTGGTTGGAAGGCTGTGTTGAGATCACGGGCGATGCTGTCACCAGTCTCATGTCCTTCTATGCCTTGACATGGGAGAAACATCTCGACTTCCGGAAACCCCTCCCTGCCAGCCATAGTAGCCGTACGTCTGAGCTACAGCATCAGTTTCTTGATCCCCAAGATCTTATCTTTGTCCCTAGCAGTGCTCATCACTTGGTTCGTCCTGCAGCCTCTTCGGAACCGCTTCCGACGCTTGTGTTGCCTTCCTCGCATCATCAGAACCCACAGTTCCGCTTCTTGCCGTGGCAACGAGCTGCCAAACCTCCAGCTACCCCCTTGAACGTTGCAATGCTGGAGCTCTTTGAGCAGGCTCGACGGTCCATCTACCTACAGACCCCGAATCTCACCTGCGAGCCCGTCATTGCTGCATTGCTAGACGCTCTAAAGCGAGGCGTCGATGTTACCATTGTGACAGGTCGGAACATGATGCTTCTGGAGCAGCTTGTCACGGCTGGCACCACCACATCTTGGTGCCTCCGATCCCTTGTACGCCGTTTTAAGAAGCTCCGCACACACGCTGCTGCTCGCGATCTAGAATCTGGAGACCCCGGTCTTGGCCACCTACGCATCTCTTACTTTCAGCCGCGTTCCGCAACCAAAGCAGGCAAGCGTGGAAGCCAAGCTCGTGCGGTCAACGATGCCCAGATGCAGGATCCTGAAGAGGAAGAGCCTGTCCACTCTCATCTCAAGCTGACCATTGTTGATCGCGAGTTCACGGTCCTAGGGTCCGGTAACATGGACCGTGCAAGCTGGTATACAAGCCAGGAACTGGGCGTCTTGTTCCACGATCCAGCTTTTGCGGGATCGGTACGGGAGGGAGTTGACCTTGTGTTGGATCAGCGGCTTGCTCTCGTCTTTGACTCTGGGAATAACTGAGAAACACCAGACAGAAACATACCCACACCTTGAATCTTTGAATCACAAAACTAGCGCTGTGAACGGCATACCGGAAAGAACCGATGCGGATGCATGAACCAAAGATCTCGGCAGCACTACGCCATGTCGCTTCAAAGTCAAAGGACCTCGAGCAATGTGACGATGGCGGAAAGGTGGTGCATCTTTTCCGCCTAGAGACCCGGCAGTCGCCAATCACAACAAACCCCTGTCGCCCCGTCCCCGCAACCAAGAGCCGGGCGCTTACCCATAACGGACATCAAGGAACGTGGGCTCCGAGAACGAGACCCGGTTTCCACCCCGAATCCAAACCAAAACCCGGTTCCACGATATTGCTCGAATGCGGTGTCCAGGTCGGCGGGTTTGGCGGACAGCTTGGCCTGTTTCTTGTAGACAGCGTTACACTTGTTCCTGAACAGTCTTGTCGCCCCCCCTCGGGCCCCGACTTCCTCTCCAGCGCCAAGCTGTCCACTTGCTCGCACTTATCGGTCTTGGGCTGGCATATTGAGGAGGACGTGTGGGTTATTGTGGTCATGGCGCTACATGGTCGAGCATCCCGTAGTTCCCGTCGAGGCTTCGGAGCTTCGTCCTGAGGCTCCTCCATGGCCTATCCGGGACGATCCTCCCTGTGACTCCGGGGTAGAACCACTCTCGGAATGGCGCCCGTTTCTGCCACCACCGCGGCGGGCCTAGTCCATGGAACAACCGAGCTCCCTAGCTGAACTGAATCGAACAAGGCTCGCTCAGTTGGTGGCATCATGTGCTCGTTTCTCAACGTCTCGGGAGCAAGTTCCCGTCTTCCCGACCGATGGATCTTGGACAGATGGAGGTCAGAGGTCTCGTCAAGAGAACTCAATCATAAAAGGGGACAACTTCGCCGTTGTTGATTCGAATATCCTCAGCACTGGCATTCTGGATCATTCAGTCAACGGAAACTCTAATCATCAACAGCTGTCACAATGGTTGCCAAGCTCCTTCTCGCTGCCGCCTTGACGGCCTCTGCCCTCGCCGCCCCCGTCCTCGAGGACCGCCAGAACTGCGGCTCTTCCTGGTATGATCATACATCACCCTCAAGACTTGATACACAGAGGCTAACAGACTATATAGGAGCCAATGCGGTGGTATTGGCTGGTCTGGCGCGACTTGCTGCTCCTCTGGCAACTACTGCTCTGAGATCAACCCCTACTACTTCCAGTGCTTGCCCGGTGCGGCCACCACCACCAAGGCTTCTTCCACCAGCCCTACCAGCACTAGCAAGGTCTCCAGCACCACCAGCAAGGTCACCACCAGCAGCGCTAACCAGCCCATCACCACCACCGCTCCCTCGGTGCCCACCACCACCATTGCTGGCGGTGCTTCCTCCACTGCTAGCTTCACTGGCAACCCCTTCGTCGGTGTTCAGGGCTGGGCCAACAGCTACTACTCCTCCGAGATCTACAACCATGCCATTCCTTCCATGACTGGCACCTGGGCCGCTAAGGCCTCGGCCGTTGCCAAGGTCCCTACCTTCCAGTGGCTCGACCGCAACATCACCGTTGACACTCTCATGAAGAGCACCCTCCAGGAGATCCGCGCTGCCAACAAGGCCGGTGCCAACCCTCCATATGCCGCTCACTTCGTCGTCTACGATCTCCCCGACCGTGACTGCGCTGCTGCCGCCTCCAACGGCGAGTTCTCCCTCGCCAACAACGGCATCAATAACTACAAGACCTACATCAACGCCATCCGCAAGCTCCTCGTCGAGTACTCTGACATCCGTACCATCCTCGTCGTCGAGCCCGACTCGCTTGCCAACCTTGTCACCAACACTAACGTTGCCAAGTGCGCCAACGCCGCCTCCGCCTACAAGGAGTGCACCAACTACGCCATCACCCAGCTCGACCTCCCCCACGTTGCTCAGTACCTCGACGCTGGCCACGGTGGCTGGCTCGGCTGGCCCGCCAACATCGGGCCCGCCGCCACCCTCTTCGCCGACGTCTACAAGAACGCCGGTAAGCCCAAGTCGGTCCGTGGTCTCGTCACCAACGTGTCCAACTACAACGGCTGGTCGCTCGCCTCGGCTCCCTCGTACACCACCCCCAACCCCAACTACGATGAGAAGCGCTTCGTCGAGGCCTTCTCCCCGTTGCTCAACGCCGCCGGCTTCCCCGCCCAGTTCATCGTCGACACGGGCCGCTCCGGCATGCAGCCCACGGGCCAGATCGAGCAGGGTGACTGGTGCAACGCCATCGGCACCGGCTTCGGCACCCGCCCCACCACCAACACCGGCTCCTCCATCACCGACGCCTTCGTCTGGGTCAAGCCCGGTGGCGAGTCCGACGGTACCTCCAACACCTCCGCTGCCCGCTATGACTTCCACTGCGGTCTCTCGGATGCTCTCAAGCCTGCCCCTGAGGCTGGCCAGTGGTTCCAGGCTTACTTTGAGCAGCTGCTCAAGAACGCTAACCCTGCTTTCTAAGCGTGTCGTCTTTGCTGATGGTATGCTTGTGAAGAAAGGTTGGTGGTTGAGGAGATGAAGAGGGAAGGGGATGAAAGAGTGGAAGTGAAAAGGGGTGATAATGAGAGCCAACTTTGGATTTCCTGCCTTCTTAACCAAGTTCTTTGTACATAGATTAAGAATCTTTTTTGGTGTTCGCCTGACAGGGTTGAACTGCACATATACTTTATCAGACTGTCAATACAATGTTTGGATATACCTACTTTGACCGCCTTGTTGGTGATTACGGTATGGATGGCGATTGTGTTAGTTGTGTCAGATACTTACCTAGCTTTGAGTATGAGTAAACCGTCTTGTCGATGAACGATGACCACGCCGAGGTAAAGAAGTACGTGCCTGACGGGGGCCGCCAAGGGCAATGCTACGTAGGTACCTCTATACTTTACTGTCTCTTTTTTGCCCCTCATCAGCAACTCAGTTAGCATGTCTTCAACCATCGAAGACGTTCGAGACATATGAAGCGTGGGATAGGTAAGTGAAAGCCCCAGAGAACTGACGAGAAGTCTTCACCCACATAACCAACCGATACATCACTATGATTGAAATACCCCTTTGTAGAACTGGAGCGAGGACTACGAGTTCCACTCGTCTGCAGTTAGTACTTAGAAGTAGGTACCATTCCTTTTCAGAGCGCGTATGTTTTTGGGTATCATTAAATATCCGGCATATATCATCACCCGCACGCTCCTGCAACATCCAACATCCACCGAACCCAACCTTATACCCTACTGACCCAATCATCCAACATCGTTTTCACCCCTTGTTTGTTCCATTTCGTCTCTCTTTTGTTTTTTTCCCCCTTAATTTTGCCTCCCCCCAAGCAGCTCATCCAGTTCTATCCCCGCATCCCACCATAAAACCCCATCCCACTAACCCTCCTGCCCGCCTTGCCAGACCCAGATTCCTTACTCCCAGAAGTAGCAGCCGCCCTCCCAGCCTTCACGGCCTCCCGTCCTGCAACTTCCACCACGCTCGCAACATTCTTGATCGCCCCGCCTAATCCGGCCGCCGTGCGCTTGAGGCCGTTGATGGATAACTTGGAGTTTAAGGAGGGGGTGGGTGGGGAGGGGAAGTTGTAGAGGGCTCCGCCGGGTCTTCCTGTTCCTGAGGTAGAGTTGGATGAGGAGAAGGAGGGGGTTGGTGAATAGTAGGTAGGTTGGGAGGGGGCGGCGGTGTATGTTATTGTTGGTTGGGGTTGGGGTTGGGGTTGTTGAGTTCCTGGGGTTGCAGGTGAGGGCGATGGAGGGTACGCGCCAATGTTGAGACTGGGGGTCGAAGGGAAAGTTGAGGAAGGAGAAGTGACTGTGGGCGAAGCCGGATGTTGGGTTGGTGGTGAAGGCCGGGGTGGATAGGCTGCTGGGAAATACGAAACTGAGTGCCTGTGTCCTCCTGGAGTTGGTGATTGCGGAGAGGTGGGTGAGAATGGTCCTTGCTGGCTTGGAGGAGTTGGCAAGTTGCTGGTGTTGAGGGTTGGTTTTGGTGGAGACTGGTAGCCGGAGAAATACTGAGATGTTGGGCGTGTCGATTGTGGAGGTGGTGGTGGTGACTGGGGAGGACTACCGTAGGTTTGCTGCTGATATGGCGGTGGTGGAGATGCTGGCCCGACCGGAGATGTTGGTGCTTGGCTGTATACAGGCGATGGCGCGGGACTATAGCTTGGCTGCTGGTATTGGTGATATTGAGGAGTGAACGGAGCCGGAGTTCCTGCAGATGAAGGCAGTGGTGGTGACTGCGGAGGTGAGAAGCTCTGGTAACTTGGTTGAGCCGGAGCAGACGTATAAGTCGGCTGTGATATAGGCGGAGGCGTGCACCCTTGTTGCTGGTAGGCCGATGGATATTGGACAGGATGGGGAGGAGGACTAGGGGTGCTCTGCGTCACTTCATGCTGGGGTGAGAACGGTTTCTTATATTGAGCTTGGGCATAAAGAGGCTGTGATCCATTTGCTGGCTGTTCTTCAATAGAGGTAGGCCAGGCGCCGGGGACAGAAGGTAATGCCTCGGACTCTATGGGGATCAGTCCTTCACTGTCGGGAGTTTCCAACTTCTTAGGCGGCTTCGGTAGGGGGGCATTTGAAGGAGGCTGTACGGCATTGCTCTCTCTCCGAGAAGGAGGTGGTGAGCCTTCAAGCTCGACAACAAAGCCATAGGATGTTCGTCGTCCAACCGTTGACGAGACCGAGCTACGGTGTTGCGAAGATGGCGGGGGATAAGGTTTGTAGTCCTGATCTGTTTGTGTTGACTGCAGTGTCTTCAACGGAGTCGATGGTTGACTTGAGACGGGCTTGCGTTGAAGTCTCAAAGGTGCCGGAGCCATGGAAGTATCGCCAAGGTCAAGCTTGGCGAGCGAAGAAGCCAGAGGTGACTGGCTTGCAACAGACGAACGTCGGCTATCATCCTCATAATTGTCACTTGGAGTCGGCTGCTGTGTAGGTGGTCGGTACGGTTGATAGGGACGGTAGGCTTTCGGCTCTGATTGTCGACGTTGTTGTTCGGATTGTTGTTGTTCTTGTGGTTGAGACTCCTGCCGATAAGCAGAGCCATATGGGGAAATGCCGTTATATGCGCTATATGACATGATGACTAACTGATGAGACCCGAAGTCCCAATCTCACACTTGTGCAGATTGTGCCGAGTCCGGAGTTTATAAAAACAGGTGCAAGATAACAAGAATGAGAGAAAGAGAAGAGAGAGAGAAGGCTGGGGCTGAAGACCACTTGGTGAAAAAAGCCCAACGGTCACAACCTGCAAGACAGTCTGATGTGGCTGAAGCACAGTGAAAGCAGCCAGGCACAACACGAGTCAAGCAGTCCACAAGACAGCCTGTTTGGCGAATGGGATAGCCCTGCCTCCGATTTAGTTGGGAATGTTGCTTCATGTACGAACAAGCATCAGCAAGCACCGGATATCGAGGGTTAACCGTCTTGGCGTTCCTTCAGCTAAACCTCAAGCAAGCGGGTGCCTTGCTCAGCCGCAGGCGAAGCTTTTGGTGAGAACCCCAATCCAGGAAATGAAAGGATCATCGATGGGCGACAAGCCCCGAATCCTTGCTGATCCCGGGGTTCAAGAAGCTGGGATTCCACCCAACAGCTGTTGTTTTGTCTCATTGCTGGTTCTCGTCTGGATGGTTCCCATGTAGATGTTTCATAGAAGAGAAACAGCTCAGTGAAACATGTTGAAAGAGTTGAAGTTCCAATCTGGGGCAGGGACGGACAACGGGTTATTGTTGCAAGAAACGCTATAATATAGCGCGTGCATCCCCCCACAATTCGACAGTTCGTCCCATCTTCTCCCCCACACTTGAACGCATGGAGATCGTGATTCCCATCAACTTCATCCGAACAACGCCCCACCAGCATCATGGCTAAAATGTCATTGGCTCCCGTTATGGGATGAGAATCAATAGTCTCCGGGACTATGCCATCTCTATCGCATCCTTCAATGTCTTATAGTCTCCCATCCCGATAGCCTGGATGCTTGAAAGCAGGACAACTAACTGTCCTCTCATTGCCACCCAAGCTTGGCCAAGACAACTCCTCTATCGCCAGACGTCCACCATGTCTTCAGCCGAACCCTTCAAGGTGCTGGTCTTCTCCCGCACTGTAGCCTACCGTCACGGCTCTATCCCCGCTGGTATAAAGGCTCTCGAAGACCTCGCGGCAACTTCCTCGACCACTGCCCACCCATTCCTCACGACGGCAACCGAAGACCCTATGATATTTACGCCCGAAAGTCTCTCACAGTTCCGAGTCATCGTTCTCTTGCAATGCTCCGGCGAGTTCCTCGATTCTTCCCAGCTCGACTCACTCAAGGGCTTCGTCCACTCCGGCGGCGGCGTTGTTGGCATCCACTGCGCCAGCTTCGGCATGCAGTCGAGTGCGTGGTATGGCCGCTTGATCGGTGGCGTCTTTACGGATCATCCAGAGCCGCAGATGGCCAAGATCCGGCCCGTTATCAACAACAGGGGCCATCCTACCCTTGCTGGAATTCTGAAGAGACCCGAAGGCGAGAACGAGGGAAAGAAGAAACTGTTCGGTGTGACGGCAGACAAGGAGTGGGTATGGGACTGGTTCGACGAATGGTACAACTTCAAGACCAACCCGTGGGATAATCAGCATCTCCAGGTTCTCTTGGAAGTAAACGAAGAGACCTATACTGGAGGAAAACACGGTGAGCGTCACCCCATTGCGTGGGCACAGGAGTTTGAGGGCGGCCGGTCGTTTTATAACTCTCTTGGCCACTTTGATGAAGCATTTCTGGAGGACCCTGGGTTCATGGCATTTATTCACAAGGCCATTTTGTGGACTGCAAAGACTCTTAGGTAAAGTGAGTAAGCTATACGTTTCCCGTAGGTTAGTTGTCAGAGATCAATATCAGACGAAGCTGAAGGTCTTGTTTGCTGCATTTCCCCTCTATGCCCCACTATCCTTTTAGCGGCTTCCAGGTACCTCAACCCAAATCCGTATTCATCATCGATCTTCCACACTCTCTGCCTCATACTCACTCGAGTCACTTATGGATCACCTTACCCCCGTTACTCGTCGAGACAAACCTTGTCCTTCTTCGGTCGAGGACTATTAAACTCAAGCCCAAGCCCATCGTCTATCTACTTTCCTTCTGCCAGTGACCATCACTTTAACAAAGCCCTATTCTACCAACCCAGCAAGTTTCGATATCATCATGCGTGGACTACTTCAAGCCGCCAAAGCCGCGAATATCTCGCGAGCTCCCAAGTACAACCTCCTCGTATGCTTTGACGCGTTCGAGACCCTCTATGCTCCCAAAGAGCCCGTTCACCATACTTACGGTCAGTTTGCTCGCGATAACGGCCTTCAACACGCTAGCGACGATGTTGTGGCCCGTTACCTTCACGACCGCATCACCACAGCTACCAAAGAGTACCCGAACTATGGCAAGCACATCAAGGGCATGACCCCCGAAGATTGGTGGACGAAGGTGAGTCAAATTTCCTGGTCATATATCTGATTCTGAACTGAAGCTGACATGAAATTTCACTACAGGTTATTAAGAATATCTTCGTCGACGTTGAGCCCAGTCTGAGCAACCCAGCTCACAAAGACCAGCTGGATGATCTTGGCCGTAGACTTTTCCACCACTTCTCCACTCGGGACGCTTACAAGACTGCCTCCAACATGCCCAAGCTTCTCCAGTCCATGAAGCATCACAAGGCCACCAACAAGCTCGAGAACCCCTCCATCAACCACGTCGTCCTCGGCGTCATCAGCAACTCCGACGACCGCGTAGGCGGTATACTTTCTTCTCTGGGCCTTGACGTCAGCCCCCTGCGTTTCCAACGAGAGTCCAAGCAGGACACACACTTCGAAAGCGCTCGCCCCGTCGACGGAAAGTCATACGACATCGACTTTACCGTCATGTCGTACGACGTTGAGGAGTCAAAGCCGCACAAGCTGATGTGGCAGGCCGGAGAGATTCTGGCTCGCAGGGCGGTTATTCATGAGCTTGGCATCGGCAAGTTTGGCGAGAGTGTTCCTTGGTTGAAGCTCTACGTTGGTGATGATATTAAGAAGGATGTGGAGTCGGCTTGGGGGTGTGGGTGGAATGCGGTGCTTTTGAAGGAGTTTATTACTGAGCATCCTGCTGATGAGCGTTTGGAGGATTTGGAGGATGTGATGGCGAAGCCGGTTACTGAGGTTTTGGGTGGTCGCAGCCCTCGTATGTTGACGGTCAATAAGCTGGAGATTTTGGTTGACTGGATTGTGAAGAGAGGTTTGGAGGTCCCCGCTGGTTTGGATGGCAGTACTAATGGCTCTGAGGAGAGGTTCAAGCTCGTTAAGAGCATGGAGTGAAGAGAGCGTGGAAAGGCGGGATATCGTTGCTTTTGTATTACTAGTTAGCCGGCATTGCGTTTAGGAGGTAATACCAGGGAGCATCTCAGCCTATTATCAGATACCCCTATTGTACGATTAATCAAGCATTTCTGCCTTCTGAAACGGCATTTCATTGAATCCAAAAAGCATCCAGAGGACTACAATATGCCTTTGACAGAATCAGAACACCTGAATTGTATTCAAACAGGGATATCATAATCCAAAACACACTTTCATTTTCAGCCCGAAGGCAGATTAAGAACGGTTCAACACCCGGAAAAGTATTCCTGGTGTTACGTCCTCACCACATCCGATCCATCTCCCCTTCTACGTAGCAACCCCAACCTCAAACCTCCAACCCCTTCAGAACCCCCGGACAAACCCCCTCCACCTTCCCCCTCAACTCCCTCCACACCCTCTCCTGCACCACCCTCCCCTCCTCCCCCGTCACGAACTCACCCGGCTCATCCATCATACAATCCGACAAATACCCCCCATGCGTTCCGCTCTCTTTTCCGCCCTGACTAGCAGCATGCATCAAAGTCCTACTCCCACACTCTGTCGACCTAGCCACCAGCCCATTCATCGCCATCCCAAACGCCACCGCGAACAGCCCATGTACGTGGCTCTCAAACTTGAAAAGCCCCGACTTGACGAATCCCGGCTGAACACAATTAATCGTCACCCCCGTTTTCTCCACAGGACACTCCGCCGCCATCGCCCGGACAAGGAAGATCTGTAAAAGTTTGGAAATGAAGTATTGATCTGTGTGGTCGTCGAACATCGCTTCCGGCCTATCGGGTGAACTGAGACTCTTGAAAAGCTGTCCCTCGGGTGCAGTCCGGGAAAGGCGGAAGTCCGTATAGGTATGGGCGAGGGATGTAACCACCGTCATCGTTGGTCCTGGACTGACTGTGTCGGGGAACAAGCGGGCAGTTTCTCTCAACTTGGGAAACAGTAGAAAGGCCAAGAGGAAGGTGGTGACGACATTGACGGTTATCGCCTCCTCATCTTCTTCCACAATCCGCCACGGTCCTTTCAAAGCACAAACACCCGCGTTAAGCAGCAAGATATCTACCCTCTCCAACTCCGCAGATACGCGAGAAGCGAATGATTGCACGCTGCTGTAAGAACATAGGTCGAGTTCCCAGACTGAGATAATTCCTTCGGAACAACCAGTTGAGTGCTCAATGGAGGCTTTGGCCTGGTTGCCCTTTTCGAGGTTCCGCACAGCGAGAATCATGCGGCTGCACCCGAGCCGAACAAAGTGACGGGCGGCTTCGAGACCGAGACCGGTGTTGGAGCCGGTTACTATGATGTTTTTTCCGGCGTAAGAGCCCGAAGGGTAGGGGAGGGTGGTGAGGAATTGGGATTTGAAGAAGTAGGTGTTGCCGCGGGGGTGGTAGAGGTTGTCTCGAGCTAGTTTGTGGGTTCTGGTGGTGGCCGGCTTGGGTTGGGATCGTTGGGGACGGGGAGGGAGGGTGTGAGGGTGGATTCCGGGGCCCATTTTTGATGTTTTGAGCTGTGGGTGAGGAGGAGGGGAGTTGGGAGGGGGTTGAGGAAGAGGAGATAAGATGAAGTAGGTTTTGATGGGGGAGTTAACGGAGAGTGTTCACGTCGTGGGGATGTGACGCGGGTAACCGAATGCTACTGCTACACTCGCCTTTATATATTTGGTCCTTTGGCCATCTTGCCGAGAGTGATTGCTACCGTTGTGATCATGGGTTAGCTCACCAAACTGCGGTTGCTCCTCCACTCAAATTCCGTGGTGGTTTGCTACTGTCGACCTTCGTTGATTGCCTGCTTGCATCACGCACAGTATATCACGCAAAAGGCTATAGGCCAAGAAGAAGGGGTACCTAGTTAGATAAAAGGTATGATGATGAGCGGAAGAGTTCGAGTTGTGTAGGTTTTGCTTCGACAAAAGTCGGGGATATGATGCAGACAATCGCAAGGACCGAAACATGAACATCATGACACTCCTCAATTGTTGCTTCAATCGGGAATATTGAGCCATACGAGTAGTGGAAAATAACCTCAAGAACCAGAAGAAATATGAACTTGTATGCAGTATTGTAACAGGTGATATGAAAAAGGTGAAAAACAAACAAAGAAAGATGCTGTGCTAGGAATATCGAAAAGGTCCGAGATGCAAAAAGCGCAAAAAAGTAGTTATCATGCGCCAGCCGCGAATCGAACGCGGGGCCCATCGATGGCAACGATGGATTTTACCACTAAACCACTGGCGCGATTCAATGGGTTGCTGAGGATTTGACGACGAAATAATACTTAAGTACCCACACAATTAACAGGGGTAGGGATCATTCATCTCGTGAGAATAGTTGACCAACAGAACAGGACTTGTCGTTCCTTCCTATCAACGTATTAGCTGAGAAAGGTTGAAGTCGACGAGCTACCTTAGGTACTTCTCCAACAGGCAAATGATATCCTGTCTCTAGGACAATCGAAGGCGTTGGACATTAGCAATTCCCCCCTTCGAATACCTGTGAGCCGAGTATAAGTGAAGCGGACGTTCCGTGCGCCTACCATCGTGTAAACATTACGCAATGGCCCCCCAACAACAATGAGGAGGTATGTCTTTCGTCAATTAATCCACTCATATCGTACTTGTCACCATCAACAGTAGTCAGACAGTTCTCAGCCTCAGAGGGCACCTCAAAATGTAGCTGTCCAGTCATTTACGTCTTAACTCCGTTATCATCCGAGCTGACATCCTAGAAGCGGGCCGTCATCACACCACCACGGGTCAGCACTCGACCCTATGAGGTTCTAGCTTAAATTGAGCTCATTGCCAAATCATAAGCTTATATCTAACCCAATACCAAACTCCCTACGTTGGACATCGTACAATACTTCAACACAGAGACAATATCTTCCATCTAATATACTCAATTCGAGAGACCAAGATGTCCGCCCTAACCGGCGCCCAGTTGGGCTTAATGACGGGGTCCTTCCTCTCAGGCAAGTCCACTTCTTTAATCCTCTCTCCGTTCCACCATCTCTCCCCTCGACTCCCATACTAACACTCCCACAAAAGGCTGCCTCCTCTCAATCCCCCTCCTCTCAATCCCCACCATCACCTCTCCCACCTCCTCCCCCACAGCCCCCATTCTTCTCTCCTCCTGGTCATCCCTTTACAAGCTCGGCGCAGCTTCCATGCCACCTCTCGCTGCTTTAACCGCCTCTCTTTATGGGTACACAGCTTACAAGCTTCGCTCCACCTCCCGAACGGAAAGCCAAAAGAAACGGTGGAAACTCTTCACAACAGCAGCCCTCCTAACCCTTTACATAATGCCCTTCACGCTCATCGTCATGCTCCCCACTAATAAGGCGTTGATGAGGCTTAATGAGATGCAAATTGAGCCGGGTCCGCTGGTTAGTAACTTGCAGGAAGTGAGAGATTTGGTGAGGAGGTGGAATTGGTTGCACATTGGGAGGAGCTTGGGGCCAGTGGTGGGGTGTGTGGTTGGGTGGTTTGGGGTTTTTGAGTATGATGGGGATGTGGAGGGGGAGGAGGAGAAAATTGAGAAGGTTGAGTGAGGGTGGGAAGGCGTGAAGGTGAGACGGGTTGTGCGAGTTAGTGAGGATATTTTAGGAGTGGGTTTATGATCTTAGTTTGGATGAGAGCTGCGAGACCTCTTTGGTTAGTTGGATGAAAATTGCGATGAAACCAAGCTCGCTTCAGTCCATCCGTATGGTCAAGACTGAATTGGAACAATGACGCTCGGTGAGAAATGGTAAATTGACAAATGAGTCATTTACAAAGAGCCAGAAAGATGTAGCCAACCCAGTAAGGGTAATGTGGTGTGGAGATTTAAGGTACTCCCAGGCGCCAGAACTTCAAGTATCGGTATCCCAAGCAAGTGTGATCAACTAATAAAACAAACGAAAAAGGAAAAGTGGTATATAACGGTTAACGTCCTGTTCCCAAGATTCAGAACAAGTTTCTCTCGTCCAAATCCCGCACCCAATCAACCAAACCAAGCTCATCAGCTCTTTACGCCGACCAAAAAGAAAAGCTCTAATCGTAACAGAAAGTTTATACTCGTCGCAACCCCAGCCACCGAAGCCATCATGCTTTTTAATAGAAACGGGTCTCCCTTGTAACGGTAGTTGCTCGCTGCGGGTTCTTTCGTAAATACCATGAGTTTCTACCTCATGGGAAGATCACCATTGATGGTAGCAACCCGAGGAAGAGGTTGGTCAACCACAAGCCGAATTTCATGCTCTGCACCGTTCATGGGGCCCGACTGGTTCATCTTCTTATTTCTCCAGTCCTCCGCGTGATCGGTTGCGGTACGGATGATCTCCATGATCTGAGAGAAAATATGCAATCCCTCTTTGCTAAAAGAGAGAGCCACCTTGGCAGCCTTACGCACAAGCGCATTCGGGTCTTGCGAGTTTGGTTGCTCGCTCGAAGTCTTCTTGCTAGCCTGACTCCAAACCATGGGCAGGCTGAGAAGATGGTGGCGGACAAGGTTACCGGCATTCTCGGGCAAAGCAGCGCCAGTGTAGTTGGAGACAACCGACGAAACATCCTTGATGTTGGAGTAAATGTTTTGCCGGAGTTCAGTCATACGCTCCACCAGCTTCGTGCGATCCTCTTCCGGCGCAGACCCGTCGGTCATGACATGGTCTTCACCATCTCTTCTGGTTGTCGTTCTGTCATACTGATCAAGTACGGAGCTCAACTCATTGGTGCCCTGCTGGAGGGTGTTGGTCACATCCCTCAACGTCTCAAGCACATACTTGAGCGAGCGTAAACTTTCCTCCTTCATGGTCTCCTTGAGGCTGGATGTGGTGACCTGGACCCGTCCGCTTCCCATCTGCGAATGGAGAGCTGACTTGGGATCAAGTGACTGACCGTTTTGTTCAACCGTCTCGTCGTAAGCTGGCGATCGCTGGTCGTCATAGGCGGGTAACGTCTCAATGGTGCTAATCGAAGTCCGGCGGGATCCATCGGTAGTCGAAGCCTCCGAAAACCGTGCTTCGCTCCCGGTCCCGTTCATAGGCCTAGAAGCCATATGCCGCTTGTTCTGCCCGCTCTCACGCGTATCGCTGGAACTCTTAGTCCGCTTTCCAAGAATCCATCTGACGCCGGACTCGATTCCGGTTCGGCGACCGACATTGTTCACCGTGTCTGCGACAGGTATTAGCGAGCCCTCGACGTATTCGAGGCCTGATCTGATACGGGGCGAAAAGTTCTTGGTCTTTGTGTAGAGGTGAGAAGATCGCTGCACCGTGCTTTCGATGATCGGATGGGCTGTGGTTATAAGCGACAGTAGAGGCTCGGGTTCTTGGTTCCGGTCTCTCGTCCCACCACGCAGTGGTGTGTTACGGTTGGGAGGGGATGAAACTGAATCTGGGGACCCATTTGTTAGCACTTTATAAAATGCCACTGTGTGTTCGCCAGCACCTACCAGTTTTCAATTCGTTCAGGGCGGAGATAGCCATCATGACCTGCGGATCATCCAGGCTGACACTGGTCGATCTTCGGTCATGACGCTGCTGGGGAGATGCGCCACGTCCATCATTATCATTGTCGGAATAGTAGGCCGATAATGGGTTGGAATTCGGCCAGGTGAGCTTCGGAGGAGGTTGTGGTGTTGGCGTTGGCTGCAGAGTTGGGAGCGAGCCCCCAACATTCAGAGATGCTATCGACGGGAGGGAGTGATCCGAGCTGCTCCTTTCACGGTTCAGCTGAATAGGCGGAAGTTCAGTCGTAGGGCTGCCGTCGAAGAGCGATAATGGTGCTGGCTCCCGGGTCTGGAAACGGTTCGACGATGGCGAGCGTGATCGTGGTTGGTTGGGCTGTAGTCCTGAGGAGGGAGGATGCAGAACAAGCGGTGGCAACGAGGATAGCGAAGAGGCTGAGGCCTGCATTGTGGACGTGGAAGATGCACTCAATGCGGGTGAATGTGTCGAGTCCCAAATAGGGGGCAGCGTCGGGTATGCAGGCAAGGCGGCCAAGACAGGAGCCGAGGAGCTGTCGGTCTGCTCCTGCTTGGGGAGAGGTGCAGAATGCTGCTGGTCGTGTTGTTGGTGTTGTTGATGTGATTCATAATGCTGATGATGTTGCGGCGGCGGCTGCTGATAGTGCTGATGCTGGTGCTTCTGCGACGACGGCGGGTGCATGTGACGATGATGATGATGTTCCATGCTACCTGGCTCGGATGGTGCCGTCACCAGGACGATTTCCAACCTTGAGATTCGCTGTTGCCGGCTACCGAGTTTCCACTTTTTCGTATCCGCTCCCTCGTCGCTAACTTGATTTCGTATGGACAATGCGCTGGCTGAATATCAATTCAGCGATTCAGCGGAGTCGCTACTCAGTTTCGCAGGGTCGAAGTGGAATCGGTTCAAGGCAATCGCTGCTGTGCTTTTCTGACATGTGCTGCCCAACAAAGAGAGGTGCTGCCGCCGACCGGGCTTTATGTACGGATCTTGTCTGATGTGTCCAAGCGGCAGAGCGCTTCTAAATGGAGCTGTGCGGTAGATGTGGTTTGATTGAGATTGGATGGGCAAAAGGTTCGGATTCGGATTTTTGAGGTGGCAAAAGCGCGGCGGCGGATGGAGCTGCCGAGATGCAGAGAAAAAAGGCTGTGTGCTGAAGTGCAGTGTGTTGAGTAAGAGCAGACTTTGAGGCCGGAAAAGAATTGGTTGTTTGGTAAACTATCAATGCGTGAGACAAAGTCCCTATATCGCTATCGCTGTCGAAGAGAATGTCGCCTAAACGTTATGCTGAGAAACAAAGCGTAAGGAAGAAGCAGAGATCCCAGAAAACAAAAACAAGATCCAAATTCGGTGAGGGTTGTCGGTAAAATGGCGTGGTGCCTGGCAGTGTCGAGGTTTCAAGTGGTGGAGGAGGTGGTGGTGTCGAACAGTAAAAAGTGGTGGGAGAAAAAGTGACAAACTGAGGGAGGTCAAGCCAAATGGATGGAAACAGCCCAGAAACATGAGAAGAGGAGACTCTCACCACTAAAAAGGGCGGGCCACCTCACATGGCAGTCACGCTCGGTGACATTTTGTGCCCTGTACGTTCCCGTCGAGTGGAAGACGGTGGGATGACGAGGACGATTCCATTGTAGCGCCGTCTTGTGGCCTGAAGTCACTGACTGCACCTTCCGCGCTATCGAGGCTATGCGGAGATACCATACTGTGCGTATTCTCTTAACTCCCTCCCATGTGAGCGTCAAAGACATCAACAGTCAGTGAGAAACAGGGCGGCATCTGATAGCGCCAAAGTGCTCGCGCATAGACTTTGCACCGTGAGGAGTCAAACTGGAAAACGGAGGATGGAAGAAGCTCAGCAAAGCGGACAAGCACGTGGGAATCACAAGCCCTATTTCCTTCCAACTCCATAGTGCTATGGATCTTTTCACCCTTTCTCGTACATGAGCCCATCGAGGTGACTCCGTAATGATCGGTTGAGGTTATCCCAAAGTGCCCTTCAAAGCATGTCATGATGCTAGATTAACCCGAGCTAAACAGAACTGTGTGAGAAGGGCTTACCAAGTTCTCGGAACAGGTTAAATCGGGACCACCTCCCAAATCTGATAACCTAACGTGAAATCTGAAGGTGGATTCCATCTCAACAAACATTCGATGGTGTTGTTTCTTGGTCTTTCCTAGTGCCAAAGAGCAAACTTGTTCAGGCTAACCGCAAACCCCGTTATTCCGAAAAAGAATGTCACGTCAAGGTCAGGCGGCCGCAAAAGTGCAGCGATCTCCGAGGCTGGGAATTCATTTCTCGTGGTTGTCTGCTTTACACTGGACACACACACACTGGACGCCCAACGGAGCCGTGGTTTGCTTTCGTTGTTTCCGACACTCTGTTGGGCAATCCGTATTGGGGGTTGCTGCCGTGGCTTTCGGCTGTTTTCAGACCCAATCCCCGTCTTTCCAGCCTTGCTGGCCCAGTCCAAGTGTCCAACACTCCAACGAGACCCTCAATCACACACTTCGATGCTATCTCACGATCGGTATTAGACAATCAATGACTTGACAACCACCGCGAGCCCGTTGTAACCGTGCACGTTGAATCTACCCTGATGCTGTGCATTAGCTGCTGCTACGTATACCACACCTATATGTGGGCGACATGTACGCTGTATGTACCCCATACGCCGTGCTGCAACTCTGCTGCGCTGGGTTTGATGGGTTGCTGTTGAATGGGGATGGGCTGAGGTAAAAACGTAAAGACGCCATTCATCCGTGAGGTTTTGTTTCTGTTTCTCTTGCTATCGCGAACCCCTCGCCCTTCTTGGCCCCTTTCGAACGTTTTCTCCCCCTGCCTTGTTGCCCTGTTGCCCTGTTGCCCCTCCCTTGGCCGTCAATCCTACCACCCTACCAGGGATATTTGCTACCAACAATCAAATCGCCGCGGGGTCCAAGCAACACTCGCTGTGCGACGCTCTCTGTTTCTGGGAATCGAGTTGGAAACCAAACACGAAGAAACGGGGCTGGCGGAAAGGGAGTGGGAGAAAAAGCAGACAACACACAATATGGCATAAGAAGAAAGGAAGGAAGGAAGGATGCGACATGTGAGATGATGATGACGAGTTACGACGGTTCGATCGGCATCATCTCACCAACTGCAGCATCCCAGCAAAGTCAAGAAACATGGATATTGAACACATGATATCAGAAGACAGCTGCCAGCTGCAACGGTATCTACTGTCCGTGCTTGCCAATCGCCAACATAGGTGTTGATGATGGAAGGATTCAGAATCCATACAACTGAACAACCACTATCAGTTACTGCTAGCTCATAATAGCGTTTTACACCTCGCCCGTACTTTTGATCAAGTCCGTCTTATCCCAAGATAGCAACTTCAGGCGACTCGACTCGACTCGAGCAAAACCGAAGACGCCTATCATATCCATCACGTGTTACCTGTAGGTAAAATAAAACGGACAGAGGAGCCACCAAACGGAAAGAACGGACTGGATTTGCAAGCCCTCGCTTTGTTAAAAAGTCCCCAGGGATGGGCCTGTTGATCCACCATCACATGTAAAAGGCGAAAGACAGCCGTCGATTATTTCCTCTCGCGGCCTCTTTCCGTGCGCTTTCCCGTTTTCCCTGCATCACATCGAAGCTCCCACGGACGGCTCCCCAATCCCTCCTCATCCACGACTCACACTGATGAGATTGATGTGCACACCAAATAGCCAGACAGCCTTTCAGGGTTTTTAAGACACGGCCAGCATGGCTAGCGGCGGGCCTTTCATTGATAAATCCGTGCTCCGGAAAGATCGTGCCTGAAATTCGAATCAAGTTTCCCCATGTCCTCTACACCCGCTTGGATTTCCCATGTTGCGGAACTTTTCTCGCTCATCCCCGAAAGTGAGGGTCCAGGACGGAACGGAGATCAGCCGCACTGATCAAGCGACATGGAGGAACCTAGAGACGAAGCAAGAAAACAAAAGCAAACACAATCACGCAAACGCGAAAAAAAAATTAAAAAGGCTGATGGCTCGGCGAAGCTACCGAGATGGGATGTCTCGTCCACCAGAGACAGACAGATAACGGTCCAGCTGGTTGGCATGGCATGGCTGGCACGGCTTGTACGTGTACGGCTGGTCGAATGGCTCAACGATGAGGAACAAAAAGACGGCACCACCAACGCCATGGGAGCAACCAGACCACCACCTGATCATCACGTGCGGAATTCTTGGTAGCTGAACCGGTGAAACGCTCGAGATTGCGGCACACTGACATTGGCAGACACTGCGGCATTGACTTTCGGCAGTGTGTGTGTGTGGTGATATCGATCACTAATCATCGGAGAGTAGAAGTAGCCCGGGTGCAACGGGCCGACTGTGAACAGGTCCGCTTCCAAGTTTTCATTCATCCGTCTGTCTCGGGTCTCCCGTCTTCCGGCCAAGGAGCGAAGGAATGGCTGCTCCGAATCCGAGCCCGAACACGAGATGTCGGCCGGCCGGCCGGCGTAGACAGACCTCCGTCTCCGTAGAAGGGCACACGGGTCTCCGGCGACGTAGAACGATGACCAAAATGGAACATGGGCACTTTGCGTTACGATCAACGGCAATACAAATGCAAAAGTTGTGCAAAACACCACAAAGTTTTACGGTGATAAATGGGAATGTGTGGAACCTCTGACGCCGCCCGAGTAATTTTGGTCAATCTTTCCCGAAGAAAAGAAAAACATACATGGGCAGCTCTTATGGAGCCATTGGGAGAGAAATACCAGATTTCCTCCCCTTCTCTCCGCGTCGCGAAATCGCAGAATCACCATAGGACACGGTTCGGAACCCCGACAGAATGCCGGAGCCGAGTGTGCATTTGCGATGTTCGGCACTGTCTGAGGACGCGTTGGAGAGAAAAAAAAAGAGGAGAAAAAAGAGTGTAAAGATTTGGGCGACAAAGATTCCCTAAAATACTCCTGCGGAAGGGTGATTTTTGGGTGGATCTGGCACAGAAGCACGGACCTTTTTCCAGAAGACGGGCTGCCACAAGTTTCGGGTGGGGCAGATCCGACGTTCCAAAATCTTGCCCCACTTCCTTTCCTTCTACCGGAACAGATGTTGAGCCTTGCGCCGACGACGATGACAGGATGTGGCTCATCACCTGGAAAGCTTGACCGATTGACCGATTCAATGGAAGTGCTCACCTTTCGACCCTGCCAAGACCTACCAAGCCATTTCCATCAAAGGATCCAGCAGGGGCCAGCTGACAGCCAGCTGGAGCCAAAGAAGCTTGTTCAGGCTTGACAAAGGGGAACCTCGCTGACCACGAGTGCTTGGCGTTTCTGGTGCTTGGTGTGCTGTGGGTGAGCTCTGGGCTGGCATTGCTGGCCGCCAGGGTGTTCTTGGCCTGTGCTTTCGAGATCTGGATGCATCGCTTGTCACCACTTGTCGCGATCGATAGCGGCGGCCAACTGCACACCACTCGTCTACGATATTGTAATTCGCCCGCGCTACACCTAGGTTTTGACAAGACAACATCGACGACGGTGATACTCTGCATTTTCTGCCACCCAGCTTCTTGACGGGATAATCAACCAACCCACGGCGCATGATATAGTCCATCAACGAACCGATTCCGAACCCCCTTTGGCGCTCGCGCCTACTCGATACCCCCCCTAATCGTAGCTTGCGCCTTGTACATCCAATTGCCCCTCCACCATCGTTTCCGTCGACAACACCTTCTCCTCGACCACGACGCCAAACGACAACACCTCTCTACACTCGATTTCCCCAGACAACAACATACACGATTGGCCACCATGGCATCTGCCATTTTCTTTCTAGATCTTAAGGGCAAGGTGGGAAATGGCCATCCTGACGGTGTCGCGAAGTCCAAGAGCAAAGCACATCCAAGCTGACCGCCCAATGCGCCTTCACTTATAGACCCTCCTTGCCCGTAACTACCGCGGTGATATTCCCATGTCCGCCGTCGAGAAGTTCCCTATCCTATTAAGCGAAGCCGAAGAAGAGTCGTCCGCCGTACCACCATGCTTTTCCCACGAGGGTATCAATGTATGTTTACAGTCCGTCATCAGCCCGCGAGAACCTCTAGGGTCAAAATACTGAAGCTACTCTGCTACAACACAGTACCTCTACATCCGCCACAACAACCTCTACCTCCTCGCCCTCACAAAACGCAATACCAACGCCGCCGAGATTTTGTTGTTCCTGCACAAGATCGTCGAGGTCTTCACCGAATACTTCAAAGCCCTCGAAGAGGAATCGATCCGGGACAACTTCGTCATCATCTACGAGCTCCTGGACGAGATGATGGACTTCGGCTACCCGCAAACGACCGAGTCCAAGATCTTGCAAGAGTACATCACGCAGGAATCACACAAGCTGGAAATCCAAGCGCGCCCGCCCATCGCCGTCACCAACGCCGTGTCGTGGCGCTCCGAGGGCATCCGCTACCGCAAGAACGAAGTCTTCCTGGACGTGATCGAGTCGCTCAACCTCCTGGTGTCCGCCAACGGCAACGTCCTACGCTCTGAAATCCTCGGCGCCATCAAAATGAAGTGCTACCTCTCCGGCATGCCCGAGCTGCGCCTAGGGCTAAACGACAAAGTAATGTTCGAGACCACGGGGCGCACCACGCGCGGCAAAGCCATCGAGATGGAAGACGTCAAGTTCCACCAGTGCGTGCGCCTGTCGCGCTTCGAAAACGACCGCACCATCTCCTTCATCCCGCCCGACGGCGAGTTCGAGCTCATGTCCTACCGGCTCAACACGCAGGTGAAGCCGCTGATCTGGGTCGAGTGCGTGGTGGAATCCCATTCCGGGTCCCGAATCGAGTACATGCTCAAGGCGCGCGCGCAGTTCAAGCGCCGCTCGACGGCCAACAACGTGGAGATCATCGTGCCTGTCCCGGATGACGCCGACACGCCGCGGTTCCGGACGAACGTGGGCAGCGTACACTACGCGCCCGAGAAGAGCGCGATCGTGTGGAAGATCAAGCAATTTGGCGGCGGCAAGGAGTTCCTGATGCGCGCGGAGCTGGGCCTGCCCAGTGTACGGGGCGATGATGAGCATGGCGGTGGCATGACGGGTGGGTTTGGTGGTAGTATGGGTGGGGTGGGAGCTCCGGGCAAGGGAGCCAAGAGGCCGATTCAGGTCAAGTTCGAGATTCCATATTTCACCACGAGTGGGATTCAGGTGCGGTATTTGAAGATTACGGAGCCAAAGGTGAGCTCTTCCCTATTGCCCACTCGTTTTGTCTATGCGTACTAACTCTGTTTGAACAGTTACAATACCCCTCTCTGCCTTGGGTCAGGTACATCACACAGTCAGGAGATATCGCCGTCAGATTGCCCGACGCGGTATGAGCAAAGACGGAGGTTTGACATGAGACAAGCTTTTGAACAACAGACGAAAACAGAAACCTCCTACAGACCAGCGACAAGGCATAAGGGGTGGCCGGCCACACAAGAGTCTCGGATAGGCATGCTACTTCATGCGCGCCTGTACCGTCGCCGGTTACGCTTTGGTCGGTGAGAGGCTGAGCGGCGGCATCCCCGATTTTCGATCCGCTGTCACGGATGGGTGGTAAAAGAAGAGAAGAGCATTATGGCGTATGTATAGTAATGATGGCCCTGAAACGACATGGACTAGAGGGGGGAGAGCGGTTATTTATAGGTAGATGAGGCGTACGTGCCACACAAGGGCATGATGATGTCCATCCATGTCAACAATATTCGATATAATATCTCTGCAAAAGTATTCCTGTCTAGGACCAAAGCTGCGGCGGTCAAAAGCGTCAAGCTGGATTTGTATGAATTAAATCCGTGTGCCTGTGTCACCATCCACGAGTGGAAGGAAGATGGGCGGTCGGTCATAATGTCGTGTGCCTATAACTGCCTCTTCCTATACCCTGGCTAGCTAACAGAAACACAAGAAACAAGCTGTATTCCAGCCTCCACGTGCACAGGAGGCTGGTAATGGTTAATGAATAAACAAACGTCGAGAACCTATGGTATGCAACCAATCCCCAAGGTAAGGCTCCGTCCCGCAGAACCCGAAGAAGAAGCCCAAGCTAGTACCGAATCGAAAGGGCGCCTCCCCCCTTTGCCCCAGGATGTTGGTTGGATTAGCAGCCCAGGCCTTCCGTATCCAAGCCCAACTTCAGGCTAACATTACGGCAAAGGTGGGGAAAGAGTACAGGACAGCGGCTGATGACAGGAATCAGGGGTAAAGTAAACAAAAGACGGCCAATATCCACTCAGCCAGCTGAGAGGAATCCAGGTCGGTGCAACAGACGGGAGTAATACCAAAATGCAAACAGATCCAACTGGTGTCAGGAAAGAAGAAAGACAGAAAGAAAGAGAAGAACAACAACAGTGAAAGAAAAAAGGAAGATCATGGCATGCGTAAAGTGCCCCTTGAAAACGCCCAACTGAGACTCCCATCAGTGGGTATTGACTGGGTCGTCGTAAACCCACGCTTCTTCGGCTGCAAAGCGCAATATGTTTCTATTGTGTTCCCTGTGCTGTATGGTGGTATTCTCAGGGGGTGTTGTTGCCGGGTCGATATCGTAGCATACATGGACAAGGAAGCCTCTTGGTAAAGGGTCGGCCCCTTGAGTCTGATTGTGGCCCGGGGAGTATCTGAGTTAAATGTTAGTACGTGGACCGCTAACTTGTACATGGTACCATAGAGATTGAGGACTCCTTACAATACGCTGGTCTTGAACGAGGTCCTATCCATGTGTTTTGCCACCAGCATTGGTCCTCGAATACACGGTTCGGATTGCCGGGAGGACTGTGAAAAGCCATCAGGCCTATCACAATAGACACGTCCCCGGAGAGGCCCCGCGATGGGACTTGGGATCCCTTGGGGTTTTCGAACACCTTGGGCACTAAAGCTGGCATCCAAGAGGGTTTTTGGCCCGCAACATATGGATGTCCGTAATATCCTGCGTTTGCTCGCGAAACACCATCCATGTGGTCGAAGTGCAGTAGTCTCCAATGAATCAGTTCGTTGTCTCCGGACGGTGCCTGACAGTGACAGCCGCTTAAATGTGTGCAGCTGTTCGAGAGAGTGGGATCTCCCTCAGTGACAAGGAAAGGAAGGCATGGTGACTCGGAACAGGAGACTATACTGTGTACCGCGTAGTCCGTAGCTTGTCCCATATAATTATTGAATGCGTCATATCTGTAGATACCGCCGGGCTGGCCTGCTGCGGATCTCCACCAGTGATAACCCTCCGCAAGTGTGATGACGCCGTCAGTGTATCGAAAGACAGGCACTTGTGCAGCACTGTGATAGCCAGCTCCGGTAGCTGGCGGTAGAATGTTGTTCCACTGGTCTCTAGGAGTTGGGGAGTTGTCCTCGTAGGAAAATGTGAACTCGTTCACGGCGAAGAGGAATGACACGGGGTATGAAGGGGTCCGTGAATTGTGGGCTGCGGTGCTTCTTTTGGATCCTGATTTGCTGCTCTTGAATTCCCTGCCGCTGCTTCTGTGGTATCTTTCACCATGGCCGTCGCCATGCAAGCTGGCTGTGGACCTGGAATGATGGCCCTGGGAGAAGTCAGCAAGTTCCTCGAGATGATGTGATGGGTAAAAGTTATACTCACGTGTGAAGTCATAGTCTCTCGTAAGTGGGTGGAAAGATGGAACCTAGTCTGGTGAAATCCTCAAATTAGGACGTGTGGGTTTCAGGAGCGTGGGTCGTAAAGTTGAAGATCTCTGGGTTGTAAGATCTATCAGAAATGACAGAGATGAGCTCCATTTTAAATCTACTCTCAACCTCCCCCAACCTCGACGAGAAACCGATGGGATGGTACGCTAATGCACCGATGATGCCCAACAACGTCCATGGTCTGCAATTTCCATGAAGTTAGGCGGAACCGAGACATCCTCGAGCCATTATGATGCGGAGACAAGACCAAGTGGCTTGCCTTCCCACACCTCCAGACACGCGAGACCGGGTACCGAAATATCTCGAGGAAGCCGACGAAGCGCGATACCTAGTGCGGCTTCGGATGTGACCAGCGGCAGTTGTTGTCTCATAACACATCCCGGGCTTATTTCCAGTCCATACCTTTCATCACAGGAGGTCTCGTGGTCATTGAACTGCTTCATGGCTGCTCTCCAGGGCCACGAATGTGTTAACGCATGGTTGGCCAGAAAACCTCAAGACCGACAGCTGACACTACTGGTAATCGGCTATGGTAAGGGAAATCGTTGAGAGTTTCGCAAGCCATAGCTGGCCGATGAGTCGGAACAAGTCCACCAGTCTCACGCTGGCGCTTAATCGATTTGGTTGTAGTAATCCGATGTGCTGTTATTGGAGCATAATACGGAGTCGTCCACTCAAAACTCAGGGTAAGTTCGATGACCGTTCAATCTTTAACAGTATGTACGCATCTATATCAAAGTCAGCGCTTGTTGCTACATGTGGAAGATCATTACTCACATACCTTGGCTGGTTTGGGGTACCGACACATCAGACGAGCACCTGTGGGATGACTGACGGCTAGAAAGAGCACCACAACACCAATCAAAGTGCCACTGGCAATGGAAATATGCTTTGTAAAATGACGAAGAAGTGCCAATCAGAAAAATGATATATCGGAACAAGCAAGGAAACGCTGTGAAACATTGACGGAACCCAACGCCCATTTTTCAAGGATCTCCCAAGACAGACACCGGAAGCCCCGTGTCAAAGTCATATGGCTGAGGGAAAGATCATGATTCCCCAGTTTAGAAGTTCGTTCTTTGCAGAGTCACTTGCTTCTGGTGGCTTGTGGCAAGTGGGATAGGTAGGTCTCGTCTCTCATGCAAGACACCCAAACCCTGCAGGTGCAGATTCATAGGCGACTCCAGAAGCCCTTGACCGCCACAACCATTCAGCCGGTGAAGAGCTGTGGCCAGGAACTTTGCTTCTGGTGGTGCTCTCTTCCGAAACAGTCACAATCCCATCACGGACGCAGCCGACAATCCCGCATCATAAATGCGACATAGACAGGCCCTCAACGACGGTTATGAGAACGAGTTGCGAGACCAATGTCTGTGATCCTGATCCATCAACGACTTTGGAAGCTACCAAATACCATTGGCTTGCGGCAAGCTCGGCAGCTTTGCCTCTGAAAGAAAGTGTCTTTTGGGAAATCTGCGAATAATATCTGTTGTAGGACTGAGACGACAATTCTGCAGCGATGCTGCCAAGGTTTGGGCCTCCGCCCATGACTTCGTCACAACAAGAAAGAGCTGACTGGAGAATGGATACAGGGTTTTGCAAGAAACATGTGGAATGATGATATGAAGGAAGAACCTACCTTTATACCTATCCATTTGTTGACCAAGCAAGTATGGTTGTTGAATGTTCTGCCAGTGATCTTCTCGTCTATCATTATTTGTTGCACGGTTTGCGGGCGTCTGCAAGCAAGCCATCTTGCTTAACCCGTTACCGCCTCCATTCTCACTGTGGTCTTTGGTTTGAGAAGACCTCCCAGGAGCATACAGATGCCATCATTGTGTTATCATCGGGCGAGGGAGAAATCACTGCTCCCAGTGACACTCCCCTGAAGGAAGCCTCATACTGTAAAGAGGAAGCCGCATAAGGCACAAACAAGCCAATGGTAGAACAGGAGAACTACTCCACTAGAAGTGAGGAACGTGTGGCTTATTTGTGTCACTGTGTCAAAGACCCGATGCCCAACATCCAGATACCGCACTGGCAAGCCTGTGTCGGTACCGGACATGATTGAACAGCCGGAGGTGCAGATGACGCTGACTCTGCACTTGTGCACGCGCCGACACAGATCTCGGAAGCCGCACCGCATCAGACGAGAGGCCTGCCTGGCTTGGGAGAGGATGAAAATAGAGGGACGATGTTCGAGGGCGGTTGCGAGTCGTTGGGTGGGAAAGGGGTGTTTCCGAGTATATCTCTACCTATGAGAGGCTCTGAATTAGTATCTGTTGTGTAATGTTACGCAGATCCTTGACAGGACGTCAGACAGAGATGGATGTCTTGAACTTGTTGTTTACCAGACAGGCCTTTTCTTTGTGGGTCACTGTGATTTAGGCGCGAGCCGCGATGAGCGTCAGGGTCTCGACTCGGGCTGCTACTCTGGCTCATCCGCCGCGGCGTAGCCCTTCCGACTCCCGTGACTCGTGGCATGGTCCTGCTGCATGTGGCGTGTGCAGACTGGCTGTATACTTTGGCCGAGACTGTGACTATCGTGCTTAAGTCTTAGGGGTTAAGAACCGGAGCCCGTTTCCGGAAAAGAGTGTGTTGTCGTGGTAGACGGGTGGGCATCCGGCTATGATGGGATGAGTAACGAGCCCGGGAAGAGCAACGAACGTCAATCGGAGTAGACTTTGACGGTGATTGAGGCCGAGAGGAATTAATCAGTATGAAATGCCGCAGTTTCAAGGAGAGGGGTTCGCAAAGTCCATACGTGTGTAACGTGGAGGTTGTGATGTAGTGGTCATGATGACAGGAGAAGGAAACAAAAGAAAGGAAGAGAAGACACGGGAAAATTTCCGCTAAAACTTCAAGTACAAGCACCTGGCTCGTACCTGCACAAGTGCAGTAACTGAGTGAGACCGACATCGGCACCTTCCGGTTGTGCAGAAAATCGACAGTCGACATTTCTCGCCACAAAGGCAGGCACCTCTGCCCCTCAACACCAGCGGCGCAACACTCAATAAAAGTGAATGCCTCCGGAAAAACGCAAAAAGAATATGCGATTTCCCACGCCGGGGTTCGAACCCGGGTCTCTGGAGATTTCCAAAATTGAGGTATGAAAATCCAGTATGCTAAACCTCTGCACTACATGGGAGATTGGCTGAATGGTTATTGTTGGAAGGAGGTAACAAAGTTTGTCCCTATGAAGGGAGGGACATATGAACTTCGTCTCATCTCTAAGCGGGTGCTTGCGTCTGAGGATCAGGTTGTCGCGCCGCGTGCGCCTGCGAGTTCTGCTCGGTAACTTCCTGCCGCTTGATCATCAGACAGCCGGCCGGCAAAGGGGGTCGGGGACGAGATGCGGCAGGCTCCCGTTTGGATTGTGGAAGGAGCGAGCTGCGCAGAGGACATGGCGCCACTGTTGCCCTGGCGTGCCTTTTAAAGAGAAACTCCGAAATGAACTGAACACGAGACCGGCGTGAGCTTCTACGATCTACAGTAGTTCATGATCCAACTTGAGAATATGGAATGCGCCAAGTTCTCTTGCTCACATCCCATCACCGTCTTGTCTGTCCACGGGAGGGCAATCACTAGTAGTCAGGTCTAGAATCGATCTTGTCTGACTTACAATTAATGGGTCGCCGGTGGCGTTTCTAACCCAGACGAGTAGTCGGTGTCTTTCGCACTTCCCATTGCCTCCCCACACAATCACTTTTGTTGCAGTTGGTTGACCTGATGACTTGATCAACAAGTCTAGCTTCCGGCGAAGTCGAGGCCATGGTCACGTTTCTCCATAAACCAGACATCTGAACTGCTCGATGGGTACAGGTAAGTAGCCGCATCCCATGGTCTCTGATTCAACTCTGCTCATGCACTCAAAGTTCCCTCAGTGTCTATTTCCATCCATCTTCCTGATCTCTCCTCATTCACAGTTCATTGCCGTCGAGACAGGACCCAGTTTGTGCCGTAGTCTAATATTCACATAATGTGTGTGTTAGATTCCATTGAGGGACTTGGGCCAGAGGGCCTTTTCTCCCTCCATTGTCAGGCTTCCTAGGGAGTTCTTACTTACTTCATACCAACAACTAGACCGGACCTGGACAGAAGTGGTTAAGAGCGTTCTCCCACAGAAAAACAATTGAAGCAGCAAGCAACTTGACGATGGAATAAAGGGAAGTATGTGCATTTCATATTCGAACAAACAGACTATGTACAAGCAGAGTTACTTCATCTCCTTCATATTCCATGCTACCATCAACAGCCAAGTAACCGCCTTACCCTTACCCTTTGGCCTCAACACCCAACGCGACCCCCTTCCTTCACTTCAACCTCCCAGTATTCATCCTCGCCTCTACTGCCTCCTCCCCTTCCAACCTCTCCCAAATCCCAACCCCTTCACACAGCCCACAATCGTACCTACTAATTTCCTTCCTGAGACCAGCCCCCCTTGTGCCCCCTTAAAGACTAGGAACCGTCCAAGGACACCAACTCTCAATGTTAAAGTTCAGATTCTGATCCGTCCTGAAAACCCCCGTCGTAGTCCCACTATTTCCCAACAAATACTTGCTAACAAACGCATTCAACTCGGAACTCTGCGCACCGGGAAAACTGCAATGATTATGTCCTCCGACCTGCGAGTATCCAAACGCCTCCAACGCTCCTAACGCCTGATAATTCTTGCGCGCAGCACCCATACATCCGTACGTGCTAATCTTGCCAAGCCACTCAAAGTCTGGATTTTCCATAATATAAAGACCGCGGGGCGCCACGAGAGACGCCAAAAGGTGGTGGTCAAAGGGCAGCTGGTTGACGTTGTTGACGTAGGAGTTGAAGTTGGGCGAAAACCAGACGTTTTCGCCGACGATTTCCTTGGCGTCTTGCACGTTGTACCCGTTGGAGTTCTGCCAGTTGGCGAGACGCCAGCAGCCGGCGCCGCCTGCTCCCGACTCCTGGGGGAGGGTTAGGGCGATGCGAGGCTCGAAGGCGCCTGCTACAAAGGCGCCCTTGCCGTTGCGCGAGCAGCCCGTTACGCCGATGCGGGTTGGGTCGATGTTGGTTTGGGATTTGGTGAGCTCTAGAGCGTCGATGATGCGGGAGACGCCCCAAGCCCAGGCGGTGAGAGCGCCGGCGGAGTGCGAGGAGCCGTAGAGGTCGTAGAATTTGCCCTTGCCGCGCGAGGAGCCGTCTTGTTGGGCGGCGATATCGTCGTTGTTGAAGAGGATGGTGGCGACGCCTGAGGGCACGGGAATGCTGGCACCGTAGGAGCCGTAGTTGATAATGGCGGGAAGGGGCCAGAGCCTGAGGGCTTGTTGATGGTGACAGAGAAGGAGATGGACTTGCCGCCCGTCGAGGCGGTGATGCTCAAGGTGCTGCCGGAGTAGCTGGCGGAGACGGTGGGCTTGGCTGGGAGTGTACCGAGCTCGTACTTCTCGAAGAGAGCCTTGATCTCGGCTTGACGGCAAGTCCAGTCAGCGCGATTGATAACCTTCTGACCTCCCGCAAAAGTGAAGGGGTCAGGAAGGGTCGAGACCGACGCGCCCAAGCTGGTTGGGACGTTAGGGCAGACGCCACCGCCGCCGGCGGAAGGGACTGAGGTAGTTGGTGATGGGGCAGCGGCCGTCGAGGAGGAATAGGTGGGCGCCTTGGTGGTGCTGATCAGGGTAGTGGTAGGCTGAGCAGGAGCAGCTGTTGTAGGACCGGCGCCAGGAATGCATTGGTAGTACCAGTCATTCTGGTGGAAGCAGTACGATCCGGAGGCGCAAGTAGTAGGACCGCTCCAGCCGATGCCGCCGCATTGGCCCCAGAGGTTTTGTGTTTGGGCCGTGACGCCGGCGGCGCCGAGGGCGACGAGAAGAGCGGAGGCCTGAGCTGGAGACAGCATTGTCAAAGATGAAAGAAGAACTTGCAACAGCTACTGACTATCACACAGGAAGACCAAGCAACATCGAGGGCACGAAGGCCAGGCAATATATAGCGACTATATCTTTGAGAAGCCTCATCACTACTAACCCGGATACTGAAGTCGGACACACACCCGCTTGATTGTGCACCTTTGAGATGTTCTTCTCGGAATTTGGTTCAACGAATAGGGTGCTATGGCTGCCTTCTCCACACTAGTAGCTCCGGTATTGTTCACCACGTGCTACTCTCCAGCACATGGCATTCCTTGTTATGGACAGTGGGAGGGACGGATCAAGCCATGTGCTTCATGCATGTCGACCGAGCCTCAACCTCAGCATTGTCTCCGGATGCTTTTAGGCTAATATTGGGCTGGACATTTTCAGCTTCAGTTTGAGTATGTGACGAAAGATGTCGTCGTACTCGTGTGATCATGTTGTTGGACCTGGTAGTCGCCATGACCTTGTGCCTAGAAGGTATCAGTTTCCATCAAGTGGTATTTCGTATAAGCAGGTTAACTTTGTGCCGGCAAACATCTGCGTTGATAATGTATAGACTCCTCATTCTCCCCTTAAAAGACGAGAATCAAAATGGGTTCTTAAACAGGAAGTATTACGACAAAGCCTCGGAGTGTCCTTGAAGGCCGACCAGAGCGGATTGAGGAGCAAAGACTTTAGTCCAAGTCAAACTTTCATCGGGGTATGCCATGTTGTTCTTGGGTATAGCTAGAAGCTGATAACTCCATATTGGGTGAAGTCGATGTAACACTTTAGTTGAATTGGGGTTGTTGGGGTGAAATATCTGGGGTAGGTAGCATCGAGGTCGGCAGAAGACGTTCCGTAGTGTGGAAGTCAGGAACACACCAACCCCGGTTTCTGGAATCTGAAAAATCGTGCCAAGAGACGATGTCACTGAGCCATGGTCTCTTTTTTGTTCCTGAGATGTGACTACTGACTGCAAGCATGAACGGTTCAGGCCGGAGGTTGGGACATGGACAAAGGTTGCTGTGGCAAATGGCATGTTGAACTTCTCGGGCCAGCTCGCCCAGGTACATTCGGAGACGGAGCGGCGACAGCAGAAACGGTGGCGCGGCGGAGATTGTGGACTGAGGACTTTTAGCATGAAGCCTGAGCAGAGGCACGGCTGGATAGATGCTTAGAGACCATCAGCATCGACTTTGCCCGGTTGGGCGAGATAATCGAGTCCCGATAAAACAAAGCAACAGATAGAGCAGAGACGAAAAGCAATAATGCTGCCATTAGAACATTGAGGAAGAACATGGAGGTCCTGCGGGACTGCCTCCCACGGACCGAGATTCACTGGAGCTCTTTAGGACAGAACCACATGTCGGTCCCTTGACAGAACCCGGAGCTCGCAGTTTTTCCACCATACGGGACGAGGAACCAGAAGACGAAGAACGTGGATGAAGTGTTACCCTCGCGCAACCGAAAGGAAGGACTTCTTCTGGAAGCGTCCAAAGTGGAAAGAACTGATCAAGAGGGGGCAATGCAATGGGCAAAAGGAAAGCAACCTGGTCGTCATGTGTTCCTCCGCCATCGCCGGAAAGAAGCGAATGAATGTCAAAACAAGTATGGCTTCGGCTTGGCGCCTTTTGATTGCTACCAGAACACATGGAAGCGCCGGTACTTGAGCTTCCGGCTAAATACAAGAGTGTTACGGTTGCAAGGACGACAAGTGCATCAAGGCCTGGGGCTTTTTATGACAGTACTGGATGCAAAGGTGGTGGTAAAGCTCTTGTTCGCATTCGTATCTGATCGTGGTTTGTCCAATTCGGTGGTTACCAATAAGTGTCTGCCACTTGGGAGTACTTCATGTAGGTTCCATTCTACTGCCTCTTGGTCCCAACGTGCTGGTCAACAAAGTCGAGAACTGGTTGAATCGTGGTGTCCCAGCCAGGGACAGTAGGGCCCTGGAATCATTTTGTCAGTAATTGCCAGAATGTAAGCAGGTTTCGACTATCTTACCGTGTATTTGATGTCAAATACGTGCGGCTCGCCCTCCTCGTATCTCTCAATGACAGGAACGCCTCTCTCCCTGAGCGTAGCGGCCAAGTCATAACTCTGCTGAATGGGAACAGGCTCATCGGCGTTGCCATGCAGGAAGGCGGTTGGTGGGTAAGACCGCTGCTTGTCCTCCTGGAGAACCTTGAGGGGAGCCATAGACGTGATGAACTTGACCAGTTCCGCCTTATCAGGAAATCGCTCGCTGTGGAGGAAGGCCTTATGTACATCACCCGGAAACGACCTTACGGAACGCCACTGGTGGGCTTCCGCCTGCAACCGGAAACGCTTGTCGTACCTGATGTCAGCCGCCCAGCGCTTTCTGAGCTCTTCTTCAGGAAACAGTTCCTGTTCGTTCCAGCAGCAAGCATCTGTCAAGACGTTCTTTAGGTCCCTGTCGCCGATGAAGCGCTCTAGTTCCTGGTCGGTGAACTCTCCCTTCCATGGCTCAGGTGTGCGGTCGGGCATGTTGATGTAGTACCAGATATCAACAAGGCCGTAGGCGTCGACGATAACTCTTGGGGGAGGTGAAGTTAAGTGCAAGCCCATTAGGGTCACTAGGGTGCCACCGGCGGATTCACCAACAAGGGCATAACGATCAACGTCTACCTTGCCCTCGTCCAAGATGGACGGAAGGTTTTTGCGGCACCATTCGACGGACTCGATACAGTCGGCGAGTTGGTGATCGAATGCGGCTTGGGGGGCGAGACGGTAGTTGAGGGAAACAAGGTGGTATCCTCGTTTGCGGAAGCCGGGGTTCAGCCACGGCAGAGGAACAAAGTGGTGTCCACCGAGGAAACCGCCTCCATGGACCCAGAACAAAATCGGGGCCGGTTCTTGGACCACGTTCTCGGCCGGCCAAACACGGACTCCAAGCTCGACGCCGCTGGAGGACTTGAAAGTGTGATCGGTATAGCCAGCTGGGGCATAGAAGAAGCCCTTCAGGTCCTCATCGACCTTGTCAAAACTGAACTCGTCTTTCTTTCCGTCTGTCATCTTGAGTATCCAAGGTAAGTGTAGCAGGCGTATGATACCGGGCGGGTAGCGATGCGAAAGGCTTGAGAGATAGGCTTAGATGTCGATGTCGAACCGTGGGAGTGTTTATAGGTGTATCTTTGCCAGTCGTCCGGTGCGGGGTCGTCGTGATTGGAACTCGGGAGTTGAGGCTGACTCTCGGTCGTGGCCGTAGTTGTCGGCTCGCGGTCCGAGGTCACCGGCGTCGAACCAGCGTCTTGGCGAGGACATGGTTAAAGCCGGTCCGGAGTCGCACCCACCTGTGAGAGCAGCTCAGTGGTGGTGCGATTGAGAGGGGGATATATAGCTGGAGCCTGGTCGTTAAAGCGCCAACGGGCGGCGCAGTCCTCTCGTATTTCAGGGCATCGTGTACTATTGGTATTGTTGTGGTGTCGCGATATGGCTGTTGATCATGAGGTGTGATTTTGAACGCGTAAACTGGTTGTTGTTGTTGATGTTCATAATGGTTCGGTTGTAGGAAGTTGATGTTGGGAGACAAACGCAGGTGCAAAACTGCAATGCGGGGGATGTTATTAAAATTGTTAGGTTGTTGCTTCTTAGCTAACGTGACCTACGGGTATCTAGGCGAAAAGGTTGTTAGTGTAACAGCAGAAACCATCTCATTCACAGCCAAGACTCATCAACCACCGTTGGGCTGCGAGTTCAGAGCCCCTTGCATCTCCCCTGGTATTCGGGGTTGGTGTATCCTGCCCTGATAGGACTGCCGTAATCTTCTTCATTCTTCCTCCTTTCCCCTAACCTAATTCACCCGCCAAACGACTCGGAGCCATGACCTTCTTCCTAGACCGATACCGGTTTCACAACACCAAAGATGAGCAAATACCACTAGATTTCTGTCCACCAAGGTCTCTTCTTATGTCACAAGGACTGTCTACAAATTCTATCCAAGGATGAGCACCACATTGATCATCTGAACCACTCCTCCCAATGCCAATCGCGCGATGATTGACGACTGACACACGGAAATTCAGGGTTAGGGTCCCACTAACATCCTCGGTACTTGGCGCCACGGCATTCGACGGCATCACGACGCGGGGTTCGGCTGTCGTTCTCAGGCCAGCCAGGGGTTTGCTCACACGACCCATCCCTTTATAAAGAGTCACCAGGCACGAGTGCTTCAGCTTGTTCCACTATACACATTACAAGCTTCTTTCCGAAAACTCAGTCCCGATCAAAAAGATGGCCACATTTTCGACCGCCCGAGACCTCTTCGCCCCCATCGGCAAAGATGGCCACCGCATATCCTACCGCCTACTCGGCCCTTCACCCTCCTCATCCGGCAAGATTCCCCTTGTCATGCTTATGGGCTTCCGCGGCACCATGGACCAATGGGATCCGGCCCTGATTGATCCTCTGGCCGATCAACGCCCGGTCATCCTCACAGACATCCCCGGCGTTGGCCGCTCTGAGGGTGCCGTACCCCTTTCCATCACCGAGTGGGCGCAAAGTGTCATCGACTTGCTCATCGTGATGAACATTCCTCAAGTGGACGTTTTTGGCTACTCCATGGGTGGGTGCAATGCCCAGATGGTGGCGCTGATTGCGGAAGAGTATTCGGGGGGCAAAGTGAAGGTTAGGAGGTTGGTGTTGGCCGGAACTACGCCGAGTGACGGGCCGGGAGTCAAGAGGTTCAAGGGTCAGGAGACGGAGGCTTTCCAGAGGTTGGCGGCGGCGCAGACGGTGGAGCAGCAGAAAGAGGCGTTTATGAAGGGCTTCTTTGGACGGTGTTCGGAGAAGAGCTGGGCGGAGGGCGAAAAGAGTTGGAGGAGGATTGCTGGGGCGAGGAAGGAGATGATGGGTCATTTGGGGAAGGAAGGGTCAAAGAGCCAGGGCATTGCCTTTGCCAAGTTCATGGGAGAGGGTAGTCTGGAGAAGTTGAAGGGGTTGAAGATTCCAGTGCTGATTGCCAATGGTGAGTTCTCTGCCGGCGAGTGGGAGTATCGCACGTCACAATGCTAACGCCATATTTGAACAGGATCTCAAGACTTGCTCTTGCCAACGGAAAACAGCTACCTGATGTACAAGACACTACCGAATGCGTATTTGCACCTATACCCCGACGCTGGACACGGCTTTTTGTACCAGTACGCCGACCACTTTTCGTTCTTGATCAACCTGTTCCTAGACGGCGAGCAGTCAGGCGGTGCCCTCATTCCCAGCAAGCTATAGCAGAACGACCACGATACCTCTGCATTACACACTTTTCCACACCTGCTTCAAGTCTCTGGAGAGATATTGGTTGATGGAGGACCGCGAGGTTCTTGATTTGTGATCTGCAAAGAATGTCTATCTCCGTTTTGGATTTGTGTTGTAAATTTAAATGAAATGGAAGCGAGTGTACTGTGTGTCTCATATATCCTCCACCGCCACCGGGATAGACCATCCTCCAAGTCTATACCCCTCATAATCCCCTTCCTATCCCTTTCGACACCCCATCCGTCAACCGAATCCTCTTTCCACATCCTTCCCCATCTTCCTCACCTCCCTCACCCGTTCATCCCTCAAGCAACGCAAATCCCACCGCAGTCCGCACCACCATTCTCAGGATCACAATCATCCCTAGGATCATCCACACAAGTCAACCTCTTGGGGCACGAAATACCGGCAAATCCACCGCAGAACAGCGGCTCGATGCAGACGCCACCGCAGTCGGCGCCTCCGTTCTTCGGGTCGCAGTCATCGCGCGGGTCGTCAACGCAGATCTGGTTCTTGTCGGCGCAGGGGATACCGGCGAAGCCGCCGCAGAAGGCGCCGGCCTTGAAGCATGTGCCGCCGATGGAGATTTGACCGGGGAGGCACTTGTTGATTTCGGTGGAGGATGTGCGGGGGATGGCGGTGGCCGAGACGACGGCGAGGAGGGAGAGGAGAGTGGTCTTGAAGAGCATTTTGGTGTTGGCTTTGTGGGTGATGTCTGGAAACTGTGAGTAATTGAACCTTTTTCTCCTTGTTCACCGTTGAGCTTGGCTTACCTTGTTGGTTATTACTTGTCTGTTGTTCTTGAGATGGATGTATAGCCGTAAGAGATGGTTATGTTCAGGTGCTTGTGTTTGATATTGGTGAAATGAGATGATCGACCATGGGGAACCATCATCATTTATACTGGAATGAAGAAACCGTCTTCACCCTAAAACCGTTGGCATGGTCACCCATTTACACTCTTGGAGTAACAACTTTCAGTCATGTTGTGGAACGGAGTTAATCGGCTGATTTAGGCTATGCTTACTCTCCCGCCTTCTGTAGGGCAGTTGCTTCCACCTGGCTTGAAGGAGGATACGTAATTCATGTTCCTTTGCACTTCCTTTTCGGTCGAAGCCAAGACGGAGTTTCAGAACGAAACCACATTGAAGAAAAGTAAGCAAGTCCACCGTATTCCATGTAAGTCATTGCCCGAGGAGTTTGTGGCTTGCCCGTATAAGAATTGACCGTTGCTCGTCGCAGGTAATTGGTCATGACTAGCGTCAGGTGGCTGAGGCTGAGTTTTCTTTCGATCTGTTCCTGACATAGTTGGCGGCTGTCAGATGGGGATAAATAAGCTTAGGGCTGACGATACGTTACAGGCCGAGCTGCATTTAGGTAAATCCGGGGAAATGGCGGGTAGTTACCACAATGCATCTTGACATCTTGCGCAAGATCTGTATGACACTCGCTCACCGCTTGACAGGTCACCACAAGAGGGGGCAAGTACACCGAGCACGCAACCCACGACTACCCAGGTATAGGACGAGTCATATGCCATGTGCAAATCCAAAGGATTCCGAACATTCCATCATTGTTGAAGGTAACATCAACCACCTCTCTAAATGACAGCTTTGGCAGTACATCTGAGATCTTCTGTAACACTACGTCTCGCTGCTATTCATGTCGTTGTTTATGTCAGCAACCGGCTCAAGTCCCGCACTCATGCATGTTAAACATTCATGTGGTGGTAACAATTGTCATTTGATCTCTTGCCTTTCCCAATCGATTGTATCTCCGAGAAGGTACCTATCTTCTTATGCTGCCATTCCCATCTTCCTGCTGTCGTCGCTTTTCCCACCAGATGTCGTGGACGTCGGAAGAGTGTTCTCCCGTCTTATGTCCGCTCTCGGAGCAGAGCTTGAAACGGGACAAGAAGCTTTGCATGACTGTTGACGCTTTTGGAAGTATTGGGTAGCTTCTGTTTTGTCATGCCAAGGGCGGGGAGGGGACGGGTGATGAACATTCTATTGTCTTGTGTTACCTGGGTGCGGCACATCGTTTCCTTGGAGGTTGAGATTGCCTCCAATGCTGATATGTAAGGTAACGTCGTGTCAGCCATGAGCTGGAGACTTCATTGCCGTTTGGCTGGATGTCTAACGCGATTCGGTGTACATCCTGAGGGAAGTATGTAAGCAATGAAAGGACCGGAGCCGTCGAGCTTCACCCAGCTGTTGCGTACCTAACCATCTACCGCCCTGCCATAAAGCCATCTCACGCTGAGTTCAACCTCCATCTGTTCTTTCGGTCTCGATATATGACCGGAAGCACGAAGCGGTCAGGAACTTCTGAAGGGTTTTACGTGGACATGCAATTCCCAATGTGGTCCATGCCATTTTCTCTCACGCCTCTCCCTCCGTCTTGGCTTTTGGCCAGAACTGGAAAGCCCAGAGGAACGTGCATCGCATTTTCTGCGTCGACTACATGGGGAACGACAAGTGGATGGCGGAAAGCAAAAGTTGTAAGCATATCCGGAGACCATCTATTGCCTACTAGACGTCTGGGCACTGCCTGGCACCTAGCTTTTTACAACTGATCAAGTGCTTTTCGCGGAGTTTTCACTCCATGAATCCAAACAGGTAAGCGCATCGTCTCAGGGGCATCATGATGCTTTTTGCGCGCGGTCGTCAAAGCGAAGATTTGGTTATCCAGTTGGGTATAAAAGACTGCTGACTTCCCGACTTTGATCACATCATCTTATAATCAGCAACAGGCACTCAACGAGTGCACCGGGAATAGTTCTTAAAGGAGTAACAGACTGCTGAACAACAGCAATTATCACTATCCCCCAAGTAAGTCCCCGTTCAAGGCCCCGTTTATTCGTAATCCCAAGGTTACCAACTTACTCAACCTTCCATACAATCTCCAGCCCAACCCTCCAAACAAATATACCAAAAACCATTGAAAGCTAAACCCACGATGTTCTTCAAAACCACCACCCTCCTCTCCCTCCTGACCACCGCGGCCACAGCCACAGCTATCTCCCTCCCCCTCACCTCTCGCTCCTCCGAAAGCGCCATACCCACAAGCTGCCCGCCCAACCAAATCTTCCATCACGACGCCTGCATCCCCTCCATTCCCTGCGGCGGCCTCGCCAACATTCCGTGCCCTGCCCAAAGCCAAGTGTGCGTTGACGACCCGCGCGACGATTGCGGCCCTAAGAAGAACGGCGCCGACTGCGGAGGTATCTGCGTTGAGCCGACGAAACGGTGTGGAGGTATGCTGGGGCTGATGTGTCCTGAGGGGTGGGAGTGTGTGGATGATCCGAGGGATGAGTGCGTTCCTGGGAAGGATGAGGGGGAGCATGGGGAGGGGTGTATGGGGGTTTGTGTTTAGACTTTAGGGCTTTGGGCGATGAGGAGTGAAGGCCGATAAGAGATGGAGAAAGGGGTTGAGGGTGGTGGGAGGTCTTGGGTTGAAGATCTATATGTACCTAGGTGGAGGAAGGGAATGAAACATAACACCGGGATCATCGGAGTTGAGCGTTTCAGTGATCTACTGATGAGAGCATAAAGGAACACGGGTCACGGAGAAACATGAAGGGATGTGGAAGGGTTGGAAAGAAAATAGGAGTGAGGAAAACGAGCAAGGTACATCTACACCTGAGGAGAGGTCCCGGAGGATGACTTGAGTCTTTCGTTCGTAAAGTCAGGTTCAAGCGCCCATGACATCTAGGTATTCCATCATCTAGCTCTTCTATCATCTATCCCAGAATTATCCCAATTCTAATGCTGTATAATATGCCTTCTAGTATCCAATGCGCCTGCAAATTAGTGTTTTTCCCGCTCCAATTCTTCTACGACATACCCCCTTTATTACCCCCGAGCCCGTCGATCTCCACCCACAAAGACAGAAGACTCATCCCTAAACATCTCTTCCCCTTTTCACCAAACGAACACTCTAGAGGCCAGCAACAGCCTCCGTCCACGTCTTCTTGATCGCCCCCCAATACTGCTCCGGATGCTGCCTCATATGTCCCACATGCGGCGTCCCCTCAAATATGTCCATATCAACCACATACCCCCTTTGCCTCGCCTGCGCCGCATGCTTCTCGACATCCTCCCAATAAATGATATCGTCCTCCTTCGAGTACAGATACAGTCTCCTGGCACTTTTCTCACACAGCTTCTCATTGTTCACCGCCGCCACTGAATAAGCCGCCGCGCTCGACGCGCCAACCAACCACCCGAAGCCGTGCAGCGCCGCCAGGAAGATGCAAGCCAGCGCTTGCGTCACAATAAACGGCAAGGGGAACCACGCCCGGGCACCGATGGCCATCGCCCTCGACCACGGACCGGCGTTTTGCAGGAAGGAGGTGCTACCCGGTGTGGAATCGACGACGAGCATATTATGCGGGAAGACCTCGCCGCCGAAGCGCTTGCGGTAGGCGTTCAAAGTGGCGGCGAAGTACATCCCTCCGGTATTGGACATGACCTGCACCAAGACCCTGTTGTTTCCGGAAGCCTCGACGGACTTACGGTCGGCGGAGTCCAGGGAGCCGAAGCAAGCGGAGATGACGGGGGTCATGGCCTTGGAGCGGGCGTCGAGGGTTTGGTAGAGACAGCGCAGGAGGGGGCAGAGGATGACGACGAGCTTGGCGGCGGGAAAGAGGGCGCGGTAGCCGTCGACGTATTTGGCGAGATGCTTGGGGCGAGCATCGCCCCAGCCGTAGAGGAGGATGGTTGTTGGGTCTGAGGGGGACAAGGGAGTGGCGGAGGAGGGAGCTTCTTGGAGGTAGATTTGTTCTGTGAGGCGCTTGAAGCCGGGTCCCAGGGGGGATTGTTTTTCGGAGTGGGTGACGACTGCGTCGACGAGTGCTTGTTCAGACATTATGGCAGTTGTTTGTGTTGACTCCCGTCGTCTATGTGAAGCTGTGTTCGATTTGCAAGTGAGATGTCCAGTTCAAGGTGATGAACAAGAAGAGTGAAGTGCCCGATATAGGAGTAAGGAGAGCAGATGTCGTTATGAAATTGAAAGTCAATGAGTGAAAAACGGGTCCCTCATCACAACCCATCGCAGGGACCAGCATCGGAAACTTCCATATCTTCAACTTTTCTCGTCGTCGGTTCCCGGTCCAGCTTGGGGCACTGGAGAATTTGATGCCAAGATCAGCGATCCAGCCCGTGGGAGCGGAGCCGGAGTCTCCACGTCAAGCCGGGACATTGTCTGTTTTGGGAATCGTTCAGCCCTTTGCCGCGTTTCTGTCAGTGCTGTCATGGGCGTTCGTCTCTTCGTTTCTTGGTTTCATCACCGGTTGCAACGGCCGGTGGTCGGCGGTCAATGGTTCTACGGAGTTTCAACCGCCGCGATGACGACGTTACCACAGAAAGTTTGTTGAGTTTCCCAACAGCCAAGACTTGATAAGCTTTTATCTCGGATTTGGTCTATGTTGCAATCTGGGACATGTGATTCTGTTCTGGAACAGAGCGCTTGTCGTCGTGTTGTTGAAGTGGTCGTTAGTATCGAGTCGACGGGAACAAGAGCCGAGGCAAGTGGGGACCAAAAAGTGAGTGGACAGCAGAGCGCCAGAGCCAAAGGTGGATGGTGCTGTACTGAAATGCCCAGAGTTGGTGTTGATAGGCTCAAGATTTGGAGCCACTAGTAACAAACGGGCAATTGGTCTAGGGGTATGATTTTCGCTTCGCATTCCATAAATACGTTTGTGAAAGGTCGCCGGTTCGAATCCGGCATTGTCCATCTTTTTGCACCTTTGGCACAATCCATGCTAAGTTTGAGAATGTTCTTCGGACGGCAGGATGTGTTTCTTTTATTTGTTTGGATTCAAATCCATTTTGCACCGGATTTGATCGGTTTTTGCGTTTTTGTGTTCAGTTGATGTATGGTGTTGCGTCAACAAGTCAACCGAAAGTGGCAAGAGATGAAAGAAAGAACGGCGGCGGGAAGGGTAGCGGGGCAGAGACAGCTACGATGAAGGGAAGGTATGATAGGGAAGGTACGACTGGATGAGTTCCTGTGGTAGGCGGTGTACACGGTTCGAATCCGGTGTTGTCTAACATTTTTGCATCTCCTGGTACCTCCCTTCGCCATGGGTATCGTTATCCTTTTGGCTGTTTTTTGACATTCTGGTTTGGACCTTTCCAGACATGTCAGCTTGAAAAAAATTCGATGAATGGTGAACATCACGAAACTTTCAAGTCCCAATTGTATCAATCCCCCAACGTGCAATTGAGTTGGGGATCAATAATCGGGAAGCTGCCGACTTGGCAACCGAGGCTCAGACAGTCTCACCAAGGTGGGGATTTGGGGTAAACTGTTCCCCGGATTCATCAACAACATCACTGTATAAGTGCTACACACATGTATCTTTCCACAACTCTCGTGTCTTCGAGATCCCACACCGAGTAGTCTAGAAACTTTGTACCAAAAATGGCCTCAGACAAACCATCAACGGGAATTATCCCGTTCGCCAAGGCGACCGAGATCAAAAGGATCGATGCCAACACCTACCAAGCCAACCTGGTAGACTCATTCTGCATCGGCGCCGGTAAGTATCACTACACCTTCCGATCAAGAACATAACTAACACAATTCACAGTCCCCAACGGCGGTTACGTAGCATCATGCATCCTCCAAGCCGCCATCCTTCACGGCTCCTCTCGCTCCCGCTCCCGCTCCCCTTCTAACCCGCAACCGCACGTCCTGAACGCCCACTTCGAGTACCTCAACCGCACCGAAGTCGGTCCAGCAACCATCATCATCGAGGATGTCAAGCCTGGCCGCCAACTAACCACCCTGCACGCAACCTTGTACCAAGGCGGCGGCTCGGTCCAAATCAGCTCTTCCTCCCCCGAAGCAACCCGTGGCAAAAAACGGCTAACCGCCTACCTCGTCATGACCAACCTCTCTTCTCTTCAAGGAATCTCTCTCGACACCCAATTTTTGCTGGTTCCCCCGCCCCTGACCTTGACAAAACCCAATTTTGGCTTGCTCAAGGAAAATAAAGACCCGAGTTGGACCAACATCCAGCTTCCGCCCGGGTTCAGCTACATCCGCGCTTTACAGAATATCAAGTTTTATATCCCCCGCCAGGGCCAGGTTCGGAAGTCAATCATCGACCTGTGGATTTGTCTCGCTTCGGGAGAAAGGTTCACGGATGCGACGCTGGGGTATGTATCCGATTGCTGGCCGTATGTCGTTGAGGCCTACCGGCCGAGGGACGAAAAGGAAAATGAGGGGGCGGCGTTCAGACATGATGCTAAGCATTGGTATCCTACTGTTGTGATGAATGTTGAGCAGAAAAAGGCTGCACCGAAAGAAGGGTGGGAGTGGTTGAGGATGAGAGTGAGCAGCAAGGAGGTTAGAGGTGGGAGGTTTGATTTGGAGGTTTTGGTGATGGATGAAATGGGGGAGCTGGTGGTGGTTAGTAATCATGTGGGCTTGGTGTTGGGGAGTGAAAGGAATTTGGCGGGGAGGGCGAAGGGGGAGATGAAGGGGCAGAGTCGACTGTGATGCGGTGGAGTGGTGATATGTTGTTGGTGTTGAGGGTGTGTGCTCGAAGGAAGACACAGGTAATGAGGCTATCCAGGTGGGTAGACGTTTGATTTTCCAGAGGATGACGCCTCGATTCGGAGTCTGTGATGGCGCCGGCACCTCTCGGATTCTCAAGTCTGGAAGTCTGCCACGGAAAACTAAACGGCGTCTTTGGTTAGATAAACTCTGAATGTAACAAATCGGATATCATTCATGGAAGTAGCCTGCGCTGACATTAGCTGAACTGATCCATCAGAGACCGAAAACAAGAAAAACTCATCAGGAACGCATCTCATGTTGCCCAGCTACTCGAGACTCGAGTCGCAGCATCGCAATGCAATGCAATATCAAGCTGATATGTCTTTGATGTCTGCTCCGCTTGAAGTCAGCCAGCCAGGCCGCCTTGCCATGCACAAGACCATAGGTTGCTGGTTGGGTAACAACGTGTCCCATCTTGCTTCTTGTCCTCCAACGACAAGCCATTGTTTACATTTGTCAGATCTTCGAGTCCTCCAGATACTGCAAAAACTGAGGCCTCACAAGTCACAAACCCACTCTTGTGTGTGCCAGTCGTGGGGAGTGGAACGAGCTCCTACCATATAGCTCTCCAGTCCTGGTCTAAGTCAGCACAGCCTAGCTGCACAGATATCCTGCATATGTGGATGTGAATGTCGTGGACCCAGCAATGTCATGTCAGGGCAATGCCAATCGAGACCCCAGAGGCCAGTAAAGATAGGCCAAGAATGGCTTGTCCAAAGGCAGCAGCAAGGGGAATTGTCCTTTTCGATGCATGTTGTTGCACCTGCATATGGGCCTTGAATGCGGTCGGTCGGTCGTCGATGTTGCACAGCACATTGGCTGCTTTCTTTTCTGCAGGAAACCTTTCCAAGCTCCAAGCTAAAGCTAACAAAAGGCTTAAGACTCGTCTCTGCTCGCTAAAGCAATTCAGGGACGGCTGGGCGGAAGCAACGGAACTAAAGGAACTAAAAAGTGATGAATGGACCCCTTGCAGAAACACGAGGGCCTATAAAATGGTTAAAGAGCACTCACTGGACGATTGTATGTGAATCGTCAAGTGTGATTTGTGATGGCGACGGTCCATTCCTCGCATTATCCCACACGATAGGTCTTTCTGCTGGCCCTCTCGTGAGAGCTAGTAAAACCTGTGCTTGCGTAAGGCGGGCGCGAATGGTTGGAAATTATGGGATTTCGGCCACGTAAACAAATCTAGAACTTGTGGAAAACTCCAGGAGGGCCAGTCGTGATGGGAGAAAAGAAGGGGCGCTTGAAGGGCCTGAGGGGCTATGCAGGATCGCAAAGTCGAAGTGGTCGAGAAACTGCAGATCATCTAAGATGTCAGCCAACCTCATCGCCGTCGAGGCCGTCTCGTAAACTCGAGGCCATCATCAGTGGCCCTATTTGTTGCCATTTTGCATGCGATTAGGCCATTTGTCCACCAATGTTGCCGCCGTCCCCTCTTTCTTGTGTTGCCTGTCTTCTCGACATCACGAATCGCTTTCGAGGACATTGATGAAGACCCCTTTTTGCGCCCTTTTGTTCGTTCGTTTCTTCGTCGATGGATGGAGTGGTTCCACGTGCTCCATCTCGATATGCGTGTTGCTTTGCGCCCCCCCTTCTTTGGGGTCTTGATCTGGGCCACCGCGCCGCACGCTAATCGACCCCTCCACAAATCCACATCCCATCTTTGACGGGCGGGCTCGGCGGGCTGGCTTTGCTACTAGCCAATGGGGGCTATTGCCGGTTGAGGGTCGGCAGTCCAGATCCACAGAGAGACCAATGAGGCCTTGCCGCGCACAACGTTCTGTGACGACGATGCGATGGGTGCGATGGGTGTGAGGGGTGCGGTGCGCGCGCGGATGGTAAGGCACCACCGCTCTGCTGTTGGTCTTGGAATTCGAAACAACCGCCGCCGGCTGGGTCGGTTTGTGATCAGTTAGTGCCTAGCCATTACTAGCGACCTAGCGTAGTGGCCTACCAGCCACTTTCCAGCCTGACGAGTTGACAGGTTCGCTTTCTTTTAGTTGAGGCCCATTCAGAGAATTCGAGGCGCTCACACAAGGCGACGGTGTTTGTCATTGAACCGCTCCTGAGGCAGGCAGACTTACCATAGCAAATGACTCGTAGAAAAGCTCTCTTGAAAGCGGTCGACTCGACTGCGGCTTCTGCTGCAGCCTTTACCCAAAACAGCCCTAGCCTCCTGATGGGAACCCACCCGCCATGCTGGCACTGGACGATAACTTCAGGAGGACGCAGTCTCACGCCAGCGCTGCCGAGCAAATCGCTAGAACTAAGGAGCTGTGAGGCCGCATTCATCCACGTCAGTCTCAGCGTTGCTGACCTGTTAGAACCTTGCCATGTTGGGCATCTCGTTTAGGCGCCGCCCGTACCGTGGCGTGGCCGGCCACGGGGCTGGTCCCGCTGGCGTAGTGTACCTAGTGTACAATCTTTGATGGCGCGGGCGGTAGGTCGTTCAATTGGCCGGCCGGAATATTCTGTAGCCAACAGGTACTCCCGGCCCACCTTCTTCTCCGTTGAAACTCCACGATGGCCCGATTCGGGATGCACCTCAACGCCCGAGACAGGACAGAGAGGGGCTCGAGGGGCTATGGATGTGGGATGTGGATTGGGAGCTGTGGCTTTTTTGGGCATGAAGAGCTGACAGAGTAGCTGAGAGCTGAAGAGAGTAGGTAGTGCATAGGTGATGATAAATAGATCGACAGTCCCCGGGTTCTCTTGTGGGTGTTGTCGAAACTTATAAATCCCAAACACAATAAGCAACTTGACATACCTTATCCGACCTCCAAACAACAACTCCACCAAACCCAACTACCCTTTTACCACCTCCAAACACAACCATCCAACATGTCTGCCCAGCGTGAGAGCGTCGTAAGTAACCCCTGAGGATGCTGTTCTTTGGCTGTCTCTTGAGAACTCGGAAGCTGACATATGCCTTTTACAACAGCAATCCTTCTGGGTCAACGGCTCGACCGAGATCTCCAAGAGGGCTTCCGAGCTCGCCTCGGCCGCCAAGGTTACTGATCAGACCTTTGAGGCCAAGGCCAACGCTGGCGAGTTCGTCGTCCAGGGTGCGGACTGTGTCCAGTTCTGGACCGGCTCGGTCCGCAGCGGCGAGAACTACATCGGCGATACCAAGGGTGACGGTGTCGTCTTCCTCAAGGAGGGCATCCAGATGATTGTCAAGGGCGGCAAGGTCCTCGGACCTCTCCCTGCCGGTTCCCTGCACAGATGTAATACACCCCCTACTCGGTCCCGATCCCCAACACCACCGCACCATCGCGTTCATGTTACTGCTTCAAGTTCTTCTACACAACGCCCACCACATCTTCCCCGGTCGTCGTCGGCCAACAACCCCTCCTCAAGCTACCGGCTCGCTTCCGGTTCTGAGAGAAGAGTTAGCGGTAGCGGCGGTCATGGTCTTTCTCATGATCTTCCACCAGTTGTTGGCTCAGGCGTTCGCTACGTTTCGGGGACAAGCCACACTCCTCCTCTTGCTACAAACACGCATACTACCACACACACTATCACCACCAAGCCCATGTTACCTCGTTCGGCCTCCTACCATCCTCATGTCCCGCCTACTAACACCTTTCCCAACAGCGTGAGCGTGTCCCGCGAATGCCGTCAATGCCTAGAGCAGCAGCAGCAACGTCGTGAGAGCCATCCCCGGGAGAGCCATTCCCGCGATCGCGACAACAGCCACAGCCCTCACCACAACAACCACGGACATGCAACATATCAACCTGCCCCCGCCCATCATCACGCAACAGTATCATACCAAAAACGTCATGACGGCGACACCTTCAGCACGGCGCCGACTTATCTCTCCAGCGGGCCCGTGGAGCGCGACTGGTTGGATGACGACAGCATAGCGCCCGGAGACAGCATTAGCAATGTCGGGATTTACCCGAATGGGTATCCTTCGGGGCACGCGCTTCATGTTTCGAGTCGTCGTTGATCTTCTCTCACTGTTGCGATTGTCATTGTTTGCTTTGCTGCTGTTATAGAAAGCGCGGACGGCGTGGGAGCGATCTCGTTCATATTTCCATCTTTTTTCTGTCATCGTTTTGGGATACACCACTGCATTTCTGTTTTACACAACACTTGGGTTTACGAACAACATGGTCATCACTCTTCTCTCCGCTAGAGCAGCTACAGAGAGCGAGTGCGAGCCATACAATTTGGGAGGGTTTAGCATTTGGATTTTTACACAAGCAGATACACACACCTGATAGAGATGGCAATTCGATTCCCTCCAAACCATTATTTGATCTTTGAAATGAATTGTGAATTGTTAAATGGTTGGTTGCATTGGTGTGGTGCCGGTTGTTGTCTTCAGCTAACGATTTCTCGGAAACGACAAGCGAACGGCGGCGGTGAGGGGTTGACTTGAGCGGGGGAGCTTTCGTCAGAGGAGGGGTTGAGCTGAGCTGCTATCTTATCAGCTTATCGATTGCTCGCTATCGGTTATCGGAGCGTCACTCCCTGTGCTTTGATGTCATTCTACTGCTACCCTCTCATTGGTCAAACTCCAAACGACGGGTGCCCAGTTTGCCAAGTCCTGCCAAGATGTTGGCCGTCTTAACTCCGCGTGGTGTGGGTAGGATGTGATGTCACTGGTGAGCGCGTCCCCTGAAAGATTAAACGGTAAATTACAGGCACTTCCTTGTTGATGTTGTTCAGGGTTAAGGGTCGGGACCATCACTCTCTCTCTCTGACATCAAAACATGACGACCATTTGGTCTGGACCGTCATAACGAGGAGTTGACAGTCCTCCAAATCCAAGAAACAACCCATGAATGCTACCCTTTCCGCGGCCAGGCGAGTGCCGTGTTGCCGAGTCCCGTCTTGGCCTTCCATTTTTGTTTCATGCTTGTGAAAATGATTGACAACATCTCGATTCAAAGGTCCATTCCTACCAAGGGACTCTGCCCTTTTCTCATGTTTTTGGCTTCGGGAATGGCCGAATCACTTCAGTGTCGTGTGCCGAATTTCACGGACCTTACTCCGTAGCGTCACAAGCATGAATCACTCAGCCAGGAAATAACGAAGCGGCTCACTGCAGAGAATTGCAATGTCCAAATGGGCACTTACACGGGAACCGGCAAGCATGGGCATCAGTGACTACAGGGCATAGTCCCGTCCACCCACTCTCGCTTGCCTGTTACCATAGTGGTCGTTCAGTTGTGCCTTTGACCATTCACTCGACCACAACCATCACATCTTCCATTATGACGTCAAACCCACAAACACTCACATGCTGTGCGTGTTTCAAACGTGCAGGTTCTTTGGTAATAACCCAAATTTGGTCTTCCGTTTTTGTTGTTTATAAACCAACACCAGCTCACCATTACCTCAGACTTCTTCTTCTGATCCATCCAACCGACAGTTTGTACAACTCAACAGCTCCTGTACAACTCTGAACTGGAACACAAGGGCTGCCATCACAGGCCAGTCTTTTCAACCATCCACAATCCAGAGTGGTGATAATTTGCGAGTAAACAACCATCACAACAACTGAGGAAAACCACACAACAAAAGATGGGCTTCTTCAACCGTCAACCCCGCGCCGCGGATGGCACTGCACCTCCCGTCGGTGCTAACGGCACCCACGGGCATCATGCCACTCACAAGGAGAAGCGCGCTCGTCGCCATGGCTTCGAGCCCTACACCATGAGCACCAGGCCTACCTTTGGCCAATGGCTCAAGTACACCTGGCTCGACATTCTCACCATGGCTGCCCTCGGTGCCATCGGTCTCGGCGTAAGTCTTTACCTTTTCCTCACCTTGTTTTCAGTTATCCATCTCTAACATGGTCGTCAACAGGTCTACTACGCCCACCCGGCTCCCTCACGCTCCTTCGCCGTCACCTTCGCCGACGGCGAGATCGTCTACCCGCAATTCGCCTACCCCATGCGCAAGGAAATCATTCCCATCTGGCTCGCCGCCTTCCTCGCCGCCATGATCCCCATCTTCATCATCCTGTGCATGCAGATCCGCATCCGCTCCTTCTGGGACGTCAACAATGGCATCATCGGTCTTCTCTACTCCTTGATCACGGCAGCCGTCTTCCAGGTCTTCATCAAGTGGCTCATCGGCGGCCTGCGCCCTCACTTCCTGACGGTCTGCAAGCCCGACATCACGCGTGCTACCAACACCGGTATTGCCGAGGACGGATACTCCGCGCAAGGGTTCGGGCAGATTTACTACACAAAGGATATCTGCACCGGCGACCAAAACGAGATCGATGATTCTCTCGAGTCGATGCCGTCGGGTCACTCCACCGCTGCTTTCGCCGGCTTCATCTTCCTCGCTCTTTACCTCAACGCCAAGCTCAAGGTCTTCTCCAACTACCACCCTGCGCTCTGGAAGCTGGCTGCCGTCTACGCTCCCGTGCTCGGCGCCGTCTTGATCGCTGGCGCGCTGACCATCGACGAGTTCCATCACTGGTACGACGTCGTTGCTGGCGGCATCATTGGTACCGTCATGGCTTTCAGCGCTTACCGCATGGTTTACGCTTCGATCTGGGATTGGCGCTATAACCATATTCCTCTTAACAGGTCCAACCCGTTCCCCTTTGGCAGCCGTGATGATATGGAGCTCGGTGGCGCCACTTTCACTAGGCAGGTTGGCTGGGGCAACAGCGGTGCTGGATTCCCTTTTGATGACAGGCATGGGTATGCTGGTGGTGGGTATGGCGGCTATGGTGGTTATGGTGGTGGTGCTGGTTCGGCTATTAACCGCAAGCCTGTGGGTCATGGTCATGCTGGTAATGGTGTTGGTGGACCGTTCCATAACAATGGGGTCCCGGCTGAGCAGATGGTCTAAAGAGTTCCCTGGTGGACTTGAAAGCAGAATGTGTTTTGATGTTACGAGAAGAGGGAGAGGTCTGGTGTTTAAAACCGGAGGAAGGAAGAGAGGCGTTGGAAGTTTTACCCCTTTGCTCATCATGCCTGGTCATGCATGGGCAGGGTATAATCACGAAGTATACGACTAGTACCCTACGAACCTAATGTTTTCTTTTGAGGTCGTTCACATCATCGTTGGCTGGCGTTTGGCTAGGAATGGTTGATGAGCGGCGAGAAGTTCGCGAATACCCCCATACTTGTTTCAGCATACCTAATTATTACAACTGAACAATGAACAAAAATCTCTAAACATATTCAATGCCTTGTATCCAGTGCCTTAAATCTTCACTTCATCATTAGTTACACCTACCATAAACATATTCCCAAGTATTATGCTGTATTGGACTCGGTGATCCTGATATGTGTTAATTGGGTGAACTTGAGTCGTTGGAGGTACCTATGTGTGAGCTGTACCCGTATACATGATTCATGATTCCTTCCAGTCGTTATAGGGTACCTATTCCCTTCATCTTCCATGACAGTTCTCCTGAAGTTCCATATATCTCTTCCCCCTCACAACAGGACGGATCTGCTGGACTTGACACTGCCTCCATCTAACTTAATTCGGCGCCATCTATCATAGACCATGTTAGCATCATTCCTCCCTCTTCATCGCTCCTCATCATCGATCCCGTGATACGGTACTCCCGTGGTTAATAGACTCACCAACCAAGTATCAATCCTCAACCCCCCCGAGCCTCCTCCTCCTTCCACCAACCTCAAAATCCCCACAGCAACAACCGAATTCAACCACGTATACTTCTCATACCCCGTCTCGAACGTCAACCTCACATACGAGCTATTATCGGGTTGTGTGACGCCCGTTTCGAAAACCTGGATGTAAGCGCCGTCGACGGTCTTGAAGGTCTGGCGCACGTCAGCGACGAGGGTGTTGTCTTTGCGGAAGAGGGCCCAGTCGCCGCCTGCTGGGACGACGGTTCCTTTTGGGTTGTAAAGATTTAGTCGGTATCATATGTTTGTCTTTCTTGCTGGGACAAGAAGAAGGAGCATGGGAGAAGAAAGGGGGAAGAGGAGGGATAAGGGATGGGATGAGATATGGGGACGGTGAGATGTGGAAGTGGAAGTAGAGAAAAAGGTGGAAAGGAGGTAGAAGGAGAGGTAGAAGGAGAATCATAGAGATCGAGAGAGGACTGCGAAAGGGGAAAAGGTAGAGGCAAAGAAAGGCAATAAAAACAAAACAAACCCTTAAGCCTAGGGCCAGCAAATGTTCCGTTCAAAATAGGCACAACAAGTCGAAGTCCATTTGGCCCGTTACCGACATTGTAAGTTTCTCCACCGGTAATGTTGACGGTGTAGAGGAACTCCAGCTTGGGAGGCTTGGGGTATTTATCCTTGACTGGTGCAGGTGCCAGTGCCTCTGCAGCTCCGAAGACTCCTTGAGGTAGGAACAGAAGAGATGCCGAAAGGAGGGAGAGGAGGAATGATTTCATATTGATGTTGGCCCTGGATGAAGCTTTTGAGTGCCGTTGAGAAACAAGACGGGTTACTTATGTCGACTAAGTGCCTCGATGTCAGGAGGTTGATCAAGTGTCTTTATAGTCGCAAAAAAAGAACATCACAAACGACAGCTCGGTCTCGATCCCAATATGTCAGCTCGCGACAGTCCGAAGTAAACAACAGAGTAGTATCCATGATGCCGTCCTGTCCTTCTCCCCACACTTACGAAAGCAAATAAAGCTGGCATCATGCAGCCGCTCAGTGCCACGCCATACTATGAGTGGCTGACCACACATAGGATCTTCAATGGTGCGATGTACGAACAACAAAAAGTCTGGGTCGCTCATCAATATTATCCAGGGGTTTCCCGCAGCTGAAAGACCTCTCAGCACGGCAGTCTGCTTCGCAAATCGTACGCCGCATAAGCACATCCGCGAGACCGATACGGCAAACAGATGAATGACAATTTGGATCTCATCAACGATGAGCTGTCAACGATAGTTCTTACTCATCCACCACTTACTCGGCATCGCCAACTTGGCCCAAATACCTTCCCAACCTCCCTCCTCTTGATCCTAATAGTCGCCTCAAAAGGCGGAATCCTGTTCTGCCCAATCCACTTATTCTTCGGCCTCCTTCCCGGCGTAACCTTAATATCATAGTTGAACAATGCATACGCCAATATGAGCTTCAGCTCACTCGCCGCAAAGAACCGCCCGGGACACGCATTCCTCCCATGACCAAAGGCGAGATACTCGTTACTGGTCGTTGGGAAGGCCTTGTTCGCCCGCTCGACACATTCCACGCTATCGGCCCTCCTTTGATCCGCAAATCTGAACGGCTTGAACGTCTCCGCGTCTTGTTACACCTCGTCGTCGTGCATCACTGTAAACCCCGGGACGCACACCGTGGCTGCGTACGGAATCTTGACGCCCGAGGGAGTTGTGATTCCTTCTTTCGCCGTTACGTTGCGCGTTAGCCCTACGCTCATGGGCGAGTTCATCCGCTGTGACTCGCGCAGAACACTGTCAATTTTGACCATCTGGGCTAAGGCGCGCTTGTTCCACTCGCCGTTGTGCTCCGCGAGGACAGACTCAACTTCATCGCGGAGCTCATCGATGTACTCTTGCTTTGAGGCGACCAGATCGAGGAGTGCGTGGGTGATGGCGAAGGAAGTGGTGTGCAAGGCCGCAAAGTTAAGGATCATGATACGGACAGTAAGAGTGGTTGGTGACCAGAGGTAGGGATCGCCCATTTGTTTGGCTTGTCTGATTGTCCACTGGAGGAAGTCGTTCGGTTCGTCCGTGACCTTGTGAGCCTCCGGATCCTGCTGGCGCGCCTCATCGGCTGCAAGTCGTCACTGGATCTCGGGGCGCATCAACTTCTCCATCTTGCGCGCATAACGATGGATTGAGATGGTTGCGGAAAAGCCCACAAGCGGACGTATCGGTTCCCAAACGAATCTGAGAATCGTCGCTGTCAGAGGGACAGCTTGGGCGTATGCCATGGCGGTATCAAGGGATTCCAGATTCCGACAAAGCGGTTTTCCGACAAGCGCGCAGTTGGTAGCCGGACCGACGATGCGCTGAGCAGTTTCGTAAACACATACTTCCTTATACTCGGTGCCACTGCCCCAGTGTTTGTCAAAAGCCCACACTACCTCTTCCACCACGCTGGGAATAAGATTACCGATCTGTTTTGTAAGATTGTTCAAGATGAGAACGTGATGTATAGCGTTATTAGCAACGTCTGGCTTGGGAGTGGTGTAATCAAGTTCCAGGTTGTCGGCGGTGTGGGCGTGCATGCTGAGGACATTTTCAGGTTGGTCGACGACAAACTGTGTCTCTGACCGGGGCAGCAATACCACATTGGAGCCGACGAAGGGTAGTATGACTGTCTCGTTCTTGTGTTTCCGTTCCGTCTCTCGGAGGGCCTTTTCGTAGTCTCGTAGGGTTCGCCAACGGGCTTGGTAGAGGGAAAACCAGTCATCGTCCCTTGCGCTGATGATCGGGAGTTTCGGGAGGTTGGACGGCTTCAGGAACAGGTGGTGGACGATGAATCCGAGGATCAACACGACCGGCGCCAAGTAGGCAGGTTGGGTAAGGAGGTCGAGCAAAGCCAAAGTAGTGTCCGGATGTGGTGACTGCCCAGGCGGAACCTCAATGTTCTGCCGTGTCGTTGATTTAGCAGGAAACAACGGTGTAAGCAAAGGGTTAAGCAGGAACTGAAATACGTCTCGGCCTTGTCTATGGGTATTAGCAACTAGGTATCTCCTACGCTGTGGACATCCGCATATATATTGGCCGCTGAGCGGCCGATCAGGCCATGGCAGTCGAATCAATGGCCAACAGCCTCAATCTCCAGTTGGATCTAGTGGTTTGGCTTGACAAACGATGCAGAACATGGACAGCTCCAGGGCGAGCTCGGATTGATGCAGCCCCGCTGCTCACATCAGCAATGGGGGATCGCTAACCGACGTGTTGGTTGATGTGTTGGTGGTGTCGATTGCGGTTGGCTCCAAAGGAAATAATAGACCGCAAGCAGCAGCATATTATCAGGTCAAATGGAGCCCATCTCCGGTACGCCATAGGCGTCTTGTCTTGTAGTTGAGCTTCGTCGACTGCATCACGGACGACTGGATTGAGGGCAGCTTCGGTCCTAAACTTAGGTCGAGGATGTCGCGAATATCGACAGTCAGGAAAGGCACCCCCCGGGAGTGCTCGGTGAGCAAGGCTATGTCTCATGCGTCCGAATCGAGGGTTCGTTTCGTTGGTGTTGCGTGGCAGCGAGTCTTGACGGCGGCCAGATTGATCACATTGGACGGACGGATTGCAAGGTGAGCAAATGTCGCCGCATCAGCAGAGGCGGTTGACAGTTCCTTTCGAGTTGTAACCGGCAGTCTTCATTCAGGTCGTGGCCAACCCCTCAATCGGCGTTGCGCACACCTTCAGAAACCCCAAGACGCTTTTTCCTCCCCGCACCCGAATTTCCGACACTGCACGCACTGCACGATAAAGCAAAGCAATCATTCATGCCCAGTCGTGCCTGCCTTGCCTGCCTCCACGGCCCGCAACGGGTGCCGACCGACACCTGCATTTTCGGGGTTTTATTTGTTGCAAGCCCGTGCCGTGCCTGCATGTCTCGTGCTGTGTGTGCGCACTGCAGAATCAGGGCATTCAACGCATGGTAAAAAGTCTGTTTGACATCCACAACACCGGAAAACTCGTGATATCTATCGTGAGCAAAAATATCCAGTGTAGTAACTGGTCAAGATAGAAAAGGAATGTATAGTACAAAATAGAGACAAAAAGGAGCAAAAAGGGTAAAAAAAGCTTGCCCACAGCCAGAATCGAACTGACGACCTCATCATTACTAGTGATGCGCTCTACCACTGAGCCATGCGGGCTTCCAACGATAGTAAGCTGGGAATTATAAACTTATAATACCCAAAAAGTCAACGCGGGTAAGTAGCGGATTGGGTTTGGACTTACTGAACTTCGACTTTCGAGACATGCGCGACGAAGCGTTGATGGATTTGCTGATTTGAAATGTTTGTAAGGGCAGAAGTCCAGGAAAGGAATCTGGCCCCTAAATCTACCTGCAAGTACACAACATTAGTGGGTGACTTGGGTCGGTAACGACTGCCACACTGTCGCACTGGATGGATGTCGCGCACGAACACCTCAATCCCGACTGGATGCTATTCCAAGTCCTTGGCACCGGGAACGGACAGGTGGTCTACCGATGCTTTTGTTCCTACACGCGATGTGAGTTTCTCTCCAAAATTCCTGCTGGGATTTTCCTGGTGAGTATTAGAAGCTCGCATTGACCAGCAAACAACGATTGTAGCAACCCGACCGAGACTTCAACCAGCGAAGATTAAATCAGTCAAGGCCAATAATGTCAAGAACGCGCTTTGGGGGTTCAAGAAATTTGTATTGCGTTGTCAAAAACCCATTAGATCACTGTAAAACATGAAATTTTGAGCATCCCCCTCTTTCAGGGAGGTCGGGCTGTGAAGGTGATTTGTTAGTACTGCGAAGTGATCCCTTTTTTTTCCGCCGTCGCCGAAGACCGCGAGCAGCACCCCGCAGAAACAGTTTGCTCCGACCACACATCTCTCCACATCGCCGACCATCTGATGAACAGCATGCCATCAGCGCCCCTCGCCAGAGACCGCGAGCAGTGCCTTATAAACCTTCCTGCGCCCCGACCACAAATCTCCAGATTAGCAAACCATCTGATAAAACAACATATGACTTGGCATCAGCTTCGCCTCGTTCTTAGCTCAGAAATAATCAGCAGAATGGCCGAGACAAGTGCTGTGATGTCTTGGCCGTCGTAGCCTATCTATCATTCATCCGCAGATTCTCTTTCTTACCCTGCTGTTTGATCGTTGATAGATAAGGTTACCTTAACCAGTCTGTGGCTTGTAATCGTGGATCACCGCCATTGAAACCAGGAAAGTCCTTGACTTTCAGCATGCTTCAACCACCGCCAAGCTACTGCACGAGCGCCCTGCGGTTGAAGGGTGACGTAAATCAAGGCTTCAAACGTGCCCAGAGCACTAACCTTGACAAAGTAGAGGTACATTGCGGATATCAATCGTCTGATGTCCTGGGTATAGCTCTGGAGCCCCTCAAACTTTCTTTGGACCCCTATCCGTTCCTTTGGGAGGAGTGTTTCCTCACAAATAACGAATACAAGTAGAACGCGCGGTATGGTACGTGGGTATAATTGTGGTACATAGCCAAAAAAAAAGTAGTTTTGATCTATCCAACAGAAGATCTTTGGTATCCCATCCATAACAATCATGACATAACCCTCTCAAGTGCCACCGCCCCATATTAATCCGTAAGGTATAAGTAATAAACATGTACAAGGCATGATACAGACGACCCCCAATGTCATAAAACAACCGAGTCGTCAATGAACATATACCGTATGTTCAGTCCCATATCATATGTACTTCCATCATGACAAAACCCAAAGTCGTAAACGGTAAAGCACGCGCGCGCAACGTGAACACCTCTATACAGTGTAGCGGAAGAAGGTGGCGTTGTCGCCCTTCTCGCGCTCAGCAATCCTCTCCTCCTCGGTGTACTCGCTTGGGGGCTTGTACTCGCGGTCACGGCGAGCGTTCTCGCGCCTGAGGTAGATAGTCATGAAGAGGGACAGGCAGAAAGCCATGACCTGGCAGCCGAGAAGGGTGCCAAAGCCCTGGTAGTAGTGGGGAGACTGCTTGCTGAGGAAAAGGTAGGAGGAGGCGACACCACCCAAGTTGCCGAAACCCACGTGCATGGCAATACCGACACCACGCTTGAGAGAGCCGCCAATGTTGTTGCCGTTCCATGCGACACCCTGGGGAACGTTGGGGTAGATACCCGAAGCGAGGAAGAAGCAGCCGGCGTAGCGGACACCGGGGTTCCTGGTAGCCATCAACATAATCAAGCCAACGATACTGCTCCGTCGTTAGTAAAGTGTTACAAAGGTGGAAATGGGGAGATACGTACGCCATGCCCATGAAGAACAACATGAAGAGACCACGCTGCTTGAGCCTATCGGCAAACCAACCGGCGCCAATACAGAAAAGGCAGGCCACCACATATGGCGGGACAGTCAAAAGCTGACTCTGCTCGGGGGTGAAGGTGCCGATGCTGTTGATGATGGTGGGCACGAAAAGCGAGTACGAGTACAAGCCAGTGTAAACGCCAATGGTGATGAACATATGGACCCAGATCTTCCAGTCCTTGAGGGCAGCCTTGAAGTACTTGATGTCGAACTCATCGGCAAGGGAAGAACGATCGAGCTTGAGACGGTTGGCGATCTCCTCACGCTCCGCAGGCTTGAGAAACTTGGCGGTTTGAGGGTAGTCGTACATGGCGAAGTAGGCGATGACGGCTGAAAGGAAATGGTCAGAAAACAAACCACGTAAGAAAGCAAGACAGGCAACGTACCAACGATGAAAGTCAAGATACCCTCCAAGATGAAGAGCCAGCGCCATCCATTGTAGCCACCAACACCCTTCATCTCCAGGATACCACGAGCCAGAAGACCACCGAAAGCACCGGCGGCGGTAGCAGCGGAGAAGAAAATGGCCATGCGGAAACCGCACTCGTGACGCCTGTACCACATTGTGATGCTTGAATACCGTTAGCAACTGTACTTGATCGGCAAACAAAAAGAAGATACGTACTAGTAGGTAATACCAGGGAAGAGACCGCCCTCGGCAAGACCCAAGCAAGAACGCACTGCCATCAGGCCATGGTAATCCTTGACAATGCCCATAAGGGTGCAGCAAATACCCCAGGCAATCATGATGGATGGGATCCAGATGGAGGGGCGGAAGCGCTTCATGGCCATGTTGGAGGGGACCTCAGCAAGGACGTAGAAGGGGAAGAAGATGCCAAGCGCATTGTTGTACTTGAGGCCGGTGAGCTTCAAGTCCTGCGTAAGGAGCTCGAGCTTGGCATTGCCGATATTCGTACGGTCGAGGAAGGATAGAAGGTATAGCAGGGCGAGGAAGGGGAGGAGTCTGGTATCGATTTTGCGAATGAGCTTCTGGGTTCGCTTCTCGTCCCAGCCGGCACTTTCCAGAGCAACGTGTTCAGTGTACTCGGGAAGGGCAGCCTTCTCGTTATTGACGCTGGAGCTCTCAGTCGTCGGGACGTCCCGCACGGGTGCGTCGTGCTCGGCAGCCATGGTGGCAACTGTGATGTGGTTCGCTCAACCTATGAAGTGCAGATAAGGTGTTGAAGTTGAAGGATGGCTGGGATGGGATGAAGGTGTCGGGCGTATGAGTGAATGGAACGGACCGCCAATTCCCTGGAGAAAAGAGAGAGAACACACAAGGAAAGGAGTCATGATGAGGATGCTCCGGTCCTTATAGTCGGGGAAGACAAACTTAAGGTTGGAAGTCTTTCATCCGCAGGCCCGGACAACCAGGCACATGGAAAATAAGAACAAGGGTACGAGGGTACCTTGTAAGTGGTTGAAGGGGGGTACAGCAGAACACCATGTCGTGGCTAGGGGGTGCTACACTAAGCAGTACATGTACATGGTAAGCAAGCGTGGACAAGACATTACTAAGTACCGGTGAGGTAGGGTATGCGAATGCTGAATGATCCTTGCGAAATGGCTTCCCCATGGTTTTCATGTAGCTTGGCCCAGGCCCCCTGGCTCCCTTTCATGTCAACATGGGGGGTCTCAGTCCACTGAGACTAACAGGCGGAGCATGTCTCTGATCTGAGGAAACACAAGCGTTACCGTACTCTGGCAACTCGTAGAAAACAGACGAGAACAGCGTACAGATTACCGTCACTTACACCGACTCGTGAGCAAGGCCCGTTTTGCCGAGAGCTGTCGTCGGCAGCGTTCCGGAAGCGGTTCCGTACACTATCCAACATGTGTGCTTGCCAAAAACGGGTAAGTAATCACTTAAAAAAAAAAAAAAGGGGGTGAGAAGCGGGACGTTGGTTGAGGCCGAATATTTGATAAGCCAGCTGCGCTTTTGTTTGGCTCACCGACCCCATCCGGATGGTATGGCCCATCTTTCCACCACGAAGCGAACAGTATGGAGTATTATCGTTGGTAATATCCAGCCATTTAAGGATGAGGTAAGACGACCTCTGAGTGGTGGACAGTCCGGCCGGGGGGGTACGGTACGACGTTTGGCTGGGCCTCCCTGGGGGAAAAGAAAAAGAAACTTGTTGACCTGGGGAAGGCGGAAAGGTCGACGACAACAAGCAGGGAATTTGGGACTCGTTTGGTTGGACTGGTCCCGCCAACCTAATCCAGCCGCGGCCGCCAAGACGGCTTGGCTGCAGGGCTCGAGTAGCATCGAAGAGCCTTTGTCTTGCTCGTTAGACTCGTTCTAACTCGTTTATTCTTGGGCTTGCGCTCGGACTAACCTCGAGTGCACCTCTGCTTGCAGCTGGACCGCATCTCGACCACACCCTCCCGCAGCCATCCACCACCACCCATTCCAGCCATCGCGGCCGTTGTCCCTAGTTCCTCGACCGGCATATGGACCCTTTCGGTGAGGCACAACCAGGCTCGTCCACTTGCAACTTGGGCTCGGCGGCACACCAACAACCTGGATCTGATATTTCATCCGTCTTGGCTGATATGCTATTGGGCGGGATCGAAGCCGTGGTGAAGGCAAGAGGAAAACTCTGGACGTGTCCTGCTGTCAACTTGTCCCTTTCTCCCACCCAGACCCCCTCCCTGCAGAGTGGTAGTGGCAGAAATGGGCCTGAAATCCCACGATGTCCCGCGGTGCCCAGAACGCCCAGTACGCCCAAATCTCGAGGAATCTTCCCCCGCACGTGGCGACGACCACAAACGGCGTTCCGGAAGAAGGCTTCGGGCGGAAGGATAAATGGGAGGTGTATGGGAATGCATGATGCAGTACGTCTTTGTCGAAACGAGCTTGAGGCTTGATTTTCGTGAGACTAAAGGAGGGGCACATTGTCCGATAGTGGTGTCTACCTGGGTGCCAGTGGTGCTTGGGGGTACGTGAATCTGACCATGGTCGTGCGTCCGCCGACGGCGCAGACAAAGGGTTGCCGGTGCGGGATCGGCAGTCATGACAGTCGTGAAAGTTTGAAAGCAGCGGCAGGCAGGTTGTCGTTGTAGTTGTCGTGGTCGTAGTCGTGGTCGTGAACTGGTCGTGTGAATGCATGGCTCTTTTGCGCAAACGGAAGCGCCAGTTTGAAGCCTCTCGAGGCATTGTCAGCATGGGTCAGACAGGCATGTAAGGACGCGTTTATTGGGATCTTTGGGGAAATGCATGCAGGCGCCGGCGGGTTTCCATCACTGAGGCTCCCAAATTTCCCAGATCGCAGGCAAACGACAAGGTAAGAGCGAGGCCAGCACTCAGGCACCCGACCAGGCCGATATTGTTCCTTTGTGCTGGGCCTATAGAGCCTAGTTAGCACTTTGTATCGTACCCCGGGCCAAGGGAATTTGCTGAATTGATGTTCCCGAAATGGCAACATCCATGACCTGGCTATACACTTCTGGCTGGGGCCCTGCTTGGGTTGGGTATAGCGATATCGACTGACCATCTGGCAGGCATCAAGAAGAGACTACGATCAATACTGAATTTAGTAAAGTAGGAGGACGCCACTTTGTCGCACAAAGGATGAGCTGAACGAAAAGCGACGAAAAAGGAGAGGTCACTGTCCGCCAAGTGGTTTTGCTTGGAACGAAAGCAACTGAAGGCGCCGCTCAAAGCAGTCAGATGGCCGGCGGCGATAGATTGATTGTTGCGATGGTGCGATGGTGGTTGGATTGTGTCCATGGAGCGCGGTCTGCGAGTCGAGGGCACAATGGGAGATTGAAACCTCAAGGTTTGAAGATCCAATGGAAATACAGACCGCCCGCTGCTGTCAGCCGGCAAGGGGAAGAAGCCAGGGCTGTAAGATGGGAAGGACTCGGCAAGGAAAGAAGAGGGAGGAGACATCTCGGGCACCTGTGGTTGACCCAAATGTTTTGAAATTACGCCGTCACAATTTCATCATTTGCCATTTCCCACCAGAGTTTTTACTTTGGGTTCTTGTCCTCAGTCAAAGGAAGGAAGGGAAGGAATGAAAGGTCGAGGTTGCTCAGACCCATATTTTGATTTTGTGTGACATTTCACGGATCACGGCGGGCGGACGCACCTGCCTTGTCTGTGAATTGGAGATTTTGCAAAGTGGCACTTGCAGCGGCAGCGGCAGCGGATAATGCGGTCGCAGTTTTGAACGGCAGGTGCATAAAGTACCTCTTTCCTTTGATATCCAGTTGATATCTGTCCCAACCCCACCGAATTGTGATAGTTCTTGCCATTCATTCTCAAGATACGAGTAAAACACGTCCTTACAAGCAACAATGATCACCGTGTACTAGGTATCATCGCGTATTATTCAATATGGGGAGAGGAGGCGTCGGCAATTCAGAAAGCCACACCAAAGAACACAAACTGATTGTATGTGTATGTGTGTGGAAACTTGTACAGACAGCAAGCGGGATTCTTACGAGAGCCTCCATCGATCATGTGAACAATGAGAAGAGGTTGGAGATGCAACAGTCGAGAGGGAGAGAAGAGACGACGTTCAGTCAAAGTTACCCCGGATTTGCATCAATGGTGGAAACAGTGGACTCTGCCCCGGATTCTCCTCTTTTACAGTGGACACAGTGGACACTCCAGCCCCAACAAGCTTTCCTCAGGCCCATCACCACCATCCCCGCACTGGCGCCGCCTCCAATTGCGCCCGTTGCGCCCAATGCCCCTTGCCATTTCGCTTCTCAACTCCACCGCCCTGGCAATCGCGCAATCACAACGCCTCCAGTTTCGATGCTTCTTTCCTTCAAAGGGAAAAGCTCGACCAATTGCCCGCCTGCTTGGCCCATCTTGCTCCGCTTCTCCTCCAATCTTCTCCATTTCTGCACGCTTTTCTTGAGGCATTCGTGGCCTTCAGGAAAGTCAAGCTTCTCACCAAAGGCCTAAACATGCCAAGCTTCGACCGTCACATCCGTTCTCCTCTTTCTTGTTCTCCATCTCGACTCCATTCCACTTTGACTCCATCGACGACTCCATTTCCCCAGATTATTGTCTCGAGATGCTCCGAGCGAAACCTTATCCCCAGACCCAACAGAGAAGCTAGCAATGCTACCGATGCTGCCTGATCAGATCATGGCATCATCCGAACCTCTCTCTCGTTTGTTCCTCCACTCATCATTCACGTCGAAACAACTCCAGCTTCAGTTGTGGATATCTGTTTCCCTAGCTCTGCCCTAGCCACGTCTAGATGAATCCGTGACCAGGTATCCATCGACCCTTCATCTCTCTCCGCATTCTGACCCAACTCACTCTCCAACTGAACTCCAAACCAGCCAAGCTTCTTGTTCATGCTTCGCTCCAACGGAAGCTTTTCCTCTTTCTGTCAAGAAACCCCGGGATCGCCTTTGGCTTTCACAGGCAAGTCTTACAAGATCTTACACCCCCCCTTCCCCACTTGGATTACGTGGATTACTTGGATGACATTGATGACTTTCTTTGGCGTCCTTGGGCTGTCAACTGCACCACAAAGGGGAACTTCAAAAAAGTCTTGGGAACTGCGAAAGCCAAGAGCTTGAAAACCCCCACATCCCGCCAAGATGTCACCAATGTCACCACGGCCTCAGACTTACCGTGTACTACCAGTAGGCGGCGCTTCGTTGACCGTTGCTCCTCGGCGGCGGTGACCCCTTTTACAGAAAGGTGGCCTTGTTGGAGATTTTCTATCCGCCAATTCCTCCAAGATATCCCCAAGATATCAACCACGTCAGCATTATGGCAAGTTAACCTGTATTGTTCATCCAAGCCGCTACTCAACTACATTGCAACAGGCTTGGCCTACGAGGAAATCCAGTCATGATAGCGAGCTCAGTCCGCCCGTCCGAACTCGAATCAGACAGAACGTGATAGCTTCACCATGGCACGATACCCCAACGGAGCAGACCCCTTTGAGTTTGCATTGCACATCGGCATGTGTACCTTGCCACGCTGAGTCGACGGTCTTTTAGCGGGACCCGGCAGTCAGTGAATGGCATGAAAGGATGGATGCAGCCATGCGGCGTACGTGTTGGTGATCAGAACATCGCCGGATTGTCTTTCTCTTTCAAGCTACCAAGCCCGGTTTCCCCAGATTCCCCCAAGTTCCCCAATTCCCAGACTGATCATAACATTGACGATCGGAGCAGCAAAGTTCACATGACTATATCTCGGCACTCTTGCCACGAGGCATCTGCGAACCGCCTCATGTTGGGTCGATGGCGCATCACATCGAAGTTGAAAACATACGGTATCATCGCATTCTGTTCCTGCTGCTGTCAACCTGGCATGACAGCATGGCACCCATACACCCGGGAATCTCTCTTGAGTCTTTTGACAGCATGAACAAGGGCGGGGTTGCGGATAACGACCGCGAGTGCGGCATCGAGTTTTGACGGTTTGCCGAAACAGATTGTCAAACCCATCAAACAGCTGTCGTCAAACTGAGACCGCATTGTGCTTCTGCTTCTGCCCTTTGGTTTGGTCATGACGTATCCGGGCGGGCGGTAGCATATGGCATGTTGCGCAAGGGCAAAGAACTTCGAGGGCAGGAACCCTTTTCTGATCAAGTGAGAACTGATTTTGGCAGAGAAGCGATGGATTGCCTTTGAAATATTTCATACTGGTGGGGCGCTGAAGGTAGTACCTTTTGACTCAGACCCTTCAAGACAGCTTACTTAGCTGTTGTCTCTGATCACGTACAAAACACAAAAGAGCTCGTCCCAATTTCGATTTGTTGGGACGCCAGGCTTGCTCACGATGTTTCGGACCATCCCGTCTCACACAGCAATCAGCCCTTGGTGCAACACATGAAACGAGGTGTTCAAGACCAGCATTCCCGTCTTGTTGCTGTCGGTCTTGGAAAGCAATCCTTGGGACCGAGATCTTTACTCCGAATGACCGGCAGGTTACATACTTGACAGATGCTGGGGAACAGATATCACATCATTGCCAGATATCGTGATCGAGTGTCTGTACGGAACCGAGCAAAGATCGATGGTGGGTTCGCAGAACATTTGGATGGTCGGTCCAGTAGTACCTGTGTTCCACGTAAGCTGTTGTCCGTTCTTGCTGGCCGTCGAAAAAAAATCCCAACCACTAGGAGGTAATACCTGTGTTGCGGCGAATACCACACTTATATCCGTGAATTTCACAAATCGGCATGGTACAGTACCTCCAGACATGGGAAAGGCCGCACAAGAAACACAAGAAACATGACAAGGGATCTGCGTGGTCGTGGCACGTACGAAAAGCTGTCTTCGCCTGTGCTACATAGCACCTTGCAAGGCCCAAGAGCACAGAGCACAATCTTTCATTCACAAAACCCTGGCGACCGGGTATTCTTCCAGCAAGTCTTCCGGGGCTCTGGATAAATAAAGTAGGTAGCGCCTTACGTCTTGCAGATGGATACAGCCAACTAAACCAAGCTAGGCCCGAAGCGTTTTCTAGCCTGACTCCCTACCTTCCATACTTTTCAAACCCGAGAGGAAGGATAGGTCAGCGGCATCAGTGTTCTGTCGCATCTGTCACATAAAGTAGCTGCAACTATCATTAATGAGCAGCCCGCCAGTCCGACTAACTAATGAACAAATGTCAGACGGGCGCCGAGTATTTTACCACGCGTGTGGTTACCGATGGTTGATTGCTTGCGCGTCTACGCCGCCGTGCCGCTTCCTGGATGAAAGGATGGAGTGGATGGGTAGGATCATGGAGGATGGTCGGATGCACCGTCGGTTCGGTTAAAAGCCTAAAACGCAGTTCTATTAGAATTTCATTCCACATTCTGCTTCCATGTTGCGTACAGAAAAATACAGACATACAGGCGCACGCAAGCACACACTGGAACGACGCTTATCCATCCCGATTGACAGTACAGGGGTTGGAGGGGTTAGGTTGTTGAGGTAAGGTTGTTGTTGTTGTTGTTGTTGTTGTTGTTATTTTTTAAGTCTTACTTCCGCCTCCCGTAGGGCATGAGACGTGCCACATCGTTGAATCTAGCATACAAAAATAGGAGCAGTGCCCTAACTGTCCACCAAACCCTTTAATCCGAGGGCAAACCGAGGCCTATTGCCAGTGTAAATCATGTGTTGCCCATAGCGTAAACGCGGCCCAACTCTTATAATCGAATTGTTGAGGTGAGGTGAGGGGGTCTGTGGAAGGACTGGAAGGCTGGTGGAAGGACTGGAAGGAATGAAAGCGATTCTCGAAGGGACCTCGAAGGAATTCGGCAGAATCGACAGACCAGACAGACCAGACAGACCAGACAGCAAAGCAACTGAAATGAGTGTCACTGCATGCCTATGCCCATGCCCGTTGATGCGTTGATGCGTTGATTTGGAACGGAGATCCCGACGGGACGACGACACAACACAACACAACAGTAAGAACTTTCGGGCTCCTCCTCGTGTTTTGCCCATACACATTTGGTTTAAAAAGTTGGAGTTATTGACACCTACTGGGGAGTATCTTGGAAAAATAAGAAGAAAAAATCAAGGCCAGAGACCCGAAAGCGATAATGCTGGTGGCCGCAAGTTCGCGAACTCCTGATCAGATGTATCATCGGCATTGATTAAAGGTTTCAGTTCACACACTGCACGACAATGAGGGAAGAGAGGGAGGCCGAGAAGGGTTCAGTTTATCATCCAACGAACAGTTTCCATTCAAGTTCGTTCTCCCGTTCGTCTCTCCTATAGTGAATTCAAAATTGTGGTTGTACACACTCACGGCAGCGAATCGGCGCTCGGCGGTTGATAACCTGGCAACCAACTGAAGCACGGTTCTGCAGAAACCACTGCAGCATAAACTGATTGTCAGACACAACTGAAGAAAGAGTAATCACACAGCAGGAAGCCCGTTGCAACCATTTTCCTTCTATGCCACCATGCCAGAGAAGCTTTTTTACACTTCTGCAGAGAACAAATGTGATGTGGGCCAAGAGAAGACAAGAAAGCCGGAGATTTGCAAATTTGACGCCGCGAAGTTGTGAGAGTGAGAGTGAGGTAGGTGTTCATGGGGTTTCCCGGTTCGAGGGTTTTGCCAAGTCGATGAATTGAGCGTCTGTCTGTCTTTCCGTGTCGTGTAGCTTGCAACTTTTGAGGCCCAAATGCAGGGTGGGAGCAAATATGATGCTCGTAATAGAGCCAACGAAATGTTAGACCATTTAAATGATGGATTGCCTCTTATCACTTATACAAATAACACGCCACAGCTGACGGGCAACTGTCTTGAGCTGCCACAGGCTGCCAGGGACCGCCAAGGCCATAAACTCAACGAACGCCAAGCCCCGTTCACCGCCCGTGGGGTCAGGCTGGCTCCAGCGGCGAACTGCCCCACCATTTCCGCCCGCCAATCGTCCCCGATGCCCGTCCACGCGGCGACGGTCCTGAGCTTCCTTGAGTGCCAAGCAATTGCAATGTGGAAGTGTCCGTTTCCAATCCACCAAGAGCACCGAGTGGCCACCAACCGATGACCGAAGCGCATCACTGACCGAGCAACAACCACCAAACCACAACTGCAACCGGAGAAACGACCTCCCCTAATAAACGAGCACCGTCATAGTCGAATTGAACGACGGCGACAACGACCCTTTTCCTAGAAACAACTCAACGATACCCCCTAGTCGGCTTCATAGCCGCCATATAATCAACAGCCATGGTGTTGCAGGATCTAGGTCGTCGCATCAATGCGGCCGTCAGCGACCTAACACGCGCCCCCAATCTTGATGAGAAGGTGAGCCCCCCCCTGCCAGCTTCCGGTCGATACCGTAACTCCCTCCAACAGTCAACCTGTCCAGTTTGCTAACCATGTTGTCTCTGTCTCCAGGCCTTCGATGGCATGCTCAAGGAGATCTGCTCCGCCCTCCTCGAAGCCGATGTCAACGTCCGTCTCGTCGGCCAACTGCGCAAATCGATCAAGTCCACAGTCAACTTCAAAGAACTACCACCGGCCGTCAACAAGAAACGATTGATCCAGAAAGCCGTATTCGATGAACTCGTCCGCCTCGTCGATCCCCATGCCGAGCCCTTCAAGCCAAAGAAGGGCAAGTCCAACGTCATCATGTTTGTCGGTCTCCAGGGTGCTGGTAAGACGACAACATGTACAAAGCTCGCCAGGCACTACCAGTCGCGCGGTTTCCGCGTCGGTCTTGTCTGCGCCGATACCTTCCGTGCCGGTGCCTTCGACCAGCTCAAGCAGAACGCGACCAAGGCCAAGATCCCATACTACGGCAGTTTGACAGAGACGGATCCCGTAGTGGTGGCGCGCGATGGTGTGGACAAGTTCAAGAAGGAGAAGTTCGAGATTATCATCGTCGATACGTCGGGTCGTCACAGGCAAGAAGAGTCGCTCTTCCAGGAAATGATGGACATTCAGACGGCAGTCAAGCCGGACGAAACCATCATGGTGCTCGATGCTTCTATCGGTCAACAAGCCGAGGCCCAAGCAAAGGCCTTCAAGGAGGCTGCCGACTTCGGTGCCATTATTATTACCAAGACCGACGGCCATGCCGCTGGTGGTGGTGCCATCTCGGCCGTCGCCGCCACCCACACCCCCATCGTCTTCATCGGTACCGGTGAGCACATGCTCGACCTCGAGCGCTTCGTACCCAACAACTTCATCAGCAAGCTCCTCGGCATGGGCGACATGGCCGGCCTCGTCGAGCACGTTCAGTCTCTCAAGCTCGACCAGAAGGACACCATCAAGCACATCACCGAAGGCATCTTCACCATTCGTGACTTGCGCGACCAGCTGCAGAACATCATGAAGATGGGTCCCCTCAGCAAGATGGCCGGCATGATCCCCGGCATGAGCAGCATGATGCAGAATATGGACGACGAGGAAGGGTCGCTCAAGCTCAAGCGCATGATCTACATCTGCGACAGCATGACCGACAAGGAGCTCGACAGCGACGGCAAGATCTTCACCGAGCAACCCACGCGTATGACGCGTGTTGCTAAGGGATCCGGAACAACGGTTAGGGAGGTCGAGGACCTGCTTACCCAGCAGCGCATGATGGCCGGTATGGCCAAGAAGATGGGCGGTAACATGAAGAACATGCAGCGCGCCCAGAGCGCCATGGGAGGTGGCAACAAGGCGCAACAACTGGCTGCTATGCAGAAGCGTCTACAGAGCATGGGCGGCGGTAACCAAGATATGGGCGGGTTGATGAAGATGCTTGGTGGCATGGGCGGCGGGGGTGGTGGTATGGGCGGGATGGATATGAATGCTATGATGAAACAAATGAGTGGGATGATGGGAGGTGGTGGTGGACGGGGGAGGAGGTAAAGGAAGGTAATGACAAAAAAAGGGATGTCGACTTTTAATGAGTTCTAATGCGTCGTCGTTCATCGATTTCACGTTCAATTCTTTGTTTTAGGGCAGCAGCAGCAGCAGCAAAAGTGCTTGCATCATTCTGGCGTCTGGGGTTTCTACTGTAACAACACGTACAACAAATAACGGGAACTTGACTTGGCTTGGAACACGCGGATTGGATGATATAGCAAGCCAGGCTAGGACTTTTTTCGATACTACCTACAACCTACCTATCTTAATCATGACCATGACAGCGAGGCCCGGATATGATGTATGAGCTCATGATGTTTTCTATGGGATAGGGTCAATGTGAACTTTGTGGGAATGAGGACCGGAGGGCGAGTGAAGGTTAGGGGTAGTTGAACCCCGTGAACGCCTCATCCGCGTGGCACTGGGTTCGATCCTTCCAAGCCAATGCTTCTTTTTTTACGCTTTTACATTCTTTCATTTCCTTTGAGTTTGTTTCGGAAGCCGGTCCTTTCTTTCCTCTCGGGATGGTTTGTTTGCATCTGATTTGTTCACAGGCCACGGCGGTCAAATCAATCCTTGCAATGGCAAGCGCCAAACATTCCTTTATACAATACAGAACCAAGCGGCAGAGTTCGGGATGTAGGTACGGACTCGAAACATATGGCCCGTCATACCATGGTCAGCGTGGGATCAGGCGCACTCGTTATGAGCAACTGGACATCGACCGGATGTTTACCCGGAAGGACTGGGTTTTCATGTTGGTATTGGATATCAAACACGGTCTTCGGAGTGGTTGGTTTCGTACCCAGAGAGGCTTGGTTGTATTCGCGGGCCAGCGGGACTCCCTTACCTGATGACGATTGACCGGACACTTCCACAGATAGCAACAAGACAGAGACTTGAGGCATCGGGTGCCTCTATGGATGGGGCAGGCCGGTACTTATGGCTCAGACCATGCCCTTTGGCACTGGCTAAATGCTGAACCGGCAACGCTTTGTTCGTCTCCCCTCATTCAAGAAATTCAGGGGCCCGGTCCGCCTCTGTGTGGTCAAACATCGTGAAAAGGGAATCTGCAACTGGTCATTCTCCTTCCATGTTCAGCCACTAATCCGCTGCTACCTGATTGTTGCGGTACGAGATTTCGAGTTTGAGGATAGCACTCCGGTTCCCTTCGCCTCCCCAGCTCAATCGATATCCTCTGTTTCTTCTTTTCTCCCTCCTTTTTCTTCCAGTCCCTCCTTTTCGCAGTTTCGTATCGAAACCTCGACTTCCACGGGCCCCTCCCTCCCTCCCTCCCCGCCCTCCCCGAGTGATGGCCCGATCATTCACAACAACATCAACAATGGCCGGTACAGGTATTTACCGCAACTCCAACAGCCCATACGCCAACAGCAGCAGCAACAACCAAATAACAGACCCATCCACTCCCGCCGTCTCCGCTTTCACATCAGACAACGTTTCAGAGATAACTTCCCCTTCAGCGGCAGGAAACCATGATTTCGCCAAAGACAACTTGAAGCCAAGGTCCAGGACCGCGACCATGGTCTCTGCCCAGACCACCACGCAGTCTCTCGCTCTCTACGATGCTGTCTCCGTCTTTGCCATTCTTCCCGCTGTACCAGAATCATATTCCCCCGAACTAGCCCCGACGAACGCGCACGAACATGATGGTCTCCAGCCGCTTTCGACGTATTATATCCCCCATGAATATGTTGATGTTAACGGGGTGAGGAATAAGGGGTTTGCGCCTGTGGTGCCTGGTGGTCAAGGTCAGGGTCTTTTGAAGTTATCACCGGCGGATGGTGATGGGCATGGGCTTGGGCATGGGCAAAGGGTATGCGGCTTGAAACGGTCCATGTTTGTGTTTCTCGTCTTGTTGGCGATAATAATAGGTCTGGGAGTGGGATTGGGAGCTGGGTTGGGGATGGGGTTGAAGGGGAGTTGTGCCAAAAACTCGGGGACGGGGTTGGGGGGTGCTGGAGCTGGAGGGGGAGGGGGAGGGGGAGCTTGTCCTGCTTCACCAACTAGCACGTCGCCGTCAGATAATAGCAACGGCAACTCCCAAACATCTACTTCGTCTACTGCAGCTGCGCCGTCCGCTTCCAGCACCGACACCACCAACAGCGACCCCGACACCGACACCGACACCAACAGCGCCGTCGCAGGCATTCCCCATCTAACCTGCCCCTCCTTCAATGACACCATCTTCGCCTCCCCCCTTTTGCCCTCCTCCTCATCCTCCTCCTCTTCTTCGAAAAAGAAATATAAAATCCTCTGCGACACCAACCTATCCCAAAACCCCCTCAAGCAAGACCTAGCATCAGGTTTCGTCACGCAGACCCTCGAAGAATGTTTTGCGGTATGTGATGCCATGAACTTTTACTTGAAGAGGGGAGATGTGAGCGCCGTGTGGAATTATGCGTGGGAAAAGGGGCCCGGGAGGGGGGGGTGTTGGTGTGTGGGGAAAAAGGGCGTGGAGGGGGGGGATGCGAGTGGTGGGAAAGGGAATGGGGGTGGTAATGGGGGTGGTAATGGGTGGAAGGTGTTTAAGGAGAATAAAGGGGTTAGTGTGGTTGTTGTTGGGTTGATGAGTGGGGGAATATTTTACAGTAGTGAAGGAGATAGGAAGGGGGGTTGAGGGAGGGAGGAGGGGAATGAGAGAGGGTTTTGAATGGAGCACGGTAGATGAGGAGACAAGGAGAGTATGGAGATATACCATCAAGTGGGAAGAGAAAGAACGAGACGGAGAAAAGAAGATACCCCTTACGAGAAGCCCCCCAAAAAGGATGACTAAACTCCATGTCCCAGGTCCGCTAGTTAAGTCATGCTAACGCGTCCACGGCATCTATCCCATCATCTAGTGCTTTTAACGTATATCTATTCCAAGTATCCCAATTTTAATGCTGTACTATGCCTTCTACTTTAGTATCCAAAGCGTCTGCCTGGTAGCCATGTAAACAAGGTTACGACGCGCATCAACAACAGATGTGTTCAGCACCACCAAACAAGAGTGGTAGAGCTCAGAGATACCTGCCTGCAGCTGATATTAAGATGGAGTGACCCGAGTAACTAAAACAATGGTAACAATTCAACCGAAATGCGTGGACAGACGGTAAGCGCAAAAGGAGAGAAGAGTGCCTTGGAGAACAACACCTATATTGTGCGTTTTATGTTGGAGTAAATAGGTAATTCTACGATTACCCACTTACAACAACAATCACAACCAGTCACTTTGGCGGAGTGGTTAACGCGCTGCCCTGCTATTCGCAAGAAAGCAAGTTTAGGCAGTTCCCTCGGGAGCACAGGTTCGAATCCTGTAGGTGACGCATTGCTTTTGCCTTTTTGGTCCTCGTTGCCTGTTTCAACGTGATTCTGTGTAGCGGGTATGGAACATTCCTTTTTGTTTTTTGAATCGTGATGTTTTGTACCGGATTAGATGGAGGATGTGGTGGTGCGGTTGATTGTGTCAGTCGAGTTTTTGTTAAGTGGGAGGTTTCAAGTCCGTTCATGTTGCTTGTACTTGCGCGGCTTCTGCACCACCCGCAATTGGAAAGATGATACGACTGGATAGAAACGACCGATTATTTCGAGGAAGCGCGACTGTGTGTGAAAAGAACAGTTTGGATATCCTACGCATGTGGATTGTTAGTTAGCTAGTGTATGTTAACGTGAATGTTCCCTGCGCTTCTTGAGCGCACACCTATCGAACAGAATGCCGGTCAGGAGATGAACTGTTTAGAATGCTGAAGATATGACATGAAATGGCTGAAACATCATCATTCACTGGTTTAACTCGCTTATTGATTTTTGCGATGTTGCCAAAAACCATTGATTCTGGATACACCATGTCTTCAAGCTGGGATTTGCCAGCAGTTCATCCCAACCTCCAGGGTTTGCGCCATCAAAGCCTGGGATCCCCTGATGAAACAAAAATAAGAGAGCATATCTCCAGCATCGCCGAACTTCAACGAACAAACAGAGCAAAGCAAAAAAGGGCAAAAAGTTGGACTAACCGCGGATTGAACGCGGGACCGTCTGTATTGTAAGACAAGGCATTGCAAAACAGAAATCATACCACTAGACCATTAGCCCATTACTTGATATTGGTTTGAGAAGGAAGAGCCTATATGGAGCTAGCTCGTGGTAGCGGTTCCGCTTTTGAGGTCAAGCTGAGATATTGATGACAAAACCACAACAACGACAAGACAACAATACAAAAAGACAACGATGATATGCGAAAGAGGGCTTAACTGAATTGTATAGCACATTTGGTTGACTTGAGCTTCAACTCATCAGAAAATGTTCCTCCCACATCAAGTAATCCTATGCTCAGCCAGCGAGGAGCAGCCGCCCGCCTCATTTGAGCCCGAAAATGAATACCTCGAAACGCAACGAGTATGGTCATCATCAACTAAACCTGTGATTGATGGTTGTTTGATGTATCACAATGAGATGTTGGCTCACATAAAGTGATCCAGTGTCAAAAGACATCGCGTACCAGCAGTCCACCAATGAGCCCGAGATTGAATACCACGAAAAACAACGCATTTTGTCTACCATGCATGTCCTAATCATTCATCATCCATCATCCATCAAAAATGCACCCCTTTACCTAGTCTTGGCAATCATCTCCTCAGGCTTCATGCCCCTGCCCTCCATCAACACACTCGCCTTCCTCAGGATATTCACAGTCTTGTCAATAACCTCCTTATCAACGCCCTGCACCTTCTTGGGGAACTTGACAGTCTTCAGCCACTCCCTGGCATCTTCCTCCGAGTAATCCAGCTCCGTGCTGATATACTTGACAGCCTCATCCTGGTGTTCCTCAAAGTGCTTGATACCCTCGTTAATCTTGTCCATAGCCTCCTCCACGCGCTCATCCAGCTTCTTCTGGTCATCGAACAACTTGGTCGACGCAACAATCTTCCAGCTACTCCAGGGTGTGTAAATCTCCCCCACGCGCCTGATCTCCCCGCTATCATAGTACTTCTTACTCGTGAAATGCTCCCACATGAAGAAATCCGCCCTTCCATCGTTCACCGCATCCCGCAAGTTCTTGAACGTGTTCAGCACCACAAAGTCCGAAAAGGGCGAGGCAGTCTCGATACCCATGCCTACCGCCGTCGTCGGAATAAGCCAGTCGCGCTGGTCAGCCAGCACGTAACCCATCACGTAGGAACCGGAACCGATTCTGGAAACACCGATCTTGCCGCCCTTGAGCGAGTCGACACTCTGGATCTCTGGCCGGTTGGCGCCCGTCGAGATGGCCCAGCACAGGGGCGTTTCGACGTAGGTGCCTACGAGCCGGTAGCCGCCGTCGGTGCCGAAGCTGGGGTCGATGGAGGCGTCCTTGCCCAGACCGGCCACCCAGCCTTCGGTCAAGCCGACGGCTACGTCGATCTCGCCGGAGCGCAGAGAGGTGATCATGTGTCCCGTGCCGGAGGGGAAGGGGACCAGTTCGGCGGAGAGGCCGTAGTGCTTTTGGGCGAAGTGGAGGGGGGTGGAGAAGTGCTCGGGCACGAAGCCGATTTTGAGGGGGGTTTGAGCGGACGACATGATGATGGTTGTTGTGAGGATTCTTCTGGCTTGGTGATTGACTCTGAAAATGGGCTTCAATGAAGCTGTCGATTTGCAGGTCGATGGAGCTGCTGGTGACGGTGACAGTCGCAGTGAGAATCCCTCTGTTGATTTATAAATGTATTGCTGAAAATGACGCAATGCGGGGCGCATTAAGGGTGGTTGTGGTGACGTGTTGATGTAATCGAAAATAATTCCGACTTTGTACAAAACCAATCGAATTCTGTCTTGTGTTTGGGTTTCCAGGAATAAACCAGGAAGGAGATCCGGCAGTGTTGCTTGCTCCGGATCGACAAGTCCACAACAGGCCAGTGTGTCACAGGCGGTCCGTTTGCCCCGCGCGGGGCCCGGCGGCGCTGAAGACGGAAGCCGGAGGGAAGGAACGAAGCGTTCGGGACCGCCCGGTGGGTCCACCGTCCCGGTGCTTCACTGGAGGGTAGAGCATGGTTAGTGATAATTGTTAAGGTAGGGCGCTGAAGAATGGCTACTGGGTCTGGTTTTGATCATCAAACGCATGCTTCCCTTTCTCGACCTTTCACCGCAACAACATCCAAGACAACAGACGTCACCCAGTATCCCCTGTCTTCTTTCAAACCAATCGAATTGTCATGCTACCGAGATACGAAAAAATCTATGTGGGAATTCTGTTATGTTTTGTTACACGAAATGTCTAGACACGAAATGCCTAGACCCGACCGGCGCTCTATTCTCTGATATGCGACCTTGACGTCCACCATTCCTGCTCGTCCTCTACGCATACTTGGGCGCATTTTGCGGCGAGAAGGGGTTGCCCTTGAAGAATCCTTCCGGAAGTTCGAACTTGGCATCGACAGACCCCCGGAGCAGTTGGATCATCGTGTCGACAATGTCGTGGCCCCAGTTGTACTCGGCAAACTTGGCCTGTGAGTCTGTGTGTGGAAGTCAGGTTAGCGCCGCTCGCCCTAGGATACGGCAGAGAGACATCGGAGGGAGTGAACATACCAAGAGGAACGCTAACGTATTCGGCCACCTCTCTAGTAACTCTCTCAGCTTGATCCGGCCCGGCATTGCTCATCACCTGGATAGCGCTGGCCCTGTGCCTCCTGCCCTTCTCAAAAAGGGCCAATCTTTCCTTGATATCCTCAGCTTTAGCACCACTTAGCGAGATACCAAGAGCAATGCCATCTTCGATACCCTGTGCGCCACCTTGACCTTGGTGCGGCAGCATGGGATGGGCTGCGTCTCCGATAATGATCATCTTCCCTTTGGTCCAGGTGGGGATGGGACCGCGGTAGAGGAGAGGCCAGCGCTTCACATCGCTTGCTTTGCTACACCGCGGAGGTCATGTTAGCAGCCCCGCATCGGAGGAAGGAAGGAGAGAGGGATGACATACTTCAGTACGGCCTGGAGAGAAGGATGGAAATCGGCAAATGTCTTGAGCACGTGGGACTTGTCGACCGGTGTCTGCCAATCTTCCTTGGTGGCACCAATCAACTCTTCATCGTGGAACATGCCAACACAGTTCCAAACTTCACCACCACGGCATGGATACGAGATGAAGCGGTTGCCAAACTTGCTGGCCGTAAAGATCCTCATAAGACCTTCTTTCTCGCCATTCTTGTTCCACCATGCCGTCTCCTCATCGGCATCAAGGTCAGCAGCCGGGATCAGGAAACGGTAGCAACCATTGTAGAGCGCTTGAGGCTCCGGCTTGTGGGCATATCCAAGGATAGCCTCAACAGCAATGGAGTGGACACCATCTGCGGCAATGACAAGGTCCGCCTTCTTCACAATGCCAGAGCTAAGCGTGATGGATGGCTCCTCTGGGTTCTATAAAGGGAAGGAAGTGGTTAGCATAAGGCTATCTCTCATCCCGTGTCTCGGTGGCTTCTCGCTACCGTGTCCGGCATGATGATCTTGTGCGGACGGGAGAGTAAGGGGCCGGCTGTTTCATCTCCACGTTTTGGATATTACTCACATAAGCGACCACCTGCACGCCCAAGTTCAACTCGACAGGCTTCCCCGGACCCTCAGGGCCCATCGCCAGCTTCTTCAAGGACTCATGCAGGTCGACTCGGTGGGCAAAGTACAGAGGACCGCCAAACACCTTCGGAACAAAGTCACCGAATGGAGTGAAGTCGAACTGCTGAAGAGTGGCTCCTGATCCAATGGCGATGCCCTTAGACGGAACGAACCTGTTCTCCACAGGATCCAGGCCCCACGCCACGAGGGAGCGGTTGGCGTTTGGAGGCACATGGATAGCGGCTCCAACCTCGTTGTTGAGCTCTGACCGCTCAAAGATGCGGACGCTGTGGCCCGCACGGCGAAGCGAGATGCCGGCAGCTAGTCCTGCGATGCCGGCTCCGACGATGATCACATCGAGGGATTGGTCTTGGGTGAGGGCAGGCATGGTGATGACGGTATGTGAGTAAGTGAATATGTGAATGCAACCAAGGCTCAGAAAGGACTCATGCAATGAGACTGACAGGCAGAGCAGGACAAGACAACACAAGACTAGGCAAGAAAGATACAGTGACACAAAGGATCAAAAGCAGCTCTTCCTGGCATACGGCGTGTTCCCAATAAGAAGGCAGAAGAAAGGCATCACGGGGATTCGGGACCATGCAAGGTCTTTACCCCTGACCCAAGGATGACCAAGTATCCTGGCTTTCACCGTCCGATAGTGGAATCTTTGCTATCACCACACCGCAGCATGGCAGAAGACATTCGATACGACCTGTGATCTGATTGAATCCGGGTAGGTCGGCAGGAATGGATGAGACAAGCCATGTGTTAGGAGACGAACTCCATTCCAAGGGTCTCGTCACATCAGGTATGTGTTCCGCGTCTCTTGTCTTGGCCTTGATCTGGAATCAGAGCTCCAGATTTGAGTAGCAGAGAACGACCAAACCAACACCTACCAAGAGGAAACCCATTAGTGAACTGGAGATTAAAAGGACGAGCCCAGGAAGCACACAAAGACCCCTCCGTGGAATAACCGTTGCCTTGCAAGATGTGTTCCACGGGCAGAAAGATTGCGTTACCTTGGCCATCCAAAAGAAGCAACGGAATCGTATGAGACTTACCTCGGGGAGTTACGCTATCCTGGCCCTTGATCTCGATATTTTTTTGCCCACGGCAAGGGGTCGACTTTGGTCGGAGCACACCTTCCTGGCCAAGACATGGGACCCAAGGGAAAATCGCAGACCGCAGGAGGTTGACACTGGCAGCGTCGCTTCAGTCTGGTCCATATCGACCCGCCGCCGAGCAACATCAGGACCTCGACATATCTCTCACATCCATCACAATTCCGGGCCTCTCTTTCGCATTATCTGATTGATGCTGATACTTGATAGTCGTCGTGATATGGCGTCGTCACTCGCAGTTTCTGGGTCCAATTAAGCTTCAAAATTGCCGGGGCTAGAAAAAACCATCATTATGGAATCACAAGAAAAAAGAAAAGATTCCCATCACACAATCCGAGGGGAGAAACGTGACACATCACTGGTTACCAAAAGGATGAATCGTGGCAGAGACATTGATGTCAGGAAATACGTACAGGGGCGGAACACAATTGCGCTATGACCGGCTGAGCTTAGCCGCTGTAACGTCAACTGCTCAGGGGTGTCGAGTGCTCGAGCCCCCCAAGACCCAAGGCCCGCTGAAGAGCATCAGTGGATTCGCTGGAAGATTGGCCGCTAACGGAGAAAGGTCGCTAGCGAGCCGTTCCGGAAGGGACCGTTGAGTTTTGATGTGGGGGGATATCGGGTCCAATGTCAGAGGAAGAAAGATGACTGGTGAGTGCGAATTGCTTCACTTTCCCATACAACTGATGGGTTTCGACACGGTACGAACAGCGCTGGAACCTCAACCCTGGGACATCGTACGCTTTTTTGCTTTCTCTTGACAATGGGAAATACCGTTGAACCAAAGATTCGCAAGCGGTCACTGGATAGGGTTTCGTCTTCGTCTTCGCCTTCGAAATGCCGAGGAACCAAAAAGACGAACAACCAAAAGGAAAGGCGAACAAACGTCTCTGCTTTTTTTCTTCTCCGATCGGTACCTGACAGGACAAACTGACAGGAACGGCGTTCAACACCTAGCCCAGATCCAGCTAGGCCCTATACCTGGAGAACATTGGACAGATCGATGATCACTGACATTCTCCCAGGCTCTCCCTCGTCCTTCTCCGCTATTGACAGCTGCCCTTGCCCTTGAAGCTTCTCACGTTTCACGGGGGGCCTGGTCAATAAGGGGGAAGAAGGCATTGGACCCTTTCCTTCTTCCCCAGCCGTTCTTTTCCTGACCCCCCCGCTCTCCATACGAACGAACAGGATGCCTCGTCGTCTCCGTTGACCGCCCTCGTCGTCACAATCCCCTTGTCTTCTTCCCCAACATCACACGCCTTTGCAATTTCGCCTGTTTTGCCCCACTGTATCGTGCCGTCTTAGTGGACTGGCCTGGACTTTAGCGTCCGCGAATAGCGGCTTGGGTATGGTGTGTAATTGTCACAATTGCTATGTAACAGTAACTTTCGTAACTTTGGCGTTACGATCGGTGACAGACGACCTTGTACGGGCCAGACAGACACTTGATCATATCACCATCTTCAAGCGCACTATTATCATCCCCGGTATCATAGCAGGGCATGATATCCCCCGGTTCTTCATCAGAGACGCATCACTTGCCCTCCCGCTGTTGCTTGCCTCGCGGCTAAGGTCTAGAACAGAGTTACCACAGGGGCTGGACAGTGTTATGTAGCGTTTTGTTGCCGCATTGTCCCTTGGTAAAAGAGCAATTACACAGGCAGATTGATGCTGGATGCATGGTGTTAAGGGTATACTCGGGGAGATTGCACTTTGGCCTTGGTTTTGTTGGTCTTTCTTGTCATGGTCCCAAGTGGCGGACGTTGCAGAAACGCAGATGTTTGTTTGTTTGCCATCCATATGAACATATACAATCTACCTTTCGGCATCTTCGTATCTGTCGGTTATTCTTCCGTCTCGGTACTTTATGTCACACACTTGACTTCTCTTCTCCCTTTCTTGTCTGTGTCTTTCATGCAACTTCTCGGATAAGAAAGTTTCTTCACCTTACACCTTCACTCTTCCACCTTCCACTGTCTCTGGGTCTGAGCACTTCCACTGCTGTTACACATATCCATCCGCTCCGACACTGGACTTAATCCTTTCAGCACAAAGAGTTGAGTAAAGAAGAAAAATGGCGGATACAGCAAGGGAGGCGGGATCTCCCCCAAGCACTGCTTCCGAGCATGACCAGCACCCGGAGAAGGGCACAGTTCAGTCATCGCAGTTCGCTGCTTTTGATACCGCGTCTTCACGAAGCGAACCCAGGCCGCATCTTCACGCAAAGACCTTCCTGGCCGTCTTTGCCATTTGCGTGATCTACTTTGTTCAGATTTACAATGTCGTCGGCTGTGGAGCTGTAAGTGCCGATCCTCTCCCTTGTGTTTACTCCCTCTGAGACATTCAGTCATGTATGATCCAGTGCACTGACTCCTACTCGTCACACACAGCAAACGAATACCATCGCCATCACACTCGGGAAGGGAAGCACAGCTGACGGAGTATGGCTCTCCTCATCGATTGCCATTGGCACAGCTGTGCTGAGTCCCATCTTCTCCCAATCGGCTGACTACTGGGGCCGTCGTTGGTTCTTGGTCATCTCTACCCTCATTGGTGCCGTCGGCTCCATCATCGTGGCCCGGGCCACATCGATGAACATGGCCATTGCCGGCTTTGCCATCACTTCCATCAGCTACGGTGCTCAGCCCCTTCTCCACGCCGTTTCCTCCGAGGTCCTTCCGCGCCGCTACCGATCATGGGGTCAGGCCGCTGACCTCGTGGCCAACGGCTTCGGTGGTGTTACTGCCCTGCTTTGCTCCGGTGCTTTCTCCCGTACTTCCAACGTCCCCTCCGAGGGCTTCCGGAACTTCTGGTACCTCGGCACCGGTCTCTTCCTCCTCGCCACCATCCTCTGCTTCGTCTTCTACAATCCCCCTCAGACCGAGCTTGAGAGGTCCTTCTCCTTCTCCGAGAAGCTCGGCAAGCTCGACTGGGTTGGCTACTTCCTCCTCTCCTCAGGAATCATCCTCTTCTGCATCGGCCTCTCCTGGTCCGAGAACCCGTATCCGTGGTCCGATGCCCACGTCTCCGCCACCTTCGGCATCGGCATGGCTCTCATCATTGCCCTCGCCGTCTACGAGACCTTCTTCAAGAAGGACGGCATGTTCCACCACGGCCTCTTCAAGAACCGCAACTTCTCCATCGTTCTCATCTGCCTCTTCTGCGAGGGTCTGGCCTTCTTCGGCGCCAACAACTACTTCGCCTTCCAAGTCGGCATCCTCTACGAGTCCGACGCCCTGCTCGTCACCACCCGCTACTCCATCACCATGATTGTGTCCATCTTCTCCGCCGCCGCCGCGGGCATCTACTGCGCCCACTACAAGCGCGTGCGCTGGATCACCGTCGCCTCCTTCATCATCTTCGTCGTCTTCTTCGCTTGCATGTCTACCTCAGGCCTCGGCACCAACGACGCAGTCTGGGGTTACCCGGTAATCCTCGGTACTTCCCTCGGCATGTCCCTCGTCGTGCTCGTCACCATCGCCCAGCTGTCCACTCCTCCGGAACTCATCGCCATCGCCTCCGGTCTCGTCATTGGCCTCCGCTCTTTGGGAGGGTCCGTCGGTCTAGCCATCTACAACGCGCTCTTCAACGGCGCCATGGGCCATCTAGGCGATAACATCGCCAAGGCCGTCATGCCTCTCGGTCTTCCCCTGCAAAGCGTCGGACCCCTGATTGGTGCATTGGCTGATCACCACGAGGAGCTGATTCCCAAGATTGAAGGGGTGACGCCGCAGATTATTGGAGCCGGAGTGGAGGCGCTTAAGGAGACGTTTGCGACCGGGTTCAGAAGGGTGTGGATCGCTGCGGCGTGCTTCGTGGCGCTTGCCGCTATCTTGGCGTGTTTCTTGAAGGAGGAGGATAGGGAATTTAATATGCGGATTGATAACCCGATTGAGAAGGAGGAGGAGTTATATAGTGACCGTGAGAGGGATGTTGAGAGGACTCCCCATGCGTAGGTCAACCGTGGAGGGGAGGGGTTGCCTGGGTGGGTGATGGTGATGGATCTTGCATCATGAGTTACGGGATGGTTGATGGACAGGATGTTTGTTGCACGTGCCCATTGTTCATGAGCGGTTGGTTGGAGTTTTCTGTTTGCTTGTTGTTCAAAAGCCATGCGCACAAAAATCTTGTTAGATCTTGGAATACCCCTTTGTCAATCCCTTAACGAGCGATGGTTTCTGGAGCTTGTATTTCTTTCTCATCCTTCTTTTATACCGACTTTTCTTGATATGATGCTAGACATAGAGCAATTTGAACACTAGTTCAAACAGTACTGCGTATCTGTAGGCACTTGTCCACGTCGATGTCTCCAGGAGCTTCCATTCACATCTAGGGATGTACCTGAAGGTCTTCATTCAACATCACAGCCTGGATGGTTTGCCCACCTGCCTAGCGGTACATAACCATCCTCCTAGCCATTATCTCCAACAACAACAAATACAAGTGCGGTTGGCGTAGAGGTTTAACGCATCGGCCTTCCACCACAAGGTCCCAGACCCCTCAATGGAGGAGGAAGCCGGAGACCCGGGTTCGAACCCCGGACCGCGCAATTATCTTTTTTGGCCGTTTCTTGCAACGTGGAAACTCTCATTTGTATTAATCCATCGAAGATCCTCTTCTTCATAATTAACTGATCTTGCCTGTCTTGGGACAATGCTATGGGGCAAGCCAACCTTTGGCAAACTGCCCGCCAAATTGCCCAAAATGCTCCTCCGCTTGGGAAGCATAACAACATTGTAACTGTTCAAAGCCCATATACCTACATCGGTCTTCCAAATTTCCACTGTGAGTGTTATGTCAAGTCTCAACAAAATCCACTGTGGAAGACTGCCAAGGGACCACCCATCGTTCGATAAACCGTTGCGTCGCCCCTACAGAACAGGCAAGAGATTCGCATTCGGATCCGACAGACTGGTAAGCTAGAAAACCTGCCACTGGCCCACTGCGCTAAAAAGCCTGAGCTAACAGCCTGATGAAGCCGCTAGAAGGGTGCTAGAGATCAGTCCGTTGGCGAGCCGTTAGAGCAGCTTAGGAGGATAGGGGGTTTCTCTCCGGAATCCATGATGGCGGAGTTTATGGCCTGTGAGAATGATACAATCAACACAGAAGGCCATGCTGACGACACAAAACACGAAGGCTCGCGAGCATGCAGTGTTTCTCAGAATTCATCAGGAAGAGCATTACTGGATGTTATCGAGGTTTCCTGTAGTTATTTCTTAACAACGTCACGACCTCATCGGTTATGTCCAAGAGAAGGGTCGATAACGCACATCGAGATGGTGGCGTCAAGATGTTTGTTCTAACAGCATCTCTTCACATGTTTCTGTAGTGTAGTGTAATTCATGGAACTCGGACCGGCTACAAATTGCCCTTTCTCCACCTCGTGTATGTCCGTTGCGTTACATTCTCGCCGTCTTTACCCTTCACTAGAACTCGCTACCTGCCAAATCGTAAGTTATCATGCATTCGCGAGACGCAAAGGAAGGGTGACTAACAGGGAAGAACGATGAAAACGGGAAAAGGAGCGAGGAAAGAGAAGGGTCTCTGTCCGCGACCCGCGTCTGGTTAAAGTTCTGATGGCATTGTCTAGACGCCAACGGTCCCAACAGGGTCGTTCCCCAGGGTGGGATTGCAGGGTCTCCCACACACCAGAACTAGTGCAAATCTCTTGCAGCGGAAGGGCATGCCGTCTTGTCAATTCATTGTCGCCAGGGGAAAATGGGATGTGGTTGGTTGGTTTTGCTCAGGGCAGGTTTGGTACCGAGGCGTTACGGTTCGTTACGAAGCCGTAATGTAATAGTGATTACAAAGGCGGTAACGCCGTGTTCGCTGCCGGGGTTTGACTTGCCCATTAAGGACAATTGTGAACTATTGACTTCTCGAGCAAATTGCTACCACGGAAAACGACGGGCGCATTCCCTGCTAGGATGAAAACGAGAAAGATTTCAATCGATCTTTGAAACGGGAGATTTCCCACTACATGGAGCGGGCCGTGGAGCTGGTCTGGTCAGCAGCCAAGATGGGTGAAATTGTTAGTGCGTGCACTGTACAGACACTAAATGACAGAACAGAACTGAGAGGAAAGACCGCGGCACCTTCTAAACAGGCGCACACCTTCACACCTTCCTCGGCATTTCAACAACGATCAAAAACTCTCCGCGCGACCATTGTGTCTTGCACTACACGCCGTGTTCTTGTGATTGCCGTCGTTGATGGCACACGTTGCGGCAGTCATCGTTTATCACAAATCCCATCTCGCTGGGACGGTGGCCACAATACACACGTTGTTGGTATTTGAGCTTGGGTGGTTTAAGCGAATACCAACGTTAACTGTCACTTTTCTTTTTCTTTTTCTTCTTCTTTTTTATCTGAAGAAACCCAATTGCCTTGCGTGGGATGCGCGTCAAGGGTCCCTATGTCTATAGCATATGACAAGGAACGTTGTAGGCAGTTTCCGATCACTCATATTTCACATTGCCCCCAGCCCTTGGGTCTTCTAGGCCTCCCAGTCCTCCACATCACCTCATCAGGGGGCAGGAACCCTTCACCTTCCATGATCACCGTGATCGGAGTGAGGGACTGATCGAGACAGGGGCTCCAGGCAATGACCAACCATTCGACTGGGCATGCCCATGCCATCAATGTTCCCAGACACACCCCAGAAGAAAACAAGACGACGAGACACAGGCCATTGTCTGGATCCATCACCGAGAACAATCCCTGTGTTCGATCACGAATCCATGGTGTATTCTCACCTGCCCCTACCGAGGCTAGTCTAACGCTACTTCTTCCTCCAATTCGCTGCCTCGGCCGTCGTCGTCACTTGCCAACCACATTCCTCTTCAAGTCTCGAGACCCGAGCCTCGAGATTGCGCGTCATATCTCCTTGTCGATAGCTGGTTCTGATATTGCGGCGAAGTTGAGACCTTATCGAAATCACGTTGGTGATGGGAAATACGGGGTAACAATGGCTTTGCTTCTCTTGAGGTTCCAGACTGAGTTCTCCATCATGATCAGTTAAACATTTCTTTCTGATGAGCCCACCTCTCGGTTCTCGGCCATCTTGGCCATCGGGAAAGCAATTTTACATCGTTTTTCGAGAGCGTGAACAGGGTCCAGCTCAAGGATGAAAGAGTGGAAACCCCAAGAGACAAGCGAAAAACGTGCTCCGGAAGGATCATGAAGCTTGCAAAAGCAAGGATACTAATATCTTTTCTGGAGTGCTCTCGGGGTGACCACGACCAATCTACCTTACTCGCTTCATGGCACTCGCCTATTTCCTCTCTACCACTCATTCCGAAACAATGGTTCGTGCTAGCCATTCTTTGCATTCTTCACCCCATCTCGTCTTACCCTTTGGGACGACTCCTTCCTTCCCCCACGAGTGGATATTGCCTCTTCACCTCAAGCGAGAGCGAGGGAATGTTGGCTCTAGCGAGCTCCCAAGGTTCTCAGCACATGATGGAATTCAGGAACAGACTCGGAATGTAACCCACGTGTATCATCTATCTTGACATGGTCCACTTCCAGTCTTCAACCAAGCCCGTCTTACTCCGAAGCTGTCCTTGCTCCTGGAAAGACTTGCGGATTCGTGCTCGCTTGGACCTCTCTATCTCCTAAACAAGCGTTAGATTGTTGTGAGATCCTTTATCCTTGCGCTCTGAGCACACGCAATGGCATTACAGACCAAAACGCGCCATAGCTGCTGTTCTGGAGTTGGAAAAAAAAATCAATATCCCTTGCCTCAAACCATCCTCCCTGCAAAGACCAATCTGATTCATCAAGTCCAGCCGTGCAGCAGTCTGCCATCGAATCAGAACCCTCAAGGATGCTGAGTGGCCAAGGGTAAAACGGGAAAATAAGCCGGGACAATGTACGTACAGTAAAACCCCCTGTTTTTGCAACTAATTCGGGCTTTATAGGGGACGCCCAAAGCTTTTGCATATACTAGGCATTTTGCATTTGATAGCGCCACATCCCCATACAAATTTGGTAATTGGGGCGGTAAAAAGTGTTGCACTGATAGGGCAAATTTATATGGAGTTGCAGAAAGAAGGAGGGGGGGGTTGTAGGACAGGGGGTTCTACTGTAACCTGACGCGTCCCAAGCCCCCAACCCATACCACCCGTTCCTAGGTAGACACTGCATGTTTCTAGGGTCCTCCGTTCCTGAACACCTGCAACATTGATGGGCACACCAACCGCTCCAAAACATTGTCCCCCCATGGACCCCATTGTCCCCCATCCCTGCCGTCTCTAGCTTACCCTCTCCCGCTCCCTTGACGGCTTAGACTAAGGGACTTGGCCAAGACAAGCCACAACCGTCATTCGAAGAGGGTTTCGCATGAGCATATTGTGTGGGATGCTCTGTGGGTGTATCGATTCAGTCACAAAAGGTCTAAACTCGATGGGTGAGACTCATGCAAGCTCTAGTCGATCCATGGCAGTCAAGAATCTGGCTCGGACGCTTGGTGAATCCTCTGTTCCGTGCCGGCCATCCATCCATCCATCCATCCATCAGTCATCAGTCATCAGCCATCAACTTCCTCCTCTTCTTCGTTCTTACTAGTCCAACTCAAGCCTGTCCTGCCTATCCACACTCCACACTACTCGGCCTACCTGCCAGCCGGTCTTGCATCGATGTATCTAGATGTCCATCCATTCAGTCTGTCCGTCGCAAATTACTTTTCCATTTTGATTTGACCCATTCCCAAAGTCGCATGAGAATTTGTTCTTACGTGCGTGATCTAATCTCTCCAACCGTCGAATACTAGTTCGGCCAAGCCACCACGAGCCGACAACACTGACACGAGATAAACGACTGCTACCGTGACGGAATACTACCCCTTCCTGCATTTTCTGCTAAGCTCTCGCTCGGTCTTCGGATAACGAGCCAAGTAGGGGTAGATACGGGCACGCAAACTGGTTGGTTACTGGAAGAAGGAAGGAAGGAAGGAAGAAGAAAGCTAGAAGCTTTGGTAACGCAACTGAACGGAGCGGAGCTCTGATATAAGGCCCGGTACGCTGGAGACGTGCCGCTTGTGGGAACCTGGGTCCTGGAAGGTTTTTCCCACTTTTCCTTTGCTGCTTGCCTAACTAAACTTTTCCTTCCTTGAGACTTTTCGAGGCTGACGATTTCCACAACGTCTCTTCAACAAACATCAGACCACCCCGAGTCTCTCCTTCCCATCGACATCAACATACGCCACACCATCTAAGACACTCCCACTCCTTCCGATCTCCCCTTGAAGGGTGAGCAAACATCTCCGTCAACAACATAAACTACGACCAGTGACGAATCAGGAGAAGAGACGGATAACGACAAAGCGAACAACACACTACACTCAGAGAATGCCATCCAGGCCATCGATAGTCAACCAAGCATCATGACGTGGATTGCGCCCCCAGCCGTGGCAATCGTGGTGGTGGATATGATATTCACCACGCTGGCCTTTATCACCGTCTGCTTCCGATTATTCACAAGGGCGGTTCTGGTGAAGAATGTGGGGTCGGATGATTACTATATTGTTGGGTCGATGGTGAGTTTGCTTTCACTCTGTCATCATTTGGGGTTTGTGGTTGGAGGACCAATGGGGGTTGTGGTTGGCGCATGGGAAGAGACGGAGATGGACCGGGCCGCGCTTACGCCTTATGCCTTACGCCGCTTACCACGTTTGGGTGTGAGTGGTGATGTTTGTCATCACGATCTACGTTTGGCAAGGACATGGAACAATGGGCGGTGACGGGGATGAAGCTATTCCCTGGTGCCGTGCCAGCTTGTTGGGTATCGATGTCGATCACTGCTGGATGGAGTTTTTGCATGGAACTTAGATGGACATGGGCTAACATATACCCTTGTTGGTTGACAGGCAGCGTCAATCGCATATCTTACTGTTGTGATGATACAAATCAAAGCTGGATTAGGAAGACATCTAACAAGTGAAGATGAGGTTGTCGGCTTCCTATACGTAAGTCCCCCCAAACCCCCTCCCCCATCCCCAACAACCATTCACCAAAGAAATTAACTAACCAACATGCCCCCCCCCCCAACAGGCCCTCTGGGCAACAATCTGGATCTACTCCCTCGCCCTCATGTTCGTCAAAATGTCCATCACAGTGCAATGCTATCGCGTCTTCCGCACGCCCAAGATGCAGAAGTTTTTCCGCGTCTACTTCGTTTTGGTCGTCATCTACGGTCTCTGGACCGTCCTCGGCACATTCTTCACGTGCTGGCCCATCAACCTGTGGTGGGAAGTCGTTCGACGGGAACGTGCCCCCAGGGGCGTCTGCATGGATAAGAACATCATTACTTTCGTCAACGCGGGGATCAATATCCTTTCGGATCTGGTGCTGGCGATTGTGCCCATTCCGTTGTTGTGGAAGTTGCAGATCCCGAAAAGGCAGAAGCTTATTCTGACTAGTTTGTTTGGCTTGGGGACTTTTGCGAGCCTTATGAGTGTTGTTAGGCTGTTTTCACTAAAACAGATTGCGGAAAGTCCGGATGAGGAGCAGAGTGGTATGCTTTTTTTTCTTCAGCCTCTTCCGTCTTTTCTCCCCTTCTCCCCCCGCCGCCTCCAGTTTCGTCATTTTTTCCCATCCTCTCTTCCCCATCCACTCCTCGCTTCCCCTTCCTCCATTTCTTTCTTTGTTCACGTGAGGTGCTGACACAAAAAACAGTAATGGGCGTCTCAATAGCCATCTGGTCCTGCATCGAAGTCAACATCGCAATCATGTGCGCCTCCGCACCCGCTCTCAAGCCTCTCGTCATGAAGGTTTTCCCCAAGATGTTGCTTTCCGACATCTACGCCAAGACCAAGGGGGCCTACTACGCTTCCAAATCCAAGCTCGGGGGAGGCGTACTTGGAGGCAGCGGCAAGCATGGTGCAGGAGATCCCAAATCTGCCGGAGGAGGTTCGCAGTCTGAGCGATCTGGCAATCGATCCGGCATAAGAACGCACACGCGATCGATGCATAGTATCGGCGGAAGCGCCATGCGGTCTGGAAACCATGACAAGGGTAACCGGCGCAACCCGGGTGAGATCCAGGTTGAGCACGAGATTGAAATGAAGAGTGTGCCTATTAGTGAGGTAATGGGACACGAGTCTGGGCACGGACATGGACATGGGGGTAACTTGAACGGAGGAGGCTCGGAGGAAGATATTGGCAATGCGGGGAGGATTAGTCCAGCGGGTAGCGAGAGGAATCTGGTGTGGCAGCAGGATGATGTGCCATTCTATGGGACGGGGCAGAGCCAGGGCGTACCTGGGATGGGCATGGGAATGGGCATGGGAATGGGAATGGGACATGGGAAGAAGGTGACGACTATTACGACTTGTCAGGGCCCGGTGACGAATAGTGGTAGTAACAGTAGGCAGGAGCAGCAGCAGGCGAGGGAGAGGGAGATGGTTTGATGATGATGATGATGATGATGGAGGATGATCGAACTTTTGTCAACGGGTTTGGACTGTATTATTGTTTCTTTTGTTTCTTGGTGCTAGATTTGGATTGGAATTTGTTTGATACCTCTATGTCATGGATAAAGAAAATGAAGTCGATGTGTTGAGATGGTTTTACGGGTTGCCTCTGGCATTTACTACCTGTGTACTAGAGCTGGACTTCGGCTGCACATGCTTCGATGGGAGGTAGAGGTACTCGGATTCTGATATTGAGGTACAAAATTTGGACATGTATTCCAGCAGGCTATTTGTACAGTAGATCGCCTTTCAACCTCATCGGAAATTTCGCCCCATTTCCTCGTCATTCTTTCCTCAACCATCCACCTTCTCCCCCTACCCCTTCCCTCTGAGCAAATTAACCATCCCAAGGCCTAACAACAACACCCACCCCATCATTCCCCACCACCCTCAATTGTCCCTCCCCCGTCTGCGGTCCAGCAATACACCAACAGTCCCCCTTCGCCGGCCCATCGATATAATTCCACACAGCCGCCACGTCTTTTCTCCCCAAAAAGAAATTCATCCCATCGCACACGCCCCAGCATTGTTCGAGTGTCTGTATTGCCCTCAAAGGGCCCGCAAGATTTTGTTTTGAGGAAGGGGAAGAGGAGGAGGCGAAGAGGTTTGCGTCGCAGAGGATTTGGTATTTTTGTGCTTGGTTGGAAGAAGTGAAGGGCGAGGTGAGGAGCGTGGAGTTGGAGGTTGGGCATGTGAGTTTGGATTGGGAGGTGGTTGAAGCTAGGGGGCTTGGGAGGGCGAGGGTGACTGTGGTGGTTGTGGTTGCGGTTGTAGGTGCGCGGCCGTTGGCGCTGGTTGGTTGTGGTGATGCTGTTGCTGATGTTGCGACTATTGTTAAGGAAGGGGAGACGGAAGTAGTGATTTGGGATTGCTGGGCTGGACAAACGGAGACTGTGGTGGTGTTAGTTACCTCACTCCTTTTTTGCAAGCCCATGAAAGGCGTAAAAGGGCTGGTATCGGAATTATGACTGAGCCATGACAAGAAGGAAGACAACGGGAAACACACAAACCTCCATCACGACCACCACCACCACCAGTCTTCTTCAACCCAACCCCCAACCCAACACCTAAACCAATTGCCACGGCAACAACAACAACCAAAGCAACAACCAGCACAAACGTCGACCTTCGCATCCCATATATCCCTTGCCCCCCGGACGACTTTGCTGTTGCTGGCGGCTGTCCACCATGTCCATGCTGAGAGAACTTCTCAAACCCGTTCGCAGGGATAATCGCCTTATTCCGCATTCCGTTGACATCGACGTACTCGTGGGGTGTGTAATATGCTGAGAGAGGTTGTGGAGCGTCATGTCCTTGATGCAAAGGGGTTTGCTTTGGCGGGACTGCGGGAGGGACGGGAGGGATGGCTTGCTTTTCCCATGTCCCCATGTCGTCGTGAGTAGAGGTAAAGGTGTGATGTGGTGAGAGAGTAGCTGTAGTACTGGAGGTGATTGTTTGGTGACCGAATGTGTTGTTAGAGTTGCGGTGGTTGTCCATTGTAGCTGGTAGCTGTAGGTGATAGGAACCTCTACGTTGGGAAGTTGAGGCAGGTAGATGGATCCTGGGGAGTCGGTGTACGATACCTGGAAGTCCTGTCGGACGAAGATGTTAGACAATCGGAGGAAAGGAGAACCCCCGACCTTGATACATCTCCCGGGGTCGGAAGGACTGATATCATGTCTCTTGCGCCGCACCGTCACTTCCAGGTTGGTTCGGTTGGGGGCTGGAATAAGGCGTAGGCGTGGCGATTTGAGGCGATGGTAGAACTCTACCTTGGGTATATGATGTTACATCGACCCGGTCAATTTGATGAGCGAAGCAATGTCATTTCAGCTTTTATGAATCAACCGGTTTCGTGGTCTTTTCGGACCCCAAACTTTGCTGATGCCGCATCGTGTTGTTGGTGTCGGGACGTGGGAAGTGATATGGTGGAAGGAAACAGGGCAGTGGTTCCATGGGGTCTAGGCAGTCTTAGGTACCTTTTACACGAGCGATTATGCCTTGCTCGAGGTTTGTTCGCAACTATGGTCTTTCACGACGTCAGTGTGCCGGAATCTGGCGATGTGTATCGTTTCTTCTGCGGCTTGGACGGAGGGCGTGTTTTGGCTTGAGGTTCGCGATAGCTGGATATGGTTTCATGATGTGACTAGCTACCTTGCGGGAATTCGAGGTGAATATAAAGCAACATATCCCTAGAAAGGATGGCAAAGGAACTGTACAGTATTTATGCTCATTGAGGGCCCCCGGCCCTTCTTCCAGCCAAAGGCTGATGGGCCACGAACTGACCAGATCCAGTCGCTTGATGTGTTCTCGAGGCGCATGAAGAACAAAGCCGTCTTTGATGGGAACGTTTGTTTGCCAACGCCTTTCTCAGGGCGGACGGCATAGTAAAATGCCCGCCAATGTTTGTTGCTCATTGCTCGCCCCTTGCTGTTACACAGTATGCCGAAGTGGTTGCAAGAAACCAACCCAGCATATGCCAATGGTGACAAAACATGTTGGTTTGCTTTAATTTCCAATTGCAGAATAACCTGGGAAAGGTAAATGACTCTCGCGTCGTGCTAGTTACGGCTTGAGGTTCGCGCTGGGTTCTGTGTCGTTGGTTGGTAACTGGATTGTCGAGACCTGAAGCGGCTTGTTTATCGAAGTCCAGCCTGGATGGCAAGACCAGATTGCTGCAGTTCGGAATAAAGCAACATTTAATGGGAGTAAAAATGGGTCGGCATGGTAAAGGAGGGAACTTGGAAGGAGGAAAAAAAGAAAGAAAATGTAGGAGAACTGAAAGTGGTTATCAGCTTGACAACAGGCCACACAGAAAAAGCGGCAAGAAGTGTCCGGGTCTGGTTAGCGCGAGGAAAAATGACCCCGACGTTCCCGCCTGCGTTGACAGTTTCAATGTTCAAGACTCCTCGATGCAGGAGGTTCCCTCGCACCTGTCATACAGATCCAATCTGTCATGCAGTATAACGGCATGTGAGTCTGATGAACGCATGTGGCAGCCACAGTTATCTCAGAAAGAAACATCGAGGAAATAAAACACCAAAGGCAACATCAAGGCAACATGACAAGACGCCAGAAGATCGTGGATCCAAAAAAAAGGCAGACATTATCAGCACCATGCAGTTGCAAGTGAAAGTATTATTCTCGTTCATTCCCAACGCTCAGTTTCAATAATACACAACTGTACCTCTAGAGGTACACATGACAATCACACCATCCAGTCCGGCGCGAACACAACACCTTCCATTCTTCTTGAATTCCCCCTTAGGATCTTCTTCCCCTCTGCTTGCCCTCATACCCTCCTCCATCTACCATCCATCTACCATCCACCCCTCACCATCTCCTACGTCAAATACTCACCCACGCTCGGGACATATACTGCCGCCGCGGCTGCGGCATTTTTCGCCCTACAACCATCGCACATCCCCTCCTCCTTCGTGTTCGTCACCGAAGTGACTCCCTCTTTACAACCCCCAACATCCAGGGGGCTTGTCGTGTACTTGGTGCTCGAGACTTCGTAGCATTTGTCGTAATCAACTTTGGATTTGAGTACGGCACCGCACTCGGTGCATTTGGTTTCGTTGTAGGTTGCTGTGCACATTTTGCTGTAGTAGTGTAGGCTAATGGCTTTGCGGGATGTATGAGGTAGGTTGTATAAGAGCCATTGTGCCTTGTCTTGTGTTCTTATAGTGCAAGCTGTGATTTAAATGCATTCTTGCTTCTACTGCAAGCCTGGTTCACAATTGTGGATAGCACGGGCCGGGGGATCATATCCATTGCCAACGGCAAGGTACAATATCGAGTCTGTGACACAGCGTTTTCATCCTTTTTTTTTTTTAACTAAACCAGAGCGATGGTCATCTTTTTTTTTTTTTTGGAAGACCTGAACCTGACGAACAAACCCTCCGTGGTGGGCACGCTTGAGACATCGGTGAAGCCACATAGCTCTCTCTCTCTCTCTGTGTTTACTAGTGTCGGATGAACGTAGCCACCATCAATACGGTATCGGTTGTGTCAGGCTGCGATAAAAATTTTGTCCTGGCCAAGAAAATGTAGAATTTGGCATTGGGAAGAGGTAGAAGCACCACACTGGTGAGCAATGAGATGTTGTGAGCTAGGCCGTACAAAGGGGTTTTCAGACAGGTATATTTATACCTACATACCTTAACTACTTATTCAGCTGTACTGGATACTTGGTAGGTGAAATCAACCATTGGCGGCAAGTGTCAGTTAGAAGGAAGTAGGAGAAGGGAAGAAGATAGCTACTAGTATACCCTAGTGCAAATAAAAAATTAAAAAAAAGCAGGGGGAGAGAGGGGTAAAGAAAAACATCAAGGACATGGACAGGCAAAACGAGGGCTGAAGATTTCATATACCATTCAGCTGAACTGAAAGGACGCCAGATAGCCCAAGACACTTAAGTGTAAGTAAAGAAAACATCGCCCTCATTCCTACCTAGACTACCTATCAGAAGTACCATTAATTCCTTCCAACACCTATATAGGTACGTATAACACAAGGTATTCATCTTCACCTCCCTTGTCCCCAGTGTACCCACGTCAATGCCCCCTGCCCCTTCTCTCCAGGGTATTTATCCACCCATAGCCATACTCCTAAAAACAATAGCAATCCTCTCCAGCTTGACCTCGCAAGTCTCACATATCCCCTCCTCCTTCTTGTTCGTCACCGACGACGTCCCGGCCTTACATCCGCCGAAGGTCAGTGTGCTTGAGGCCAGCACTTTGGAGCAGGAGGCCTGGTCGATTCCGGATTTGACGAGTTTCTTGCAGCGGGTGCATTTTGTTTCGTTGTATGTGGTTTGCACATTTTAGCTGGATACTTTGCAAGGGTATGGGGATGGGGGATGAGTTGGGAATGGGGGATGGGAATGGGGTGGTGTTGTGTTGTGTGGTGGATTGGGGTGGTGTGAATAAAGGCTTTTTGGAGCTTTGGAGGAACTTGTTGCTTCGGGAGATGTAGAAAGAAGAATAGAATAAGTATTACGCATATTAATTTCTTCTTATAGTGCATGCAAGCTGAGATCTCCATTCTCGCTCCATGTAGTGTAAGCATATGTGGTTCATGAATCGTGACTGTAGATGGCGCGGCTGGTGTGTGGTGAATCATATTATTCCATTGTCTCTTGATGTCTAGATGGAAGTCTAGAAGACTGGTACACCCACGCCGCCCGCTATTCCATGTCGACATGCCCATGTCTGCAAGTGTCCAAGTGTCCAATAATATACTATGCAATCCGTACACATTACCGTACTATGTGATATGCTAAAGTTGGATGTAAGGGGAGTAACTAAACAAAAGAAATGTGATTCCGGTTCCATGTCCATGGTGTCTGTGGTATTTTTTGCGTCCTCCTTCCACTCCTTGGTTTTTCTAATCCAATCCTCCAAAGTGCCTGTTGTTGATCCCATGCCCATGCCCCATATCATGCTGCCCGGGGCCGGTTCTCATGCAAATGCAGACGCCTCACGCCACATCTCAAGCAGATATCCTCCCCGTATTCCCCGTATTCCCCGTCGCCCCACCCAACATCATATACGGCCTCAACTGCTCAATAATCTCCGTCAACTCCTCGTTCTCATCCACCGACCCGCCACTGCCCTCGTCATCATGGTCTCCTCCTTCCATCCCTTCATCTTCATCCGCATAACCATCCCCTTCTTCGTCGTCCATGTCATCGCCATACTCCCTATCGTCGTCGTACTCTCCATCGTACCGACCTGCGCCAGGGAAGTATCCTGATAAGGGACGACCTCCGGGGCCTTTTAGTTCTTCTTCTTCCTCCTCCTCCTCATCTCCTTCTCGCCCTTGTTGTTGGCCTTGTTGCTGATGATGTTCGTATTCTTCTTCTTCCCCTTCGTACCCTTCCTCCACAGACTCAACATTCCCCCACTGCGTACTCGGGACATACGATATCCTATCGTCAAAAGTAGTACTGACGTTTGAAATCTGTCTGCTGTGCGCCCATCCATATCCCCTGCCACCACCACCGTAGGTGCTGCCTTCGCCATCGAATTGACTCCCGTATTCGCTAGGAGGTATCTGTCCCACTATGCCTTCGCTCATGGGGATAGAATCGAGTGATGACATGCGGGAGTGTTGCATGTGATTTAGGTCATGATGGTCCCCATTCCCTGCTGCGGCAGCAAGCCCAAGTCCACCATGGACCATGCCATGTACAAAGCCTCCGGGACCTCCAGGTCCAACTCCAGGACTTAGCCCTCCTCCAGGCCCATAAGCAGGCGTCCGAGGACTGGCTAGATCCCGATCACTGCCGCTGCCGAGTTCGGATTGGATGACGCTTGCTTCGCCTACTTCGCCGAATTCACCAAATTCTTCGTCTTCTTCCTCGTCGTCTTGGTGGCCTTCGTGGTCTTCGTTGTCGTCCTCCTGGTAGCTGTGGTCGTTATCCTCGTCATCGTAGTCATAGTCGACTTCATCGCCGTAGTTGGAGGAGTCAGAATCGGTATTACCGGCCATGGCGAGTTCTTCAGCTAGGGAGAGACGGCGGCGGAGGGTGGGTTGTTGATTGGATGGTTGTAGTTGTTGGGATTTTGAGAGGCCGTGGGGTTGCGGTCGTTCATCTGTTGTCGGTGTTAGCAATCATTTTTCTCGGGGCCACAGAGAAAAGCAAAGTAAAGACATACCCTCCTCCCTAATCCCTATCCCCCCCCATTCCATGCACCGTATTCCTCCTCACATTCGCCCTCGCCCTCGCACTCTGATCAAACGCCTGACCAGTCGGGCTCATAGTCATAGCCTCCATCGATCCTCTCGAACCATGCGACCCCCTCAGAGTTGAATACGACCTTGAATTTCCCAACGTCGAGTGATCAGAAAATTCATCATCGTTGAACATGATGCTCCGCTTCCTGTGCATCATGCCTCCCGAACCATTCGGTGCCGTGCCAGGTCTCTTCTGGGTATGACTACCCCGTCTCTGACCACGAGCAAGGGCCTCCTCCTCGTGAGGCGGCGGGATAGTAACGAGACTTATCCTCCTCGGCGCGCGCGGCTTCCAAGACGTGGGACTCAGCTGGGCAGAACTTTGCGTGTGGCTTGTTTGAGGCCGGTTCTCGTTACGAGATTGTTGTTGGACCGGAACAGGCACCTCACTGCTGCAGTCCCGACGTTCCAACTCCACAGCCCGGCGAAGAATGCGATCGTATCCTTCGTAGAAGTGTTGCTGAACAGGCTCCAAGTTAGCCCCGGCGCCGCCAGCGGCCTTGTTCACTTGCTTGACCAGCTGCAGCTGGCCCTCGGTGAACTCGAGCGATTCGATGGCGAGCTGTATGGCGGCGTTGACGCGCATTTCGGCGCGCAATTCCTGGATGACGGCAATGCTGACACCCGGATTCTCGGCGGCTAGGTCACGGTATTCATAGGCAGGTTCGAATCGTTCGGGAACGGGGGCGAGGCGGAGAGGTGGACCAAGAGGTGGGAAGTCGGGTGAGATTTCACCTTGGACTGTGGCAGCTGGTGCTGATTCAGATCTGTTGAGTCCAGGTTTTACGGGAGCCTCGTCGAGCTCCAAACTGAGTGTTCGAGTCTTTAGCGATTCCTGCTGCTGCTTCATACTGAGACCGACTTCAGCGGAAGGACGTTCCAGGGTAACCAGCGTGTCGGTAAGGGCCCTATGCAAGCCGCCGAGGGTGCCAGAGAGGACCTCATTCCATCCCTTGGGGTACTCGTCATGCGGCAGTACCTCGGATATGAACATGTTGAGGGCATCTTGGAGGCTCTTGCCCATGAGCAGCATGGCCCCCACCAGGGCGTCCTTATCGGCATCCTTGAGTGCTGAGTGAGAGTGAGACGGGTCCGGTTGCTTGAGTTTGAGTGTCTTGATGTGGCCGTCGAGCTGTTTGACAATTGCGACGGGATTCTCGGCGGCGACCCGTTTGCGATCCGAGTCGCCGCGACGAAACAGCCATGTCCCGATGTCGGGCAGTGGAAGCACGGCCATCTGGTGCTATTGTATCAGACAGGCCCGGGTCCGCGGGTCCGGGTCCAGGTCCAGGTCCAGGTCCAGGTCCGTTCCGGGTCGGCGGGTTCCTCTCAATGACTTGCGCTGCTGTCTGTGTCAAGTGTACGGCGGGCCCCGCACCGGCCGGATCCAGATGTTGAGGGGAACCAGGCTGCAGCGGAAAAGGGGTAAAAATGGACAATTTTTGAGAGCAAGTACACAAGACAAGTAATTCGCCGCCCTACCAAATGAGCTCCGGCATGAGGATTGATGGTGGTTTGGACTCCAACTGGACTAAAAAGGCGTCCCCAAAAACAACAACCAAGATAACAATAGCCTGGTCTGGGGCCGTGGACGTGAATGGCCTGGTCTTGACCTTGTTGAGGACAAGTGGTTTAGGTTGGGATCCAGTCCACATGTGGAGATGGCGGTGTGCTGTCTAGGCTGGACAGGTCGTTTGAGATTGGGGCTTTGTCTTCAAGAGCCTGGAGTACATTGGGGTTGGTCCATTCGGCTTGTCACCTTGGCCACCTCCACCCACATTGGTCAATTGGAGACTGTTTGTTACTTTCCACGCCCACGTTCAATCTTTCTCACCCACTCACTGCCTCCTGCAGTGACAACCCAAAGTGAAAAAATATGTGCGCATACCATTCATTTCTCAAAATCCACTGGACCACATCCAGTGCCACGCGCCGCTGCCGCCAAAAGCGCAGGTGCAGGGAATGTCACGCTGCTACCAGGGGACGCTAGACCCCGACGTTCGGTGGGGCTCAATGGCGCCAACTGAGTGTCAGTGGTTCGGTGTTGGTGGTCCCGGAACTCCGGTGTTGAATGCCATTTCCCCGCGCGGCATCGCAAGCCATTCTCTAAGGGAGGGACAAACACCAAAAGGTGGGAAGGAAAAGATGGTGAAAAAGATTCTGAAAGAGGTGAATTGACGTTCGCTTTTGTTTTGATGAAGACTTGAAGGTTCGCTTTAAGGGACCATGTAAGCACGACACGACCCGTTGCATTCGGCGCGGATACGGGCCCTGGACGTGGGCGTGGACGTCTGGCATCCAACGCCATCGGAACTCGGATCATGGCATGGTAAAGCCCAGGGGACAAGATCACATGCTGATGATAATGCAAAGACGCGAACACGGTAGGTAAACAACGCGTGAAGTCAAATTACCCTCGCATTAAACATGGCGGTTTTTTTGAGCCTCAGGTCAAAGTGACTGTCAGACGGATAATAAGTGGCATGCTAAGGCTGTTGTTGCATGTGCCTGACAATGCCCTGGCAGCAGAAGACGCAACCTGCTTCATGCAACGCGAATGTTCAGGCTCCTTGGGTAAAGGCGCATACATGGAAGGAACTGAGAGGCGGGTGAAGAGCAAACGGAAACAATGCCCATCAGAAAAGGAATAATCTTCCATCACTGCGGGCGAAGTGAGGTCAACCAAGAGCCTCCAGAGGAGAAGGACATTGCCATTCTTTTTTCTTGTCCGACCCCCTCCAACAAAGGCCTCTCCCCTCAACTCCCCCAATTGTAGGGTTAGGGTCCATTCCCACCCTCCAACTGCCGACATACACGAGCGCCCAGCCAGACATCCGCCGGCCATTCGGCCACTCGGCCACTCGGGCCAAAGTCCCCAAATCCCCCAAATTAATTGCCCGCTCGTTCGCCTCGGATCACGATTCCATTGGCAATTTACATCAAAAGAAGAAACTACCATTGGTACCAAGACTTCCTTCTCTACAACACTCCCAAGGATCATGATGCAAGCCAAAAGGGACGGACCGAGCACTTGCTCCTGCGAACTACCACTTCCATTGCATAGAAAACTGCTAGTGTAACGGAACTGACGCCGTGACCCGTTGGACGATGGATGGATCATGGATTGGCACCAGGATGGCAGGTCTCCAATATTCCCCCACTCGGTCAATCGCTTGGGAAAGCTTGGACTAAGCCTTGTCCCTTGCTTCTGACGTATGAGACCTTTTTGGGGCTATCATATCAGACATTGACCTATGAGACGATCGTCTGTACGAGAACCATGGTGGAGGTCATGGAGGTGTATGGGCTGGCTGGGGAACGTCAAGTGGGAGTGTACCACAGCAGACGCAAAAGAAAGAAGAAGAAGAAGAAGAAGAAGAAGAAGAGGCGGATGCGACGGAAGAAGCAAGAAAGATACGGGAAGCAATAGGAAAAGAATGATTCAGCCAGAGGGGTCGAGACTCGGGAGAGGTATGATGGATTTGATTCTTCTCAGCTGGTACAGTATTTACCCGTCGACCCGAAGGTGAGTGCATGGACTTAGTACAAATGAAGCGATTGGGAGATCGGCTGGGGACAATGAAACACCGCGGGAACGAGAACGGGACGCAGATCATATTATGGTACCACCCAGCGGCATATAAGGGAGGGCAAGAAGTAGCCGGATCGACGTTTCTTGCCTTCTTGAGTTCTTACTTTTCAGCCCTCACCGCAGCCTCTTGTCTTTCTTGGACTCTTGGACTCTTCAGTTGGATTCTTGTCATATCCCCTCCTCCTCCAGCACCTTCACCTACCTCTACCTCTACCGATAACCCCAAGTACACCAAACCATCCAAACACCCTCGCCATCACCCTCACCCTCACCCTCACCCTCACCACCGCCATTACCATCGACGCCACCACGATGTCTGCCCTCCTCCTCACAGCCTTTCTTGCCCTTACCTTCGTCGCCTACCGCCGCCTCCACTACCACCGCTTCCAACAATATGCCCACATCCCCCAACCCCCCACCTCCCTCATCTGGGGGCACATGTCCCTCCTCCACAAATTCATGTCCCAAAACAGCCTCCCTTCAGACAGACACATCGACCTCGTCCTCCTCGAAATCTGGCACTCCCTCAACAACCCGCCCTTATTCCTCATCGACTTGAGACCCGTTGGGCCCTGTTTGTGTATTATCGCCTCTCACCATCTAGCTGAACAAATATCCCGCCCTTCCTCCCTGTCTGGCAAGCACGACTTCCCCTACAGCGTTCCCAAGTCTTATACCCTCGGTGACCTAAAACCGTTGGTCGGACACGACAGTATCATTATTAAAGAGGGACAGGAATGGAAGGACTTACGCAAGAGGTTTAACCCGGGGTTTGCGCCGGGGCATTTGATGGGTTTGTTACCGGTTGTCACGGAAAAGGTGTGGATGTTTATGAGGCTTTTGGAACAGGTTGCTACTGACGGTCAAGAAAAGGTGGTGAAACTGGATATGTTGACGCAAGGGCTGACGGTGGATGTTATTGGCGAGGTGGTGATGGAGGTTGATGTTGGTGCGCAGGAGGAACTTTTGGGGAAGGCGGATTTGAGTGAGGACGCTGCTGCTGCTGCTGTTGCTGGTGCTGAAGAGGAGGATGATGATTTGGCGGCAGGGATGGGAACAAAAGGGGGAGAAGGGGGGGACGGCAGAGAAGAAAAAGGACAAATGTCCAACTTCACCAAAATCTACTACCGCCTCATAACCTCCTACGCCGCCGAAGGTAAACCGCCCATCGAATGGTTACAGCTTTTCACCAAACCGTTCAGTCGTCGTCGGAGACAGGTTTTGTCGCAGAGAGTCGATACTTTCCTGAGGGAATTTGTGCAGAGGAAACACTTGGATGAGTTTCACTCCTCCAACCCATCTTCTCACCACCAGCAACCGCCCAAGACAACCACTGCCCCCAAATCCCGTTCGATCTTGTCCCTCTCCCTAAGCGAGCAGGAAAATTCACCCACTCTCCCTCCCAAAATTCTCTCAACAACAACCGACGCCCTCAAAACGTTCCTCTTCGCAGGCCACGACACCACCGCCATCTTAATCGGTTGGATCCTCTATTACCTCTCCATCTGTCCGCGGGCCCACAGCCGCATATCTTCCGAACTTGACTCAATATTCAAACCAGGTGCTTCCCCTTCGGAAATTAGGACCCAGCTGTCAGGCTCGGAGGGTCCGGAGAAGTTGAATAGAATGGTTTATACACATGCTGTTGTCAAGGAGGCGTTGAGGTTGCATCCGCCTGCGGGCACGGCGAGGAGGGCGGACGTTGGTTCGGGTTTCGTGGTAACTGAGCCTGCTTTTTCCTCTTTCTCTGTCGGCGGTCAAGGAAAGGGTGGGAGACAAGGACAAGGACGAGGAGGCCAATGGAACCTCGACGGAATGGTCCTCTACAACTGCGCGACCATCATCCATCGCGATCCCGAGGTTTATGGCGAGACAAAAGATGAGTTTTGGCCTGAGCGATGGTTATCCGAGTCTGATTTTGAAGGCAAAGGCGAAATCCCACCAGGAGCATGGCGTCCCTTTGAGCGCGGCCCTCGCGACTGCATCGGTCGCGACCTGGCGATTATCGAGGCAAAGGTCGTTGTTGCTTTGGTGCATGGACGGTATGATTTTGTTAAGGTTGGGTTGGGGGAGAAGGTGTTGGTACCTCAAGACGGTCAAGGGTCTGATGAGTACATGGAGGGGAAGCAGCCGGTGCACGTGGTGGATGGGACGGGGTGTTGTGTGGTTAAGGAAAAGTTGTATACGAGGAGACAGGTGACGGCGAGGGCGGCGGATGGGATGCGGATGAAGGTCAGGTTGGCGAGGGGGGTGGTGGGGGGTTTGGAGGGATGAGTGTGAGTTGGTTGGCTGGTTGGCTGGAGGAAGGGACAAGAGGATATGATGGGGAAGGAACATACGCATTTGAAAACTTGCTTTCAGTGTCGAATTTCGAATAATAATGTAGCTAACAATCAATCCAAGGTAGGTAATATCCACGATCCGTTTACCCTGCACAAAAGCAATGCTCAACCAATCGTCATATGCCTTATGTGCCCATACATTTGACCCATCCCGTTTTCCGCAACCCTGCTGTCTCCGAAAAGGTATCATGCCGCGAAAGAAAATACAAATAGGTATCACAAGAAAATAAAGAAAATAATTCCACCAACCGGGACACTTAAGCTGATGTCTTGGGCTTCTTCCGAATCAACCCAGCTCCCAGCACGTTCACCTTTGGTGCTTCAAGCACCAATGTATTCACAGCATCACCTACTGTCCCCTTCTCGGTGAACGGGTCCTCAAGCCCATTAGTCTTCACGTCCGCCGCGCCAGTCTCAACAGCAGCCGGCTTCTTCTTCCTCACCAATCCTGTCAAGTTGTTAACTGGAGCCGCACTTCCCCGACCAACAGTGGCACTCGTCACAGTCTGGACCCGCCTCCCAACAACCTCATGTCCCCATTTGGCACCCATGCCGGCCTCGCTGATCCATCGCTTGGTTGCACTGCAAGCTTTATCTAGTGTCTCGAAGTCAAGCTGCAGCAGTAGCTCCACCACGCGCTTGTAGTCGTGCTCGTCTACGATGAGGTCGCCACGACCCTCGACCGGCCAGTGGTAGTAGGCTGTTGTGTTGGGTCGCTTGAAGAGGTAGTTCCGTTGATGTTTCTTGACTTTGGGAACACGAGGGGTGATGCGACCTTTTAGCTTCTTTTTCTTCTCCTTCTCTTTCTTGTTCGACTCCTTTTGGGTGTCTTGTTGAGAGGCAGGAGCTTGGTCAGCTGTGAAAGAGGCCTTTAGCGGACTGGCCTGCGGCGTACGAGCCGGTGCATCAGCACGACGCTTTGGTGGAGTTGAAGGTGGGAAGGCGGTAGAAGGGTCGAACGAGCCCGTAGGGGTCATAAGTGGCGCAGTTGCAAACGACGTTGAAAACGAACCCGTCGTGGCTTGTGTCGCCTGTTCTTCTGCTTCCGACTCCTTGGGGTCAAAAACTAACCAGATGAACCCTGTCAGTCGTCCGGATGAGCATTCCTGCCTAAAGGCCATGGTATCCCAAAACTGGTTCAACGTCCTGATGCTCTTCCATGTGCCCATATCCTGCTTCCACTTTGCAGACTCCTCGTCAAGCTCATCCCTATACCGGGACTTTGGGTCGTCTGGGTATCGAGGGATCAGACACCTAGGCGGCACCCAGTCGAATTCCTGAGTATAATGGGAGATCCTCTCCATGGGGTGGCCGATCTCCCAGTCGTTGGCGCTTGTGACAGTCCGTGGAAGGAAGGCGCGCATGTCTCGCTCTTCAAGGCCAGGGACAAGGAGGTATCCCTTGGTAGCCGCAACTCGGTCATCCTTGCGCTGATCCTCCAGAAGCGGGTTGAGAACTCGACACCACCACCTGATCAGACCCCTGTCACTAAGAATGTGCTTCTCCCTTCCTGGCCCGATTCCGTCGTTTTCACCACTGCCTGGGAAGAGGTACTGGTTCTGCGCACGACCGAAGAGGTTGACGACAGAGACAATGTTTTTCCGTCGTCGGTGTTGAATGAGGTAGGATACGAAGGTCGAGCTGACTTCGCTAATGGGAGAAGGACCTCCTCGTGGTAGCTTGAGAAGATGGAGGTAACCGGTCGAGTCGGCCTTGGAGACGAAGAGCACTGTCTGGAAGGCTGTGGTAAAGATGAAAACCTCAATGGCGAAGGCAATGACTTGTTTCGTTGTCGTCTCGGTCGACTTGACCTCATCAGCTCCCGGGGACGCACGCTTGATGGCACCGCTAACGGGAACTTCGATCGAGAGGGCGAGGAAGTGCTTCTCGCAGTATGTCTTGTCGGGTTTCTCTCCCGGGGGAGCTGCGTAGAGAGCATCGGTGCGGGTGGGTGGTGTCGATAAGTGGTGGATCGAGAACTTGAGGTCTTTTGGCAGCACAGAACCAAGCTTCTCCAAGAGTTCGTTCGTGGTGTTGTTGGTGGTACTCGTGGTGCTGCCACCAGCATTCGCCTGGTTGGAGGAGCTCATTTTGGCTGAGGAAGAGTCGCGATCGCGTTTGGAGACGGTGGAAGGGGTCGACGACGAGGATGCCATTGCGAGTGCTGAAATGGTCAGTGAGGTCACAAACGGGAGTTCATTGTAAGGACGAGCATCGAGTGCCTTGGGGAAGAGCAGCTTTTTGTTGAAGAAAAGTGCTGGGGAAGAAAAAAGGGATCAGATGAAAGGAAGAAGAGCAAGTCTTGTTGCAACTGAACTGCAAGGGACGCGACAAACAACTGACAGGCGCTGACCAACAGTGGACCAACCGTGTAAATCGATTTCGCGGAGCTGCCCCTGTTCTTCTCTCCAAGGTACCTGGCTGATGTACCTTTTGAATACGCCAAGACGGGAGGGAATGATTGTTGAGCTAACTTCAATCGGCTAGCATCTTTGAGAGCTCAGGCCCCGCATTTTGCTGGCTTGGAGAAATCGCCCAATGGTCGACGGCCAAAGTCCGGACAAGTTCATTGATATGGCGCACAGACCACCCCGGGCTTTGGCCGCCAAGGCCGCATCGAAGCCTGCCGAGGGGTCCCGTCCCTCAAATCGGTCGCAAAAAATTCCCGTCTGCCGTCCCACTCTGGCGCGCGCGAACGGACCCGGAGCCTTGCCTTGGGACATCCCGCACAGCGACCCGTCGAAACTGAGCCTGTGCACCGACCGCGCCGACCGAACTGCCAGCCGCGCGACATCCTTTCCCTTTCACGGATCCCGGACTCTTTGGTGTTTTGCGATTCGAGAGTGGAAACGGGCGCCCATCCGACCTCGACGTCTCTTTCTACCCCACGACCCGGTCCCAATCCGCATCCACCCACCTTCATACCTCCAAGTATCTCCACGGTCTCGCCCCGGGTCGTCGTCGTCGTCGCATCTCCAGTCGCATTCACATCCAAAAGAACCACAATGGCCACCCTCACACCCTCCCCGTTCCGTCTTTGCCTCGACATGCAAGACTGTCGCGCAGCAATGCTCTAGGCGACCCGTCGCTGTCCAACAACTCGTTGCCGTCCCCGTCGCCCGCCAGGTCTCGTCGTCGTCGGCTGTCCAACAAGAACAAGATGCTTCCGGCAGCAGCAGCAGCTCGCAGCAGCCCAGGCCAAGGTGGTCGTACCCCCCGAGCGCATGAAGGGTCCCGGTTTCTCCCTCAACCTGTCAAGGACCCCAGGCGCAAGCACTGGTTGGTCAACAGCGACCCGGAAAAGTTGGATGCCTTCTACGAGGCCTTCCTCGGCCAGGGCGGCTCCAGGATGCTATCAGACGAGACCAAGTGGCTGGCCGTCACCCACAAGAGTTTCGACTACGGAAGGAGAGGTTACAACACAAGGCTGGCTTTCCTGGGTACGTGAGACAGCACGGAATATGGAGGGTGTTGCGCAGGACAAGATGGAAACATTGCGACGGAAACACCAGCACGAACTCCGGCTAACAAGGTTCTGTCAGGCCGTCAAATAATCGCCCTCGAGACTACCCGCTCCATCCTCACCAGCCCCGTCCTTAACGAGCCCGCCGCCGACAAGTACGGCCGCCAGCCCTACAACCACGCCGCCTTGGCCAACATCGACAAGCTCATCCACACGCAACCGATAGACATTATGGACAAGACCAAGATCGCGAGGATGGGTATCGATCTCGGACTTCTCACTGTCTTGCGGTGGAAGCCCAGAATGGTAAGACTTGCGCGCCTTGTCATGTACTGCGCTACACTATCGCACAGAGCTGCTACTAACACTAAACCTTGTGACTCTAGCCCGAAGATCTCGAATCCTCTGGTGTCGTCGTCGTCCTCAACTCAACCCTCTTCGCCATCATTGGCGCCATCTCGTTAGAAAAGGGTGCCGCTGTCGCCCAGCGCATCGTCAGAGAGAAGATCCTCAAGAAGCTCGGAGCGTAAGGTGCGCGCCAGGCCGAGAGAGGAGCAGAGAGAAAGAGAAGGAGAAAAGAGGAAAGAAGAAGAGAAGCATCCCTTTATTGTATACACCCCTGTACTATATCGAATGGGCATAGAGGCTGGCATAATCCCGCATACCCATTTCATCATGCCTGCGGGCCGGAGTCCAGAATGATTATTGTTTGCATGCAAGATGGTTCGGTCAGGTCGTTGAGTCTGAGACAATGCGTTGAAGGGATCGAAAAAATGTCCAAGTATGTTACATGGTGTGAACTAACCACCATTGACAGCAGAGAAAACAGCACAAGATCGGGCAACGACAAGCCGACAGAGAAACGCCTCCCTCGCTCGTTCCGAGAGGCAGACTACCAGACACGGCATCACCAGTGGCGATTTACGAATCTCAAGAATTCCTCCACCTCTCCCTTCCGGCCGCAACTACCACTCCAGACCCCCAAAGCAGCTGGCCAGCTTGACCACACTTCTGGCGTTCCTCACGCTGATACTTGTTCACGAGCACCTATCCTGGTTTCGCATTCCTTGGACCTTGCAGGCAGAATCTCACGGTAACCGATGGTGGACAAGTAAGATATTGGCGATCAGCAACGGGCAACAGTCTTGAACACTCCCCTAAACGCGCATCATCGGTTTAAGTTAACGGAGAAAAAGACACATCGCGCACAAGAGTGGAAATGGAATACCGTCGCCAAGGATTTGGGTGCCATCCGGGACACCAACTACATGAAGTAATAAAGCAATGAACTACTGGACTCTGGGCTGTATTTCTTCCCATGCATTTACAGTTGTTTGTCTTGCCCCTTTTCCTTTGTTTACCGGCGCAAACCTCATCCTCAATCGTGGCGTTGCGAGCGGCGTTCACAACCCTAACCCTTCCCAGAAGCCAAGTGTGCACGAGCCATCTCCGACAAATTCCACTGACAAGACCGAGATCGCTGGAGCAGTCTCGGCTTCTGGAAATTTCACCATTTCAGCGAAGGCGACGGACAAATCTCACAACTTCTCAACCTCTTACCTACCCTTGCAAATCTTCATTGTCGGAATATCGCCATTGGTTCCTTTGAAGTCAAACATTCACTTCAACATTTCACCAACCAACGTTGCCCATCATGGCCACCACCACCACGGATACCGTACCCGTCGGTGACTTTGAGCAGCAGACTCAAAAGTTCCTCGAATGGTTCACCAGCCAGCCCGGTGCCACCTTTCACAAGGACATCAAGCTTGTTGATTTAAGAGATAAGAGTGCTGGTCGTGGTATTAGTATGTTCTTTTTTTTCCCGACCTTGACCCAGTCGCGAAATATCGTCGAGTGTCCATCATCCTCTCATGCCCACCATCCATGTTTGCTCAAGCTCAAGGCTCATGGCTTACACGCTGTTCTTACCCACCATGTGTCTCTCTCCCATGACCAACGGTCACTAACACCACCCCAGTCGCAACCGCCCCCATCCCCGCCGACACAACCCTCTTCACCATCCCGCGCTCTTCCATCCTTTGCGCCGCCACCTCCCCTCTCGCCAGCAAGCTTCCTGCCCTCTTCAAGGGTCCCGCCGAACCCACCGTCGCCGAGGAATCCAACGACCACACCGCCGATGATGACGACGTTCCCGAGCTCGTAGAGGAACTGGAAGACGACCCTAACGCCCAGGACCCCTGGACCCTCCTCATTCTCATTCTCGTCCACGAGTACCTCCAAGGTTCCGCCTCGCCTTGGTACCCCTACCTGTCCGTCTTGCCCGAAAAGTTCGACACCCCCATGTTCTGGACCAACGAAGAGCTCGGCGAGCTGCAAGCTTCTGCTTTGGTTCCCAAAGTAGGCAAAGAAGAAGCGGATGAGATGATCCGCTCGAAAATCGTCAAGGTCGTTAAAGACAACGAATCCGCCTTCTACCCTGCTTCCTACTCCGGATCCAAGCTATCTGAGGAGGAACTCCTAGCCTTGGGGCACAGGATGGGATCAGCAATCATGGCGTACGCGTTCGACCTCGCCAAGGAAGACGACGACGACGAAGACGAGGAAGGAGATGGCTGGGTAGAAGATAAGATCGCCGGACAGAACGATACCATGGGCATGGTACCCATGGCTGACATGCTTAATGCCGACGCCGTTTTCAACGCGCATATTAATCACGAAGAGGGCAGTTTGACTGCTACTTCGCTACGCGAAATCAAGGAAGGGGAGGAAATTTTGAATTACTACGGCCCCCTAAGCAGTGCGGAGTTGTTGAGACGGTATGGATATGTCACGCCCAACCATGCGCGGTATGATGTCGTGGAGTTGGGGTGGGATTTGATCGAAAAGGGGCTGAAGAAGATGGTGGATGGCTTGCAAGGGAAGAAGAAGGATGTGCAGTGGGAAAAGGTCGACGAGCTCCTTGAGGACGAAAAAGAGGAGGGAGAGTGGGAGGATAGTTTTGTTCTTGAACGGCAAAGCGAGGACCCTGATTCGGAGGGCCAAGTCCACGGAGAAGCGGAGTTCGTGGGATGGCCGGAGGAGTTGGAGGAGCAAGTTAGGACTTACCTGAAGGCTGTGAAGAAGGTTGTTGGGTCCGGGGACAGGGCGGTCGCGGAGGCGTTGGGGGATAAGAAGGTGAGGGTGAAGGAGATCTTGTTGGGTGCCGTGGCAAGTGCGTTGGAGGAGAGGGAAGGGCAGTATGCTACTAGTTTGGAGGAGGATGAGAAGGTGCTGCAGGGGATTGACGGTGGCAGACCGACGACCAGGAGGGAGATGGCTGTATGGGTTAGGGCGGGTGAGAAGAGGATTATTAGGGAGGCGGTGGCGTGGATTAAGAAGCAGGAGGAGGCTTTGGGCAAGCAGAGCACGGGTCAGAAGGATGAGCCTTCTGCTAAGAGGAGGAAGGCTTGAGAGGAGACTTAGTTGTCTCTGCCCATGGAATTGAACGAGCTCGCGAAGCCATCATCACATTACCGAACTTCAAGCATCAAGGAACACAGCCGAAAGCGAACGAAAATTGATGGTTTGTGATTTTCCCCAATTTCAGAAAGCCCGAACAGGAGAAAGTACTCCTTATGACTTTCTTGTTCTTGCGTTTGCCTTGAGATTGCCATACCATGTAACTGTGGGTTTTATCTTTCTGTGACTTCCCTCCATCCTTCATTGCACTCGCAGAACCACTAACTTGTCCGCAGAATTTGTCTCCTTCGAGCTATAGACGGGTATGTCCTTTTCCATGCCATTGCCATCGCATTCTCAAATCCAGCAGATTATCCATGCACGATCCAGTCCTTCCGCCACGTTCTCTTGCCCATTTTCTGTCCTGTCTTCCCACCACAGCCCAGCCTTTGGTCAGCAAACCCAAACTTCAATACGAGTCAAGTCGCGTCCTGTCAACAAGAAAGTTAGAAAAAAATGGCACAACACATCTGTGATCAGGAACAACTCACCTCTTATCCTTGTCATGCCGGGCCACTACTCAACCCTTTCCTCTTCATCCTCGACCAAAGGGAAAAACAATGCGAGCACCGGCAGCACTCTCATCACTCGAGGAGACCTCAAGGTCCTCAAAAATGTCGTCGGCACCAGGGTAACCAGCGCCAGAAGCGGCAGCAGCACCAGCACCACCAGCACCACCAGTACCACCAGCACCACCAGCACCACCAGCACCAGCACCACCAGTCTCGCCAACAGCACCAGAGGCACCGAAAGCACCACCAATACCACTAACAGCGTTAGCAAAGTCCTTGCCAGAAACAATGGCAAGAACGGAATGACGGCGGAGATTCCTGATCGCCTCCTCAGCATCCTTCTTGGCCTTCTCCTCAGCATCCTTCTTGGCCTTCTTCTCCTCAGCCCTCTTCTTCTTCTCCTCCGCCTTCTTCTCCTCAGCCTTCGCCTCAGCCCGACGACAAGCAACGCACTTACCCACCAACTTGGTGGGCTCCTTGCCGCCCACCAGGATCTCGGTGACGGGCACGCAGGGGGGCGGGTAGTCCTCGCTGGTGGGGTCCCCGAGCACGCGCTCCATCTTGGTGTCGCAGTGCGACTCGCACCAGGTGGTGTGGCCGCAGAGGGCGAAGTTGTATTGTTTTTTGGTGCACATCTTTTTGTTTTGAGTCGATTCTTGGTTAGCTTTACGTTTGCTGAATGGAGTTGAGGGGGAGGTGGGGATGGTTTACGTTGCTTGTTGCTTGGGTTTGTTGCTTGGTTTATGATTTTGAGGTGAAGTGACGGGAGTCTTTTCCTTGGTTTGCGCGAGACGAGACGAGTCTTTACGTTTTGTCTTTTTCTTTTCGTAACGCCAATATTTGCTTGCTTGCTTGTTTCTTGACTTGTTGCCTGACTTGCTTTGACGTTCTGCTAGAAAGTTTGGAGAAGAGACGAAAAAAACTGGAGGAGCTTTTATACCCCTCTCTCTCTCTCTCTCAAATCTTCGGGAAACTTTGAAGAAGAAGCAGTCCTTCGTGCTATTGTCAAATTTTCGCAATAACCCCCTCTCGTCCAGTTCAAATGAAATAGGCACGCGTACAAAAGCTATCATTCGGATTCTATAGTTCTGCCATCTGATGTTTATGGTGGAGTCGGCAGTACTTCTGTACCTCTAGGGTACAGACGTTAGCGGCTAGCGAGTCCTTCCTATATTTCTATTGAGGAACGACCTAGAAGTCTGTGGATCTTCTCTTTCATGTTTTCCTTGAAGTTCAAGTCTAGGCCCGTTGGATATATCTGCCGTTGTTGGTATTGGCTTTTACAGGCACGGCGGACCTGTCCACAGCCTTTTTTCTTTCTTTTTTTATTTACCTGTCTCTGTCACTTGCGACTTGAAGAAATAAGAGCCGCCATGACTTGGAGACTACAGACTGACAGACATGTGAATATTTCAGACCTCCCAGAATTATTGGCCATTTCTTTGGTACGTCATTGGATGATACAGTTCAGTCACGTCACAATCGGACTGACTTCCTGCCATGGACAATGGTCGTTGCTCAATGAGCCACCAGCCACCAGCCACCACGATATTCACGATTATGAAAACAGAAACGTGGAACAAGAGAACTCAACTTGCAAGAGAAAAAGCGAATATAATGCACAATAGTCCCCTCTCCATTGACCTCCAGTTCTATATCTCCCTACTTGGGTTTTCCCGCTGACGGTCTTGCCTAAAGCACGGGCAACTTGTTCACACCAAACACAATACCACCACCACCATCACCGCCACCAACCCAGCGCCATTCCATTCCAATCCATTCCACCCCTTCCACCCCTTCCATTCCCCTTCCACCGCCCACAAAATGTGCAAAACAACCTACACCGAAACTAAATGCACCGGCTGCAAAAAGCTGTTAAAATCAGAGAGCGATTAATGCTCTTGCTCGGAAGTACTCGCCTCCAGCACACTACCTAACTTTTGGCGGATGTAAGGCTGGCGCAACGTCGACAACTAGTACGAAGGAAGAGGGGATGTGTGATGCTTGTATGGCTTATAAGGCTTGTTTGGATGGGATCTTGAGGAGGGCGGTTATAAGGTGAGGGGAAGGAAAGGGTGAGGGGAGTATGAGGGGAGTATAAGGGCTCGAGGAGGGGTAGGTGTGATGGCAGCCTTGTAGTTGTGCCTCTCGACTGCTATCACAACTATATAAGACCACTTGAGCGACCGAATTGCCAGCTTCGGTTACTTGTATCCTTTTGGAACATAGCCTAGTGATGTAGTGGTCCGCCAGCGCCGTGACAGTAGGTAAGAAAATAAAGGGGGGATTTGGTTGCTCTAGTTAGTGATGTATAGCTGGGGGTTGGTATTGGGAATCGAAACGACGTTTTTACTTGCAACGGCATAGAAATCTGTGGCATTCTAGTTCTAGGTGCATCCGCGGTCTTGTGGTTTTTATGACAGGCTAGGGTGCATATGCCCAGACGGCCAAACCTACAAAAGATAGGACGATGTTCTGCTTGCAAGGTAGAACTTGGAATGCACACTATATAGCCAATGTCAACCTGTGACATTTTTATTAGGTATGTTGCTCGCCTTTGTTCCAAATATTTTTTTTACCTCATCTCGGTTTTTTTTTTCTCCTTCGTTAAATTACCTCTAAACTTTTAATCTTTTTTTAAAAAAAATAATTTTGGGGTCTTTTTCGCCACTGGCTACCGTAGTTCCTCCCACTTTCTCTGTTCATTCAGGTATGGCTAATACTTGCCGCAGATTTTGGATCTCCTCAACAATTGTCTTTACCTTGAAGACGGCGTACCTTTACTCAAATATATTTTTTTTCCCCAGGATTGTTCCCGACAAGACACGAAAGGGCACGCGATAACATCGGCCGGGGCTTCCCGTCACGACGGCAGCGCCACGTGGGAGCGAGGTTGATATGTACCATGGTTCCCGCGTATATTGAGAGATGTGGTAAGGTTGATGGTTGATGCGGATAAGGGGAGGAATGGGAGGCAAATGTGTGGTTCATTGTGTAGAGGTATGTACCTCTAGGGGAGGGAGGACGTGATTGGACACTTTAGGGGTTGTCCAGGTGGGAATTATTTGTCTACACCGGGGTATAGGATTGTGAAACCGGGGTTAATGGAAGGTAGGGGGAGGAGAGATAGGTGGAAATTGGAATAGGGAGTGGAATGGCAGGTTGATCTTGTTGTTAAGAGCCAATGCCAGTGTACATGGAGCGAGATAACTACCAGCTGGATCTGAACTTGCGGAGGAATAGAGATGCAATGGCTAAAGAATAAGTAGAAATGAAGCATGTTCTGATGGACCGAAAACAGCACCAGGCTGTTATAGATTTGACTTGATCAGCAGAGGTACCTTACCTGCTAGGCACTTGGCACCTGAAGCTATCCGAGCAATACCCCCAAAGCCGTATCAAACAAACGATGGACCTTCAATGAGTGTAACCGTGTAAGACTATTTCGCCATGCGCACATTCTCTGATTCCGTATCCAACTTGAACAACGAGATAGAAACCTGACCTGCAGATCTCCTGAACATCCTTCCCCCTTTGCTCCATTTTATCCCAGAAAACGCAGTGGGAAGATTGTACCTTGCTTCCAAGCGCATCCCACATATCACACGAGCTTCAAGTCGGACCTGGTCCAAGTCCAACACAGAACATACCTAGAGGTACGTATTGAATTGAAATCTTTCGGATCAGGTACAAGGCAGCCCCTTCCGATACCATGCGTCCTTTAACGCGTCACCTGGCTCGAGGCAAGCGCAGTCATCGACCGATTTGCTTTTGAGTGAAAGAAATTTGTCCAAGCTGTAGCTCGAATAGTGGATCGTGACAACGGCGCCGTTCTGGGCGGCCTCCTTGATCGTGTCCTCTTCCTCCACGACTTGGCTGCCACGCGCACGCAGCCTTTCCGGGCATTAGCTCCTACCGCATCTATCCAGCTTTTACTTACAACTAACTTGTTGGTGGGTCTCAACGAAGACGTAGAAGTCGGGGCATTTAAGAAGATTATATATAATACCGAATCCCGCTTCAGTAGCCGTCCCCTACGTCCCAGAGAAAGGGGGTTTCTGTCACGGAATGCACTCGGGTGCCTCTTCCGGGACAAACCATATAAGACCACTTGAGCGACCGAACTGCCAGCTTCGGTTACTTGTATCCTTTTGGAACATAGCCTAGTGGTTTAGTGGTCCGCCAGCGCCGTGACAGTTTCACCCACCTATTAGAATAAGTATTAATTTCCACTCTAAAGCAGTAGCATATAGAATAGTACTAGCCTATAAATTAATACATCATTATGGTATTGAATTTAGTTATAGGCAGGAACGCAGTATGTAAGTAATTCTTAAATACTTTAAGAACAAGGGTTTGTAACCAGTAAACTTAATAGAATGCTAAAACTTTAATTTCGTAAATAGTTGAAAGCTTAAATCCAATCCAACTCTGTCTTAATCAGATGGCGATGGGGTTGATGCTGAAAGAATCCATATCCATTCGGAGACCACCATAGCCCTTTATATCCAACTATTGAACCGCACTTCCGTATCATCATCGCTGAAGTACCGACGAAGTCAAAGGGGAAGACTTCCTAGATCCTCCTATTCTTTGTTCAAAATGGCGGTTCAGCAGTTGGTAATGAGAAACATCGCGAGCTGAGCGGCACACGAAAAGCGCCCACACGGAAAACCTCATCAACGAGCCGACGTTGGCATTCAAGCCTCGAGTTTAAGCTGGGCGTGAACGCCATCGTCTCACCATATCTCCCTGACTGGATGCATCAAATCTTCCCAACAGCCAGCCAGAGGGTAAACGAATCCCATCCGATCCATCCCGTCTGCAACATCGCCAGCTCAACTCTACCCCCTTTATGATGCCATCACCAACTACCGCCCAACGAGCCGCATGGACAACACCATGTCAAGAATCGTGAACCGCAAAGCTTTTCCTCTCTCCGCATCCATTGACGTTTGACCTCCATCATCCTCTTTCCCCACCTTCTGCGGTCCAACTTCTGTTCCGCGGCGATCAAAGAGTGAAGCAAGACATAACGAGGTCTAACAGTGGACGAATAGCTCACCGAAGAAGGGATGTCGAATCCAACCACGACTGTTGGGTGTTGACGACGTCTTCTCAAAGCCCTCCTGGGCTGCCTATAGACATGGACCTCCCGTGCTCTTCCAAAGACTCTGGAGACCCAGGTCCGATTCCAGTCTCTTCCAAACACAAGGCCGCAATGGAGGAAAGAAGTCCAACGAGCCATGTCTGGAAGGTTATGTATTTCCGGTTCCGAGAATGTTGGAATTGCTGGGCTACCAGCATCCAGCCCTTTTCATCGATTCTTTCAACGCGGCTCTGGCGCTGGTCATAGGATGCGGAGATAATGGGTAAGCCACCCACGTCACAAAAAAAAATAAAAAAATGCGCTGAGAGCCAACGCGGGAAGGAGGAAGGGATGAGATGGGATGAGTTGGTTGACAATCTCAGAAGAGAAAAAAAAAAGTGATATATGATCGCGGAGACGCGGAACCAGGAGTTCCAGGATGATTGATGTTGGAAGCAAACAGTGACGCCTCACCCGAGAATCCTGGACCGCGTCCACCACCACCATCAATCACACCACAGCTCAAATATTGCGCGACCACACCAATAATACAGAGTGTTATAGCACCACCAGAGACCCTTAACCAAACTTCTTGAACGTTGGCACGGCTGGTTATATCCATCTGCACTTCCTTGTTGCCGCCCTGTACCAGACATCTATATGATGCTCCCCGGCATAATCATCCCCGTGTCCACCCCTCATCCCGCCTGCCTCGCACTCTCTTCACTCAACTCCGGCAACCTATAGCCTCCACTTCCACCTCCACCTCCATCTGCACCTCCCATAGCCCTTTGTTCCCTCAACTCTCTCTCCCTCTTCTCCTCCTTTGCCCTCCTGATGGCACACCCACCAAGCCTCATCAACTCTCCCATGAACTCATCTACCGTCTTCAAATGCAACAGCTCCGTCTGCGTCGGTCGACGGATACGTATCCCTTTTATCAAGTCCGGTGCGGACTCGAGTAACCGTAAATCGTCTTCGGCTTGTGGGCCGAGGGGGTTGAGAAGGATGGAGCAGAAGATGGTCATTACTGCTGACATTGGGTAGAGGATGATTACCCTTTTGGGTTGTTAGCTCTGTGTTATATCGTTGACTGGGGGGGGAAAGGGGGTTAAGGGACAAAAACGTACCAGAATGCTTCTCCCAGCAAAGCGCGCGTAACAGAGCGTAGGTAGATGAGTGTCGACCGACTGGCCTCCACCGACAGTGCCAGGCTGGAACTGACGCCCTCCATCAACACCTCCCCCGGCCTCGACGCGTTCTCCACATCCTCCAACACCCTACAGCCACTCATCCTCGCCGCGCTCCGGCTCTGCCAGGCTCTACAGCGGCCAGTCGCCTGATGGATGGTTGCCACGAGGTGGTGATACTGCAGGTTGATGAGGATGGTGCGAACGCTTTCGGCAGACATGCCAGCGTCGTAGAACTTTCCGCCGTGTCCCGTTGGTCTTTGTTGTTGTCCGGAGGCGGAGGCGGTGGACCTGGTATGGGCACCTAGGCAGTACAGACATCTGCCACATGGCTTGTACGATGTGCCCTGCTCCCGCTCTCGTCCATCCCCTTGGCCAGCATGCCCATGGCCCTGACAATAAGCCACCTCCTGCTGCTGACCATTCCCCTCGCTCCACCTTTCACTTCCCTGTCGTCCCCGCGATGGAGAATTTGAACCCCTAGGAAGCGAAAGCGCAGGCCGAAACCGTTCTGGCACCGACATCCTCCACCGTTCCAGCTCATCATCTAGTTCTCTGATATCCCGTAGCAGCTCAGCATCGGACTTGCGCAGGGCCGAGGCGGAGTAAAGAAGTTTGCAGGTTTTGGATTTGATCAGAGTTAGACGGAGGTCCCCTGGCAATACGGGGATGGAGGTTTCGTCGAGTTGGAGGTAGGGTTGGCCGGAGTAGGGATGGTGTTGGATTCCGTGTCCGTGTCCATGTCCTCGGGCTGCTGCTGCTGATGGCATGGTTGTGGGGATGGGAGTACCGGAGTGGAGGTTCATGTTGGATGGGTAGGTTGGTGTTGCGCCTTGGGAGGAATATGGGGAGTTCTTATTAGTACTATGGGATGACGCGGATGGGTTATGAAAGGGGTAGATTTGTCGTTCTTTGAGAGATTCGATTTCTTGACGGTCAAGGTACTGGATGTCAATGTAGCCTGGTGGTAAAGAAAGGTCGCAGTGGTCATTGTCTATGGAAGGGGGTTGGCCTGTTCGGAGGGAGATGTCGGTGTCGACGCTGTAGCAGAGCCAGAAGAGTTTGCGGAGGTGACGGCGTTTGCGGTCTGCGATGTCGACTGGTGCTGAAGCTGGGGTAGCTGTGCCGCTGCCAGATCGAGATTCAGGTGTTGGTAACCACGAAGCGTTTGAGAGCTTATGCCCTCCCAACATGAACATGATCCGACAGGCAAACGCGAGGAGCATAGCCGACGACTGGACTTGTCCCAGAAAGAGCTGGTAGAGACACAGCATGAACGACGTTTGTAGACTCGTGATGTCCAACGCTTGGATAGTTAGCGGCAAAAGCATCTGCGCCTTAGCAGCCATCATATCGGTATCAATGTTTGGGATATCCGGGAACCTCTCCGTCCTCTCGGCTTCCAGCAGAGAAATTACCGACAAGAACGCAAACACACATGCCTTGGCAGTGATCTGCTCAAAACTCAACCCATTCATCTCACCATGCTCCCCATCGTGTCCATAAGCCACATCCAGTGTTTCATTAAACAGCACCGGATCAACCAGCGGGAACGCCAGCCTGAACTCGGACGCGATGAAAAAGGAGACGTATTGCTCGACGACTTTACGTTCCGGCAACTCCAGCTGGCCAACTGGCTGCTGAGCCACCTTGCACAAAAATACAGAATCAAGGCTGGGTCGCGTCTGCCAAGGGGGAACGTCACCCCATATCGCTGGGAAGGAGGCTTCTTGTCCGGTGCGAGAACGGATCCATGCTTGGCCGTCTTCGGAGAAGAAGGGGATGCCGTTGTAGGAGGAGATCTCTCCTAGGTGGTAGCCGGCGAAATGAAGCTTACCGAAGTAAGAGCTGTGGCCTGAGTTGGGGATGAGGTTCGGGTTGGCGACGGGGAAGTGGGAGTAGACGGGGTGGACTTGTTCTGGTTCTTGGTGATGTTGTTTTTGATAATGTTGTTGTTGATACTGGGCAGGGGTATGGCTTGTGTGGTGTGTTTGCACTGAAGAGACACTCCCGTGAGGGGAATGTGTGCGGGACAGGGGACTTGGATGGAATGATTCCGAGTTGTGAACCGAAAATGGAAAGGCGTGATAATTGCTAGCTCCAGATCGGGAAGCAGGTCGAGTAGGGGCACCAAAGCCAGATGTTGATGCTCCTGATGGCGTTGAGGCAACAGAGGATGAGGGTGAGTGTGGATGGTTGTAAGGGTCCAGGTGTTGAGCATAGATGCTGTCGTCGATCGATCCGGAGAGAGATGAATGACGGTGTTGAGGATCCCCAAGATCGGAGTTTGATTGTATTGAGATGCCAAGATGGGCGGCCAGGGGTGGCAGTGGTTGTTGCTGTTGCTGTGGTGGGAGTGGGAGTGGTGACGGAGGCGGCTGCTGTTGGTACAGTTGCGGCGGTTGAGATTGGCTTGCATTAGGGGGACGGAGATCGGGGTCAGAGGGGCCGACAGTGACGTCGACGACAGCCGATGAGGGGGAGGGGCCGCCGACTGAGGCAGAGTTTGGATTGCCGGCTGTGGTGGTGCTTCCGCCGCTCCCGTTCCTATTCCGAGCCCACGTTTTCCGTCCGACCACACGATTGAAGGTGCACGTCATGCCATGGTGATGGCACCAATTGCAGTTGGAAGAAGGCACATCGGCGCTGTCACATTGGATCTACGAATGGGATTAGCAAAGTGATCAAAGCACGGCATTTTGGGCTGATAATTGGGATAACACAAACCTTTCGCTTGTGACACGAATCACAGGCTCTTTTTCTCTTTTGTGTCGGTTGAGTGGAAGGCATTGCACCTCGAGTTCGGGATCCTGTAATAGGTATGAGGTACACAATAGATAGGTACACAGATGTCGGGATTTGAGACCTTGGCGGCGGCTTGACAGGTGCACGATACTCGGGCCGTTGAGGTTTTGTCAAACAGTGGCGTTGGCACTGGTGTGTACTAACGCTTTGTCAGCGGGTTTGTGCTGTAGAGCTGTTAGTGACCTTCTGAGAGTAATGTGTACAATTGAATGCGCACACGGTTAATGAAACTTTGACTTGTGAAAATCACGACCACTCAGTCAGGCCAGATGCGATGCCTGGACCCTGAATCGAATTGTCTGCCTTCGGAGGGTAAAGCATAAACGAAGAAGACAAAAGGAGTTTCAGGGTCCATGATATCGGCTGACTTGTCGAGCCAGTTTGAGATTGATAGCTGGGAGCATGCTGTGCCGTCCGCACAGCCAGGGTTTGGTGGTTGACTTTTTTTGTTATCGGTCCAGACTTACAAAGCTCCGAAATCTCCAAACGCCGAAAGAAATGAGTGTCAGACAGCGGCCGTCATTAGTAGTAAAAAAAATAAAAAAATGTTAACGTCAGTCCGTATGACCGATAAGCCGTCGCACGCGCCTCCCCGAAGACCGTTGACTCTTTTTAGAAGAAAGAGCGTCTCCATCAGTTATCTGTCTTGTTCCTTTTCTGTTTTCGGATGTCAATCTCATCGGGGCTTGTGAGTTCCGACATTTTTCTCTGGTCGGGTCCGATACCTACGTGTACATGTCAACTGTGACGGTCCAGGTGCTTTGCAGTGAGCCCCTTGGAAATTGCTAGTGTAGTACCGTACTCAGTTTCACCCAGAGGGCAGCTTGTACCTATCTGTATATGCCCCAAGTCCGTCCCTTTTCACTCTACTAGACGTCTCACTCAAGACCGAACTGAAAACTGATGACCATTCAGAGGTTTATTATATATTTTCCAGGTTTCATTCAAGCATCATGACCGTGGTCAAGATGGAGGGTGCCAGTCTCAAGGTACCCCGCCAACAGGATCTTCAGGCTGTAAACCCCAAAGTAGCCGTACCCGTAGCGCTAACAGAGTCCCGGCCGTCGACTCCATCCGTCCTTTAAAATTGCCCGGCAACTCAAACGCGTAAAGAAGGCGATCCTTGGCCGCTGCGAGTCCATTCGGTGTTTTCAGCTCGGGATCCTGGGATTTCCATTTGTAAAATCTTTGGTCGGTTTGCAGGAACTGACGGGAATCCCTTTTTCGTGTTGTGAAAGTCGGAGCGGGGCCGCCATTTCAGCGACTCACAGACCATCAAATGGAAGTGCTGCCGCTAACACCGACAATGAAAGTTCACCTTCAATTCATCAAAAGGTACATCGCCCAGTCATCAACCACCCAGGTAATCATGAAACCTCAAACACAGACCGCTCATCGGATTTGCCGGACAATTCATTGATCTTATGCTGACCTCCAACTGCCAGACACCGCAACCTCGTGGGTAGCCGGCGTTATGTACCACTCCTCCTCTCATAACTCCACCAGTTTGCACATTCCATCAAAGCTTCGATGGGTCGGCGAATCTCCAAAGTCTGAGCCTTGCCGCTTACTTAAGCGGAACTTTAACTGTGACGAAACTGGGGTCTGTCAGGACGTCGTCTCCTCGACCAACCGGATGTCTGAAAAAGAGCCCTCCGATTCTCCTCGATCCCACCGAGCCAGGACCAAGGGCCATCTTTTTGCTCCACTTGGTTGCAACGCCACGGCTGGATCCAGAGATCGGATCTTAGCTTTTTCATGTTACAAATCTCTGCGTTCGTCGTTGAGGCTCCCCGTCGTTTGCGATTGGAGGTCACTCTGATATTCGCAGGATTGGGTTGTCCGAGCCCCGAGCCTACACGTACAATGTCCACTCCAATTTTGTCCCAAGATCTTCATGCTTTCGGCCTCAAATGAAAAAAGTACCGCTGACACATGGATTTCAAAACATCCATCAGCAAAAGCTCCATAGCCCCGTAACTCGTGGCCGTGTCGAACTGTCGGGTCCCAACACTCGGAGCCAGATCGAGCCGGAGAAACCCTCAAAGTGGATGTTCATGTCTTTTCTTGTTCTTCACCGGTAAAAGAAAAATGACTTAGGTAAGCGGAAGACAAGGACACAAGAAGCTGGGTGACAAGCCACCCCCATGGGCATGACTGCTCCATCATTGGCCTGATTTGTCCCCGATCGTCGCTCTCGCCGCCATCATCGAAGCTTGTTAGCCAGCCCCGCCCTTTGTTATCGAACTTATCAATCTCCGTCATGGTTTCCCTGATCCACACATACACGTTCCCAACCGTCAAGGATGGCCGCAATGGATTCAGGCACACCGTGCTGTAGCTCCCCCCGAGGGCCCCATCACAACACTGCCCGTTCAGCGGTCCCCCGTCCTCACACTTCCAGAGACTATTCGTAAGCGGGCCCGGCGACATTGAAAGGAACAATCAACAAACGGCTGTTCGCCGTTAGTGAGTGCCCACCACGCAAAAGCCGAGCCCCGGCCTATTACCAACACTGTATACTAACTAACCAAGAAAGGTGTAGAAATACTCCTGGCCCCTTCATCTTTCTCTTCCCATCTTCATCTTGATCTTTTCTTGTTCAGTTCAACTATACATACATACCTTACTCTTAATACATCAACTCAACCCCTAATACCTACCGCTAACAACATCACCACCACTCCGCTTCCTGATATCAAAGACAAGTCTCACCACTGCTCGTCAAAGCGGCCGACCACCGACCTCCGGTCACCAACCCATCCGCCATGGGCGTCGAAGGCGACAGCAGCAGTGCTGCCTCTACCAGAGAGGAAAATACTGGCGACAACCGCCAATGGGGTCTCCAACACAAGGTTGAGGCCTTGAAGGAGCGCGAACAAAACTCCGGAATCCCTGCTCGTGAACTGGGTGTTACATGGAAGGACCTCACCGTCCAGGTCATCAGCTCCGACGCCGCCATCCAGGAAAACGTCCTTTCCCAGTTCAACATCCCCAAGAAGATCCAGGAAGGAAAGCAGAAGCCCCCTCTCAAGACTATCCTCGACAACAGCCATGGTTGCGTCAAGCCCGGTGAGATGTTGTTGGTCCTCGGCCGTCCCGGCTCCGGATGCACCACCCTTCTCAACCTCTTGGCCAACAAGCGCGAAGGCTACAAAGCCGTCACTGGCGATGTTCACTATGGTTCGTTGGATGCCAAGGAGGCCAACAAGTACCGCGGTCAGATCGTCATGAACAACGAGGAGGAAGTCTTCTTCCCTACCCTTACCGTCGGCCAGACCATGGACTTTGCGACCCGTCTCAACATCCCTTTCAAAATCCCTGATGGCGTTGCCTCCCCCGAAGAGTACCGCAAGGAGAACATGGACTTCCTGCTCGAGGCCATGAGCATTCCTCATACCACGGACACCAAGGTCGGAAACGAGTACGTTCGCGGTGTCTCTGGCGGTGAACGCAAGCGTGTTTCCATCATTGAATGTATGGCCTCTCGTGGTTCCGTCTTTTGCTGGGATAACTCTACCCGTGGTCTGGATGCTAGCACGTACGTACCCCCTATCTTGACCGATGACTGCCAGGATCAGACTAACACACCTCTAGTGCTCTCGAGTGGGCCAAGTGCCTCCGCGCCATGACCGATGTCATGGGTCTCTCCACCATCGTCACCCTCTACCAGGCCAGTAACGGTATCTACGATCTCTTCGACAAGGTCCTTGTTCTCGACTACGGCAAGGAGGTTTACTACGGTCCCATGAAGGAGGCCCGTCCCTTCATGGAGTCTCTTGGCTTCGAGTGCCAGGAGGGTGCCAACGTTGCCGACTACCTTACTGGTATCACTGTTCCCACCGAGAGAGTTGTTCGCCCTGGCTTCGAAAAGACCTTCCCTCGCAACGCCGATCAACTCAGAGACGTCTACCAAAAATCCGAGCTCTACCCTTGCATGGCTTCCGAGTACAGCTATCCCACATCCGAGGAGGCCAGGGAGAGGACCAAGCAGTTCGAGGAGGGTGTTGCTGTTGAAAAGGACAAGCACCTCGGAAAGAATAGCCCTTATACCGTCAGCTTCTACCAGCAGGTCAAGGCCTGTATCGCCCGCCAGTACCAGATCGTCCTTGGTGACAAGCCCACCTTCATCATCAAGCAGGGTTCCACCTTGGCCCAGGCTTTGATCGCCGGTTCCCTCTTCTACAACGCCCCTGACAACTCTGCTGGTCTCTTCGTCAAGTCCGGTGCCCTCTTCTTCTCTCTTCTCCACAACAGCTTGATGTCCATGTCTGAAGTCACAGACTCGTTCAACGGTCGCCCCGTTCTGGTCAAGCAAAAGGGCATGGGTTTCTTCCACCCTGCCGCTTTCTGCCTTGCCCAGGTTGCTGCCGATATCCCCGTCATCATTCTGCAGGTTACTGTCTGGTCTATCGTCCTGTACTTCATGGTTGCCCTGACCATGGACGCCGGTGCTTGGTTTACCTACTGGATCATTCTCATCGCTGCCACCATGACCATGACTGCCTTCTTCAGAGCCATTGGTGCCGCCTTCAGGACCTTCGATGCCGCCTCCAAGGTGTCCGGTTTCATGATCTCCGCTCTCATCATGTACAACGGTTACATGATTCAGAAGCCCAAGATGCACCCTTGGTTCGGCTGGATCTACTGGATCAACCCCATGGCTTACGCCTTCGATGCTCTCTTGTCCAACGAGTTCCACGGTACCACCATTCCCTGCGTCGGCGTCAACCTGGTCCCCAACGGCCCTGGCTACACCGACCTCGAGCATCAGTCTTGCGCTGGTGTTGGTGGTGCTATCCAGGGCGAGAACGTCGTCTATGGTGACAACTATCTCAAGTCTCTTTCCTACAGTCACTCTCACGTCTGGAGAAACTTTGGTATCCTCTGGGCTTGGTGGGCTCTCTTTGTCGGCATCACCATCGTCGCGACTACCAAGTGGCGTCCCCTTTCCGAGGGCGGTCCTTCCCTGCTGATCCCCCGTGAGAAGGCCAAGCACGTCAAGGCTATCCAGAACATCGACGAGGAGAAGGCCGGTGCTAGCAGCAGCGGTGAGGAGACTGTCTACGACAAGGAGGCCAGCGCTGGTGAGGCTAAGGACTCCGACAGGGACTTGGTTCGCAACACCTCGGTCTTCACCTGGAAGGACCTCACCTACACCGTCAAGACTCCCTCTGGTGACCGTGTTCTCTTGGATAACGTTCAGGGTTGGGTTAAGCCTGGCATGTTGGGAGCCTTGATGGGTTCTTCGGGTGCCGGAAAGACCACTCTTCTCGATGTTTTGGCCCAGCGCAAGACCGAAGGTACCATCAAGGGCTCCATCCTTGTCGACGGTCGTCCTCTCCCTGTTTCCTTCCAACGTTCTGCCGGTTACTGCGAGCAGCTTGATGTCCACGAGCCCTACTCCACTGTCCGTGAGGCCCTTGAGTTCTCCGCTCTCCTTCGTCAGCCCCGTGAGGTTCCCCGTGAGGAGAAGCTCAAGTACGTCGATACCATCATTGATCTCCTGGAGCTCCACGATCTTGCCGATACCCTTATCGGTCGCGTCGGTGCCGGTCTCTCCGTCGAACAGCGCAAGCGTGTTACCATTGGTGTCGAGTTGGTCGCCAAGCCCAGCATTCTCATCTTCTTGGACGAGCCTACTTCCGGTCTCGATGGCCAGTCCGCCTACAACACCGTTCGTTTCCTCCGCAAGCTTGCCGATGTTGGCCAAGCCGTTCTCGTCACCATCCACCAGCCTTCCCAGCAGCTCTTCGCCCAGTTCGACACCCTCTTGCTTCTCGCCAAGGGCGGCAAGACCGTCTACTTTGGTGAAATCGGCGACAACGCCCAGACGGTCAAGGACTACTTCGCCAAGTACGGCGCCCCCTGCCCCGAGGAGACCAACCCGGCCGAGCACATGATCGACGTCGTCTCCGGCTCTCTCTCCAAGGGCAAGGACTGGAACCAAGTCTGGCTCGAGTCACCGGAGCACAAGTCCGTGACCGAGGAACTCGACCAGATCATCAACGAAGCCGCCTCCAAGCCTCCCGGCACTCAAGACGACGGCCACGAGTTCGCCACCCCCCTGTGGGAACAGCTCAAGATCGTGTCCAACCGCAACAACATCTCGCTCTACCGCAACATCGACTACATCAACAACAAGTTCGCGCTGCACATCGGCTCGGCCTTGTTCAACGGCTTCTCCTTCTGGATGATCGGCGACCGCGTTTCCGATCTGCAGATGCGTCTCTTTACCATCTTCAACTTCATCTTCGTCGCGCCCGGCGTCATCGCCCAGCTTCAGCCCTTATTCATCGAGCGCCGCCAGATCTTCGAAGCCCGCGAGAAGAAATCCAAGATGTATTCCTGGATCGCCTTCGTAACCGGTCTCGTCGTCTCCGAAATCCCGTACCTCTGCGTCTGCGCCGTCCTCTATTTCGTCTGCTGGTACTACACCACGGGCGCGCCCTCAGCCTCCACGCGTGCCGGCGGCACGTTTTTCGTCATGCTCATGTACGAGTTCGTGTACACGGGCATCGGGCAGTTCATCGCGGCGTACGCGCCCAACGCCATCTTTGCCGCGCTTGCCAATCCTTTCGTGATCGGTATCCTCGTCTCCTTCTGCGGTGTCCTGGTGCCCTATCAGCAGATCCAGGTCTTCTGGCGCTACTGGATCTACTACCTCAACCCCTTCAACTACCTCATGGGTAGCATGTTGACGTTCAACCTCTGGGGCAAAGAAATCGAATGTCATGAAAGGGAGTTTGCCGTGTTTAACCCCCCCAATGGAACTACCTGCGCCCAGTATCTGAAGGATTACATGATGGGCATGGGACGCGCGACGAACCTCATTAATCCTGAGGCCACGCAGGGGTGCAGGGTTTGTCAGTATACTACGGGATCTGACTACTTGCAGACGATTAACCTGAAGAGTTATAGTTATGCGTGGAGGGATGCGGGTATCGTGGTCATTTTCGTGGCGAGCAGTTATGCGATGGTTTATGGGTTGATGAAGTTGAGGACCAAGACTAGTAAGAAGGCTGAGTAAGTCTTCTTAGTCTTGGGCTTGTTGGGATATGGGGGAGGGAAGAGGTGGTGGATGATGGTTGAGGAACATGAAGGGGGAGGAGAAGAGAGTGAGTGAGTGCGTTGAACGAAGAGAAGTCATCGGTTAAGATACCCACGGTAGTTAATGATGTACGGATGTACGGAAGAATGGAGGAGCATCGGTAAAGACGGGAGGCATGTCGGTATGAGCGCCATGTCCAATCTGGGGGCGGGAGGGGATAAAAGGGAGGACATAGCATCTGCTTTGAACTTAAACACTTGCATCACAGCGTCAGCATCATATAGATAGACAGCACTCACACTTAACTTTCTTGGATAGATATTTCTGGTTGTAATAAGCATTGGATACAATTTTCGCTTCATTCTTTTTCTTGTTTCCAGATGTTTTTCAGGTTGGTTATCGTCTTCTGAGAACTACAAAGGACGGCAAAGGTTCGTTGGTGCTGATGTATCTTCCAGGTTGTCTAGTACTGCTTGCTAACTTCCGATGGTTTGTTATTCGCAATTTGTTGCTTGGCTGTTGGGCACGGCACTTGGTGTCTTCTTGTCTTTGAGGTTCTCGCAAGGGGCACGGCTAGGTGAGTGTAAATCGTTGGCCGTTGGGTCGTCGAGATAAAGACGATGGACTGCGGCACGGGTTGGAAGCTTGGGACTAACGGAGCCGCCAACAGAGCCGCCTCAATACCGCAAGTGCACTCAAAATGCGAACCAACACCAGAGCCGGGCATACATCAGCCGCCCGCCATATAAAAAGAACGGAATGAAGTTAATAGTACCGGTAAACGCAGGTCCAAAACGGCACGCATTTAATGGTCGGGGGATGCAGTGCAATGCAATGTGGTTGGACTGCAGTGGCCCGTGCCTGTGGGCGTGCAGACAACACGAAGCCTCTGTCGAACCTCCCGTTTCTTGGCCGACCAGCCCGACCTCCGGTCATGTTTTTCCACTTGCCTTCTACAACAAGCAGTTCGATCATCTTCCATGTCTGTCACAACTTTCGCAAGACATCCGATCCAATGTTGGCCGTTCTGCGTCCGACTTGGCGCTTATATCGATACCAACAAACTGGAGCGAGTTCTTTCCCCTTGAGTTTCATGTTCTTACCGGTCAGGCACGTTCAGCACCTCTCCGGGTTTGAAACGTCCCGTCTTCTTTGACCTCTCGCCAGAAAGATGTAAACCGGATAAGAGACGTAAAGTCCACTTGATCGCCGAAATCTTCCGATGACCGACCTTGGATGGCAGGTGTGTGACACCATCAAGGCACTTTAAACTGTCTGGATTTGGGCGGATCAACTGGTACCTATGCACCAACGGACCAACGTGGACAGGCAAGCCCATGCTACCGATACCTTGCAAAGACCAAAGCCTTCCTAGGGCGCTTACGGACGACAATGTCCAGTTCCAGGCTGAGAAAGCGCGTGAAAGACGACCACCATGGATTTAAAACCAGGAAGCCTCGCCTGAACGATGCATGCCTCTAGCGACTTGTTATGCTATGTACCTCCGAGTCATCAGTCAGCCCATTGTTACCACCTTCATCGAAGAAAGCTACACCTCTAGACGCTACCGCTATTCTTGGTGTACAGAGCTAGCATCTTGTCGTAAGCACTTCCATATATCGCCATCTCCCTTCTTGCTACCTTCCCGTTCTGATGGTTTTATCTCTTACTGATCAAGGACGTACATCTACCTATAGGCACGGCTTCCATCCGATCTCTCGAACTACAACAAAGATTATCCTGCGTTAGACATCCTACAATCCTTGCCCCAACTCCAAGTGGCTATCGCGAAGACCAACATCCGCTGAAAAGTCACGATGTGCGAACTTTTCGGGGACTACTATCGGGGGTGTCGATGCTTGATTGGGAAAACCAGACTCTGCGCTGAAGTTCTAGGCGTGAAACCCCTACCACCTCAGGATAAAAACTACAAGCCGGGACTGCTAGAAGTCTGCAAGAACGTCGATAATACCCGCTTGGTGATTCACTCGGACTGCCCAACAAACCCCGACCTGATATGCAAGCGCGGCACCCACATTTCGCCTTCCATCACGCCGCTGGCTACGTCCAAATCCTTCTCGAAGTTTAAAGGTCGCCTCAACATCAACAAAAAGAAGAGCGAGGAACCTGCTGCCCCTACCTCAATAGGATACGTATATCAGCCTGAACACACCTTGACAAAGGACCAAAAGGCAGCTCAATCCAAAGTGGTTGACCATGAGGTGAATGTGATCAACCAGAAACTCCAAAAAGATTTCCCCGACCCAAAGAAGAGGAGAGAGTACAGACCCACGTACTTGGCGGCCTATCACCCAACGGGTCAACTTGCTACCAAGGTAAACAGTCAGAACAAGAACACTTATGGCCTTTGCGAGTGCGACTACAACGACGCGTCTTCGGTTATGGTGGACTTTGACTCCGAATAATCAAGGATGATGGCTGGCACATATCTGTCGTGTGTGACTTCAACCGCGATGGACTCTCAAAGCACCACCACGAGACAAAAAAAGAGAAAGAAACAAGAAATACAAAAAAAAAGAATGCGCGGTCCGGAATTCGAACACGGGAATTTTCACTGTCAGACTGGCGTCCCAGCCCGCAACGGACACCGTAGCTGCTCGAAGTGCTATTTGAAGAGCGAACGCGTTGACCACTACGCCAACTGCGCTTTTGTTTGTTTGTTGGAAGGAGGTCTGTGAACCTGATAGATTTACCTCCCGTTCTGGTACTGATGGTACTGTTGGTGCTGCTGGTACTGGCAATTACGATACATTCTCGTCCGCAAGAAAAAACGCATTTGAATGTCTCCAATTGTTGTGCCAGCTGGACTTTTCACCACTGTCTCTTGTTAGTCTTCTTTGCAGTTCGTCTCATACATGTTTCGTCTCATTCTTCTTTATTTCTAGCAACCCTTTCGGTTCTCTGAGAGGAGTTGACCACAGAAGCACACGAAACTTTCAAGTTGTCAACGGAGTCACCAGCAAATCATGGCACCGACTGTCCAACCCCGGCTCATTTCAAAGGCTACCCCGTGACGGAAAGAACGAACAAGAAGCCAGTGACAGTTCCAAACTGAGCTGAGGGGTACCTCTACTTCTATGGTCGGGAGGCAGCAGAGGAATCTCGCTGAAGTTGTAGTGCCCTTTGCGGCCCGTGCCCACTCCAGCCTTCTGACCTCCCGTCTGCTCTGAAAGAAAGAAAGATGGAAGGCACGTCTCGCTACTCGACGCGTCACTCTCCAGGGCTAGAAACCTGCCCTCCCTCTCCCTCACCTCGCCCTGTCACCTGTCTTTACGGGTTTGGTTTCGCAGGCTGCCCTCCTCCTGTTCACTTTTTTGTCTCCTGTTCACTGTTTTGTCTCCTGTTCATCCGCCCAGCCTTTTTTTTTTTTTTTTTCCTTTTTCCTTCCCTGCCACGCAACGCTCGATCATATTTCCACCCACAAACCATTCTCCCAAAACAAAGATGGCCTCCTTCACTAGGTACTAGCTTCTCATGAGTAAGTTCTCTTGTCTCTTTTTCTCGTATTCTTCTCCTCGTTTTCCTGTCCAGCAGTGAAGGCGAGATGGCAGCAAACTGACACCATCCGCCCTCCCACCAGAGCTGGAGCTTGGAGGTACCGCCGTCGCTAGCCTGACGGCACCCCTCAAATTCAATTTGAGGCTGTTGTCAATGGCGCTCGGGAGTTTGATCGCGCTGGCGACCACATTGTCGAGTACTCAGTTCCAAGGCTCCTATGGATCTCGCCAGGGTGCGTTGTTGCCAAGGAGTAAGTGCACCTATGGTCGTCATAGCTGTTGGCTGTCGCTCCAGTCATCGGCACCGCCGCTAATTGTCTTGATAACTCCAGTGCTCCCCTTTGCCACTCTGCTATTTTTCTCGACAAGCTCAGTCCCCGTCTCACCTCCAGTTCAGGTTAGCCTCTTTGGAGATGAACTGCTGGAGACAGGAGATTTGCAAAGTTTCAATATCACCAGGTGAGCAAACACAGGGGCATTAACCCACGTCCCAGCCCTTGGTCATCATGACCGGGCAATCAGCACACTCCAACTCCCTTTAGTCTCAATGAAAACACACGCTGACTTGTTTGACATCAACACAAGCGCACCGCTTTCTCAGATTCCCGTTTATCTGGTCTCGGCTCGCACACCATTTACAAAACGCAACCTTCAATTCCATCACTTATTCTGGCAGCCAACGACGCCGCGTGGTGTGCACTCAGCTTCCTTCCTCGACAGCCACTCCGCTTTGGGAGCTGGTGAAAGTACTCCACCGGAATAAATCTCGCGTCGCCTTCAACATCCGGGTCCTAGGCATTGTCCAGAAGCCGAATCCAGCGACTGATCATGTCGGTACTGGTGCGGCCACGACCAAGCCACCTCAAGCTACGGGCCACATCATGCTCGACAGCATCCCGATCTGGACGCGATTAATCCCCCGGATTGGGACATACAACACCCAGGATTCGCTGGTGGTCACCGGTCCAACTACTAGTCTGGCCCTCACTGACAATGCTTGTTGGTGTCGCCCCCAAGAAGGCTATCAAGCTGACTGTCGCTCCTCGACCGTGAGCTTCATTACTACACCCCGCGCCATGACGGACAGCCTGGTCTTCAGGTGCCTGTCCAGCAGGCCGCCCAGTACATGGCCAGTCCGTTTTACTCTCCGTGAAGGAGTTTGTTAGTTTTCTCTGATTTTGTTCCTTTTCTCTCGGTGGCTGTCGCCAGCCATGAATTGGAAGCATCCTCGGAAGAGAGGCATCACGTGTTTCACAAGAAACATCGAGATTGCACCCTCCTGGCTACCAAATGCCAATGCCAACAACCACCAGGACACCATAGAGACCCTTGTTCCCGGTATGAGGGCCCTCATTGACCGCTCCGTTGACTATGGCGTCAAGGATACCTATTGTCATTGGCAGCAAGCCTTTCTTCCGGAAGCCCGCGGTCGAAAAGGCAGCTTGTGTCGACGCGCAGAGCTACGCCGGTTACATCGCATTTGGCAAGGAGACCAACTCTCCTCAGCGCCATCTCCAACAATGTCTTCCCAGTGGGTCTGCTGCCAGTGCACGGTCCGCGGCAGAAACGGCGGCCACTGCGACCGGGTGCTTCATCGAGAACCTTATTCGCGTGAGGCCGAGGAAGCAGCCCATCCATGAGCCCAAGCTCATCGAGTTCAACAACGAACCGTCACCTTGGACAACATGAGCTTTGATGAACCACTCCATGATGTGTTGAACCTGACATCTGCGTCTAGGCCCTCGGTCTTCTGGGTTTCTTGCGAGGCCAGTACCTACATTAGAACTCTTTGCGTCCATCTTGGTCTCCTTCTCGGAGCGCCTTGGTGTCGGCTCTCACATGCAGGAGCTCCGTCGTGTCCACTCCGGCAGCATGCCGCAGCGATCTCCTCTGTTGCTACTCCCTACCTTGCCAGTTACCCAGCTGGATAGCATGTCTCTCTTGGCGCGGATACTGCTATGCTAATGATAAGGATGAGCATATCATTCCGCTCGTCTTTGGCTGGAACGGTGCTGAGGTGGCTCGTGCTGTCAACGTTGACTCCCCGGCAGACCGTAGGAAGCCACGCGATAACAATACTCCATAAACTGGAACTTGGTTTCCTTTGCAGGTTACCGCGGGAGGTGCTTAGGCCGCTGGCCAGAGCAGTCTTTCTAGCCGGCTGGTAGATAATTGGAACATCTAGACCTGAATCCATTCACTTACCACATATTCCTTTTTCATCCTTTTGTTTGTGGTGCTTTTCTTGTTTGATATTGATGTGATGTATGTACTCCTGGGCCAAAGACGTGTTGGTCTCCCTGTTATTTTCTTGTGTCCTCGTGCGAGTGTCTTGTTGGATTGTCTCTGGCCCTTGGGTGAATATGCCTCTATGCTGTAGTTGCTGTTGCTGATGTACTCCGGACAAAATCTATGGCAACGGCTCAGATGAAACACGTTGCAGTCTTCGGCTTTGCCGTAAAAAATTACTATTTCTCCCTTGTTCATGAGCTGGTGAGCTTGGGTAAGCCAAGTGTGCTTAAGTGACCCGGCAGCTCATGTGATGATGGTAGAAATGACGAAGATTGCCCGATAGTGCTGATCAAGGAAAGCACAATTCGAACTGTTGTTGAGATTCCCTACCTCCTTCCGCCGCTGTATCAACGAAGGAGAGGCCGTCACCTACCTACCGTAGGTACCTATCGAGGAAAGTGCGAGGAATTTTTCAGGAAAAGTTTCACTTGCTCTTTCCCCCAGGATTTTATTCCTGTGTATGGCTGCAGTGACGTTCGAGAATCGAACAGGACTCAAGCTGTACAAAACTTGGAGATGCGCTACAGGGTCAAAACGATGCAATCACTCCTCCCATCGTGCATTTACGCCAGCGGCATTCAAGGACTCCTTTTTCTTCCCACACAATCTACGAATATCTCTATAAACATCAGCACAGTCTCAGCGTAAGGCTCAGGTAGGTACCTCTAGGTCTTTGTCTCCATCATCTACCTCGTGTGCTCCGACTGATGATGATGCGCAACAACAGGTCTACAAGCATCGCTTATTTCATCAGTCAACAACACAACTTCCCATCACCAGCGAAATACTTCACCTATATCTAGCTGGGCATTCTTCGTTACTAGGTTTCCACCGTCTGGCCACCTCACCCACTTCCTCGAGCAACAATGTGCCAAGGCTACATCGAAACCCATCCATGCTCCCACGACCAGTACCGCATCACATGGTGCGAATTCGAAAAAGCTCGCATCCGGGTGATCGTCTGGTACATGATGCGTCTTCACGCGCGTACCTTGCCATCCATGTCTGGCCCGGTCCACGTCCACAACATGTACTACTCGCTGCTCGATGCCGACGCTAATCCCCTGATCGGATACGTGGCCCGATATAATTTCGCGAGAAGCCCAGAGCTCGTCTGTCGGATCCTGACCCCGTTCAACATCCGGACGGAAACTTCGCAGGTTGTCTGCGACGCGTGTGCTCGTATGCATCGCGTGCGGGGCTTGAGGGCCTCTGGACGTGGACATTTGGTTGAGAACGATGAGGAAGTGCGGCGTCTGGACGAGGAGGTGTTCTGGGAAGGGGATACCTCTGTGCAAGGCGGGAGGCCGGTGTGGCCTTTGGAGCCGGAGTTCCCTACTTGGAGGGATGTAGTTGAGGGCCGGACGCTCTTTGCTTTTAGAGGTCTTCACTTTCCTGGTAGAGGTAATTAGGGACCTAGGGTAGTCAGGGGTATCTTTAATGTTTACGAGGGCCGAGGGGAATTTCATCTTGCGTGTGGTTGTTTGATGGTGCGATAATATTTGGTAGAAAGCAATGTTTATTACCTCTCCAAATTTCCAATCCACATCTCATCCGGTGCTGCCCTCCATGGGTACATGTAGTACTCATATATCTGCCCTCCATTATTTGACCGTTGCACCTCAATGGGTCTCTCCAAGTCCAGCTTGAAGTTACCTCGCACCATGTGCATTGCCCTCCAACGACTGACTCAACGCGGACTCTAGCTCCAACTTGAAGATACCGGTACCTAGGTCCAACCACCTAGGGTAAATCTCCAGAGCACAGCCTGGCTCCTTCGAACAGCACCTGATGGCACTCCTCGAGCCAGCTCCATTAGCCCCCCAGAAGAATTCGATATTGCGTGCCCTCCACATTCTCCTCCTCCAGGTGCAGGTCACCAACTATGCCCTCCATATGCTCGTGGCCTTCTCCATCAAAAACGTACTTCCTCCGGTGGATGTAGTAGTAGCTTCGCGGCGTCCAGTCCAAATCCTTGCGTTTTCCCAAGTTGAGCGGTACTTCCACAACAACCGCGTCGTGAACAATCTTCTGGCCCTCATGGTCCGGGTGTTGTGGGTCGGCTTTAGCCTTGACTAAAGCTTTGCATGCTGGACAAGCACCAGTCTCAAACGTGGTGACATCGCGAGACCGATCGAAAGAGTCGTCACAGGATTTATGCGCGTCCCACTCCTCAGATCTGGGATTTTTGAGGAAGGCAACGACCTTCGGCTTGTGCTTCGCAATGGCGCCCTCACTGCTCAGGTAGCTATCGTCGTCCCGCTCCTTGCCCTTCTCTTGGGGACCTTGAAATAGCAGCGAGCGGCAGGGCACTACCCACTCGTGCATGCAAGCACAATGTGCGTATCGTCGGATGCTGGTGTTGCACATGATTTGATTGGTGTTGTTCTAAACGGTGGCGGATAGGTATGATGGGAGGTAGTCGCGTGAGATGGTAATGTGAGACGAGCTCCCTTCCACAGATCAGGAGTGAACTTGTGGGTGTTCTGTTGCAATGTGCTGGAACTTGAGCGAACCTGGAGGAATCTCAATAACAACTCGGCAAACAGCTGGATGGATTGTGTATACCTAGGTATCGAAGGAGTAACAGATGGATGGGGGTTTGATGAGATGAGCGACGCGACCTGAATATAGCTCATGGAAGCGTTTCTATGTGCTCGACTCCGTGGCTTGTCTTGTTCATCGTTTTTCCACATCTCTGACCCAGAGACACATCCTCAAAGTAGGTAGCTTCCTTTGTTGACTGGTAGGAAATACGGGTAGTTGGGGCGGTGTTGACTTTCGAAGCAGTTGACACGCTTTCCGGTTGACAGAGGGCGGCATTGTCAACACCGGTCTCTAACAGCGTTTGCGTTCAGTGATGATAAGATGTGAGCTGAGGCGAATTCGTCGTTGGAGGAAACACCAATCACATTTTATGCTTGCCGCCCGGAGCCGTATTTATGCCTTTTTTATTCTTCAAGTTGACGGCAGTCTTGTTGTTTCCATCGCGGCCCGTTGGATCCAATATAGGTCCAACGCCCAACGGCCCGCGTCGATGGCTCATGGCGCATGCCCCTGACAAAGCAAACACACCCACCCAACAACCAACACAACACAAAAACATGTAATGCCGTACAATCTACATACCTTCAAAGACGGAAAAGGATGGTATGATGTAATATCATCATGTGCTTTTCTTGCTCGCAGCTGAGTAGACTGTTTTGCACATTTTCCCGTGGTCCGTCTTTGCGGTTTCGTGTCGCATCTTTTTTCCGCATACATCACAGCCCTCACCCGGTCACTTGGTAAAATATTGGTTACATCGAAGACCAGTTGCACATGGCAGGTCATCAGGCTGCAGTGGATGGTGTTCGGAAGCTGTCAGCCTGCAATGCTGATCGTGATCGACATGTGCATGAAACTGGCGGCCATGGCCTGTCATTGGGTTCTTGGGTCAGGACTCGTCGTCGAGAAGACTGGCTTTTCTCACGGTGGGAGTTCTTCCCCCGGATCCGCAGTTGGATTTTGAGAACGAGTGTGGAAGGATAGAACGACCATCGAACAGAACTCATACCTTGGCAGGAGCTTCGAGCTTTGCAAATCTCCTGAGTGTCTGCAGAACCGACAGGAGGCAGAGAAAAACCGTTAAGGCATTGCATGCATGACGAATCTCGGAAAGCGCAGTCCAGCCTAATCGCAACCTCCACCATTCGCAACACCACCAAGAATCACGACATCTAGATCTTCTACTTATTCCTTACGACACTTATACCCTCGTTGGTCTAGTCTTGGCTAACCGAACTTGGTGGAGCTGATTAGCGCAATTCGTCTGCGGTTCCTGCAGCCATTTTCAACCGTTGCGTTTTGGCGACAGCACCATCTCGTACGCGAAGCACGTCATCAATCCAGCACGACGCCCCGCCCTAGCCCATCGCCGTCGACCACTTTCAGCTTTCAACACCCAAGCAAAACTGCCTGACTGGCGACCGTAAACACCAACTAGTACCCGATGGGCAAAACGACCTGTTCGAGAATAGCCTTGAAATTTTCCGCCTTCGGCATCACGCAATAACTGCCCCGGAGGATTTCCACTTGGGATTCTGAGAGGATAACCGCCTATCAGGTACTTCCACTCCCCGTTTATGCCAGCAACATTCGGGACATTATTACTCGATGGGTCTAGAACATCATGTTTAAAGGCTGACCTTTTCTATGACAGACGCGCAATCTGTCAACCAAGTCCGGAGAGCAATACTCGTCCGTGATGGCGCCATCTGGCGACACGCCATCACCATTCCCAACGCGGGACCAACAGCCGCTGAACCTACGCGAGAGATCGACATGACGCAAGATCATCCTCAATTGTCAACATGAAATCTTCCGAGTTGCTGCCGATTCGCTTTGCGACCACGCCAGACCCGCCATCCAACGGTATTCCTTATAACTCGCGTCACTGTAAAATGTTGATGTCGCCATGTCGTGGAATCCCGCGGAGATACCCTTGAACACCACACCAAGCCGCAGCCAAGTCTCGTCCCTTGCGCCTTTGTAGACGCCAATCTCGAAAGACTGCCACCCTCTTCAGGTAGCTCGACTCCCTATTCGTTACCGGCTCATCGATCGCGAGAAGCCTCCCGGCCCGTGCCGCAGCCATGGCCGACTTCCAAGACGAAAAGAAGGCGGTCTCTTCCATCGATACCCCTTCCTCTGGATCCCTGAACGATGTCAAGGGTGTTTCCTCGCCGGCCCGTTCCGCCTCTTTTTCCCACGTCTCTATCTCTGAAGAACTCAGCGGCAAGAAAGACGAGTACGGCTCGACCCCTGATCACGTCTTTAGTGTCCCCGCAATTGCTGCGCATTGGGCTGAGGTCTATGAGCGCGCCGGGTACGAGAACCGTCACCGATTCGACCCGTCGTTCCAATGGGACGCCTCAGAGGAGCGCAAGCTTGTGCGCAAGATCGACTTCAGGATCATGTTTTGGGCTTGGATCATGTTCTGCAGCTTGGACTTGCATCGGAAGAACATCAACCGAGCTATCAGCGATGACATGTTGCCGGAATTGGGTATGTCCTTCATGATTAGTCCCTTCCTGGTCACCGAGTTAGTACTGACACGACCCAGGAATGAACACAAACGACTTCAACTATGGTCAAACCATTTTCCTCGCTACCTTCTTACTGGCTGAGCTTCCCTCCGGCCTCGTGGCCAAGAGGCTTGGTGCCGACCGCTTTATTCCCATGCAAATCGTATCTTGGTCCATCTTGTCGGGTGCCCAAGTCTGGATCACCAACAGAGCCCATTTCTATGTCATCAAGGCACTTATGGGTGTTGCCATGGGTGGTTTCATCCCTGACATTGTCCTCTGGTTGACCTACTTTTACAAGTCGAACGAGCTGCCCCTCCGTCTGGCTTTCTTCTGGACTGCTCTGTCGACCGTCAACATCGTTGGTTCTCTGATGGCCGCCGGGATTTTGCAGATGCGTGGTATCAATGGCTGGAGTGGTTGGCAGTGGCTGTTCCTGATCGAAGCCCTGATCTCCCTCATCGTCGGTATCTTCGCTTTTGTTCTCATGCCCCCGGGTCCTTGCCAGACCAAGTCCTGGTTCCGCGGAAAGAACGGCTGGTTCTCTGATCGCGAGGAATACATCATTGTCAACCGTCTGCTGCGCGACGATCCCTCCAAGGGCGACATGAACAACCGCGAGGGCGTCTCGGCCAAAGGCTTGCTCCTGGCAATCAAGGAATGGGAGATGTGGCCGCTCTATATTGTCGGCTTGTTTGCTTACATTCCTCCTGGACCTGCCGGCAACTACCTCAGTCTGATTCTCCGCACTGACGGCTTCAGCGTGTTCCAAGCCAACCTCCTCACCATTCCCGCCTACTTCCTCTTTGCCTGTAACTTGGTCATTCTGTCTTGGGTTTCCAAGCGGTGCAAAGAGCGTGCACTCATCTCCTCCATTTCGCAATGGTGGATGCTTCCCTTTCTCGCAGCCATCGTCGCCCTGCCCAACTCCGGCGTCTGGGTCCGCTACGCTCTTCTCACCGGCGTCTTGTCGTATCCATACTGCCACGCCATATTGGTGTCTTGGAACGCCCAGAACAGCAACAGCGTGCGTACGAGGGCGGTTTCCGCGGCGTTGTACAACATGTTTGTGCAGGCTGGCAATATTGTTTATGATAACATCTACCGCGAGGACGACAAGCCGTTGTACAAGAGGGGGAACAAGGTGTTGCTGGCAATTGTTTGCTTGAATGTTGTGCTGTTTTATCTGACTAAGGCGTTTTATATGTGGAGGAATAAGCTGAAGGAGGAGAAGTGGAATGCGATGACGCCCGAGGAGCAGCAGGTATATCTGTTGACTACGAAGGATGAGGGGCCGAAGAGGTTGGATTTTAGGTTTGCTCACTGAGCGGGATTTGTTGTTCGTTGGATTGACTTTGGATGTTGCAAATGTTAAAAGAGGGAAGATGCAAGGCAAGATGCTGGGTTTTAACGGGACAGCATTGATGATAATAATGATACCCATGATATGACAAAAGGGGGAAGATAGAGGTTAGACAGTGCAGAGATGACAATGAACGTACGATACAAAGATCCTTTTGCACTATAAAGCTCAACTGAATGTTTGTGATATTGCCGGCGGGAGTCACTGGAAGTGTCAAGAAATGGAAGAAGCGCCGCAGGAAACCAACTTACCAAGCACCAAGCTAGCTCCAGCATGCATCCTTACCTATCTTGAAAGGTGCCTCTGAGGCTGCACTAAAGGACGGTCCGTCCTTTGTTGTCAAGTGACAATGGGGCACCTCGGCGGTGAATCGCTTGCCCGTTACCAGACACTCATGGTCTAGGAGGTCATCCTCGCTCCCTTTTACACACCTGCTACCCTCCGATATTCCAGACTCAAGTAACTTTTCCGGTCTGATCGAAAGAATGGCGCTTCTGCTGCGGACATCGCAGGTCGCTTCTGCATCTTCTGCATATTTCCCAGAAGACACTGCAGCAACCTGCATGCACGGCAACGCAGCCTCAAATTTGCTGACATGGATCGAAGGATCTTCTAGGGATGCGAGCCTTGCGCATCCAGATCTCACGGCCTACAGAGTACGAGCAAACAGCCACCCACACTTGGGAAACGCCATCACTCCTTCGGGGGCCTCAAAGTCTTCCGTTTCAACAGTCTCTACGGACTTCACCGCCATGCCATCCATATACACCGAAGAAGTAATCAGGAGGGTCGAGGTAATGACCATCCAGGCAAGGCAGGAAGTAGCTACTGCCGCAAATGCTGCCCAAAGTCGCCACCGGAATACCTACCTACCACCGTCCGAGACCGGGGCCGACTCCGAGCCAGAGATGCTACCCGACTGCCCATTTAACGTACGAACGTAACGACTTCGCCTTCGCCCGCATAGGACAAGAAGCTGTCGCGCAGGGAAGGGCTAAAAGCCAAGTGGTACGGTACGGTGGAGGAGCTTAAATACCTTCCTCTAGAATACCTCTACATATATAGAGGTAGGAGAACATATCGTAGCGAAAAGAAAAAAAGAGGGGGGTGGATAGTGTTTGGGCTTGGGCGGTACCAGCCCGGATTGGAACTCGACTGGAAGCTAGGTTCCGAAGTTCGAAAAGGAGGAATAGGAAGATCAAATGTCGAGGATGAAGGCAGGAGATACACAGTCGAAGCTGGAGAGCGGAGGCATCTCAGACATTGCAGCTCAGGATGCTGGCAAGACTCCTTCGGTCCGACGAGTATTAGTCTGTGTGTGCCTCAACAATACCTAGGTACCTGTAAGGTACCCCTGCCAGGAGGAGAGCGCAACTGGAATGTGGGCTAAGCTGTGCTCCGTCCATGTCTTTGCCAACCAAGCTGAGTGGCCCTTATGCCATTTTCGACAATAAAGAAAGGGGCACCGCTTAGCACCTCGGTTTTGATTTGATGTTGGTGCTGGGAATCAAGGTAGAAGCCATCTACATTCTAAGCTCATTGCCAGAAGTACTGACAACCGGAGGCGTTTCTTTGCTAAGTAGGTACCTCTACCAAAAGTCAAACGCGTCGTGATGTCCTTCCTGCCTCCTGCTCTCGGATTCGGTATATGTAGGGCATAAAGTCATTCTCCGAGGCCTTGAATAGAACCGAAAAGAAGTAGCGCGCAAACAGATGGATTACGTCCTAACAAAATTCCTCCATTGCTGTAAAGAAGCTTTCGGTGTGAGGGAGGAGTGAGATACCGTAATAAAGTTCGTGGATGTTGCGGCGAGTGTCTGACGCCCCGACCCAGCAACCGCGCAGTCCAGCTGAGACCGACCATGTAAATGCGTGGGAGCAAAGAGCTCTAACCTCACCTTCCCCTTCACCAAGCAAGATGCCGTTTCCCTCCCAGCACAGGCGCGTTAACCTCACAAAAAGGAATCTAACCGCTCTCCAAGTCTATTTTCCATTACTTCATCTCGTCGTTGCCTCTCTAGAGGGCTGCAGATATACAAGTAAAGCCTGAACCCTAAGAACTAGTAGTAAGAAAGGGGGAAAAGAAAATGTAAAAAACAAATAGGAAAAAAAGAATGCGCAGACCGGGGTTCGAACCCGGGATCTTTTACATTCAGGGGTGGCAGCCCTAACTACAAACACCGTAGGTGATCGAGGTGCCATGTACTGAGCGAACGCGTTGACCACTACACCACCCGCGCTTTCATTGATGGAAGGAGGGTTTGCGGAAGTGATATATATACCTCCTGTCAGGGGCAGTGGCGGTAGAGGGCAGTGGGATACCACTGGCTGGGACTGGGGCTGGGACTGGGGCTGGGACTGGTCTAGCGACATGGAGGGCAGGGAGGACAACGTCAATACCTTAACGGAACTGAGCTGGCAAGCCGTGGTTTTAGAACGCGCGCCTTCCTTCCTCTGCGCGTTTGATCGCATGCCATTCAACCGGCCCGCGACGCAAGCTGCCTGCGGAGGTTATAGCCAGGACTTGACTCCAGTCCCGTCCTTTTGAGAATCTCCCGATGTTGACGCTGGCCATGATGGTTGGCCGCCGACCATTAAGTGCATCCCACCCAATGCCTTCCCAACCAAAACAACAGTCGCAGGCCACGACTGTTCTGTTACTACCAGAACTACTACCATGACGCCCAATATTCAAGTTTGATGTGATGACTGGCGACTCTGCTGTTAACAACTCTGCTAGCACGCTGTTGGGGACATCCAGCGTTGGCCGCCTTCAAGGTCACCAGAGGGAGGATCGCGGGGCCGGAGTTCGCTGGTCTGTTTTCGGCACACGGGTTACCGCAAAAGCAGCATCCATGATGGTTTTCGTGGTTGTTGAAATGCTCAAGTGTCATGTCACCCTTTCACGCTATTTAACATACCACCGTCAAGTTCATGAGCAATAGCTTCAACGCGACCACCAATCCAAACCCCCTAGAGACCCTGCCAAACGAAGCTTTACGCGATCGACAGGAAGAAAATGAATATTGCGTCCATGTTGGCGGCCGTTTTCTGTCCCTTCAAATCGGCTTGAATGTAGCATTCTGGAAACAGCACCCAGATACATCAAGAATAATGCTTCCACTTGGCAGATAAGGTGGTTTGTGGCGGTGAAGCCATACTCGTTTCCTGAAATGGAGCCCAGGCATGGGCGATGGTGTTGCACGGGAGCATGAATGGATCGCGCTACGGAGGGTTGTGCTCCAGACGTCTTATTGGGTTTATTGCACACCTACAAACTCACGGGCATGAGTACGGGCTGGATGTGGAACGATCTTGGATGGACTATGTTCCTTGTCAACTCGGCTCGGGTATGGGTATCATTTGCTACGAATACTGCCCCTGCGCTTCCACGCCGTTCCTTGGAGTTTCTATCCTTCCTCCGCCGCTAAAATACTTCCAAACTACCTCCATCCTCGGTCTTCTTCTTTGTGTCTTCACGTAACGAGCAGCCAACTTCTTCTTACCATGTGCGGTTGTTCAAGGTAAAAGCAAAAGCAACTAACCATCCTCCCCCGCTTCCTCTACACCCCCGTCTCAAACCCCGAACCTCTCCGGCCTTACATTACACTCCACTCCCTCTCCTCCTTCTCAGACCCCGAGCCTCACTGACTTTACAGTCCCCTCTCTTCCCTCCCTCTCCTCTTCTCCCTCCACCTGTTCCTCACCTCTCTCCTAATCCTCTTCCTCTGTAACATCCGTCTCCAATGCTCCGTCCTCCACTCAAAATCCTCGCCATCCTTCTCCTCCCGGTCCCTCTCTTGCAAAGTCCTCTTAAGCTTCGCTCTCGTCTCCCTCAACCAGCGAAACCCCACGACGCGCTCGGCCGCAGCCCCGTTCTTCATCAGCCCAGTCCAGGCCGAGCCTTTGGACGAGATGGAGAAGTTGCCGGTCAGCCAGATGCACTGTGCGTACGCGCAGGTTTGGCACGGTGTGCTGAAACGAAAACGGCGCGGGCCGGAGATGGTCCAGTCGCAGCCTTCGCCGGGGCTAAGGGGAGCGACGCCCGTGGTGGATGATGACAGGCGCAGGGCTTTGCTCACGCAGCATTCGAGCTTGTGGTGACGCGCGCAGCCGCAGGAGAAGGAGCGGATGATCTGGAAGCACATGGCTTTTTAGGTTGAGGTGAGTGGAATGTTTTAGTGAGACTTGGGGTGTCGGGTTGGATTTGAACAGCACGGGGGTGTTTTGTCTGAGGCAAGAGAGGTAATGGGAAGGACAGGAGGGATACGTAAGGAAGTTAAAGACTGTACTTACCTCTGAACGGTCTTTTATGTTGCGAGGCGAAAAAGTCGTCGTGATCCAATGAAGAAGATCGGAAAGTTCTCTGGCCGGGCACTGCTTTTCGTGGAGGTAGTTCACCGTTAGCTCCAGTCAGTCCCTTCATCCACGCCGGAACCCGCGTTGACGCCCAAGTGGAAGATCTCGCGTCTTGATGATCTCAGCCTGAACTCAGAACTCGAAAAGAAGGAAAGACTTGGGCGATGTGTCTTGGAAAGTAGCGAGAGGAATGCCACGAGGCGAAACGATGTTTCAAAGACGGAACTGCGTGATGAGAGGGTCGGGGGAGGAAGACGGCGCTGCACCGAAGGCGAGAGCCGAGTAGACAGCGCGAAGGGGAGAGCGGAATAGAAAACGGCACGCTTTGAAGCTGGTGTATATGGTTGGGAGATGATTTAATCACGGGTGTAGCTGAATGGACAGAAGGTGTTAACTCTCTGGAGGATGTCGGTCGGGAGAAGAAAGTTGGTCGGGGAGGAATCTTTGCTGGCGGGGGTTTTGTGGGCACGCGCGGGAAAGACGGTGGATGCTCCACGAGAGGGACAAGAAGGACGTAACTGCCGTCAAAATGGGAAAGTCCTATTTTGGCACGGAGCGGTAGCAAACATGCTCAAACAGTCCGGATGACAGCCCGGGCGATCAGAGTAGAGGACTCATCTGGTGGGGCACCATGCTTGAGACGAATGGGCACGTCCACAATTGGACATCATGGCCTTGAATGGAGGTACTCCTGTAGGTAGAACCCCTCAGAGAGTAACCTGTGTGCGCGGAGTACTGGATCTTCTCGGAAAAGAAGAACGTAAAGAGGCTGGCAGAGGAACTTCATCAGGCAAGTTCGTTGTGACGGTACGGCGTGGCAGTCACTTGTTGATGCGATTAGCTCCGCTTCACTGCTCGCAACGATCATTGTGTTACACTGCTTTAACTCTGGTTGCTGATGGAAACAAACATCTCGCTCTAGTCAAGGGCAGGTTGAAATTTGGAAAAGGGTCCAAGGGATTTCTGTGCCAGCGATCAACGCCTGCGTCAAGAGGCAGTCTCAAAACACCAGAGAAAGATCCTGACAGGGCGAGGCATCCGCGTTACTGGGTTCAACTTCAAGTACGACCGACTCGAACAATCAAACACCCAAGGTCGGTTGGACATAATGTCGGACGGAGCCCAGGAACGGATACATGTACGAGCGAATACAACGACTACACCCAAGGAAGGCTCCAAGAACTCATGAACAAAAATGCGGACAAGTTTAAGGGACAGAGAGATCAGAAAGGCACTAATATTGCCGATGTTTCTATCTACAGTACTACTCGTTAGGGCTCGAATCGCCTGTCTGGCCAAGGTCTGCGCGCAAACAAGTGCAATACAAATTCGTTATTTAACCCAGCCTCATGTCCACCGCGTTGAGAACACGACCCCAGCACCAGATGTAGGCTTCCCACCCTTGTCACGAACAAATGTCTCTTGTCCCAAGGCCATGTCCAAGAGGACTGGACGGCGCCGTGGCCAAGCACAGTTGCCACGACGCCGTCCCATATTGTGCGATGTGCAGCCTCAGCACCGGCCATACCGGCGAACTCGGAGAAGATGGCCTCGTTGGGCCCCGGACATTTCCTGCGATTCAAGGCCGGCGTTAGCTTTCGAAGAAAGATGATGGATGAAGCCGTTGTACTTGCAAGTATGGAATTCTTGGAGGTGGTGTACTGGTCACTCCCCTTCACTTGACCTGGACTGGTCTCCTCGTCGCCTTCGGGCGGCTTCTTGGAGTCAGTGCCGGAAGAGCAAACTCTCGATGATGGTGAGAGCAAGGCTGTCTGTTGTGTCAGCGCTAATGTCCACTCCAAAGCAAAGATGTCACCAAGAGCCTCGTACCAAGAGATGTACTCGTTCGAATCCTTGGTAAGAGCACCCGGAGGCAAACCAAGCCGAAGGCGCCACTGTGCCGTCCAAGCTGGGGGAGGCCCCGGTGAGGCAGAAACCAGGCTTGCTGAGATATTCCGGGCGTTTTCTTCAGTGGATGACAATGGCTAGCGAGCACGGAGGCCCTGCCGGGATTCGTTGTGACAAGGCCCTCGTCGCCGCCCGCCCGCTCTGGTGTACTGAGACTTGTTAGAAGGCAGTCTCCGAAGGACAAAGGGAACCAAAGGAACTCGCCTTGAGCAGGTGGGAGATGGTGGAGCCAACAGGGAAAGGAAGACCAGAGGAGAGCTCGCGGTGGAGCTGGCTTTTTGTGGATGGAATGTCCCTTGGTCCAACAATGAAGTGGTTGCGAGGGAGGAGAAGAAGAAGAGAGAAGAAAGGGAAGAAGATGTGAGGACGACGACGAAGAAGAAGATAATGATGAAGGCGAAAATGAAGAGGAAGAAGGGGGATGGGACAAGAGGGCGGGGGACGCTCGATTTAAGTCCAGAACCCATGTGCGCCTTGGATGTCAACTTGGGTGGCTGACGAGAGCTGCGCTGCGAAGGCTGGGTGGAGAAACTCGTCATCTCTTGGTTAGCTTTTGGTCACGGAGGAATTCTGAGTTGGCGAGAACGGCTCGAAGTGGACAGAACGAGGGGACAGAGTGGTCCGAATCCTTCGTCATTTCCGTATGAGCCTCTGCGTTACTGCCAGGCACCAGGGCATGCCTGGCCCCTTGAGAGTCTCGACTGCGAGCCTCATATTCCCATCCTCCTCGTTCCTTCCTCTCAGGCCTTGCCTCCTAATATCACGGCCACCCTTCATTTGCCAAGCGTTCGAGGCCATGCGTCATCGGGACTCCGACTTCTCCATGTCTGCTGGGCCCGACGTGTAACTGCCAGGTACTGAGGCATACCTGGCAGCCTTTCCAGGTACCTGGAGGTACTTGAGAGTCGGGTCTGCGAGCCTGGGAGTCCTTATTCTCGTTCCTTCCAGGCTCTCCTTGAAGGACTCGGCTCCTGTCAAAACTGGAAGCCCTCTTGTTGTTCGCCAAGCATTCGCGGTCATGCGTTATCCGAGAATCGGCCCATGTGCAGTCTCCGATTATCCGCACCACTGCCAGGCACCAGGTACACCTGTCAACTTGAAGTCATCTGCTGCGATGACTTCCTCCGCCGTTATTGTTACCATTTCCTTCATGGACTCGCATCTTCTCAAGCCCTCGTCTTATTCGTCAAGTGTCCGATGAGGTGATGCGTTATCTCGGAACTCAAATCTCGATTGCCCACGTTACTGCCAGAGCACCAGGGCATGCATGGCTGACAACTTGAGAGTGCTGGCGGCGATGCCGGCGTCCTTTCTTTCCTGGCTCCTTCCGCCCAAGGCTCCCGCGTCACCTTTTTCAAGCCCCCCCTTGTTCGCCGGGAAGCGCTCGAGGTCAAGCGGCCCTGCCTTCTGGCCTTGCGTTCAGATTTGTGTCAGAAGCAGACAGAATTTTCCTCCTGTGCCCCTCTCCCTCAGTACTTAATTCCTGTCTTCCCCAATTTCTCCTCTTTTCCAAAAATTCTCTCTATCATCCCATCATTCTTCTCACCCAATCATTTGTCCTCAACTTCCAAGTATGCCACCAGTGGGACCGAAATAACGACATGATTTCACATCTCTGCTCAACGGAAGCGCTTTCCAAAAAGCTGATCATCGTGTTTCCGCTGCCATCTTCATAAGTGAGTCATTTGACATGCGATTCAAGGTCGACGTAGCACGCTGCAAACACACTCCTCCACTGCATCCCATCTTCTTCCAACGCTGTGCGGCTCTCCTTTGGAGACATCACTGCCACAACCTGAGGCCAGCCTGGTCAACTCAGCCAGAGCTTCACTTTCCTTGACTGTCCATGTCAAGCAAGGTTGCTCAAGAGGGTCACTCCTTCACCTTCCCAGTCCAGCCCAGTGGCCCATCACTGCACCAAACCCCAGTGGCATCCATCATGTTCCTCACCACCCATCCACCCACACAAGAACCACAAGCTGACCACTCATTTATCTCCCCTCTAGTATCTCGACCGATACCCCGTATCACGCTCACATTACCTTACGCCGGGCCTGGCCAGCGCCTTCGCCTTCATCAGGCAAGGCTGCTGATATGCCATAAGCGGCTGCCAGGCCCGAGCGTTACAGCGCGGAGCGCCGGAGAAGCATACGTACTATACCAGATTGCCTCGCCGGTCACTCCTGGAAAGTGAGAGTCAACGATGTTACCGCTACACGATACCCGATTCAAGCGTCCGAGATGGTTCGTAGTCCCAGGAGATGATCACACGTGTGCGTCGGCTAACTTAGCTTTGGCTTCGGCTTTCACAGCAAACCAAGAAAGTCTGCCAAGGCCACCATGGGAGGCGACGCTAGTTTGTCGCCAGGATACGACCACACGCTATGGTAAGTCCATCTGCTTCTGTTCTGTCTTGTCTGTTTGATGGAATGTCATGGAAGCTAACACATGGCAACTTGTTCCAGGTCGTTTGGGACCGGGGATTCCCATCTCCGGCAGGGTCAAAGGATGTGTAAGGAGACAGTTCGTGGGGGAGGGCGAAATGGCTGAAGCAGCCCAAAGCAGGCAGCTGCAATGGTGACCATTGCCGGCTCGGTCCAGTTCGAATTGCTTTGTTGTTGTCAACACTGTCTCGCATGGAATCAGGGCGGGGGGAGCATGGAGTGAGAGAATACAAAAAAAAAGAAAAAAAGAAAAAAAGAGGGGAAAAAAAAAACCAGAAAAAAAAGGGGAAAAACGTCGCAGAGCGGGGGACATGGGGGGGAATTTTGGAGAATGTGGAGAAAGTCTTGGGTTGGGCTCATGGTTTGGTTGAGATTGTAGTTGTTGTATGTAACTGTTCAATTTTGCTGGTGGTTATGGTGGTGGTGTTGGACATGTTGGACATGTTTGACAGGAGTGGTTCGACGGCCAGGCAAACGACTGGCGCATGTAGTTGCAGACAGTAATTTATTAGATAAACTTTCATCGTAACTGATTGTGATGGTTTTTCTTTCACACATGATGACCACTTGGGCCTTGTTCCTTTCCTTTTCCCTCCGTTGGTATCCAATTCCTTGCTCCTCCTCTCTCCCTCACACCGGGACTTAATCATTCGTCTCAGGATTCCACAAACTCTCCTCAAACTTCTTTGGTTCCTCACCAATGATCTCGGTCCACGCCTCCTTAAGCACCATATTCTTGAACCCAACATCACTATGATGTCCCTTTGTTGTCCAAATGGTTCCCTTCTCCTTGACATCCTTCCACCCCGGCATGTGCGCATTCTCGGGAGTATCCTTATGTTTCCCGCCATTGATATCACTCTGTGCCCCCCTCTCCCCCATTCCAATGCCACCAATATACTCCCACTGCGCCACCACGGGCGGAAACAGACTATACGCCACCAAATCCCTACTCATCGTCAACCTCCTCATCAGCAAATCCACGGGGTTATCCAAATCCATCGCACTCCTCAACAACAGCTTCGCGGCACCGGTATGACTAATCGCATAAGCAGTCGTGCACGTAATCCCCCCTGACTTCCTAATAACCCTCTCCTTCCCCATTTTCTGTCCCCAATACTCTTTTCCTTCAGGAACAGACTCGTCGTCGTAAACGAGTTTGATGTCGTGGTCTTGGGAGTACTCGAAACATTGCCCGATTGAAAACAAGTCCCAGTGTTCGGAAAGCCAGGGGTCGTCGGGGTTGGGGAGGATGGGGTTGGAGGGGTTGTAAGAAGGTTTGCCGTGGACTTTGTGGTTATTGGGCGAGTTGAAAGAGGGGTCGTGAACAGGGGTGGAGGAGATGTTGTTGAGGAAGGTGATGAAGTGAGCGTTTAAAAGGGACATTATGGGGCGGATTTGGAGGTCCCAGGCTGCGTCGGATTCGAGAATCAAAATGGGGGGAAGGCGGGAGCGGGTTTGGTCGGACCAGATCTGTGGTTGGGGTTGTTAGTACCTTTGTTGTTTGGGGGTTAAGGAGGAGTCTTGGTGGAGGAGAAGGTGAGGGACGGGGGTTGGAGGGTTTGGTGGTTTGGTGGTTTGGTGTATATGAGGGCTGGGGTGAAAGGAAGGTGGAGGCAGGTGGAAAGAAGAGGTCTCAGGCCGGAGAAGAGATGTGGAAGAGGAGGACTAGTGAAAGGGAGGAAATAATGGAAAGGGACTGGGAAGACACGAAGGATGGAAAGGTGGAATGACAAGGAGAAGTGTAGGAAGCTAGGGAACATAGGAGGATGAGAAGGGGAGAACGGGAAAGGGGGTGAGAGGGAAGCACGGAGGTTGGGTTTCTCTGCTATTTAGGTGATGGTACTGGAGGCACACTTGGATGCCGAGTATGAACATCTCCAACCTCTGGGGCATGAACCTCCGGGGCATCCATAGTGGCAACGCAAGACCTGGTCCAAGACCCCTCTCGTCCTTGCTGTCGGCGGCTCCGCCAAAGGTACCTCCGACCTCAAGTCCAAGCTGGCCAAGGCCCATTCGTCTATTCGATGAATGGAAGGGAAGAAAAGAAAGGAAGGGAAACGAATGTAAGGGGAATCATGGGGATTTTTTCTGCTGTTTGGTGGCCAGATGAGGGCAATTTGGGAGGGAGTTGGTAAAGGGAGGGCATGCCGATTTGGTTCTGATATCAGGGGATGGGAGGTAAACGTGGAAATGGGCAAGGCAACCAAAAAAATGAAAAGAAACACCCACATTAGCATGGGCCCTCCAACACCCCTTCTCGCCATTCTTCAGCTTCCCCGGGCGATGCGTAGGCGGCATGCCAACAGGATCAATCATATCGGCCTCGACGGCCGGATAATCGTCAATCTTCAGTCCCGAAAGGTACGCCTGCAGTGCCATGGCGTCCTCGCGATCATACCGCGCCTTCATGTTGATGTACTTGATGGAGTGGAATCCCAGGGTTGCGTTGCCGGCGTTTTGCTGGGACAAGTCGAGGAGTTCTTCGGGTGTTAATTGTTTGGGCTTTGGTGGTTCCTCATTTGCGGGTGCCGTGCCGGCTCCGGCTTCAGGGTAGGGTTCATAATGTTGCCCTTCTTGGACTGGTGATGGTGGTGATGATGATGATCCAGGAACGACAACAACGGGATCGCTGCTTGTCACAAACGTGCTAGCCAGCGCAGACCGATATTTTTCCAGCACGAAGATCGTCAAGAGGACGAAGACGACCAGGAAGATGCGGTGGGTGTGGCAGTAGGAGCGCCAGTGGGCGACGATGGCGGACATCCAGGACGACGGCGATGACGACGACGGTGACCCGCCGGTTGGGTCGCCCAGCAACATGACGGGATGTTGTTATCTGGTAACGACTGGAGGAGGGGCGACTAGATCCTGCTTAGGTAGCTAGGTGTTCGGATGTGGTCCGTGGTAGGTAAGGCGGGCTTTTTACTACACGTAAAAGCCTGCCCTGAACGACACGAGAACGAACGGACAGGGTCTGGTTCGGTAGTCGGTGGTGATCGACTGGAGTTGATGGGGAAGATCCGAACTGTTGGGAGCGGGAGCGGGAGAAGGGCGTGGAAAAGAGGGGAATAGCGTCAGTTTATGGCATCTGCATGTTTGGTCGTCGGTGCGTGCCGGGCAAGTATGTTGGTTGATGTCGATGCTGGAGATGATGGCAGATGGCACTGAGTCGCCACCAGAGATATGCCGGATGAAGCAAGTGAATGCAGTGAGTGAAAGTGATGCAAAAGCCAAATGTATGAGAGATAACGCAATGTAGTCTGGGCCTGAGCCTGTTGAGTTTCGAAATCGAAAACCCGGTTTCCCCGGAGCAGACTGCGGCAAAGATCAGAATCGAATCGGAGCGGGCTGTGTCGATTACGCGGATGATCCCAGTATCTCGCGTGGTTTTTCTGTACGGTGGATCGGTCTCGGTCTCGATTCGATGGGTCGTCTCGTGTAAGTGGAAGTGGAGATTGGTGGGCCCAGCCGTTTTGTCACGAACGTTGGGTCTGTTCTGTTCCGTTCGGATCTCGGATGTCCAGATGTTGTTGGTGGCAGATGTTAAGGTGTCAAGATGTCAGGAGTCTGGCTGGGAAAGTTCCAAGGCAGGGGTAAAAGGCGGGAAGCACAGATGACAAGGCAAAACTGCGGATGTGCAGATGAGGACAATACCAAGTACATAAACTTTTTTTATTCATGTAAGAAAGAGAAGGCTGGGCATCCGGCATGCAGTAGGCATTGTTGCTTATTTAACCCACACCCCTGGAACCGCCAGAACGCCGTCACCCCTCCATCTCCCCATTGAGACATTGAGAGACGGGCTGACCCAGGACATGGGAAAGCCACACACCGCGAGCAGGGAAAAAGAGGAAATGGGGCTGGGACTGAATTCTGCATGTGGATTGGATGTTGTCTCTGAAGGAGGTCGTCACTCAACTGCCAGTCCCAGTTTCCGCTCGAGGGGAAATGCTAGACAAACAATTCCGTCGGCAGTGTGCTTTGATGTACTGATTGTAGCAGGAAGATAACATGATGTATGTAACTCGATGGAAGGTCCTTCGATAATCCATTAACCAAGGCTAATCCTAATTCCCCCCGTTGGAGAAATCTAGGCAGCCTCGAAAGCTAAAAACCAAAAGCAACTGTAAAAAGCAAGGTGTGTGAATAAATGTGCGTGTGATTGAGATATAGCGTATGTATCCACAAACACATGGTTTTCTTGTTGGCTTCCCATGGCCTAACTCCCGGAAAGCTGCCCTTTGATACGAGGTCACATCTGACACTTGTAGGGGTCCTCCTCCACGCAGATGGGAAGAGCGCACTTTGCACAGCCCTCTACGCCCTGTTCGCTGTTCGTTTACTACAGGACGCGTAAAAGATTGGTCAGGGGGGGATTGGGATAAGCAAGCATGGGGAAATCCCACTGGCCGGATCACTCACCACAGCCTGGGCCTGGAAGATCGCTGCGGATAGAAAAGGCAGAGAGAAGAAAAAGGGGACCTGTCAATCCTCGAACCACTGCACCGAGGATGCGGGAAGATGAGGGACAGTTCCAATTCACTCCACTCTGCTGTCTAAACCTTGTAGGGCCGTGATAAAGTTACAGTACAAACCATGGAAGCCTGCAAGGATACAAATGTGGATTGGCAAGGAAGTTTGTTGCTGCAGTTAGATTCCAGACACACCACTTGGTGCATTTTGTCACTGACCCGCAACTCGTAATTGTGCCGAGGACTGAGGCTGAAGACGACTGACACACATGGGCGCCAATATCAACAGCATGGCGTCTGTGGTTTTGGGAACATAATTGGCTGATTTCCTGTTTTCGTGTTACCGTTTCCGAAAGGGGGGAGGGGATAATCTCACTCTGTCTTTGTAGGTGTGTTTTTGCACCTCGGTGTGGTGTGGGTGTGGTGGTGGTGTTGTTGGCATGTGTCGGGAAGTTGCTGAGGTCATGTCTCTGTGTCGCTTTCGGCTTGCTTGGTCGGTTTGATGGTTCAAAGTGATCGAATGTCTCTCGCCGCCCCTCACATTCATGAATCCCAACCAGCCGTTTCCCTGCCAGAGAGAGAGACGGTGATCCACGGCTATCAAACCGACGATGGAATTGGAGGGGAACAGATAGAGACTCGTTGGCAATCTATTTGCAATAAGGCTTGTTATAGCCTCAATTTGAGATTGTACGTGTACCTGTGGTGGTGTACACTAGTCGGATCACATTCCAAGATTCCTCCAGGTGTCGCCGGCTGCTGTGGAAAAAGATGTTGCAAAATGCAAGGGGCCAAAAAAGAACGACGGGGCATTGGAATGGAAGCACAAAACCCAAGTGCAACCTGGGAAAGAGCCCACTCGGCTAAACCTAATGCGGTTGGGCGGTCAGTCATCGCCCCCCCCCCCCATGTTCCAAAGTCGAAACCATGCCGCTCGCGGTTGATCCTGTGCCAATACGGCGGGGGTCAAATTGGAAAAAGCTTGTTATTTGCAGCTTGTTATTTGCACACTGCCATGCTATCCAAGTTTGCAGAAAATGTTGGCCATTTCTGTTAGACAGCTAACGCTTTCCCCAGTAGCGTATCTGTGCACGAACCATCTTACCATTTGTCAGAGGATCTGGCCGTGCCCCAACAGCTGGAACGGGATGGAAGCTTGGTCAAGGAAGTCAGGTTTCGTTTTCCATTTCCATCCGATGCGATGCAATTGACAGGACACGGCATTTAATGTGCCTTTTTCATTTTGTTGGTCATCTTCCTCTGCACTTCACATTTGCATTCTGACGACTCCTGGAATGTCTCGATCTTCCAGAGCCAACACTGCTGCACAACAAAATTTTGTTGCCTGCAGAAGCAAGTGAACCGCTATTCTGGATGCAGAAAGTATCATCGACGGCATCACAGGAGGACGCTATTCACGCCAGCCACCACAACGCACCACTACCACCACCATCACCACCATCACCACCATCACCACCAGGCAACAAAGTAACAAAATTGCCGTCGGTGTTTCTCAAAACGACACTGCTTCCTTCCTTCCTTGCTTCACCGCCATCCAACAACCTTTTGGGCAATTGAAGTAATAGTCTGGTGTCTGCTGCATCCAACGGCCCGAGGATGCGAATGGGTTACTGGATTTGCAGGTGGTTTTTCACATGGGATGTGACGATGGCCTCTCAACAGTCAACACGGAACTCGAAGAGACACTCCCAATCTGGATGAGCAAAATCCCAAAACCAGGCATTTGGCACAGACGAGTCATTCATGCAACTTTGACAGGAAACGGAAAAATGCATACATTCGTACAGAAGGACCTTCCCCAACGCCGACATGCATGGTCAAGGCCTCATGTGCTGCTTGCTGGCTGGACACACAGCGTTTGCATGAGGTCCGCCGTCACCACTCGCCACCACACCAAGTTATCCAGCATTCACGCCGTGCATCATACTTGCTATCGTACAAGCAAACCTCACATTCCAAGTCAAGTCCAACGCCAGGTACCGCTCAATAAGCCTGCCCACCCCCCGCCATGGCCGTCAAGTTCTTGTTCCCCGCAACCACATACGGTTTCTCCGTCGGTAACCGATCCAGCAACTCATCCGGCAAATGCAGATGATCCTTAATCACCTGCCTCGGCGTCAGCGCCAACCACTGCGCCACGCTGATATCCGTGAACTTGCTTGCCTGCAGCACCTCGAGGTAAACCAGATCCTCGGTCCCCGTGTTCTCGATATAGTGGCTCGACCCTTGCGGGATGTATCCCACTCCTCCCGCAGTAAAGTCGTAGGTCCTCGATGCCGACGGCGCCACGTACACGGTTATGCGGCCCGACCCTTGGATGAAGAAGGCGTACTCGTCCGACGTCGTGTGCCAGTGGATCTCGCGCATGGCGCCCGGGTGGATGACCACCTGCGAAGCGGAGAAGTTGCTTGCGATGGGGAAGGTTAACGGGTCGATGATCTTGACTGAGCCTCCCTCGACCTCCATCGGCTGTTGGCGCGACCAGTGGTACGTGAAACTCTCGTTGCCGGTCCGGGCACCAGCTGGACCTGTCAAGTTCTGCTCGGCGATGTTTTTTGGGGCAGGCGTGCCGTTGAAGATGTACAATTGGTCTTTGGGCAGATTGTCAAACGCCGAGGTATTGGCTTTCAGGTCTTTACTCAACACCTCAACGGGGTTCCGCAACATCATCTCCGTCACCAAAAAGGTCGCTTCCTCGTTGAATGCCCCTGAGTCAAACACCAAAAGGAACTCCGTCCCCATCTCCAAAGCTTGCAAACTATGCGGCACACCCGCCGGAAAAAACCAGACGTCACCCGCACAGACATCATCGATGTACGTCCGCCCGTCCGTGTCGAGTGCCGCTACACGCGTACACCCCTTCAGAACCAACGACCACTCGGCTGCCGTGTGCCAGTGTAGTTCACGATAGGCATTCGGCTCGAGACGCATGTCCACGCCCGCCATGGCTTTCGCCACGGGAAGGACGTCTTGGTTTTGCTGCCGTGCCCAGCCGGAATGGTTACCCACGCCGGCGCGGTTGTGCGCTAGGCCCATGTTGAACATGAATTGAGGCGTGCTGCCGGCGTCAGTACCCGGTGGTGCGTAGAGGTCGGGGTTGAGTTTTTCGTAGTCGTATGTTCCTGTTTTTGTGTTATGTTTCTGTCAGTCTTTTCTCTCCTTTTTCTTGTCTCCCTTTTCTCTCGTTTATTTTTCTCTCTTTCCTTTCTCTTGCTCCTTCAACCGGTTTACAAACGCAAACGATGTGCAAGTGGATTGGAAAACCTACTAGGTCCCGGATCCGTCCCCCCTCTTCCACCCCTATTAGGCTGCGGCGGATTTGCACTATTAAAATCGAGATACAAGCCCAGGTCGGCATTCGCATCCTGTCCGTTGACAGATTGTGGGTTCGGTACTATGGCCGAGTTTGCTGTGTCGAGATCTGGCTGCGGAGAGTTGGCTCCCAGTAGATTGGTGCTGCCACGGAGAGAACCAGTTCGCCCGCTTGCGGTCGGGATTGGAGGGGAGACTCCGGCTACGGGGCCGGAGTTCTCGCCGTAGACCATTCTGTGATGGACATGGTCAGTTGGTTCGTTTGTTCTGACAGGAGACGGACGGCCATGGGGCTGGAGCTGGAGCTGGAGCTTGAGCGGATATGGAAGACCTACTGCGGCGCCGGAGCGGGAGCAGGAGCAGGTAGTGCCAGCCCCGTAGACTGGGAGACGGCGGTGGCAAGCGCCAGCAAGACCGCCAATACAGTCATCGTGAGACGAACGCTGTGGTGATGGTGGTGATGATCTTGAACCAAGATTCTTTGCTTCTACCTACCCCTCACAACACTAGTTCCTGAGGACAAGAACATCTCCGCGGCCTTTCTTTATACCAAATCCGCACGCAAGGTACCACTCCCCAATTCTCCCCTGACTGGAAGTCAACAATGAGATGGTCGTGACGTCCATCACCTCTGATATGATGAACGCCAAGGCGCGGAGAAGATTGTCGCCTCACGGCCATGTCCATGTCCGTCCGGAATCTTCATGTTCTCACAGTTCAAGATCTCTATGAAGATGATGAACGCCAAGATGCGGAGCAGCGGAGATGATCCGAACAAGTTCATCTACAAGGGAACATCCATCGAACATTCTTGCAGCCCGGTCTTTGTAATGTCTCCGGATCGGTTCCGTCTCCGTTGATTTGAATCGGTTTTGGAGTCTTTCGGGGCTTTTGAGGGGGCTCGAGCACACATTCGGGGTAAACCACTGCCTCGCTCCGTGAAGCTCATCCCTGTCCGACCATGCTCGACCATGCTTGAGTGATGTAAGGGTCGCGTCCTCAGGTACCGCGGCTCCGCGCTTTCGGGTTAAACACCCGGGAGATCTACCAAGGGGTTCCTGGATTCACGGAAGAGTTGGTAGGCGATGGAGGGTAGGAGGGCGCGACATTGTCGCGTCTGCAAGCGGCAAAACAATATAGAGTTGAGGCTGTGTTGGTCTGCTGGGAGCGGTAGAGGCAATAGCACGTCTTTCGTGATAATATGTGCCCTTGGATTTGTCTCCTTGTTATGCGTTGTCAACTTAAGCCTCGTTTGATAGAAACATACTTGTGAATAAAGTGCTTGTTGACGGAATAGTTCCGTTGGTAAAGCCCCTCGTGTTACTCAGGAAAGTCTTTGTGTGATAAGGGTCGTGTTACGTACATCCCTGCCCAGCCTGGTGCACGCGGAGTGAATGTCTTTCTCCGGGCACAAAACTTCCAGGTTTCCCGGTAGGAGATGGAACTCTGGCTGTGAGCAGCGGGAAGGTGCTTCGGCTATCTCTCTAACGCGGACTAGATTCAAGAACCTGCCCAGGATCCCTTCGATCATCAGTGAGCTCTCCAGCACTAGCAACCTGCAATTCCTGTGTCAGAAGACCCTTTACCGGAACCTGTGAAAAGACCTATTTTCACACAAAACCCAATACGAACATCAATCACCCTGTCCCAATACCATTAACCTGCCTGGAGTCTTTCTTCCGCAACCTGGGATCTCATCCACCACGACCAACTCTGGGTCGGACCCAACGACAACTCAAGTCACCCCATCGCGCCTGGACCCTTCAAGAACGCGAGCTATCAAAGCGGAACAGCCAGCTCACTCTGCCAAAATCCCCACGTTGAGGTTGCCTGAAGTGTGCGGAACTCCCAAGCAACTGCTCACCCTCGCTGCCTGCTAACTGCGCAGGAACACTGCCTTGATTTAAGGTATTTCACTTCAACTCGCCCCGGCTTCGAGTAGAGCGGACACGTGCAATCCGCCCGTTGAATGGGCGCCGATGGACGCTGAGGAGAAGGCGTAAACAGAAGCATCTCACACACTGCTGCTTCCGGTTCTCAGCAGCCTTGGTTAGATCGCCGACGTCTGTACGAGTTATATCAACTACCGCCCGACTGGTGGTATAGACTAGACTGACGGGCATGCCCCGCGGTTATGGCTGACAACGATGTACCTCGTCATGGTCGATGCCTGGTATATTGGTGCTGCTGGACGATTGCATCCATCCTCTTGTCTTCATTTCGGTGCAGAGATATGCTGGGTGATATGCTTCTCTGATGCTATTTTGGTGCGATGGTGTCCATATCCATGGCCGGAGGGTGGGCTTATGGTGGCGGGTGGCCCGGCTGGATGCCATTTGCACACCGCAGATTCAAATTTTCTTTCCTGGAAGAGAGAAACCAGACAGGCTCCTGGCTCCCTCTCAGCGGCCACACAGCCTGTCTCTACTAGAACGTCCACAAGGCAAAATTGCATAACATGACAGATGGAGGAGGAGCTCGAAACCCACAATGCCAAACGCACAAGCAGAAAACGCGTCAAAGACACCTCATGGAGCAGATGGTCGCAGCTGGCTTTCCAAGCGCGCCCACCAAAGACATGCAGAGAACGATCCCAGCAATGGTCTCTAGAAGCTCCTGGCCAGAGACCACAGCGCAGGGCGGAGAGAAGCTTGACGCCCACCTCATGGTCTCAATGTCACAAAACCCCCGAAAGGGTCCCGGAGATTGTGCTGCGTCGGAGTTCGTGGTCGTGCAATCACGTCTACCTCTATGGAAGAAACATTACTGCGCTGTGTACAAAATCATTCTTCACAATCCACATCACGGCTCACCACCATCATACGTGGCTGACTGGCAGAGACTTCCCCTGGGCATCTGGAGCAGGTTATGCAGGCTGGCTTCCATGGTTTGCGCGGCTTGCCATCGGTATCTCCAACGGGAAAATACTGGAACGAGAACCTAGTGGCCCATCTCGGCATAACCGACCAAGGAACGTGCTTGGAAAGCTGCCAGTAGAGACGCTTCTTGGTCTGTGCAATTAGAGACATGTGCACCCTTTGCACCCTTTGGCGTCTTCCTTCAGCCGACGCCTCGATTCATGGATGGCTGGGCGTCAACTTGCTCCCCCAGAAAGCCTAACGGGTGCATGGTGGTCCATATGGGAATCTGGCCTGTGGCTACGACCAAGGGAGGATTTTCGACCAGACCTCTCGGATTCCCTTTCAACGGACTGGATGGCCGATGCAACGAATGAAAGCATGGAAGTGTGGCTTCTGTTGCTATAAACCGCAGACGTTGCAGCGGCTTGTTGATGTCGGCCGGGACTCTGGAATGAGAGACCATCAGAGGAGACCGCGGTGGGTTTCGGTCCACCCGTTGCCAGCACAGTACATCAGGTATGTTGGCGGGTAATGGTGACCAGGCTCCCCCCTCGCGGTCGGTAACATGAACCTGGGCCCGGACTCCATGTTCAGCGCCTGTTGCTCAACTAGGTACCTAGGTATATATCTGCTGCATCTATGGAGTCCCAATGGTGCCAGGGCCAGGCAGGGGCAGCATAGGAACATGGTTCTTCTGCCAAATCTGGGTGCTATAGCCGACATTGGGACAGTGAGACGAAGGACGTCAAGAAGAGAATCGCATCGGCCGGTGATAATCACTGGAACAATGGAATACACCGGAACATCAACACTTCGGTAGCAGGTAGTGAACAGTGGGGACGATGAGTAGTTCATGCCTGTGGGCGCCAGTGTTGAAGCTTTCCTTTGCGTCACTCGTAAGTGGTGGTGCTTACCAATTTGTGTGGACGAGCATTTTTCTCTTGCGATTTTCGACCAGCTGGAGTGGGTCTGGTATCAGTACGACTCTTATTACAGCAAGGCAGGCAGACTCGCCCATCAAGTTGATCTAGGGACATGGAGAGCCGAGGACTGAGAGAGGTGGTGCAGATAATTGCGAGTAAACGAGACCAAAGGGCGTCGAGAAACTGGACTGATAAGTGCTCGTCTATTTGATATGTTTTCGTAGACGAACGCGGCTTTCATCTCCTTCTTTCATCCGGTATTCCCTTTCAGAGGCCTCTTGGGTCTAATCTTTTTCTCAGTACTTGCGAGAACAAAGATCGCATGCTGTACAATAGAGACGGTAAGCCAAGGCAAACTTGGGCGGGCGATCCAAGGAAGAAATATCCCTGGAAATTGTCATTGTCCTACAGCTGACGGTCTCCGACCTGGAAGAGGGAGGGAGATAAGCAGTGGAAGTTGGTGATTTTGATGTTGGGTGAATATGGAAAAGGGAAGGGAAGAAACTGAAGTCGAGGGTGAAGAAGACATTGTGGAGGTACCGGACAAGGGTTTGGTCAGGTCCATTTCAGCCAAGGGTTGCACATCGCGGTTGTACCCCTGAGCAAGACACTCCTCCGAGATACAACATAAATCTTTGTTAAAACCTGCTAGAACTGTCAGAAGCGCACGATAAGGCTTTTGTTTGTTGTTGTCCGTTTCTTCCATGTTCAATCGGCCTGCATCAGTTCCGGCCTCTGCAATGTCCGACGCACAGGTACTCCTCCCCCTGGCCCTACCAGGCGGTCGGACGTTGCAACCCCCCCGACCACCAACGTCCAAAGCCCCGGATTCCTTCCATTCAGGGCGCCACCACCTCAGGCAGACACCTTAAATACCACGCATACCCGAATGTCACTCCCATGGCTGGATAGCTCGAGACATCCCAAATGAATCGCAGCGAAAGCGCCCTAGCCAGGGGGGGGCAGGCTCCAACCATCCGGACGGAACCGCAACATCTCTCTTGCGGGGGCGCGGCCACTCCGAACCTCCCCCAGCATACAAGAGCCCAGGGGCAGCCTTCGATGTCAGCTTTTACCACCTCATTGAACATGCCCGTGGGTTATGAGGACCCTGGCGATCTCTCGTCAACTTCGCCAACTTCCCTTCGCATTTCAATATGCACCACACCCGGGGGCTGAAATGCCAATGCCACCACAACCTTTCCTGCTCCCCTCTCATCTCTCCCCTCTCGTCCTCCTCATAATTTTCCCTCTCAACCCCTTCTTCCCTTTCTCCCCCTCGTCCAATTTTCTTGCTCCTGCTCGCTCCCAGCATGCCTCATACCTCATCCCAATTCTATCCACTAACATCAACCCGTTCTTCCCGCCGGTTGGCACCATCCATATCTTGACCGCCGGCCAGCTCAGGCTGTCTTCACCGTCCCCAGCGTTGGCGCGGCACCAATGCCACCAGACTCGCAGGGGCAGCTAGTCCTATCTGCGCCAGGCTGTCCCTGTTCCTCGTCTGGTTCTCGAGACGGCCTTGACGTACAATCTACCTACCTAAGTGCGTCTTCTGCAAGTACATCTGGGACACCAAGAAGCAAAGACATGGGTTCGAGGCAAACCCTGACCCAAAAACGGAATGGAAGTGCCAGATGTGACGTGGAAGGGTTTTGTGCTACAAAGCGGAAGCCTGCTCCTTGCTCAGGCTCAAGCACATCAGGGAACAACGCCCAGCCTTTACGATGCCACGTGCCACCCAAGAAGCAGCTGAGCGGGCCCACTGGAGAGAACCGAAGAGCAAGAACATAGAGCGTGCCGGGACCGCTGGTGGCGTCAGAGAAGAGCGAAGGACGTTAAGAAGAAGCCAAATGTGGAACTGCCCATGGCAAGTGGAGGCGGTGCTGTCAAGAGGAAGAGATGGGCACAATATGCCTGGTGCGCCTTGTCGATGAATTGGCGTTCCTCCCGTCCCAATGCCATAGAGGTGTTGATATTGAATACCTCGTCCGTATCTCGTCTAGGTCGTTGAGATTGGCGAGGTGTGGATGATGTATTGATCGCTGGCGTCCTCGGACGGCACTGAGCCGGGCCGACCGACCATCACACCCCTCCCTTCTCAACCACTGTCGGTACGGGTCTGTCACGTGTGTGTTCCGCTGGCAGAATTGTTTGTACCTCTACGACAGAGACACCGAACTTACCGTGTGACGAGATTTGATCGTTTGTGCCCCGCATCCAGAAATTCCTAAATATTTTCTTGAAAAAGGGTACGATGATGAATCGAGTCCGTAACTATAGCGGAATATGCGCGCTCAGTGATTGAGACGCGAGAGCGGTGATGGTTATTGCTGATGATATTGTTGTATTTGATTACACCGGACATGTCTGGGTTGTTGTCGATTGGAGTTGTTGCGGTGCTGTTTCTAGATGTCAGTGAGCAAGACCGGGCGAGAACTTGGGTACACTCAGGACTCACAGATGGAGTATCTCCTCCGGCTTCTATGTACGCGTGTTGCCAGGCATGAAAACGCCTCCTTACGCCTTTTTCACAACCAGGTTGGCGAAATACTTTCTTGCAACCTGTAGAGGCACAAGTTAGCAGAAACCTTGAAACCGAACAGTCATTGACCATGTGAAGGGCACACATTCACATTCACATTCACATTGGCATTCATGAAAGCATCAAGCCAGCAAATGTAACAATCAAGCACAGCCCAAAACCAAATCAATTTATGACCGAGGGGTATCAACCTTGAACTCCGAAGAAATAGAACCATTCATCCCGAACTCCAAATCCTCCATCACGAAACTCCCAACGAAAGATCACAAGCGAATCCCAGAATATCATCAGCGCCTCCCAACGCGTCATAACATGAAGTCTGGCAGGATCAGCCCATAGACCTTTGTGAGGAGTTCCCACGACCGCGCAATAAACTTGAAGCGACCGACATCCTGCAAGATCTGGTGCAAGATTTGCCAAAGGTTATCGCCGCTTTGCTTTCAGTCTTTTATTCCTTGACAAAGCACGAGAAAATAGTTCGCTCAAGCCAGCTACCAGGCTCAAAGCCCTGTCCCATCTGGAAGATTGGCGCGAGTTTGTCAGGAGCTCCCACGACCACACCAATAACCTTGAAGCGACCAACATCTTTAACGCCCCGCTTGACGAAGCACGAAAAGATCGTTCGTTCCAGCCAGTTACCAAGCCCAAAGCCCAGTCCCATCTAGAAGATAATTCCACTGATGACCACTTCATCTGGCGCCATCGAAGTTCCGAATCCTATGCCTCATCACATACCGGCCGGCCATGAAATACCACAACCACATTGCCCAACACGTCTACCCCAGGCATCTTCGGGAACGTTTTTTCAACCCATACTTCGCTTCACCCGGGAAAGGTTTCTGGGAGCGGAAATCAATGCTTTGCCCATGAACTTCCTCTCAAGGTCTTTTGAGAGTGCTAAATGTACCTCGGCACAAAAGGTTACAGCCCTGCACGCTAGTCCTGGGTCTTCAGGCGCGTTTTTTCAACCCTATGATACGCAACCCCGGGTTTTCTGGGAGCGTCTTGTAGTCCAAACTTCCTCGCCCTGGGTCTTTTGTTGGGGAGTGCTAAAGGTGCCCTTCACGTTGCTCCAGGTCTTAAGGAGTCGTTTTTTCAGCCCGTTAGACGCCGGTTCCCAGGTCTTTGGGGGCGATGGTTGCCTCATTTGCAGCACTTGATTCCACGGACTTGAGGAGCACTGTTGTTGCTCTTTGATCGCTGGTCCCAGGACGATGGGGGCGATTCTTGTAGACCGGAGTCTTACAAGTCCCTGCTGAGCAAGCGCTTCTCGTCTTCGCTCTCACTGTCCTCATCCGAAGACAAGGCAGTGGAGGAACCTCTTGAAGGAGGGCGAAAGACATGGTCGATGGACGCGGCAACCGCAAGGGTGGCGTCATCGTCATGACCAGACGCGGACGAGGAAAAAGAGGGGCCGGTGATGGCGGCAGCAACCGGAGCGCGAGCAACGGTGCAGCCAGCTTGAGCTGGGGTCGGAATCGGAGGAAGAGGGCGAGTCTGGGCTGAGGCTGAGGCACCAGCGACACCAGACAACGCCATCTGTCTCAGGGCATCCTGAACCTGCATCAAGTCACCCTCTCTGACGGAGGTCAGAGACCTCTGTCTCCTCTTGCTGCTCTTGGGCGGAATGGGCGGCGGCGGACCAGCTGCAGCGGCAGCGACCTCGGCAGCGGCAGCAGCAGCCTGGCGACCCCTTTCCTCACGCTCCAGCTGAGCCTGGAGAACTTGCTGCCTCCTTGCACGCACTCCATCCAAGTCCAGACGAACCCTGTTGACGAAAGACAGCATGCTCTGCTCGATGCGCTCGTAGAAAGTCGTGCCAAAGATGCGGATGACGTCCTCGTTGAGCTCGTTTCCCAGCTGAGCGTAAATGTCCTCCAGACCGGCCTCAAACTTGGCCCAGCGCTCCTTCTGCAGGTCGCGGACACGACGCCAGTCGGTTTTCTCCTGCTTCGACAAGTGCTTCTGCTTCTGGACGAAGTAGTCGAACACTTGGTTCTTCCACTCGTCCTGCCACAGCTCGTCCAGCTGCTGGATCCGACGCGAGTGGTGCATCGGGCAGCACATGGACAGGTGCTGACGGACAACCGTGGCATCCTCGCAACGAGTGCCGGTCCGTCTGGCCCTCTCACACGGCTCCCATTTGGAGGGGATGGGCTCGTCGGCAGTGTCCTTGTCGAGCTTGCCCTTGCAGCCGCCGTGCTCGTAGTGGCAGTGCCAGTGCTGATCGTACCGAATGCACATCTTGGTTGCCGGTGGAGAGGTTGAGGCGGTCGAGCTTGGGAGTGGAGGGGACTGACTTCCTGGTGAGGGGAGTCTGAGGAGCAGCAGTGGCGGAAAGGCGGGAGAGTCTTTGTCTCCGTCGGAGAGGAGGAGGCGGGCATAGAACAAACTCGGGGTGAATGTCGAGCTTACTTGTGGTGTGAGGAGAGACTGACGGATAGTCAGGGGCAGCAGTCGACGACGAGCTCAAGGAGAAATTCGGGTGCTAGGGAAGGTTGACACCCTTGCTGAAGGTAAGATCGTCAAGGAAGTTCTCTTCAGGGATGGAAAAGAAAAAGGCAGGCGACTATGACGCGTTAGAATTCTGACTAGAGAGGCAAAGCAGCTGGGAATATTACTTTGATCAAAGGGAGGCAGCCAGAGAACCCGGAATGGGGACTTAGTCGTAGCGAGCCGATCAGCTGCGGCCTAAGAGGTTGGGCAGAATCGACAACTGGTATGATGCAGAAGAGAGAGTGCTGTTGACTGCTTCGACTTTGGATTTCTTCACTCAGAGCTTGCTGGCAGGATGATACCTGGAGAAGAAAAGAGGAAGAAGAGGAAATCAAATCGCGACGCGCAGTGGGATTTTATGGAGGGGCAAGTCGAGGATGATCCAAGGTGCTCTTGTGCAAGCTCTGCAACGAGGCAGCGGTACTTTCAAACCATCCCATCTTTTGACGGCTGCCTGCCTTGCGATTTGTGCGAAATGGATGTCACCGGGCCAACAGAATGGCAGAATCGAGCCACTTGCCCTTCGCATATCCCGGTCTCGAACTTGGAGACGAGACGAAAGACGCGACGGGATGCCAGTGAATGGCAGACCTACGGTCCAGCATCCTTGCTGGGCAAACGCCGTCTTGAATTTGGAAGGTGCGGCTACGGGATGGCGGGGTGGTTTGGAAAGTTACGTCCCGGTCACGGACGGCGGGCCTTCGGGGCTCGCAGGCAGATCACCATGGTCATTACGGTGAAATCACTTATGCATGTCCTACGAGAAGATCTGACGAGAGCGGGCCAAAGAGGTGTAACTGATTTTGAAGAAAAAGAGGACTCGTCAACTTTGTGAATGCAGGGAAGGTCTTCTATCAAGGACTGGAAACCGAGCTGAGGAGCACAGGTTTGTATTGCTGGGGCTGTCTAACTCGAGTTCTAAGCTCCCTTGTTGAGTTGCCTAATGGGGAGCCCAAGGCGACTTTAACAGAGTCTGAATGGCTGTAAGGCACGTCTGAAGCCACGATATTGCTTACGCACCTGCCTCAGCTCCGAAATCCCCATCAACTTTCCCACGCGCCGGACTTTTCACTGCCTTTCCTCTAAGCGGACACTCCTGCTTTCCACCCCGACTTTCGGCTTAACTCATTCCCTCTCCCTGTCAATCATAATCGCAAGTGATACGTTTCACTGTGCGAGTACCGAGGCTGAGGTGAGCGGCAGAGATTCGATAATGACGTGCAAGCTCGGACCATATCGCTGCCTTCCCGTCCTGGACTCAACGGACACTCGACGTTTTGACCCACTTTTTACACGAAAAGCACAGTGGCACTCAGCAATCTCAATAGCTCTGAGTAAGAGCTTTTATCTGTATTACAATGCTTGTGCTAGTCGTTCGTTCTTGAAACTTCCGCAGAGGCTGGTCTGTGGGAAGGAAGAGGGACGAAGCCATCCACCGAGGGGATACGGTAATGCAGGAGAGGCGGGGTGTGGATGTTCAAAATACGGCAGGCTAACAGCTTGGTTCAAGCTGGTCTTTTGTCTGTACTTGCTTTGGACGGGCAGGCTCGAGTTCTCCAGATGTGCGGCTGGTGCCTGAGGTCCAATGCCGTGTGAGGCACGAGAACCTTGCCGGGCACATTTTATGTTCTCGTCGTGCGTCAACGTCAAGATGGGAGTCTCTGGTAGCTTGAAACTACTCCATTCTCAGAACGAATAGCCACGTTGCTCTAAAAGAAACCAAAGTCCAAAAAGTTCTGGCCAATGTATCATCGGCTCAGAGCCACAGACCTCGGGCTTCCTCCAGCACAAACCCATATCCCAAGCCAACTTCCCCGAACTGCGTGCCTCCTCCCACATCTTAAATATTCGCATTCCATGTTTCATCGCTTTGCCAAAGCATGAAGGAAACTCTTTTCTCCAAAACAAACGAAGCAAAGGACTTTCATCTCCGTCTTCGGACGACGCGTTGTCTCAACTTCCATGTTGTTCTCATAGATCGTCCGGGGTTTTGTAGTTTCACTCCTCCGTCTCGTCTCCTTCAGCTGCTGAAACCGAGAGCAAATAAACCACCCAGGGGCATATTCTGGGTTGTGGCTGTCTCTTTCTCTTCTCACTTAAATCGCCGTGTCTGCTTAAGTGGCGTTGGCTTTGATGTGAGGAGAGAAAGAGCTGAGTACCATCTCAACATGTCTCTTGCGATTATTGTTGAGCATGATCTGACCTTACACCAAGTTCAGTGATCGTGCAATTATTGAGAGCTCGAACTACGGAAACAGACCTAGCAGTCCTCACCGGACACTGCCTGCGGTCTACTTGTACAGAGCGTCACCTTTGTGCGTTTGGAAGCTACGGGGTATAAACAACTGAGTCAGCTGCTGTATCTCTGCGAGTAAAAGGTCATGAACACGGAGGGCCAAAGACACAATGCAGAACAATAAAGCCCCTTACTTGGCCATCGACAGTAAGCCTCTATTTGCAAGATACATCAAAAGAAGAATGGAATGTTCAAGTCAACTAGACTTCAGTGTCACATCATGTCAGATCACATATGTCACAAAGATCCAGTGTCATAGAGCTGTTGCCTCTAGCAGACAAACACGATAAGAGCAAAAGATTGTTTGGGACGAATTTTTGATTGCAGCTGAACTTGAGAAAGAGAAATAGAAAGATAAAGAAGAAGATATAGAGAAAGAGAAAGAGATTACATCACAGTATTGGTCCTGAGTGACTCCGTTCCCATCTCTTTTCGTTTCAGTCGGTTCTCGTTCCAGACAACAACGAAATAAGCGACAAAATATTTACAAGACAGCTCGGCGTTCAATGTGTTGCCCTCTCGTACAACCGCCGGCTCATACTTCTCCACCATTAGTGCCCGACATCTCAGAGGCGATGGGCATACCGGCCGAAGTCAGATCGCAGAAGAGCTGACGAGAGATCCGAAGACCCTTGTTGATCTTGAATGAGCTGTTAATATCGCCATTTCCGGATCTAATTTCCAGAGCTTCAATCGAGTAGCGGCGTGGACCTGAGCTCCAGAAAATCACCTGACCGGTATAGTCACAGTACCTGTCCTTGGACTGGAAAACTTGAAACCCCATCCACAGTCTTTGTGAGAGGGAAGGCCAGCCGAGTTTCCGGATGCGGGTGTGCAAGAGGGTGCGGAGCTGGCAAAGGACTCAGCGCGTTGTTCAGCTTCGAACCGGATTCCTTCTACCACACGAGAGTTAGCGGTCGAGAACATGGTTGAGAAGGCTGTGAAAGGAGAACATCCGAACTGGGAGGGGAAGTCCACGCTATGGTCGTCTAGCATCAAGTCGATGCCAGCGTCCCATGCAGAATAGAAACATTACTAGCTCTCTTCCAAAACGTTGGTTGGTTTGAAGCTGAAGAACCATGCTCGGAATCCGGACTCTGGTGTCTCCTGTGGCTTGGTTGGCTGGGGTTTCTCGAGCAAACTCGGGGGAAATGGGGAGGGATATCGGCAACCCACCAGGCGAATAATGCGTAAACATGCGCAGTACATCGAGGAAGGTGTTGGTAAGGCGAGAAGTCTGCGTCGATGCACCAGCCCTTACGGGTGCACCCATCGCGATGGTGATACTGCGACTACCAGACAATGGCAATGATCAGCTGTCGTAGTTGGTTGTTGGTGAGATGCTGCATCAGGCTGATTGAGGTGACTGGATTTTGAAGGATTGGAAGAGAGATGGCAGATGATGAGACACAGACAAGAAGAGCAGAAGTGGGAGAAGTGGGAAAAGAGAAGCCTTATGTCTGCCAGCATGTTCTTCCAGATCTGCAAGAGAGCCGAAGAGCACGAAGGAAAGAACTCTCTGCCTTCAGGTCATTACCTCCACCGAACATCGGCCCACGCCACGCAGAAAGAAGAGGTACCTTGGCCAAGTACCTCCCTCCTTCCCATACGGTCCTGTCTTCTAAGAGGGGACCTCAAAATCAGATCAGAGGGGTGTCCTGAGCCGGGATGAAAGGTGGGGTGTATCCAGTTACAGAGTTCTTCGGTCCCGAGGCAAGTCATCCAGACTTCGCGCGCCCAGCGTGGGCAGGTACGCAGGACAGACAGAGATTGAACTTGGTGGCTAGCCCTCTGTCTCGAAAAGGGAAGAGGCAACAGTCACGGTACACAGGTACACGGTACCCAGGTACAAGGCTGGAGAAGTTTGCCCATAAATGAAACCCAGAACCCTTTTCCACTCCTCAACTTTTCGTCCCTCCCCTCTTCCCTCTTCACTCAACATCACAATTACCAACTCCCACTACTTGTCTACTTCAAACAGTCCTCAAAATCAACCTTTCGTCCCACACAAATCTTTCAAAATGTTTTGCCAACTCTCCAGCGATGTCAAGTTTTGGTCGATGGTGATCCTGGGCTCAGGATTGATCCTCCTGTGGACGCTAATAATCACACATCTCGCCCACAAGAACCAGAGCCCCTCTCCCATTTCAACTCCAAGCCAATCACCATCGGCCTGTAGAGCCACAGTCACGGTCACCGTCACCGTCGCCCCCACCACGTCAACTGTCATGGGCCGCATGTAGGCTGCTGGCGTCGATGCCGATGACGACGAAGACCGTGGCCGCCGCTCCACCCTCAGGATGAAGATTTTAAGTGCGGAGCCGGTGTGCTCGTGGGAGCCTGTAAGTACATCTCCTTCCGTGGTTCCAAACTGACATCGTTCCTGACCAAATTTTCAGGAGGCAGCCCCCAGCCCAGCGCGGCGGCGCGGCTGACTTGACTTTTTCTTCCTTCTTGGCGTCGAAAACTCCGATACTGGCGGACCTTTTCCTTTCGCGAGGGATCTGATCTTCCAAACAGCCTGAGGGTATCCCCCTTCCGGCTTCGTCGCCGACACTGGTTGGCACCAGTCAGGTGTAGGTGCTTACTCTCTTCCCGTCTCATCGGCCTTTGTGTTCCCTCTCGGTCTGTCATCACGTTGCTAACAAACTAATTCTCTCGCTCTAGGCCGCGGTACACGGACCCCGTCAACAAGAGAGGAAGACTCGCTTCCCGACATCCGGGACAAGTTCCCCATTGCGGGACTGATCACCCTTCCTACCATCACCTCCTCGAAAACTTGAACACTCTGTGCAACATCTCGCAGGGCAGCAAAGTCTCGTATGCGAACGTCAGAGGGCCGTGTGCGAGCAGTTCAGGTCCGAAAGGGGGATTCAAGAGCAAGCCGGACATCAAAGTTGACAAGATTTTCGCGGGAGGCGACGAAGCTGAACTGCAAATCAGTTCTACCTTTATCTAGCTTGTTATTGGGGGATGGATCATGGACGCCACATCTAGAAATAACACAACCTTTAGCTTCTGCTGATTTGCACTACTGCTCTTGGCCTTGACGCTTTCGTGATGTTTTGTCAGTGATCTCCATGCTCGCAATCTTTGTCTTCTATTTCCTTTGCGTGCATGTAACAACTTCTGCTAGTGTCTCCTGCTCCATGGCCACCACTTCACTGCAAGAAAGGCATGAGCAAAACAACAAATCACGGAGCCGATTGTCTTTAAGATTTGGTTCCTTTCTGAGTGATGCCAAAGGCGACCATTTAAACCAACAAGAAGTCTGCAAACGACCCGTTGTGTAAATCAGGAGCATGTCACTACAGTGAGAGATATGATGGCCTCATTTTCTCTCAGAATGCCCTCCATGTGATGATCTTATCATTTCACGAGCAATGGCTACAGGCAGTGTATTATCTTTTTGTGGCCTCCCAAGAAGACCTCACAATTTGTCAGTGTCCGGCAGCCAGAAGTGGTGATCCCAAGACTGATGCCAAAGTGATGACGACTGCCACTCCTCTCTGTCTCCCGTCACTTTGCTCTCAACCTTCTTCTTTCACTCGCGTTCGCTTGTCCAGTGGTCTACCTCCATGGTTCTTGCCTTTTGAATTCGGCCTTGCCCTTGACGGTCCTCAACGCGACCGGGCAAAAGAGATATGGGTGGGTCCAGCAGGGAGCCTGCAGGAGGAGGGGCTCTTGTGACATGACGCGATGATGGGAGAAATTTGATCGGGCCAGACTGATCGATCGAGGCCGGACACTTGCCTGTTTCACGCCTTCCCTCCTCCACTGCTACGGTGATGGAGGTAATTTTCGAGTGGCTTGGTGGTTTGCGTCCCAGTCAAATGCATGAGGTGGCCTGGAAGCATCTTGCTCTTGCCGCAGGCGACACCTTCCCGGTTGTGAGATTGGCAGCTTTGACATTTGTGGGAATTCAGTCGGAGTCATTGATCATCCGGCAAGCCCTCATGGCCGTCTTTCGGCTCTGGAGACCCTCATGGAACAAACATGGGGTCATGGAGCTCAAAAAGGCCGAAGCTGGAATCAGAACGTGCGAGTGTCTCCGAGCCCCGGAAATTGTGGAGTAGTGTGAAACTTTGCTCCTGAAGACTGGCCGGGTACGTCTAGCCTGGCAGAAGACGGGAGGCTTTTCGAAGTCTGTGGGAAGAAACTAGCCGCACAAGAGACGCGTGACGCGCTCCGCCAACTCAACCAGAAGTCGGGTCCAGGAACCAACCCTGGCCTCTTCGTCACTTTGGAGGCGGATGGACACCCATCTCCCGGCCAGGCGGCTGCCTTGTTCTTTCCCCAAGGGCACTCCAGAACTTGAGGCTCATCATACCAGGAACCTTGATGGTTCGGTATCTCTCAAATCTTGGCTATCATGAGATTCGGAACTTTCCGATCTGCCTGCCTTGAGGCTCAACAAACCGGCGAGCTTCCAGAATTCGCGCCTTCCTGGTTCTCCCCAGGTTCCTTGCGGACGATCACCGGCCAGGCTCCCGTGATTGTAAGTCTGGATCTGGATTGGACACTTTTGCTGCTGGTACCTGTCAGGCAGGTGTGGGGTAAGAAGCCACGAAGATCGTCATCCAAGGGGTGAATCGAGCTGGAAGTTCCCGTCTGCCTGTCTCTTCTGTTCGGATGTCACTCTACATGTATCTTCTCGAGCACGTGGCTTTCTACTTCTCCTTCATTCGGCTCTCCGCAGCCATTGCGTGCTCATCGTGATCAAGGTTCATAGTCAAAGGCACGGCTGTACTTGGTCTAGATGCTGTGTTCCAATCTCCACCCAGAGCTCATCAGAAGGAAAACGTCCGTCCGCCAACCTCTCAATCCTCGATCTTTTGACATTTGCGGTTTCCCATTCTTCCTTCTCAATTTCCCATTCTTCCATTTGCCATGGACATCGCGTGATTTCCCAAGTCTCTGAGCCTGCGGATTGCCGTGATCGAGATCTGAACTCGTGAGGACCTCTACGGCTCGCCCAATCTCTGCTTCTGGCCAATTCTGCGTGTCAGTTTCCCGTCTACCTTACCTGCCCCCTGAGAAAACCCGACTTCTGCAGCTTCCTGATGTTCGATCTGCTTTTGCTCGATCGTGAGATTCCGTGATCACTGTTCAATTTCTCGTGACTGCTCCCGGAGCGGATGTTCCCGTCCCCAGATGCTTTTGCCGCTCATCTTCTCCGCGTTTGAGGGCTTATCAACCTGTGACTTTCCGTTTCTCTGTCTCTTGTGACCGAAAGAGACTCTCGTGAATTCCGATTTGGATTTTGATCCTCGACTCTCCTCAGCACTTGATGTCATGGAGTGCCGTCAGCAGGGCCAAGACTCCTCTAATCCACTGGCTCTTGCACTTTCCAACGGCTGTCATTGCAAAAACGTGAAAGTTCCAGTCGGGTTGCCTTCAGGAAAGTGACCTCACGGTTGATCATTTGGTCAGTGATGAAGAGATTGCCAAGACTCACGATCCCTCGAGGAAGAAGATGTGATCTCTTCCGTGGTAGACACCTGCCTACCTCTAGACTGCTCTGGACGAAGGTACTTCGCATTCTGGTGGATGAGTGACTCCCACGCATCTGCCCTCCAGTCTCCCGAAAAGCATAAAGACCCAGTCTGGTCTCTTCTCTTTTCCCTTCTTCTTCTCCGGCAACCATCACTGCACAGATCTTTGAGGCCGTCTTTCCACCTCAGTCACACACCAAGAACATCTGCGCCGCTTCCTCTCAGAATTTGTGAGTGCACGCATTCCATTCTCATTGCCTTTCCTTGCTGACACCAGATCTCCAGGTTCACCCACCACACCAGCACCTCCACCTCTCCCCACGGCTCCCACTCCCCAGGTGCCACCAAGATCTGTGAGTCCAACCACTAACACGCAGCATTGCCCTTGCCTTTCATTCTGACTTGTTGTCTCTTTCACCAGCACGATGCCCGAGAAGACCAGCGTCGGCGCGGCGGTTGGCGCGGCCTCGGCTGCCGCCGCCACCACTTCCTCCTGCAACAGCAGCAACAACAACAACAGCAGCAGCACCACCAGCAGGGGCATCAACCCCAGCACCATGCCCAACACCAGCAACACGGGTGTCACCACCAGCAGCAGCAACAGCAGCAGCGGCAGCGGTAGAGGTGGAGGTGGAGGAGAAGGGGGCCTAGACTATAACAGGTGGACGCGGGGCGCCTGGTTTGAATGACCACCACCACTTGACTGCCACCGTGCTTTGTTTTCCTCTGTGTCTTGCTTCTCGCCGTGACTTGCCTTCCGTCGTGACTTGCCTTTTGCCCTGACTTCCACGTCTTTCGCGGTACGAATCTGCATTTCATTGTGACCTGCCTTCGGCGTAATCTACTTTCATCCAGTCGTGCTCTCAAATCCGTCGTACCTTGCCTGATTCTTGCCGTAGAAGTGTCTTCCTTTCCATCGTGCTGTAGTTTCTGTCAAGCTTTGCCTTTTCCAGTGCTCTGTAACGGGAAATGGAACCCAGAGGAAGGTTGACAGGGGTGTTCATTCGTTCCGGCATAGCCCTTCCAAGCGTGTATGCATTAGACGCACATCCACTACCAGTCCCTCGTCTCCCACACAGATAAAAACCCCGTGGTCCCCGCCTGGTCTGGTCTCCAATTGTCACCCATTGTTCACTTTTCCTCCAGTCTTTGTCACAATAAGTTCACATTTTCCTGGCAATCGTCACGCAACTATTTTCCGCGGCAAAACATGTCGACAGTGGCACTCACTGACATTTCATCTTCTTCTCCAAGTGTTCCCTCCGCCACGAGGGCCTGGCCCTTGCTCACTTCACGACCTTTCGCCGCTCCTCACGGAAAATCCCAAGATAAATGACCCAGGCTCTGTTGCTCATGGGCTGGCCATCCAAGGGCAAGTTACACGTCGTCCGCTCAGCGAGCAGCGCGGTCTCTGGGTATGGCCAACGAAGATTCTCTGTTTGCCTTGCCGTTTGATGTCTTTTTAACACCGCACTGACAATAGCAGCAGCATGGTCTATCCCATTGATCTGGTTAAGAACCAGAGAGGTGCTTCTCCCGGAAACAGACTCTCCTCGCCCGTGTCGCGCTGACCTCCATCACCACCTTTTCGACTTCCGCCGTGACGTGATTTTGGGAACAAGCTCATTCCGCGCCTGATCTCCATGACGCCGGCAGAGAGCAACGACTGCGTGATTAGTGATCGAGCTTTGGGCAAGATGCTGGACACCTTGCAAACCAAACTTTGCAAAGTGTTTAGCCCAAATCACTTCCCATGGACCCCTCCTCCGGGCTGTGACGAACCGTTACAAGCACAGGAGTATTATCGCTGGGATAGAACAATAGAGTAACAGTGTAGTAGCCAAAAGGTACTGGTAGATTGTGATAGCTATTGCTTGCTGAAGAACCGGTAACAAGAGGCCGGGGAAGGCCTTCTTTTATACCGGTCTTCATGGACCCGATATACTGGACCCGTGGACCCGAACCTTCGTCTCGGGTCCGATCTGATTGGTCGGCTAGTCTAGTCTCCATGATTGGATCGTAACACGGGCGTGCAGCCTAGCAAGCGATCTGAGGTTTTCGGACCACACGCTCGAATACTCCCGTCGTCTCGACTAGATCAAGAGACGTGGCAGCCTGTCCTGGCAACAACATAATACACCAGCGGCGCAAAGTAAGTCGTCATGTCTCCGGTCCTTCCTCGAGTCCCAATTGTTGTTGCACTCAGGTTAACCTGACCTTTCGAATCTGTTGGACAGGCCCGCCATAACGAGGATATTGCCAGAGCATTTGAGCTTCTCATCGGAGAGGTTGAGACGTCGGCGATGTGGGGCCGTCGTGCCAAAGTCGCCGCTGATCAGGTCCGCGAGGACAAGAAGGCCATCATCGGTGTGATGATCGAGGTGGCGAACTCTCTCAGCCACTATGTCAAGAACGGTCGCGACAGGCGCTTGCCCACAGTTGACTCAGAGGAGGAGAGGAAGCGGTTGGAGAAGGTGAAAGCGGCCTTCGATCTGAAGATTCAACATTTCTTCTTCCCTCTTCTCCTGTTCATGTTCATGTTGCTTGTTGTTGCTGTTGCTGCTGTTGCTATTGTTGCTTGTTGTTTGTTGTTTCTGCTGTTGTTCTTGTTCTCTTAGTGTTATTCAACAGATATATAGCAAAGAGATGGATGTGCCTTCAGTGGCTCCTGGATCTGCTCGCCCATTTATGACTGAACAAGTTTCACCGTTGCCACTTGCGCGCCTCATTCTATCATGTTCAACCCGACGGTCTTGGGAACGTCATCATAGGTCGTAAGGTCAGAGGCAGATTGACAGCCGTCTGCGTGGGGAGAATTGGGGCCTGTCAGGCTCTTCGTGGTGACAGGAAACCATCTTCCAAATTCAGCAACAGGATCCTGCAGTGTCAGTGGATGGGTGATGATGTTTGTAGTACCTTAGTAAGATTGTGTGTGCTGGGGTATAATAAAGGGCTCGCTGCCGTGAGTTTACAGGCTGTGGATCTGTGAAAGACCGGCGTCGTCCACACGTCCGAAGCTTTGTAGTTCTCAAAGTGTCTGACATCATTGCCCACTGGCAGCTGCATCAGCAAGCCCCTCCCGGTGCATTCATGTCGGTTTTTATTTACAGGGAAGTTTATCTGCAGTTATTCCTAGGGAAATGCACATGCGAGCTGCAGGAAGAATTCACAGGTTTTGTCTTGGAAATGAACGTTGGAGACGATGAAGATGAGACCATACTAGAGGTAACTCAGCTCGCTATTCAGCGTAAGCTAGATCGTTGGCGTCGTCAAATCCGTGGGCCAACTTCAGATGGATGTTTTAAGCGTTGCAAGAAATGACAACTTTATGGCATCCACTGAGCGCGACGTATGTGCGAGCGCAATATCAGGTCGTCAACAAAGACTTGCTTGTCGCACTTTGGGCGCAGCCATTTGATATCAAAAGGGGCAAGGGTTAGGGTCGGAGGTGCGATTTCCTGGTGTTGGCTTCTTGGCATTGGGGTCCGCTTGTTCGGCCGATTGCAATGATTGGCTCCGTTTGGTGCACCTCGGGCCCGCTATCAACGTCCGTTCGTCCCGATCGCAAACTCACGAGCACCATCACGGCCATGCTCAGGAGTCTTGCTCGACTTCCTTTCCGGCGCAACGCTTTCAGTCTTTCTCGAACATTTGGATTTCCTTTGTCGTTATCCACTGTCGCTCTCACAACAACAAAATCGCCAGTTCCAAGCGACAAGTCCCGCAAAATGCCATCCTCCTCCTCCGTTCCGCTTCAACCACCACCAGCGCCGGCCACAACGCGCCGTCCAACTGGTCCTGTTCCTTTTCTCGAATACCCATCTCCCAATGCCACAAGCACCAGCATCTTTAACAGCAGCAACAGCAACACGACGACAAAACCAAAGCGCTACCTCCTCTTCTTCATCTCCGGCAACCCCGGCCTAATCGACTACTACGCCCCCTTCTTCAACCACTTGCGCTCCCTCCTCAACGAACTCGAATCCAAGTCTTACTCCTCACCAGACCAACAGCCCATAACCTTCCACATCTACGGCCAGAACCTCATCGGCTTTTCGGACTCCGACCACACCCCCTTTGTCCCCGGGTCCCCAGAAACGGAACCGTTTCTCTTGGAAGAGCAGATTTCCCACCTTTACTCCTCTCTCGTCACTCTGAATGAACAGAAAGGACCCTTCGACGAGATAATCCTAGCGGGGCACTCAGTCGGCAGTTTTTTGGCTCTGGAAATCTTGCACCGCTCTCTTCAGTCCTCTTCCCCTTCCCAGTTGTTGCCAATAAGCACAGCCCTCCTCCTCTTCCCCACCATCCACCAAATGCATCTCTCCCCCTCCGGGCTTCACCTGTCTCGAATCCGGTCCATCCCTTTTCTCAACAACTACGCGCATGTTCTCGCCAAGTCCTTCGTTGACCTTGTACCTGGGTTCGCGCTGCGGTGGATTACCCGACGAGTACTAGGCATGAGCGAGCATGGAAGCAAGGTTACTACAAGGTTCTTGCAGAGCAGGGACGGAATCTGGCAGGCGATTCACTTGGGGAAGGACGAGATGGGTGTTATTAGGGATGGGGAGGGGCGGTGGGGGTGGTGGTCTTCTTCATCTGGTTCTGTCTCTACCTCTGGTTCATCAGCAGAAGGGGAGGGGGAAAGGGAAGGGGAAGTGGTAGCCAAAGAAATTGAAACAGTCGAGTCAGATTGGGAAGAAGTTGATCGGCAAATCCGTCAGGAACACGCACACAATCAGGGGCAACAACAGCAGGGACAGACCCAGAAAAAGAAGCCAAAGTTCTTCCTCTACTTCGGCCAAAACGATCACTGGGTCGCAGATAAATACCGGGACGAGTTCATTGAGCGACGCAAGAGGGAAGGCCATATGGGTAAAGAAGGGGGGACGAAGATTGTGATTGATGAGGATAGGATTCCGCATGCTTTTTGTATTAATCATAGCGAGCAGGTGGCGGAGAAGGTTAGGGTGTGGGTTGAGGAGGTTTTGGAATTGGAGGGGTAGAGGGTAGATGCTGTGGTGTTGGAGGAGGACAGGAGGTTGGGTCTTGGATACGGGGCAGGCTGGGAGGGTGGCTCCCATTCCTCCGCTTTCCTGCGCTTGTGCCTGTGCCTGTGCCTGTACCAGTGTCAGTCTTTATGCTCTTCGCATTTCTTGTGTTCTGATAAGTTATAGAGACTCTTTGACTCTCGCTGTCGACCCCTGCAGATCTGAGTTAAAGTAAGGTACCGAGTGTGGTCCTCTGAGTCTCTGACTGGCTTTCATTTCCATCTCCATCTGGCCAGCTTAGGTTGCACCCATGATAATCTTTCCTGGAACTTGCCCTGGGACTTGCCCTGGGACCTGACCTGAAAACGTACCTTATGGATTATTAGAGTCTGGACCACAACCTCGACCACAACCACGACTGGAGCCCGTATCAGAACATGAATCTCATGTGGCATATAAACCTGAATTTTAACCAAACTGGAGCTGGACCTGTACGTGAGCCTGCAGTAGAACCTTGGCCTCAGATCAGAACTCCACCTTCAACAGCAAACATGGACTTTATTCCAACATCAGCCGTTCCAAAGTCTATTCCAACCTCGAGTCCTACTCGAGCCATGAAGTCCTCCGACCTCTCCCATCTCATGGCTCCCGACCTCCAGTCTGCAGTTTCTGCCTCAGAACATCTGTCCAGCCCAGGCCCATGGAATGGGTTCAAGTTCCAGTGCAAGCGAAATGCCACAGCTTGAACAGGGGCACTCGCAGTTGGGTAGGTAGGGCTTGGAACGTCTGCTTAATCCTTGGGGCCTTGGGGGGAAGGCTGACACGGTAGCATCTCATGCCCGTGGGAACTGGAAGTTGACGGGGCGAGGTCAGGAGTTGAGGTGATCGGTAGCGTAGCACCGTTAGTCCATTGCACGCCAGGCAGTGCAGGCCCCAGTCTGCTATCAAAGGCCCCGTTCCTGCTCCACCACAACAAGTATCCACGAGACAGAGCCACTTCGAACTTCGGAGACTGCCACATGTATGGTGAGGATACACGTATCCCAACGTCAGTCATGAGAAAGCCAAGCAGCGAACCTCAGTCGCGTCTAGTCGCCTTCTCCAAGTGCAAGATCTGGACTGCCCGGTTGCCAGAGTGAATTGTCAACCCGATACTAGTTTGGATGGCACTTCGGACTTCGGACTCGTATGTTTTCCAGCTTCTTTCCTTGTCTCGGGGGGCAATCATCGAAGGTCGGTTGAGGAAAAAGCGTCTGGGAGCATGTCACCGGTTGCTGTATACATGGCATGCACGTTGGTGCCTGGGAGGTCTGTCGTTGTACCGGTTGGACTTTCGGTGAGGAACATCGAGGCACCGCTACAGGTGGGATTGGCTTGTTATCCCTCCAGGTATCTCTGTCGGCTTGAAGATCGCCTTTGTAGGGCTAGCCGCGTATTAAAATCTGTTAGCCTTAGGGATGTGAGCGTGAAGCTTTTAGGGGAGGGGAAGAGATAAGAAGGTGGGTCGGGACTATGGGAAACGGCATGGGTTACAAGTGGTATAGGCAGAGTTGCCGTACGAACCGCGGTAAGAGGTGGAAACGTACATACTGATTCAATGTCTTCTTTTGTCATCTTACTAGATTCTTCGAACATGTCCGAGACAGGTATCAATTGTCCACTGCAGGCCTCTGTGCCGTGCCACTCCAACATAGAGTTCAAAAACTGACCATGCTTCCACTCATGACGTTTTCTTTCATTGCTCGAACATCGTCTGTCATTATGGTCATCATTGTGATATATCCAACTGTTGTCCTTCTTTGTGCTTCATGTAATCCCGCCTCATATGCACGTCCCGGACTTGTGCGGAGAAAACACCGACGGCAGAATCGGTATTTCATACGGTATCTGAGCCTCAGACCGCCTCGCTGCTATCGTAGTACTCGCCCCGACGGTCTGTTGAATATCTTCAACACCCTTGTCGATCACAAATCCTCCGTCGGGCCTTCGCCCGGTACTCGTGATCTCCATTTCCTCCTTGGCGTAATATTCGTAGGTCTTGTAACGGAATGGCGGCTCCGGTTGTGTTGTAGGTGATGCCCTAGCTAGTGATGCGGCTTCCACGTCGCCCTTCGGTAGGCCGGTTGTCTTTAGAGGTACGAATGGTCCTGGGTCGTGTCTGTCTAGCTTGTGGCAGAAGTAGTTGAAGAAGAGGAAGGAGTGAAGGACCCTGTAGTGTACGGTCAGCGGAATGCTCCGGGAGACTGGGCCCGTTGGAGGCTGACGTGATGGGTACTCACATCAGTAAGAGCAACATTGCAACCAACACAATGCCCTTGGCCAACAACCCATCATACAACGAACCAAACTCGGCAATCCCAATGATCATATCAACCAGCACGATTCCCGTTGTCGTGGCAACCCCCACGAATAGAATCCCGTCAGCCCAGGCATGATACACGGATGGTATACCGCTAGATTTGCGGACACAAATCGTGATGAACTCGGCTGTGTTCCAACTGATGATAGCGGGTGCCTTTCACGAAAGATCAGTCAGCGCAACAGTTCCGCCCATGGTTCCCTCGTTGGTCTTCATTTCCTGGGGCAAGGCAAACCTACCACCACAAACACAGCAATCATCCTATCCGGCACTCCGCCCCAGTACAGTCGACTTTCCACAAAAACCGCCACGTTCAGACCCCATGCGATGATGGCGACGACTGTCGAGATGGCGCGAATGACGATGGAGAAGATGAACCAGGTCCTGTGGGCTGACGGTTTGCCGCCTCGTGCGCGCCGCCATTGCTTGATGTCCCGGCGAGAGGGCTTTTTGGTTAAGGGCGGGAGAGTGTCTAGCCAGGACTCGACGACAAGGTTGTTTGGATGGTCGAAGACATAGGCGGGCGGCGGGTGCCGCAGGGGGTCGTCCCGCGGCATTAAGCCGTCGTTAGTTTTGGATGGGCTGGGCGGCGCAGCTGTCCGGGTTTGTGGTTCAAGTTGTTGACGAAGATGGCGATGAAGGCGGCTTCAACCTGAGCATCTCGAGCAGAAAACGAGCCGACAGGTTGGCCAGTTTGACTGGATCTGTCTTTCGAGAACGGAGAGCCGATTATGGTGGATGGCGCATCCAACTTCGAGTCCTGAAGGACAAAGAGATGAATAGCGGCGCAGAAAACTATCGCGGTGTTACTTTGAGATGTGTATTCGTTGCTATCGGTTCGTGTTGTGGTCCTCGGCACCTCTCGGCCCTCGACGCTCCCCAATCCTCAAGTCTTCCGGGCTCCTAGACCACGATGGTGCTTGATGGACAGCCGAGGTCGGACCTGTCGTTGAGAAGGTCTCGAACAAGATGTTTAGCTTCGAGCCATTGCGCCGCCGAGTATGGAAACCTGTGAGAGATGGGAAAAGAAGAAGTCAAACCCCAGGCGCGAATGTTGAAGACGCCGGCAGGTATAAGACCAGGACGTTGGCAAGTCACATTGACGGCTCAGGAACATTGATGGTTCTGGAGAAGAAAGTCTTGCTGCCGTCGGTCAGTAAACTTCTAACATGAGAGAGCAAGCTTGTCGAGAAGGGTACTAGTGCTGAGCAAGCGTGGGAGCCAATGTGGAGAAATCAATAAAGACGGGAATTAGGCACCGAAATTGGATCCCTGCTCCCCTGTAACGATGCTTGACAGCGAGTGGCCCTACAGGGAGAGAGTCTGGAAGACGGGGCATGCGAGACACGATGCTAACCCTCAGGGGTAAGTGAGACTGTTAGTGTACGGTAAGAGTCTGAAATCTTGCCGGCTCCTGATTGGGTGGTTTTCTTTATAGGAGTCTCTCTCATAAATCTCATTTGATATTTCTTTAACTGTTGGCAGTTTATTGGTTGTTGTTCACTTCAGTTCCGTCTGTCTCAACTCTCAAAGCGGCCGAAATGGACCGGGGGCAACAGGCCCGGCCCGGCCGTCAAGCCCTATCGGGAGTTCGGGACTCTGCTGTCGGCTCGTGGTGATGGCGGGTATTTTCTTCGGTTTTTTTCTTCTTTTTTTTTCTTTTTCAATTGACTTTGAGGTCCTGATGAGTGTTAAGCAGATGTCTCATCCCAAGAGCGCGTTTCTCAGGTCAGTGCTTTCATGTCTGGCCAGAGTGACGGCCCTTGGCTCCCTGCTTCCTCCCTTTGAAGTCGAGAACTGTATTCATCTGACTGGCCTCTGCAATAAGCTTTTTCCAATTGTCTTTTGACTGGCGTGACTAGGCCACTCATGCCTCACATTACTGGTCCAGCCGGCAACTTCCACTCGTTGATGAATGGAAGGAGAACTCAACTCGAATTGATTGATTTCGCTGGTCGGTCCCGAGTGTGGTTGGCGTATCGGCCTCTTCTTCCTTCCATCCAGCTCAATCGATTCATGCCTGCCCGGTCCATCCACTATCCCGCTCCTTCCCCAGGTCTACCTCTGTCTGGTGGTCAGAAAGTGCACTTGCGGCCGTTGCCACATACAGTCAACGAGGTGGGCGCAATTAGGAGAGTGCCCCCGTGCAAGCTCACCGCGACAGTTGCAAAACGGTCGACATTATTTGTGTAATGGCCAAGTGGAATGCACCACTGTGCCTCCTCAGGCTCTTCTCGCTCTTTCACGCCCATTTTCAGGGGCACACAGATTAACGGCGCTTTCTCAAGACATGTTGATTGTTGTTTCTGTCGCAGATATAGCACCTTTGTTTCGTACATTCTCGGAATTGGTGCACCAGATTCGGACATGTTTCTCGTGCTGCACTGGCCAATGGGTTGTTGCAATGTCTTGGCGGGCTCATTCAGTGGACAACAGGCACATTCATCTGTGACAGCTGGTTGGCAGCTGCCAGGCAGAACCTAAACTACCAAAGATGCTCTCCGCAGTCCGCATGCATGTGATAAAAGAGGGGAGGTGGCGTACTGTGGTACGTACCTGTCCCAGGCTGGATTACGTCATGCAAGAGAATGACATACGCGCTCTGGGCTCTTGGCGCCTTCCACGGCTTTCTCGGTTGCAACCACCAGAACAAGTTGAGTCTCTTGATTCGCAATTGTCTGGAAAGTGCTCCCTCCCGTCCGTTACATTGTTACATTGGGTTTTGCTCAGGTACCCATCGTCAGCCGTTTTGTTCCGTTTCTTCCTTGGTTACTACACTCCGATCGAACCACTTGTCTTGGACTCTTCCTCTTCCAACCTTTTCGTTTTACAGACTACAATACCATCTCGCCCCCTCCCGTCCACGAGAGTCTCTATCTGGGCTCTTCATATCGAAATTCTTCAACTACTACCACCGCTTCAATCATCCATTTCCTACCTACTTTATCAGATATCTCGAAACACCTTCGTTTCCATTATCTACACATACTACACCCACAGCCAGCCACAGCCAACCACACCAGCCAGGCCTAAACACAGACGGCATCCTTCCACTTGTTAGACAGCGTCGTGACCAGCTTCTCGACTCTCCTCAAGCCGCAAACATGCCTAAGGTCCAGCCGGCCCAAGACCAGTCCCTTCTGGGTTCCGTCTTCTCCAACTTGATCCGCGCTCGCAACTGTGTGACCCGTCAAACCGCCGCCGTTGTCAACACCGCGTGCCAATACGTTACCTCGCCCGAATACCGCAAGAGAACCCACGACAGTGTCCGACGCTTCCACAACGAACGTCCCCTTTTGACTGTGCGTTTCTGCCTCCCCTTTCCCGAGCAAACACCAATGTCCCTTCGCGGTCAGACAGCATCCAGCTAACAAATCCCCATCGTCTAGGTATTCCTCGCGATCCAAATTGCTCTCGCTTCTGTCCCCCTTCTGCTCTTCCTCGGATATGTCCTCTCCACCGCTGTCGTTGGCTTCGGCGCCGCCCTAGTCTTTTTGCTCTTCTGGACGAGCATTGGCCTCTTCTTCTTCGGCTGCGCCCTCCTCGTTACGGGCTCTATCGGCGCTTCCTTGTTCATCAGCTTCATTGTGTTCCAGCGCGCCGTCCAGCTGCTCAACGCATTGACCTCGACTCTTTCACAAGGCGCCCAACCTTCCCAGAAGCAAGAGGAGCGTGAAGAGCCTCTTCCCAAGGCTGAAAAGATTCTCCGCATCGTGGATGTCAAGCATGAGGACTGGCAAAATGGCACACAGGAGGAAAAGGTCAACGGCGACAAGGAGTTGTAGGAGTCTCTCCTTGGGTTAAGGGGAGGTGGCCCCGAGATTTCTGTGGTGCATGAGAATGCGGCCGCTGATCAAACAGTCAATGATACAAAAGAGTCCGAAATAGAAATAATACATACAGAGGTTGACGATATTGAAGACTTGCAACAACCATACTTTTACAACAAAAGCGACATTCTACCTGTAACGGCCATTGAGATCGACGAGGCGTATGACGAAATGCTGCCTGACGATCTCGTCTTTGGTCTCGTGGGCGCTGCGGAGAGCGAGAGCGAAAGTACCTCTACCAATCTCGATCACCAAGACATCACTACGGCAAACCCTACTGAGCCATTAGCCCCGGCTGAGGAAACTCTTCCTTCTCCCGCAGCCGTCCCACTCCCAGTCGATGAGGACTTGGATCTCCTTCCAACCGTACCAGAGGGTCCTGCCGCTTCTCCTGGCCCTAGTCAAACAGCCCCTTCTGTTTCTATCAGCGAGGGCGAGGCTTGCTCTACTCCCGCCAAGGAAGCTCTACCAGCGCAAGAGGCTGTCAATCTTCCAGGAGACATCAAGCTTCCTGTTGATAAGAGTTCGGATCTCCGTCTCGCTTCGCCTGATAGCGCAGCTGCCTCACCTACGGTTGAAACCCCGCCCATCCTTCCGCCGAGCCCGGCCCCAGATGGTGCTGAGGAAAAGGAGGAGAACACTCGTCTGCCACCTCCCAAGGACCACGTGAGCTCTCTTCCCCCACCACCACCATTCAACCAGTCACCGAAATCCAAAGGTACAACTCCTAGCGGTACGGTCACAAAGTTAGAAGATTTATGCGGCGAATGGCCCCTAGACAGCGCCATACTTCTCGGCTTGGTTTTCCCCGGTGTTGGCAAGAGATGCACCGGTCAACCGCCATCACTTAACCAGAAAAGAATCAATTGGTTATCAAACATCAGGAACGAATAGGCATCGCGTCTGTTACACATTGACCGGCATTGGGTTGATGATTTCGAATCACTTCGTGACAGCGTGTCTTTAAGCACATCCAACAACAAGCTGAAGGATATCGTGGAGGCGGCGAAAGTAGAGGCCAATCCGCACGTATGGTGGACCATACCGCACTTAAGGAGCAACAAATCTCGACGCCTTTCCCCATGGGCTGTGGTGGCTATTGCTTGCGCGGAGGACCTGATCAGTGTCCCTTATCGTCCTCAACGCTCTACCCCAACCTCGTCTTTGTTTCCACTTCTTTATGGCATGCTTCCTAAAACAACGGGCGGACCATGGAAACAACTGGAATATGTTCAACAGAGGGCCTCAGTATACGAAGAAATTTTTGGCCGTGCTTTAGATAAGTTCTCTGACATTGAACCAGCCATGAGCTTGAAGCATGCCAAGTTCTGCACAGAACGCAGGGAACTGAGGTCACTGGTCGCCGATTTGAAACATCTGATCTATGGAGGTGAGGTCATACCCGAAACGGACAATCAAGCTGTCTCAGATATGAAGACAACAAGCCTAAGAGATGGGGAAATTCTTACAACGGATCGGGTTCTACAACTCCTTGACAATCGCAAAACAGGCCCGTTAAAGCATAAAGGCTGGGTTGGGTGCTGCCATGAATCACTTGCAGGTAACCTCCAATCCGATGGATACCAATTCTTCTGGATTGGTATGGAGAAAATAGCTCCGTGCAAAGAGGGATCACAGAGCAGTTTGGAACGGGCCAACCGAGAAAAAGCCATTAATGAGCGAATTAATGCATACATTCGTTCACAACCTACCGCTCCTGCCAGGTCCGCCTATGAGCCCAAGGTCACGGAAAAGCCTCTACCCAAGCCACTTCTTACTGTTGGCGATCTCGTCGCGGCCATACAAGCTAGGTCTACGGCCGACATCTCCGAGGCCACGAAGAAGCCTCTACCAAAGACATATCGCGCTGCTGGCGAGGCCTTGGCGGCTGTCCAGGCTAAGTTGAAGGGCGGCACTGAGAACCAGCTCGGGACAAAAGAATTGATGGCGGAGAGGCAGGGGAGGGAGTCGGAATTCAGGGAGATGTGCGACAAGGCCCATCGCATGCGAGACACCGCAGCTATTCTCAGGTTGAAGAAAGAGGATCCAGACGGGCCGTATTCCTCGATTTCTATTGATGAGACCATGCTTTGTCTCGACATCCGTTGTCTCGACATTCCTGAGTTTGATAGATTACGCGTGACGACATTGAAAGACTGGCTGAGCTGTGTGGTGGACGCCAACAAAGATATTAAAACATGGCGAGAGTTGCTGGAGGAGATGAAAACAATGGAGGCGTACAAAGACCACGTGGAGGAATGTGATGAATTCCTGGGGTTGATGGAACACCACCGAAAATTAGTCACAGCATGTGCTCGGTGGGTTGAGGCTGAAGAAAAGGCCACATCCAACGCCGAAGTCAAAGTCGAAGCCGAAGGACCGAAAGGGAAGGGCAAACGGAAGGTCAAGGACCCTGCTCCTGCTCAAGATCACGATGACATTCTCGCTACCGCATACAGAAAACATGCCGAGGACCTTGATGCGTGGAAGGAGAGGGCTAAAGAAAGATATTTGGCCTCCAAAGCTGCCGCCAGCGCCACCAGCGGTTCTGGAACGGGAGCAGAAGCACGTGAAGAAGGGTCAAGTTCCAAAAGTGCCCTTGCTGGTCCTTCTTCTCTGACTCCAGATGGTGGGGGTAAGAGAGATGTTGTGAAAGACAGTGCTCTTGTCTCTATTGCGAGAGAAATACGAGAATCGGGCTCACCGATTGTGATTCCAAGTCTAGACTTGGGAGTGACTGTGCAAGAATTGGATACCACAAGGGAAGTAGATCAAGCAGATCAATCGGCTTCGCTTGCGAGGCTGCGAGCGCTTTCGAATGAAGATGGTATTGGGATGGATTTTTTAAAGGGATATGAAGCGTTGTCGAAGGGTGACCGTCGTTATCTTTTGAGTTGTCATGCTCGGGAGCTCGCTAGCTTCCAAGACCTTTTACAATCTGCTAAGACGCCCCTGGACTTGAAAGCTCAGTTGACGGCTGATTGGAGGGACTGGGAGCTGAAGCTTGTCAGGGAGCCTATTGCTGCCGCCCGTGATTTCAGGTTTCTAACGAGAGCAAGTGGAAAAGGGTCAAGTTCAAGTTCAAAAAGTGGTGCCCTTACTGTCCCTGGGCCTTCCCGGCGGTCTCCAGTTGTGGAAGACAATACCTCTACCCCTACCCCTATCCCTACCGCGAAAGAAACACCAGATGATCCTACTGCGGACCAATCGACTTCGTTTAAGAGGCTTGTACGAACGACTGCGCAGCAAAAATGGGGTATCGGGGAACATGAAGAAGATCAATTGGATTCGTTTGAGAGGCTCCGAGCACTTGCTGATGCAAATGGTATCGGGCTGACCTTTTCAAAGGGGTTTGCAATGTTTTCGGAAGATGAACGCCACACCATTTTGAGCGTCCATACCGTGTCCCTCGTTGGTTTGCAAAGCCGTTTGCAAAGGTCTGAGCCGGGATTGGAAGCTCAGCAGTTAATGGCTATTTGGAGGGATAGGGAGATGAAGCTCGTGAGGTGGATTGCTACTTCCCGCGGTACTCGAAGGGGACATGGAGCAAATGAAGGGTCAAGCTCGAGGTTTGGGGCTGTTGTGGAAGACATTCTCAGGTTAAGCGTAACAACCGGAACAGAGGGGGATCAAGGGCATTCCAGCGGCTCTGCGGCAACGTCGGGCACCGTAGCAGCAGCAGCAGCAGCAGCAAATGAAGGGTCAAGTTCAAGTACTCTTCTTGCTGGGCCTTCTCAGTCTCTGGGTACATGTAAGAAAGCTGTTGTGGAAGATATTCTCCTGTCCGGCACAACAACAACAACAACAACAGAGGAGGAGGATCAAGGGCACCACGCGTTCGACAAGATGAGGTCACTTGCGCAAGAAATGGGCATCCTGCAAGCTTTTGACGAGGGCTTTGAATGGTTGCGAAAGAATACACCCGATGCGTTGAGGTTCCATGTTGTGGTCCTCGCTTATCTCCTGGAGGATGAGCTGGGCTGGAAGACTGCTGAGCAGAGAGCTTTTGCGACATGTCAGGCGGAGGAGTCAATGAAGGTGATTGCTTCTGCCGCTGCCCACAATGCCCACAATATTCCTGGTCAAGGTGCCGATGATGCTGCTGCTGCCACAAGTGGTCCTGCTGTAACGGTAGAAGCAGCAGCAGCAGCAACAGCAGATGAAGGGTCAAGCTCCAGTCCCCTCATCTCTACTCGGCAGCCTCAAAATCACGGGCCTATCCAACCCGTGAAAGATACCGGTACCGTCATATCAGAGAATGAATGGCACTTGATTGAGAGGCTGAGATGCCAGGCGGAACTAGAGGGTTTTGGGGAGGCCTTTGAAAGAGGCTTCGAAAAGTACCGTGAGGGCGACCCTACTCTGACGAGAACCGCGGCCAAGGAAATCGATTTTTTACGGACGACGCAGGGCCTCCTCGCTCCTCTCGAGCTGATGCCTGTTGCGAGAGTGCGGGAGTCGGTTGCTGTGAGGGTCTTTGCTTTCGTCGGCGGTGTAGGTGGTGCCGGTGGTGCCAGTAGTGCTACTGACAATGATGATGAGAATGATGATGTCGTTGGCAATGATGGTGATTCTTCTTCGAGTGATTCATCTGATGGCGGTGTACCTCTTGGTCCTGACTCTGACGATGATCAACCTGATGCTGCCGGTGCTGTCAATGATGATGATGATTATGATGAGGATGAGGATATCGTTGGCGACGACAGTGCTTCTTCTTCGAGCGATGAATCCGGTGGCGGTGCAGCTCTCTATCCTAACTAGAGGTATATCGATGGCCAACCTGCTGCTGCTAACGATACTTCTCCTGGTGGTCCGTTCAATTCCCCTTCTTCTTCTTCTTCTTC